GTTATCTCACTATCCTCTTCTATGGAGCTAACGCCTTTGCATACACTAGCTGGAGGCCAACCCGGAAGACCCTCGCCCCAAGTCCCTCTTTATTAGGTACGACGATGTCCGAAGCGCTATGTACCGACACAAGACTTTGGCATACAAGAAGAACTATGATGTTTCTTTGAGTGTGAAACTTTGGATGGACACCATTCGAAAAGAGGGTGGCAAATCGCTATTTGATGAAGATGTAGCAAAACTCGATGGCAAGAACTACATGATAGCCTGGTCTTCTTCATTCCAAATCAAGGTTCTCTTTGCATGTGCTCTCAGTACCTTTTCTTTGTTTTTATTTTTTTTTTCCTGCTAACTCAAATCGCTCCTCTGTTCCCAATGTACATGTAGATCATGCGAGACAACGCAAACATTGCCTGTATGGATTCGACGCACAAGGTTGTCAAGGAACTCAGGCCGTTAGAAGGATCAGTCCAATCTGGGTACTTGTTTACTCTTCTGGTGAAGGATGTTCGCTCGCTCCAACCGATACCTATCTCGTTCATGATCTCGAACACGGAATCACAGTACGTCAACGCGAATGGAAGTGCATAAAAGATAATGCTAGGTACAAAGACTGACAGCGACTGCATAACCACAGGTATCCGATCATCGCATGGCTCTCGTGGCTGAAGAGGGAGTGCAACCTCCGGATGGAAAGGTTCATGGTGGACTGTGCTAAGACCGAACATCAAGCAATCAGAAGCGCATTCCCGCACGCCTCTATTTATTTGTGCCTCTTTCATGTCGCGAAACTATGGGAGGATAGAAAATACTGGGGAGGGCATACAGTCATATCCCTCAAACCATTAACACGACTCTTTCTCGCGCAATTTTAGATGGCAAATGCAAAACAAATGCGTCCGCTACTGCGAAAAATTCGCGAAGCAAAAACCGAGGCTGATCTTGAAGAGCAATGGGAGCAGTTTAAAGAGCGGTTTCAGAATGCTGATGTACTCATCAAATACATGGAGAAGCAATGGATCAACAAGGAAAGCATGCGCCGATGGGCACTTCTCTATCATTCAGTAAGTAATCGAGAGATCTCAGCTTTCTGATCGCCTTGTGCAATAGGTCTGGGTCTGAGTATGTGAGTATGTGATTGAGTAGATAAAGACTGAGATTCTATCATTTGGCAACGGTGCTCTTAAATAGCTGTGTGTAACAAGACGAAGGAAGTGAAAAAGAGAACTAACTTTAATAATAATTACACATATATACATATACTGGCCACTTGCAACAGTAGTCATATACGTAGTATATATATCCGTGCACAGCAATATTATTAAAAGCAGTTCTTGTTTCCACTCTTCGCCTTGTTACACCACTATATCTACAAATCAAAGTCATTAACATACACTATCTCATTAAATGGGCTGGTCTATGATATGTAACTGGTCTTATTCTAGTCAATTTGTTAACGTTGAAGCATTTTATTCATTTGAAATAGAACCATCAACATATTAACACAAATAACCTTGTGGAGCGATGGCATCGAAACCTCAAGCAAAACTTTCTGGCAGGAAAGCGCAACTTGCGAGCCGACGAACTCATCTACATCCTGCTAGGTGTGGTGGAAAGCCAGTACCGCACCACATACTTCAAGATCACAAGCGGCCTTCAACCCCGTCGCCTAACATTCCACGAGGAGGTACGGCGTAAAAAGGCCATCCAAGTTGATTCGGCTCGGGCGAGAACATTGATCGACATTACTAAGTCTGTGGAAGGCTTGATCTCTGTGTTGTCGTTTCAGACCCCGCCTGAGGCGCAATATGCTATCGATGTATTGTCGGACAAATGGCTCCGCTCCTGTTCTTGCCCCGACAACGAAAAACACAGTCTACCGTGTAAGCACATGTTCTTGGTATCGAGGATCTATCCAAGGTTCCAAGTGGGGTTTGACAATAATGCAACTGACCTTAACGGGACAGTCAATGACGAGAATGAGAAAACCGTCCTGGAAGAGGATTATGGCCCTCCGTTAGAGGAGTTCCTCTCTCCGAATCTACTTCAACAACTACAAGCAGCACGAGAGGAGGAAGAGCAGCGACTCCAAGCCGTGCGACAACAGGAGATGCAGGAAAAAAGAAGACGGCAGGAGGAGGAAAGGGCTCAAATGATGCGGGAGTGTGAGGAGACAATTCGCCAGGCTTGGATGGAGCTTGGTCGAGTGGTTCACAATGGCAAGACCAGGAAGTGCACGGAGACCTACTTTGTTTCTGCGGCAGCACTCCTTCAGAAAGCAGTACGCGAGGTAAAAGGAATAGATGAAGTTAATGCCGGTTCTCGCTGCCAGTAAATTCTCTTAGTGCATATTCATTATTTCCGCACGCGAGAAAACAATAAAACTCAACGCTATTTCGAGCCAATCAGTGAGTTAGTGCGGAAAAGTTCAGGTTACCGGTTTCACTTGCTGACGTCACTGTAGAGGTAGAAAGTCGATATCTCTGTACAAACACTCGAGAGATCAGGTCTTTGTTATTTTTTGCTGGGATCAACACTTCTACGTCTCGCATCCACCTCTCTCCACCAACGCACTTACACGTACACATCATGCCTGCCACAAACTGGGCCGACGAGGTCGATGGTGAAGATCAGCCCCAGACCTTCACCGATGCCAACGGCATCACCACCATCATTGAATACAAGACCAACGAGGACGGCAAAAAAGTCAAGGTACAAACCAGTACACACAACCACAGAGGATCTCGAATCCCGCCCAGCCAAAAGAGACACCGACAGCAGCGATAACCAACAACATAAAGGAATCAGGGTAACATTGGACATAATGAAGTAACTACACTCTATTAGCGGCGAACAGAGGATCATGCGACCTGAATATCAGGCCGTCCCTGGACTGACAGACATACCAGGTGTTGAAGATAGGGGCACAGGGATATATTGCGGCGCACGGACAAGGAGGCATTCCAACGGTCAACACTATAAGAGACATCACGGATTATTCACCATCACTGACGTACCTTGCTCCTCATTTCTTCTTTGACTATTATAGGTCACTCGCCGCACTCAGAAGAAGCTGATTCACGATGTCGTTAATAAGGCTGTAGCCAGTCGCAAGGTACAGACACCGTTCAGATTTAACGGCTTTAAAACCATGGCAAATCCGCAGTCGGATAGTGATCTAACTACTTATTTACTCACACACAAAAAAAAAACGCTGGGCTATTTGCTAGAAATGGCCAAAATTCGGCAAGGAGCGCGGCAACAAACCTGGTCCAGATCCTGCCACAACCAATGTTGGTGACAATATCAAGTTGAAGCTCTCTTCGACTGGACAGATTGTGCAGGAGGTAGACGAGAAGCACGAGGCCATGAAGCAGCAGCTCCAGAACAAGAAGATTCTCTGCCGTATCTGCAAGGGCGACCATTTCACCACAAAGTGCCCCTACAAGGATTCTCTTGGCATGGAGGATGCTGCCGCTGCTTCTTCTGCCGCTGCCGAGGAAGCCGGTAAGGAATTCTTTTTGCTACAGAACGCAAAGTCGGATTATAGGACTATCAGAATAGAGGAGTTTAAGGAATCAATATCGCTGACGTCTCACTTTTTCTGCTTTTTACAAACAGCTCCCGAGGAACAGCAGGTTGGCGGCAAGTACATTGCTCCTCACATGCGTGCCGGAGCTACAGGACCCAAGGATCGCGACTTGATGCGCGAGAAGCGCGACGAGCAGCCCACGCTCCGTGTCACCAACTTGTCCGAGGATGCGACCGAGGGCGATGTTTCGGAGCTGTTCAATCGTTTTGGTCACATCTCTCGCGTCTTCTTGGCACGCGATCGCGAGACCAATGTCTGCAAGGGCTTCGCCTTTGTTTCGTTTACAATGCGTGAGGATGCTCAGCGTGCGCTTGAGGCTATTGACGGACGTGGTTATGATAATTTGATTCTTCGTGTGGAGTGGGCCAAGTAAGCAGAATCATTTTGGGTTTCGAACTTGTTAGGCGTGCATGATAGCGGGCTTCATTGTTTCTAACTGTTTTCTTCCTGTTCCTCCATCCACCTTTTCTTCTCGCTTACTAGGTCATCTGCTTAAATATCTTTGTGTTTGTAATAAATCTCAGTCGACCATCTTTCTTTATTTCTCTTTTTCTTTTTTTTTTTCCAGTCATTGTCAAGCACTCAGTGGAACCAGCCATATGGATATCATTGTAGATTATGGAAATAAGTGAACAGGAGATTCAAGCCTATGGAGATAATCTATCATCTAGAAAGGATCGCAAACTCGACCATAAGGCAGAGATGGTCACTCGAGAAATTCTCATCGGGCAGACCATGGCCTAAAAAGCTCTGGTCAGGAATCTCGAGTAGTCTTAGAGGCACAAGTCGGGCACCATTCTCTGGGCGGGGCTCATCGAAAAGATATACATAGTCGAGCGTGTCTTTGAACCATGTCGCAAAGTTGGTGAAGATCGGCTCTCCATGGGTGTGCTCCTTGGATGCCTCGGTAGCAGTCGACTCTTGCGTGGCTGTCGCAGTAGCAAGTTTAGCATTCACCTCAGCCGAGTTGTCCTTGATCAAGCTCTCGTATTGTCCATAGATACTGATGCAGCGAACGTGGGTTTCGATTGATGCGAGAAGATCTCGTGGAGGGGTGAATGCCTCGAGAGGCGCTAGGACAGGAGCATCCTCGCCGCCTGAACAAGAGGCGCTGGTAGTAGCCAGGTTCTTGATCTTTGGATCATTAGATGAAGCGAAACTAGCAGGGTCTTGGATCGTTGATTCAGGTTCTGCTGAGGATGACTTGGTGGAGGTGTTTTTGGGCAGGATGATGCCTGTTGGTGGGGCACGGTAGGGAAGGTCAGAGACCTTTTCGTCCTCTTTTTTCTTGCCATTTGTGGTGTCATCGGTTATTCCGTTGAGACCCAGTTTCGCGGTCTGTGAAGATAACTGCTCGACGTCTGCGTCGTGCTGATCTGCATCGACCGGTTTTTTGGATTCATCATCGGTTTCTTGTGAGGCAGATACTGCCGCTTCTGTCTCGGCCTCTTGGACACGAGTGACCTCTTCTACGAGCCACTTCTCTAGGTCAGGGATCTGCCGCGGAGGCATCTTGTTCCTGGTCATGGCTCGATATGCTGCATCTCGGGGAGTCGTGTTGAAGTCTAGAAGGACACGATAGAATAGTGTCCATATTCAGAATGCGTATTTGACACTGATGTTGTAATTTGCACTTCAAGGTAGCATGTAGAGCGAGAGAAATAATTACCTCCGCCGAGCAAAACTGTGTAGTTCAGTTTCTGGTTCCACTCATTGATTCTGTCGAGCAAGATGGATGCTTGACGAAGGCGCTCATACGACCCATCGGGTCTCCAGAACAGATGTGTCTATGGGTACAAGAATTAACCAATTTGTCAGAGAGCAGTTTTTGATAACATCAGCGTCAGTTGTCTTTTAGAGCGGTATGCATCACATACAGTGGCAACCAATATGCCTCCTGGAAGACCTATGTCTCCATCATCATCAGTAGTTCCATTGCCGGTGGAGCCTTGGTCATGATCTTCCTTTTCTTCAGGGAGTACCATGTCCGCATTCGGGTCTGGGTTCTCGGGCTGGTGCTTTAAGGGTCGTAGGCCGACCATGAGGCCGATGTTTCCAGTCATGAAGGTCGGTTGTCCAATATCGTCGTACTCCAAAGTTAACTGGTCCACCTTTTCGAACCTGAGGAGGAAGGGGAATGGAGGCAAGCAATTGAGATATACTCTGCGTCAAGAACAAATCCAACAGCTTCAAGAGATCGTGTATTAATGTACCGACAAGAGTTGAGCATACCTGGATTTACGCCAGATGATGGCACAGCCGTGTTTTTTGTTCTGGTTCTTATAGTACACGGCTTCGTAACCGGCCTTGGTCAGGGCTGGGTGATACACCTCGTCCCAAAAATCGACCTCCTGCAGGCAGGCCAGATCAGGATTGAAGGCGAGGAATTCTTGGAGTATGTTCTGTTTTCTGAACTTCCAGCGGAGGGCCTTTTGACTGGCGTGCGGGAACATATCACGGCGGATCAGGCCCTGTGCCAGGAGCTGTTTAAGTGTCAAGAGTAAGTTGGGTTAGGGGGCCATTGGGCATGGTATATTCAGATTTGGTGGCAATAAAAATAAGTGTGCAGTGGTCTTTTCTTTACATTGTAGGTCATAAAGAGGAAGCGATCTCTCTTCTTGTGAAGGCGAATCGGGTTGGTGCCCTGAGTGAATTCCTGAGCAGTGGGAAGGGTGAGCATTCTTCTGCTGGGTCGGGACATGGCTAATTGCTGCTTGTTGGTGATGGACCGTTAAAAGTGAATGAGGAAAGTTGTTGTGGAATCGTTTAGCTCTTCAGGTGGGCGGGAGCTCTTTTTGAATCGGCTGCTTTGAACGTATTTTTTTTTGTTTCTGTGTCACCACCGCCTCCGCTCCAACAACTCCTATCACTCCATCTACATGGCGCATTTTTGCAGATCCGTTTTAGTCTAGCTTCAAGCTACTTCATAGATCCTTGCCTTATATCGTATCTTGTTGTATGTTCATCAGATAGGACCAGAAGCAGTCGGTCGATACGCGTCGAGACATAGCTTGAGTCAAGTAGCAAGCTTGAGAAATAAATAAATCAGATACGCTATGCCATGGGGGGTTTTGTCTCTATCACCTCCATCGCCACCATTGCCCACCAATCTAGAGTTTGTTATCGTGGTCAATGGTCCTCAACATGCGAGCTAATAAGGATCAAGAGAGGTTTGACACCTGCGAACAAGCCCTGCTTCACCACTGGGTCGAGTGTTTAAAAAGCCCGCTCCTGCAGCCTTAGCACCGACTCGACCTTGCTTGGCTATTCATAACATTGACATGCAGTTTAGAACTTACTTACGCTCTTATCTCCCTTCGAGTAAGCGTATGAAGGTAACACGTGATGACTTTACTTATCCCGCCCCTCCAGTCGCCCTCTCCCTTTACTTTTCCTGCAACCCAGCCCATCGACTCTTTCATCCGCCAAGCTAATGCTCTGACAAGCAACAAGGGTCCAGACAACATCTACATCTTCGTGAGAGAAGAGATCTCTTCGATTAACATTAGCATTTTGAACATGTAAGTAGGCGTGCAATGAGTCGTTCCTGGAACGCAACGATAAAAGAAATCCAATGCGTGTTAAGTAAACCATGAATGCCCAATTGAAGTGTGTTAACGTAACTTCGATGGCCCACAGATTATAAAAGGAGGGAAGAATATGGTGAACACACACATGCTGGCTTCTTCTCTTCCTCTCAATATAGCTGTTCAACACTTCTTTTAACCATTGTCACACAGTCCATCGTCTGCATCGATATCATTTGACATATATAGCACAATCCCCCTGGACAGTAACCGACCTGGTCTCTGCGAGACCTATTGGATCTAGCTCCGTATACAAATCCATTGCTTTTCTACGTCCAGTCTTTTCCCGCGCACATCGAACACCTGGCCACCAAGGCGTCATAATGTCGACAGCTGATGACGACCGCAAGCAGCGGTTCCGATTCCACAAGGACGACGAGATTCTGCTGCTCCAGATTGTCCTGAACGCCAAACCCTGTCCTTATAAGATCTCATCTCGCGACGGAGCTATCATGGTGGCCTGGAACGCCGTTGCAGAAGAGTTCAAGAGCAAATGCAATCCTCGTCCGGATGGGAAGCTGCCGCATCCACGGACGTGTCGAACCCGTTGCGACAAGATGATCGTCGACTATCTGGCCATGCGCGCGAGTCCACATCTCCGGCACCAAAAGCAAGAATCCAAGGAGGACAGGCAAAAGAACGAGCTGTTGGGCAAACTTGCGACCCTGCAGGGAAGAGTTATTGATACAGATTTGGGTACTTCGGGCACTACTGGAGCTGGTATAGGAGGCATTGGAGGCGGGGATGCCAGTTTGAATTCTATGGGACCAGGGTCCGGGTCAGGTCCTAGTTTGGTCACACCTGGGCATTTGTTGGCGCATGGGTCGTCGTCATCGTCGACGGGAGCGACTTCGGGCTTGAATGACTCACAGCAACTACACCACCATACTCATCATCAGCAGCATCGAGGATCAGCAGCGGCCACCTTGACACCTCAGTCCTTAGCTAACCTGGGAAACAGTAATCACCACCGTATGGGACATGGTCAGTCAACGTCTGAGCTACTTGCGGCCTCGGGAATTTTGCTCCCGACGTCGACTCCTGGTGTTTCTGCGATACATAACAGCAACGAGGATCACCACTATAATCATCATCATCAAGACTCTTCCTCCCCTGCAGACATATTTTCCGTGGACAGGTCTAAGCAAACACTCGCACCATCTTCCTCAGTCAATTCGCGCAAGAGACGTGGAAATGCCAACACAGGAGCAACGACAGCGGCAACCATGGCAACCACTTCATCGTCTTCGTCGCACAATGGCCTGAACTCCTTTGATTACCTTCAACGCCCAACGACGTCCGTATCGACAACTCAGAACCAACCATCCACCATGCTATCTAATGGTTCAAAACGCTTGAAATCGAGCGCACTTGGTGGCAAATCAACCGCATCCGCAGGATCGGCAGTACCAGCTACCACTTATGGGCTGCATAATACTACACACCATTCCAACCAGGCACGTTCGGTTTTAGGAGCAATTGGATCTGGACTTGGATCGAGTCTCACAGGTCAGGATCTGACGGGACTATCAAGCATGGGTGCCACGGAGGAAAGCGATGACGATGATGATGACGATGACAACGATGGAGGATTTCAGGATGCGCAGGAAGACCTTGGAAATGACTATGAACACGACTTTGACGAGGATGAAGAGGAGGAGGAAGACGATGGTCAGGATGAACACCTCGATGCTTCTTCGCTTCTTTCTTTCCAGAACAGCGCCATAGCATCAAAGACCAACAGTCGAAATGGTAGGGGCGGCAAGAGAGGGCCTACGGTGGGCACAGTTAATGCTTCGACTACATCCTCGGGCGTGAAGGCACAGGCGAATAAATATGGCAAGTCTTCGAACCAAGGATTGCAGAGACATCCCAGTGGTGGGCTAGGTACGTCTATGTTATCACTCGGAGGAATACTCGGTGGCGGCACGGGGTATATGATTCCAAGCCAGATGAATGCAGACGACCGGTCGTTTTTAATGAGGACTCTGGCATTGGAGGAGCGGAGGGTCAAGGTCGAGGTCGACAAGATTGCGGTCGAGCGCGAGAAATTGGCTTTGGAGCGAAAGCGTCTACAATGGGAGATGCGACAAATGAACCAGTAGATACGATACATATTTATACATAATCCAATTTTTTTTATCTTTCTACTTGACTACTACCACCCGCGATGTTGCAAAGAAAGATGACGGATGTCAAAGACGCAATGTGCTTTAACATTGCTTCTTGATGTTATGGCAGACGCGTACGTTGGAGCGAAGAATCGCCCTGCACGAAGATAATCTAATGGGTATTTTTTTCGACCTCAATTTTAAACACATGGATGGCTGCATGGTCGCACAGTGCATGGGTCGTGCAAGGGGTTTCCACTTTACAGTTTTTTTTTTAGATTCAACAGCAGCATGGTTTTGCTTTAATTATTGCTTTAATTATTTTCTACAAAATGAACTTTTTTTTTCTTATCGGGGAGAAGATGAGGATGAGGAGAGGGCGAGAAGATTAGGTATGAATTCTATGTTGGGATGGAGTATGAATACAAAATTACAAAGTAACAACAAGTAGGAGCGAAAGAAAGGATCCAACGGAATCACTTAGTTGAAAACATCGCCGGCAGCAACACCAACCAAGTCAGCCTTAATCATCTCCTCAACCAAGGCATCGAACTCGACCTGGCGCTTCCAGCCCAACTTCTCGTTGGCCTTCTTAGGGTTACCCAAGAGCAACTCGACCTCGGTGGGACGGTAGTAGGCTGGGTCAACACGGACGCGGATCTTGCCATCATCATCGATACCGACCTCCTCCTCGGCAGTGCCCTCCCAACGAATGGTCTTGCCAGTAGCCTTGAAGGACTTCTCGACAAACTCGCGAACAGTGTGCATCTCTCCAGTGGCGAGGACGAAATCGTCTGCGGTCTCCTGCTGGAGCATTCTCCACATGCCCTCGACGTAGTCACGGGCGTGACCCCAATCACGCTTGGCATCCAAGTTACCGAGATAGAGGCACTCCTGCTTGCCGAGGTGGATCGAGGCGACGGCGCAAGTGATCTTGCGAGTGACGAAGGTACGGCCACGGCGAGGGGACTCGTGGTTGAAGAGGATACCGTTGCAGGCGTACATGTTGTAGGCCTCGCGGTAGTTGATCGTGATCCAGTAAGCGTACATCTTAGCGACACCATAGGGAGAGCGAGGATAGAAGGGAGTAGTCTCGCTCTGGGGGATCTCCTGGACCTTTCCGTACAACTCGGAGGTGGAAGCCTAAACAGAGGATCGAGTAGATTAGTTTTTGCGTGAGCTTTTTTTTTTTAATCCCTCGGAAGGCGGCAATTTTTCAGGAACCGCATGAAAAGGGCTCTGTAAATACCTGGTAGAAGCGGACGAGGTGGGCAAGACCGCAAGTGCGGATGGCATCGAGGAGACGGAGAGTTCCGACGGCATCGACATCAGCAGTGTACTCGGACATATCGAACGAGACCTTGACGTGGGACTGAGCACCCAAGTTGTAGACCTCGGTAGGGAGGATCTTGGAGATGATGTGGACGAGGCAGGTCGAGTCGGTCAAGTCACCATGGTGAAGACGCATCTTGGGGTCTACGAAGAAAGAACGCGGAGAGTGGGGGGGGGAGAGAGTTGATTAGCATTCATGTGTGCAGCGCTAAGAGAGATCCTCCTCGTGAATGCCATGATCCCAATCCTAGGTCCATGAGGTAAAAATCCAGTGGCATAAACTTACTCTCGTGGGCATCCTTGTAGAGATGCTCAATTCTGCCGGTGTTGAAGGAGGACGAGCGGCGGATGATTCCGTGGACCTGATAGCCCTTCTCGATCAAGAGCTCAGCGAGGTAAGAACCATCCTGACCGGTGATACCTATGGGTCATTGAGGTAGAATGAAATAACGCGTGTTAATCAGGGAAATTTCGCCGTTGGAGGCAGATCAGGGGAGATCTGGAATTGGATCGGTATCAACGGGAGCCCAGGGACAGGAAGAATAGGCCTTGATGATGTTTACCAGTGATGAGGGCGACCTTGCGCTTGCGGTAGTCCTCGGGGGACATGTTGACAACCTCAATGGGGGAAGACATGGTGTGATATAGGATGTGTTATGTAGAGTGGGGTGAGAGAGCGGAAGGGGATGAGGAGAGATGGAGTTGCGGAAAAAGCGAAAGAAGCGGAAGGGAGGGGTTTTTATAGCTACAGACCGATGAGGATGAAGATGAAGATGAGGCGCGGGAGGAGAGGTGCTGAAGGGTGATGAAAGTCGATGAAGACTGATGAAGGTTGTGAAGGGTGTGCTGATGCTCTCAAGAAGGTCTACAGACCTGAGGACGAGGTATGTTCGATAAGGTTTTCTTGCTCGCGCACCCGTCTCGACCAATGATGTTTGCGGATCAGGAAGCTCATTTCTACTGGTGGTGTGCTTCTCGTAGAGGGACCCAGTTTGTTATCTCTTCCTTGCAGAAAGTCCTATTGGGAACTAAGCTAATTTCATCGAGGGAAATATATTAATAGCCTGTTCTCTCGTCCATCTATCCATGGCCCACGTCTCCCAATCTATACCTTCCTTCCCTTTCGCTGTGTCAATCCTAAATTACTTTTTGCTCTTTGTCGTCTATTTCATTTTTCATATCCCATGTTGATCTGTTTTTCTTGCTTATTCAATTGACATGGCATAGCATTTTCTGAACCGGTTTGCCAACACTTCCAATATTGCTGCCAAAGTTGGATGCGTGCGCGAATTATGGGCCCGACCATCAAGTGGAAACACGTTACTTGGTCCGACTTCAGATTCGTCGCTCAAGATCTGCACCGCGGCATGCTCTAATGCAGCATCGCAAGGATCGAACGCAACTTGTCATTAAGGTATCAGGGATGAAGGCCATTAACAACGCATCCTTGGCACTCGGGAGAAGAAACCGTGTGTTCAGTTTGGGTCTACTGGCTGTAGCGAGCTAAGACTGGCAGGCCGCGGCTCGTTCTTTTTATGGATTCCTCCTTCTGCCTTTTTACTCGAATATGCAGGTCTCTTCCTTCGTTTCTTTGTTCATGAACGAGATCTATGTCGCCTTTATTTCTTTTGGTTATGCACGCGCACAGTATTGGTCCTAGCTATGAAAGGGAGGGCGAAGAAAGATGAAAGATCTCAATGGCCGTGGACATGAAGTGCTTATGGATTTAATGAAAACGATGGGAAAGAAACAAAGATGCCTTCCCCTCTCGCTTGGTACCTGTCATCGGAAAAGTAACAGAGATATAGTACGTTCAGGTCATGAACGTGCCTGTACCATTTGCCAGGCCCAAAAATTGAAGAAAGATGGCATCTGGTCATCACAAAATTACCCACACAGATACAGATGACCTTGAGGGACGCCCTGTACTTCCAAGGTACTTGGAGCCCTTCGAGTCTTGTTCTTTCAATAAAAGAGGTGCAATACAGCTCGACAATGTATCATATATTTTCTTCTGCGTACATATATCGTATGTTTTCGACAATGGGACCAGGCTCGCTTCAAGTCTTCAACACAGCAGCAGCCTGTCCTTATGAATTATTGTGAGTGACGCACTAAGAAGAGGCCTGACGCGTAATGTCCCTCCCGTTCCAAACACAAGCCAACTTCGTTCGCAAAAATTATTCAGCCTTATCCCTTACGCGCGCTGCGTTACTGAAATTGTGTTATCTAGTATCTCTCAGGATTTTCTTTTTTATTACGCAGAGAGGATCAAAGTATCATACATGTTCAGCTTTGCCTGCAGCGATTGCAGAAAGCAAATAGCATATAGGGGCTGCGCGACGGACTATGGTACAACAAAAAAGGCGAAAAAACGAAGAATGTGGCTCACGCTGTTGTGGGCGTAATAAAAATACAAGTATGAAGAAGCAGGAAAAGAAAATAATAATAATGTCTCTCTTCAAAGTCGCAACATCGAAGACAATGCGCGAAGCTGTCGATCATCTTCCACCCAGCGGACCCTCTCTCTCAAGATCTCCTTCGGCTCTAGTTTCGGCAAGAGTAGCGTATCTGTTGCGAGATTGGCCAGCACGGACAGCGAATCCTGTTCGCTGTGGTTTGAGGACGCTGCAGATGTGGCAGCAGGTGTGTAGGGCTCATCGGTGCCAGAAATATCAGCGGCCTTGTGATGATCAAAGCTGGTCGCAAGCAAGGGTAGCTCACGCAACGCTGGGATCATCACCGATGTCATCTCATCGCTTCGTTCAGGTGTGGCAGTATAGGCAACCAGGGGTTGGTCGTCATCCGAGGCCCACGAGGTCGTGGGGGAGTAGGCGTTCAATGGTGGTGTCGGGAAGGAAGACGTGGCTGAAGGACTTGTGGAATTGTAGCGCTTTTCGGGGCCGGGGCCATATGATCCGTAGGCATACGGAGAGTACCCAGCATTATTGCTATTGGAACGGGATCTTGAGCCTTGAATAGATGCTGGAATGGGAGAGTACCGGTAGTCCTTGCCATTGACCGACCCCGAGTGGGTACGGCGATGCCCTGCAAGAGAACTGTATGGAGATGGCTCGGTACGGCGGGGGATGTCAGCTCGATCTTCGTCCTTGTGCTGGAAGGCACGGTGATGGGGACGGTGGCGCGACCGCGTGGGTGGCGAGGGGCTGGACTGATTCGTGGATGGAGTCGAGTGCGAGTCCGCATGGGACGAGGTATCAGGATAGATACCCAGTGGAATGACAACGTGAGCAAAGCGAGGGTCGCGAGAGGGGGTCTCAAAGAGTCGTTCCGAGGCAACATCCTCGTTGGTGTAGTACGAGATCAGATGCAACTTCTTGTTATCCGAAGTTGTGATGGAGAACGACTGTTTCAGCAGGCCGTCGGGGCGGTAGACGTTCTTGCTGCCGGTGCCTTGAGAGTCATCGAGCTCGCGGTAGGTGAGAAAGCTGCCGGTAACCCTGCTGGGGCTCCAGCTCTTGCCGTCGGTCCAGCGTCTCATGCCGGCCTCACGCTCATCGAAGCAGTAGACGGAACCTGACCGGACGCATTGGCGCTCAATGTCAGAAAGACGGCGATGGACTCTGGAGATGATACCGAGATGGCAGGCTGTTTGTTAATTATATAGAATAGGGTTGATGTTAGTAAAGACCGAAAGACTAGGATTATCCAGACGATCCTATGGGCCGCATTGGAAATTTCCATTTCCTGTCTTTATCATCCATCCTGTTCATTCTAGCAAAAACCATTTTCTTTTTGCTGATTCCTGACGAATAATAGCATTGTGCCCCAAAGTGCCGCTCAATAGCCCAAAGGGCGTCAGAAAATGGTGCTGATCAAGACACAACAGGCCATCTGATCGTCCTACGGATGACTAACACATCCGGTTCCAAAGGGGTTTCCGGGGTGGATATGTGTTAAATACTTGCCTTCAAAGATGATGAGGGCGTCCTGTGCGGACTTGATGAGACCATAGTAGGTTTCCATAGAGTTGGGATCCATCGCTGCTTTGATATGAATGAAGCGATGGTAGATCTGGAGTGGTGGTGTTGCCAACGATGTGCAGTGGGGTCTGAAGGAAGGAAGGAAGGAAAAGAAAGAGTGCGGAGGTGTGATAGGGAATATGAAGAAAATAAAGGTGTGCAAAAGTAGTTTAAATGGAACAAGAAATTTCCACTGTTTAGGAAGACACTCAGTGCAGCTGAAAAATAAATGGAAAAATACTAAGTACGAGTTGTTCCGGGATCTAACTGCCTCTTGAATGTTTATGAGGGGAACAAGAAAGAGAGGGATCTAGGCAGACGAAGGACAAATAGAGACTGCGGTAGTGAACGGCGCGATAATTTGTAAACGCGCAGTGGCTCTCGCTGTTTAGGGTTGAGGCTGGATAAGATGGGAAGAGAGTGTGGGTGTTGATGCAGCAGCGAGGAACGGTCGATCGTGGCAGGTCTATCAGATTCGAGAGCAGCGGAGGAGGCTAAGAAGAGAAAGAAATTGGGGTGTGCGACGGATGGGTGCGAACAGATGTCAAGGAAGGATGCTCTAGTGTAGATAGAGGAGTGGGGGATGGGCAGAGAGTGGAGCGCGCAGGGTGCAGAGCGAAGAAAAGTAAAGACACCGGAGAGAGGGGAGAGAAGGAGGGGAGAGAGGAGAGGGAATGGAAAATGGAGCTGGTTTTGGTTGTAAAGGGAAATCGCCTTTTATAAGTGAGAGGAAGCCAGATGATGTCCTTCGAAATAAGATTATAAAATAGAGCGATATATTGGCAGGGAGGAGAGTGTCCGCCGCCGATCCTGTTTGTGTTGGAATGACTGAATTGGGTAATATAATAAGACAGCGAGACACGATAATATGGACAGGCAGGAAGAAGCAGAAGGAAAGGTCGTCATCGTGTTTCTTCTTTGGACAACCCCTCCCCTCCTCTCCTCTTCCCCCTCGGTCCATCTTCTTCCATAGCCAGCCAGTCAGAGCCAGCGAGACATTTTTCTGAATTCAATTGCGCATTGATGCTCCCTTTATCTGTATTCCATTTTTTTATTAGAAATCAAGCAGAGGCAAGCCACTAGACTCCACTCTAGACTGAAGGGTAAATCGTCTGCCGGGCCAGGTTTTGGGGGGCAGAGGGATCCCAAAGGCAACTTCAATTAAGCTTTTTGTCTGTGAGAAGTGTTTGTGTTACTGCAGTGCATTTAGACTACATTGCATTCAATCAGAAAACTTATTCTTCTTTCATTAGTGATCTCTGGATGACTGGATGGCCGACTGACCGAAACAACCATCAAGAACAGATACCAGGATCTCTACTGCTACTGGCACCCAACACTGGCGCGCATATCCCTCTCCCTTACGTTATCGTTCATCAAAAGTTCAGCAAGGCCAATTCCGCAATCCCAGCACCACAGTATCGTTTTTTTTTATTCTCGTCGTAACCAGTTTCTGCACGCTGTTAAGCAGTGCTCCATTACCACCCAGTAGTAAGTGGATCACAACAGGCAACTGAGTCTCGCCATTATCCCTTTTGCACCAACCACTTGTAAAAAAGAACTTGCAAACACGCTGCTTCTGCAAGGCTCATCATAATAACAGAATGAGGAACACAACAATGGATGTCGGGATACTCTCAATTAGGCAAGCACACCCTTGTTGAAGTGCGGCCTTCATGCGCATGTGAATCTGCCAATATGTCTTCGTATCCTAATTTTTCCTCGGTCTTCGTCCGACTGTCTACTTGCTATTGTTGCCCTCGGCTGAAATTGTAACAGCAGCAGCCAAGAGCGATCCTTAAACCCTTGAGTGAGTGCATTCACTGGTTGCGGGCAATAGATGAGGGACGGGTTAATGCTGGCATCTATTTTAGCCAGGCTGGCAATATATTCTTCCAGCTCTGAGAGTGTTGTACTGTGCGCTTATTTTGAGTTTAACCACGCTATCCAACTACACGAGCGCAAGAGCAACCGGACTTTTTTTTATTCTTTCCTTGAATACGACAAGCGTAAACGAGCTGAACAGGTCTATCTTACGGACAAAAATAAGATAGGGTCGCGGGACGGGGCTGTTGGTGTTGTAGTTCAAGATCGCCATAAATATCACTATTGTACTACAACTTTTGTAACTTGCTTATAAGGCGCGTGGGGCTAATCTACTATCCGAGCCTCGATTGGCATGGAGTGTAAAAAAATATAAGCGTATATTTTTCCTATGCTTCACCTTCTGTCCTTATGACATAACGTACTCAGTTCTGGACGGCTACTGTATCAACTGTGGCCATCCTCATTCGCAATTCACTGGTTGCTAACCTTCGCAGTCATCAAGGAGTAAAGGCGTTACACCATCAGTACAGGATTTCTGTTTCATTCAAGAGATAAAGCTTCAAATCGCGCGGACTGTAGCCATGTGCAAGGAATGCTGGACGCCATTTGGCCCAAGGGCTGTTTCTGCAAGATAGAATTTCATGATAATGACTTTAGAAAGGCTGGGATTGGTTACAGCGATGTTTCTCTCTCAACCTCAAGAATGAGGTCTCTCAACCCCACTTTGTCTCTCTACTTTACTCTCAATTGAGGGTCCTCAAATGCGTGCTTTTTTTTTTTTTTTTGGAAATGGAATATTTTTATCCGGGCAATAGTTCTAAATCAAGAAATTGAGATTCCGGAGACCGACTGACAACATAAGCACAGTATAATCAGAAACTGGGGTCTATGTGGGACATCAGACACGAATATGTTTCTCTTCGTCATTCCTGCTATGCAGGCGCGTCGAGCAACGAACCATATGGTCGATAAGATATCTCCCATGGGGGACTCTTCCCTATTCTCTGCGCAGGAAAAGTACACAGAGCGTAGGCGTCGGATTATAGGGCGTAAGCGCCGGATTATAGAGCGAATATGGATTGCTAATTGCGAGCACTAAACCAGAGAAATATGACAAAATATCACTTTGCCGTTTTGGCCTAGTTCAGACTACCTCTGATCCGTGAACTCGTTGTCTCTGCAACAACAACGAGATATCCTTGGCTCTTTATTCAATTGCTGTTCGAAGAGTGCAGCGCAGTCGGCCTTTATTTTTTTTCGTTTCTTTTAATCAACCTTCTTTTTTTTTTTTCTTCTTTTAAGTAAGGGTGCTGAACTGTACCCTAAAGCGCATAAAAAAAATAGCGCGGAAAATACTCAAACGCGGCCATTGAGGACCACATTTGCAATCTACATGTCATTCCTTATGCACGTAGATGACTGAGTACACGATGGATAGTTCTTGATCTTGCTACATGTATTTTCCTATACTCGAGAATGTGTAGATCGAGCTGCGCCCGGGTACGCGTTCCAATTACGCATCTTGGCAAATCCCTGCACTCGATTGCAGTAAAATTCATCTCGTTCAAGGGAATACAATAATAATTAGTTTAAGGTGTGGTTACTCCAGAAGACAACAGAACATTACGCCAATGCAAGCTTCGTCCCATCTGCATCTTCTGCCTCGTTCATTCATGTCGGGACAAATAGTTGGTTGCGGAATGCGGAGTGACCCAAATGCGAGTGTGGCCCGAATCGGACGCATTCATATGGTGAGTCAGTACTGTTTGTTGTCAGTTCAACAGACCAAGGATCATGATCGCACATGGATACTGGTTCGAACTGCAACCGCTGTGTCTGAATGTCTATGTTAGACATCAAAGATATAAACAAAAAGTGCGCAGACTTCAGAGCCATCGAAGTATAAAGGACGAAGAGACACTGACTTGTAAATGCTGCTCGTGGTAGACTACGTACTTATGCCTGCCTCCAAAGCCCACATAGAGAATTATGCACAAAACGGGGTATCCTGTTGCCTAGTAGACTCGTCAAAACAAATAAGCCGGTAAAAGCGAGAGAACGAAAACAGGTCATGGCTACACAGGGCCGGACAGCGAGCATCTTCAGAATGGACTTTGCGTGGGGCGTTGTCCGACGACAGGCTCATTGAATTCAACAGAATACTCCAATATATTCGACCTAGATTTCATCGAAATACAATCGCTCTGCCCTGAAAATTTTTTTTTCTCTTTCCAAGTTCCTCGACCATTCATCAGCATGATTATGCCAGAGCTACTGGATCAACTCCTGTAAACATGTCTTTCTACGCAAGATATCATTCTGGAGCCCAACGAATTACTCATCAAGCACCATCTCCGTTGCCCGTTCCTTCCTTGGCCTCTTCTGCGCATTCGACGTTGAAGGTCTTCGCAGGTAAGCTTCCAACTATGATTTCTATGTCTAAAAATCTGATCGCTGAGTGTTAAAAAGGAGCCTGCTGAGTAATACGTCCACTAGCACATTCTTGACGGCCATTGACTTGGAGATAAGAGCTGGCGCCTGTTCAGCCGTGATCTCTAGGGGAGGGTGTATACGTGTCCGCAACGTAAGCTCATCCTGTCTTTTTGATTTTCAACTCCAGGATGATTTTTAATTAGCGTTTTTGCGCAGCTTTCATTCGCATTTCTAATCAACAGCTTCACAATACCAAGAAAAGGAGAGCTGGAAGTGAGTTGGAGCAAGGCTATGTAGCCTTTTCCTCTGCAGATTACTAAGAAGGCAACGCTAGGGGAACGAGGTGCCTGCATGTCGCTCGTTTGCGAATGCGCCATCCGATCAAAAAAAAAAAAAAAAAAAAAAAGAGGAGTTCATGGATATGCAAACTTGAATGTTTGTTCGCAAACACAAGTAGCTTATTTTGGTTTAGAATAAGAAAATACATACCTGGATATGTTTACAGGGAGGCGGAGGGTATAGAAACCAAAACCGGTTTTTCTGAGCAGGATAATCCTTTGATATCAGGAACAGGGATAGACCAGGATTCGCAACGAGGAGCGACAACTCTTTCAACATTAGGCTTTGGGTGCCTGTTGTGGACCATCTCTCTGGTTCGTTGCTTACTTCGTTTAAGATTTTGACATAATAGCACAAATGAGGCTGTTTGTGGAGGAGGTTTATCTGCTCCTTTGCCAAACGAGCACGCTAGACTATCTACAGGCGGCGCTTACTGATTTGCAACAAAACCTCCACTGACTTTAGAGTTGACCGGGCTCGGCTTTCCTTCCCCTTCTGCTGCCTTGATTCCGCTTATCTTTCTCTGTATGGTGTATGTTTTGGAGGCGCTCTGTGTCCTATTTGTTTGTCCTTCGGCATAATGTAATTCCAAGGTCTAGGTTCACGCGTAGATGTCAAAATGCATTAGAATGTGCCTTTCTTATTGCTTCAATGTGAGTTGTAACCGCTTCGGAAGGATTCGATACAGAAGCAGTATTCTCTGTAGTGACTTTCATCTCGACCAGTTGCCTTGAACGGAAGCCTTTTTTTTTTTTTAATATTGCGCTTGAGAATGGACCAAGCTGTAAAGAAGATGTATCAATGTATCATTCTAGAAAATAGCCAGATCCCAGCCGCGCATGTTCCCCGTGAGCACAACATAGTGAAGAGGCGCGCACAGTCAGAGTGAGGAGCCTCAGGCTTCAACACCCTCAATTTGGTGGCACATGCAGTTAGGGAGCAACTCTCCGTAGCCGTACGAGTTTCTATCTTTCCTTAATTACATGCGGCAACTCTAAACCAGTTTCCCTTAATTGCACAAATGCTTCTTTGCACTCATATCCTCATCCTTCATCAGTAGCCTCATCAACAAGACAAGCCCAAGGAAAGCAACGACATCCACATCGACCCCCCTGTTCTCAAGCCAACAGGTTGACCGACCCATACGACTCTCGCAACTCTTTCGAATTTTATTACCCAAACTTATACGATGTCATCTGCAGGAGGACTCTCGAGGCGACGCGGCGGTGGCGGTGGTGGAGGAGGAGAGGATTCGGCCTATTCAACACCTGCAAACTCCTCATCGGGACCCAATACAGGAAATGGCAGGAACCAGAGTTTTCATCGCCTGTCTAGCTCAGATGCTAAAGTTGTCGCTGACCCGAGGGATCTGCAGATGGAGGACGAGAATAAAACCCAGCCGAAGTTGACGTTGATGGAGGAGGTGTTGCTTCTAGGTCTCAAAGATAAGCAGGTAATGCACTGCTGCTCTACAAAAAACATACACAAGAAGTCAGAAAAGGGCGCTGGAGGATATTTTTGGTACAACCTTCCAGGAGTGTTAATGTGCAGGAACCATTTTCTGGAGGCAACAAGGTCTATCGTGTGCACCAGCGATTCAAGCTAGGGCGTTTGCTTTTAGTTTTCTATGCCTTTCATGACTTGAGCCCTCATTACTGAACTCTCGCCACGGCGACGGGGCGCAGACGCCTTGAGGCATTTGCTGGACTTAGCATAGAAAACCAGGAGAGGCTGCAATATACTAACCCCGCATTGCGTTTATTCTTCTGTTATAGGGCTATCTCTCGTTCTGGAACGACAATATCTCCTACACCCTGCGAGGCTGCATTTTGATGGAGCTAGCCTTCCGTAACCGCATCGCCATGGTCAAGGACCCTAATCGCCGCAAATACCCCCTTGCCGATCGCTATATCGAAGTCGTGAGCGAGAAACTAACAGGCGAAGTCTTGCTGGACGAGGCATTGAAGATGATTGGATCGACACCAGAGAGAATGAGCGTAGGTCAATGGATCGATCTTATGAGTGGTAAGCAGCAGTGACCCATAACGTATAAGGTGCATCGTTTATCCTATTTTAACAGAACAGTTCACTAACAAAACTATGCTTTGCTCTTCGTTTATCATGATCGTTCAACACGTAGGCGAGACTTGGAATGTGATGAAGATCGGCTTCCAATTGAAGCAGGTGCGTGAGCGTCTAGCAAAGGGTCTGGTTGACAAGGGTGTGCTCCGGACAGAGAAGCGGAACTTCCTCATCTTCGACATGGCAACACACCCCGTCACAGATTCGGCCGTCAAGGAGGAGGTCGTCAAGAGAGCTTGTACAGCCCTGATCTCGCGGAATAACGGATCGGCACCAAGTCTCACGGACCGGGAATCACCTATTGCATACCAGCAACTCCGCACGGTGGCCATGGTCTGTGCAGCTTATGCGGCGAACGTGCTCGAGAATGCGCTCCTGTATCTGAACCATGAGATGCGCGAGCGCGCTTATACCAAGGTCGAAGAGCTCCTCAACGATTATAGCACTTTCCCCTTTGGATCTTCGGCCTCGAAGAACGAGACTACTGGCAAGGATCTGCAGATGGAGGTTATTGCAGCGGTGCTGAACGTATTTACCAAAATGGACAGCATTATATAGAAGCCCTCTTTCATTCTCTATGGGTCATTTTGTTTGTTTATGTACCTCTATCGCTTTCTGTCTTTCTTTCTCAAGATTTGCCTTATACACCATAATACATGCTTTCACTCTTGGCTCTTCGCCATTAAAGCAAGAAAAAAAAAGTTTGATCAGAGTTGCATGTAAAACGTGCCGTGCGTTTTATTTATCTGCTCATCCACCGCAGCTGGGACGACACCAACTTATCCGATTAGAAATGATCAGCTGCGACTGCAATAGCTGCCAAATCATCCATGACCCGATCTACGCCTGTTCCGATCTGCTTTGTCATTTCCTTTTGTCTGTTGGCCGGCAGATTGACGAACTCAAAGAGCAAATCGCCGTCTAGGATACCCTTGGCAGGGTTCGAGTTGAGGCGATCCTTGGACTGTAACAACCTAAACGCACGTGGGTTCAGTCCTGCATGATGTTGTACCCCATTAACAATCTGAGAGCTCAAGAGTGCTAAGCGCTTGCTGGTCTTTTCGGGGATCGGCGTGATCATGCATAGCCCACCGTCCAGCGTGCCGCAGAGCGTCAAATGACTGATGCCTTCATCTGAACCACTGAGAACGATCTTCGGGACCGCAATAGTGGTCTGGATTTGTGATCCAACATGATAGTCGCCGCGGCAGATCAGCTTCTGTCCACTGAATGATTGTACATCTAAGAGAGATATTTGAAATATGCAAAACGTTAGAGTTGTCCGTGCACAGTGGTAAAACGAGAGTAGCTGCAGTCGAGACGGCAATGTACGTACTATAGGGCGTGTACTGCAATAGACGAATATTCTTTTCGGCATCGGCCACAACGATATTTAGCGTCTGATTTTCGATTAAATAGCTCACGTTCATGGATTCCATAGGGTGGTAATCCTTGCCCAACAGTACCAACTTTGTAGGTTCATCCTAGGAGCGATGCGATAGAAGCTGTCAGCTGTAGCTCCTTAATAAAATTATGCAAGGTAACAAGTGAACCGAAGTTTCTGCTTACCTGGAACCCAATGAACCATACACTCTTGTAGGCGTCTGCGAGCATGATCGTGTTCTTGACCACCTTGACGCTCGTAACAAAGATCTGGACGTCAATGAATGCAATACCGGTCAAGGTCTCGTTGTCCTCGAAACTACGCACCAAGACCTTAGTACCAACGCAAGTCAATAGGTACCCGCAGATAGCAGCCATGGCCGTGACAGAGCCCTTGACCTCCTCGCTGTGAAGCAACTTTAGCTTGTGATCTGTCTGAGGGTTATCGGGCTCTGGTACGACATCAATAATATCGAAGATGTATATCTACGCATAACCCAATAAGAGACCAACGAAGGTTAGACATATGCTTGGAGGTCGACGCGACGATCACTCCATCCTTTATCGGGGCTAAGAAAGAAAGATAACATACCGTTCCACGCATGGCTGAATCTTCGCCCCTGATGTAGGATGTCCCTACAGCAATAAATTTCTTGCGGCCGGATGCATCCTGGCTAGACTCTAGACTTACAGTCTCAATACTCGTAACGATCTCGTATTCATTCAGCTCAAACCGGTCCACAGTTTCCCAAGTAACAGGCGACACTAGCTCTAATGTCTGTCTCTCAGAGAGGGGTCGAAATCCTGGCCCCGTAGGCTTGACTTTGAGATGACCGTTACTGTCGGCCGTACCGTTCAACACAGCATGCGTGTCTGGAGTTGCAGGTGTGGCAATGCCGCCGGCTGCTGTTGCTGTAGCCTGGTCGTGGACAGCGACGTTGTTCTCATCCTTCACTACGAATGGGTCTGGAATGGCCGTAACAGTGACATATGTTTGGGAGGTTGGGTGGTACACGATACGTCGCACAGCTTTTTTCAAAGGCACCTTGCGAATCGGCCAAGGCATGTCGTACTGAACGCCTTCATAAGGGAGCTGACTGATCCTCAAGTTCCCCTAAATGGAAGAGCAAAAGGCAAAGGTTAGTCAGCGTCTTTAACGTCTTCAATCCTATTTGATCACTTTGCCAAGAAGAAACGGTACCTCCGCGTTCAATGTTATGAAGCCGTGCTTGCAGTTGAGGTTATGGAATTGCGTGAAGCACCCAATCCTGCCATCACAGATCATAGGATGGACTCTTGGTAAACCCCTTCCACTGCTCATGATCCACAGGGGCGAGGTTCCTAAGACAAACACACCTTCATATCCAGCTACATCCGTAAAAGGGATCAGGTTTCTAGCTTTGCGCTGTCTCCTCCGCTCCTGCCGTTTGATCTCTCGCTCGACAGCGTCCCTAGAATCGTCTTCTGTGACATTTGCGTTCGATCGCTCATCCGGGTCCTCGTCTTCTGGGGTCTCGCGTGCCACGTTATCCAAGGGCACTTTTCTAAATCGAATTGCCAGCCGATCTGAGAAATCAATCTGCTTTCCTGCAGAGTCCAGCTCAACTGTGGGGAAGTGCTGATATGTTTTGTATACAGCAATATTGCCGCGGTATGTCCTCATCTATGGAAGCACATCGAGAGTACGAAGTTGTTACACACAGATAAAGGCGAAGCACTAGCACGTTGCGATCATTACGAGGATACATGTTCTCATGATCTGCTTACCACAAGATAGGTTTCCCTTTTTTCTTTAGCTCCCATGTTTGCCATAACCATCTCAGTGATCTCGCGAGCATGGCCAGCAGGCTTGGTATTTTGATGCGCAGGTGCATCTGGGAGGACGTCAGGCAAGAGATCAAAATGAGGGAAGAAGAACACCTCTTTGAAATCCGGCAGGCGATAGATCTAGATGGGTAAAAGATCCAGTTAGTTATCAATGACGATGTCAAACTCCAGCACTAATATATAACAGTAGCAAGAGAATGAGACGGACCTCGAGCGCGCCATCCGCTCGGTAAATGACACACCAATGTGTCGCCTGTAGAGACTGCCCCTCAGGATTGGCCATGCTCGCCTTGGCAGTGGACTGGACGTTCTCCATGTCTACATCGACCATGGGCACGTCGCCGTTGGTGCCTGGTGCAGCACCCATCTCAACATCGTCATCCTCTTCGCTTTCCTCTTCATCCTCTTCATCCATCGCAGGTCCATAGAGATCTAAATCAACGTCATCAACAATAGGCGCTGCTTCCTTCTTGGATTTCTTAGCACGCTTCTGCTTCTTGCCAACTGCTGCAGAGCTGGACAAAGTATTCGCAACCGAGGATCGTAGCGAAGCCATTGTCGGTGCTTCTTTCACAGTGAGCATTGTACTGAGTGTGTCCGCATAGACACAGCAACTCTTGATTGGCAAGCTCTAATAACGGCATTCATGCATTTATATGAAATGTACGTCAGAATTTAACGCGTTGCACTCGATTCATGTATCTCACAAACATAGCTGCGGACTTACACTGAGGACAGAGGTTTGGCTGACAATTGTCACATCCTTTGTGTTCATATCACCTTTGAGCAGAAGTGCTGATCCATCGTGGAGTTGTAGCAAAATATAGGGGTCGGCGATGCTAGCAGCCACAATAGAGAGGTGTTCTCCGATAGGGATCACTTGTCTGATCTTGCAGTCTAGAGCAACAACAATGAATCGCATATTATCAGTATCTTTGGTCTATCCATCCTAAGATTCAATAGTTAGCTCGGCAAAGAAGTCATCGTACCTGCATTGAGCAGACGCACCCCTCCGGAATAAACCTGCACTATTCTCGTTTCTTCCAGTAAAGACCCTATCGCAACTGTAGGCCCTTCGGAGTAGAACTGCGAGTTGGGCAGTTGACGCAAATCATCTCCAGAAGTCGCCAGCACCTGAGGGCCGTGTGAGATTGCAGTTTCCAAAATCCTGCGCAGTATTTACATTTCCTCAATACCATATTCAATACTTACCAATGTGCCCGTTTCCCTGGACACGATCAACAATTTGTCGTAGCTGTCCTCGGCGCCATCGCCTGTCTTGCGACTCTCATATTGCGACACACCCTCGAATATGATCTCTTTCCTGCAATAAACTGTCCACAACGAGTTGGATCCTGCTAAAGCATCTGTCGACCGCACAACATTTGGCCGGATGTTTCTCTATGTAATAGAATCCGAAAACAGCGTAAGTTTCCGGGCAAGCACCGGCATTGGTATTTATACAATTACCTAGATGTACCTGGAAGACCACAAGTGCGCCGTTTTGACCAGATCCTGTAGCAGCGACAAGCTCGTGTTGAGGAGGAAAGTCGGAGTGCTATAACGTAGAGTCATGTAAGCGAGTCGTTGATTCGATCGTGATTCTAGCGTTCCATTGAACAACCTGTCCACCTACCGATTCCTAAGTAAAGTAAGAAAAGGAGAACGGGTTCATAATGGTATTAGCTCCGATTGAAGTCCAGTAATAGAAATAGTAGATGGATTCGCTCAACATATTGCGCTACTTACATTGCTGGCCCTCTGCCCAATATCAAGGTCAAGTATAGGCCCTGTGTTGGTGAGAGTGTCGCAAATCTCAAACTGCCATTTCGATTCTCCTGCGTCCATGGCCGACTCGATCTCATCCTTAGACTTATCCGTCGGTTGATCCGTAATCGTCTCCACATCCTGTCCATAGAGTTCTAAGTGGAAGGTCGTTCGTCAGTGTCACAACATTAATTCAGAATATTTCAGAATGATAAATCTATGGTTGAATTCTTACCATCTTCCAAATCCATCGAGTTGATTGGAAACGCGGCAATTCGTTTCTTTTTCTATAAATGACTAGCGATATGAGTAAAAGCCACGCCGTGCCTTATCGACGATGAATTTCAGGCGTGTCATTGTTGTATTGCGTACCTTGACCTGATCTTTGGTGGAATACTTGATCAGCATCGAATCTGCATATCGGGACCCAGCAAAATAGTATCCAGAACCGAGGGAACATTTGCATGATGTCTGCATGCTTGTTCCCGCCTTCTCAATCTTGAACCCAGAGAGCGATCGCCCCTCCTGCTGCAGCCCAACCACATACATGTCGCCATTCCTCAGCGTGAACAGAATTTGGTCCGGTGCCAGAAAGACATGCTGTGAACCCTCCAATGCGATATCAAAATGATGTTGGTTTTGTAATGGAAATTCTGTCACCATAGGTGCATAGCCATTGACGCCCACGCCCATGCCTGTCGATCCCTGATCAAGATGAATAAGTGCATTTGCAGAGACAACCAAAAGTCCGCCGACAGGCTTTGGTACGGCAATGACCTTTGTGCAGTCGTAAGGGAGTTGGTCGATAGAATAAATGATGGGATAGACTTTGTGGGTTATGTCGAGCGAGACCACGACCAGAGAACAAGTATCCTTGCGCACTGGCAGACGGCTATGTGCAGAAAGAGGCAGATGTGGTGAGCGGTCAGCATCTTCTCAGCCAAGTCATCCATATCTATTGAAACGGTGTCATTGGAATGTACCCCGTCCACGTTTGCTGAGGGGAGAAAAGAATGGCAAGAGTCGGCTCGTAAAAATCATAGAGGAACACCATGTCAATGACATTCTTGATTCTAATATCAATATCAGACAGCGTCATGACATAGCTCGGCAGATATGGCCATTTCCTATTGATAAGTAATAGCAGCGACAAACGATACGTTGGTTACATCGCAGGAGCACACAACGAATTTCGGCCATTTTCAGTTAAAAAGACAAAGCCTTACTTTGATGCATCATCCTCTTCTCCAATTGAGGTCTCCTCCTGTCTAAAGGGTAACACGGCGAGTCGATCTCCATAAAATGCTAGGACAGCGCAGCGTCGCGATGGATCTACTCGGATCTCAGTCGGGTGTGAATTGTTCAAAAATTCTTGCTATCACCGGGATGACGGGCAAACAGGAAAGACTGTCAGAAACCGACTTTTGGAAGCCTGTTATGATAACATTTCCTGCTGCGATCTTTACCTTGTAGTCGTCTCGCTCATAGTAGTGGATCGAGACAGTGACAAGACAATGATTCGAGAATGACCATTCCAGCAAGGACATCTATGTGCAGTCAAGGCATGAGCAATAACATGGGATCGTTGTACGATTGTTGGTGAAAAACAGGCGCTTTATTAAAGAACCCTTCCCATACACACTTGTTAAGCAGTTGACAACCAAGTGGTCTGATTTGATGCTCCTGAGCTGCTTTAAAACGAACCTTGGCATCCTTGAAGCTGACCAAGATGCTGTCCAATCCGTGCTGGCCTGATGAACTTGTCCGGATCACTCCCATGGAAGTGATGATTCCATTCAGTCTATGCGTCGCCACCAGTTCCAATTTTGGTAGCTGATCAGCCTGCGCTGGCTCCGTGAAGTTATAGATCTCCAGCACAGTCGACTTCGAGACGATGACATTGAGTATATCTGGCCGCACAAAGTTGCATCGGACCACTCGCTCAATCCCTGTCGGAGAAAAGAGTTCCTTGGCGAGCGTGTACATGGACATTGCGTTGACGCCGTTGTTATCCAATCGAGATCACTTTTTTGCAGAGCACACTCCACAGGCTGGGGATAATTACTAAAGTCGAAGTACTGTGGGGTTCTTCAGTATCCTGAAAGATGGGCTGTCAGGATGTCGCGTTGGGTTTCCTGGTTTGTTTCAAGCAAGCACAGGCGATGTAGCAAAGAGGAAGTGATGTGAACACAGCCAACGCGCTCAAAGTGTTTGCTGGTGTGGCCAGCAGCCACCTCTTCAGACAAGATTCGATATTAAAATTCGAGAAGTAACTTGTATAAAGTGATAGTGTGAGCAAGAAGACCTTTGTGCTGATCGCGTGCACATAGTTTAAGTGATAATCAAGTCATTCGAACGGGGAGTTATTCTACAAACCTAGTTTATCTCTCTAAGGCAATACTGGCAAGAAACTGCCATTATCAACGTATACATTGTTGGATGAGGGTTATACCTGTCTTTGGAACCCGATAAGTTAAGTTCTTTTAGTTTATTATCGCCGTTCCCATCAATAGCGTCAGGAGATGTACAGACCAATATGGACTTCATCGCGCTTCTCGTGGAGCTAAAGAGGAAAGATGGTACTTAAACAAAGGGCCACACAGTATTAAAGATTCCTCTATCCATGCCAGTGAACTTGTTAAAAGCAGCCTAGGACAGATCCAGCTGTCCGAAGCTGGAGTGCTGGTGCTACAGCTCATCCCTGTTCGCTTTCGGCGACTTTGTAGAGCAGGAGGCGCAGAGTCAGGCTGTAGGCATGGATCTTGAGCTACCCATCGGCTTGCAGAGCTCTATGAACACGTACTCCCCCGCCCGAGTAGTGCTGTCCTTGATCAGGATATTTTTCGGACCGTCCGAACATTCTGGTGGCCTTTTGATTCTCAAAACAGCCTCAGCTACTTTTCGTTGATCAAGTAGAAGTTGCCCCTACAGGTAGGCATCGAAAGATATGTGAAGCGTTTAGGACGGCAGCTTGGTAAAAAGGACTCAGCATAGAACACTGGCTCATGAACTGAGGACTTGTCATAGCCATCGATCGTTCCCAAAAAAGCCGCTCCTTCCTGTGTCATCGCCCATTCTGGATTCCAAGCGCTGATCTATGTAAAGACGAAGTATATCGGAATGAAAGGTACTAAGGAACAAAATGTAAAGGAGTAGGAAGACAGTTATGGTTGGTTTAAGGAAAAGCGCGCTTCTGCCTACCAAACTGGTTGTAAGATCAAAAAGGGACGGACAGAAGAGTTGGGGAATCGGATGGGTTGGATTCAAAGTGCCAAAGCTTGATGACAAAAAGCTCATAGAGATGCGGACAACGAACCCCCAGTCAATGTACCCCTGGCTCTCAGAAGAGTGTTGAAATCAAATGCTGTTGCTTTTTGTTATGGGGCTGATCTCTCTTTTTTTCACATATTTTAGCTGTGCCTGGCGGGACTATAGCGCAGCGACTGGTACGCGTTTTGTTGCAGACGCAGTACGCGATTTGATCAAGGACCTGATATGGTAGCTTCATTGTGCTGCTGTACCGCCATTCGCACTCAAACGCTGGTATAATTTTCTTTCGCCATGAAAAAGCATATGATGTAGAGAGGGATGAATGGAGCGAGCTCACATTTGTCAAGATGGATGGCTCGCAGAGCTTTATCATACCAGCCAGAGCTGATGATAACGCGACAGGGCAATTCAATTCAGTTCCTCATTTGTTCCTTGTTCCTGCTCTTCTTTCGCGTCGTTATCATATTCAGCAGAGTCCTCCCTCCGCACAAGTCGGACTTAATTAAACTGAAACCGACAGGGCTGGTCTTTGGTCTGCGCGCCACGCTCGATCGATCCCAGATGAAGATTTAAAACCATTCCTACCCGAATGTGATAATAGCAGAAGCAACAGAATAAGGAGGAAATATCTTAGCAGGACTAAATAAGAAAGATAACTTCATCCGTATCAGAATCTCTAATTCTTTCTAGGTCATAACATTTCCTTGTCCCTGTGTCTGTCCCTGCCCCTGACTACCCCTGTTTCAGTTGGCGAATAAGAATCAATAAGTTTTGTGGGGCGCGTTTCTGGACAACAAGACGCGTTCTGCATGTTTTTTGACTCTTTTAAAGAAATGAAAAAGGTGAATAATGATGCAGGAAGTATTCAATATTAGTTTTGTATTTATGCGGCTGTCAATTGAAATGGCCTCCGGATATGTTTGTGCTGTGCTCTCTTTTTGCGGGGCCACAAGCGCACTGCTCACTATTGTAAAGAGGGAACGAGCCAGGAGGGGAAGAAAATTTAAAAAATGAGAATGGAGGGCATTTGGCCAAATAGAAGGAACGCGTGCTGCACACAGGAGATAAAGTAGGAGCATTTCTCAGGCACTGCCACAGTTGCGCGGGTAACTATTCAACGCATCGGCTAACCTTGTTTACATTGATGTGAGTGAGAGCGATGGATCGTATATCAACCCCTGTCTTCACCCCCTCTCGGACCTCAAGCCCATCTCATTCGACAACATCTTGGTCGCTAGATCGCAGGGACGATGACTGAAGCGCAGGGAACCAATGGCGAACTTCAGTATTCTATACCGCAGCTAAGAAATTCCAAGGCATGCGAGCGATGTGGAAAGACCTTCTTCCAGACTAAGAAGACGAACTGCTACAATTGCGGTAGGATGCATGCATTGGATTAGTCTATTTCAGTCTGTAGTAGCGTTGTAACGCTTGTTCAATTGGTATGCAGGTGTCCAGTTATGCGTCGACTGCAGTAAGTACAAGACCAAGCTTAAGAAGTTCGGCTACAGCGGATAATGAGATGAGTGCATGTGGATGACTGAATGAAGATGAGGGATGCTGGGAAACAGCGATGACTTATCTTGTTTTGGTGTTCTAGGGACGTGTGTTGTTGCGCATATTGCGCCTACTTCCTGCAAGGCAAGCAGATTGAAATACAGCATGATGCCATGTGGGATATCAAGTCCTATGTATTTGTCATTAACGCATCCATGTCTTGGTGAACAGTGTATGCGCTTGACGAGAAAGGGCTGAAGGGCCTCAGCATCAAGACCCTGAAGCGGTACCTACAGGCCTACAACATTAACACTCACGGCATGCTTGAGAAGGACGGTAAGGATGGACTAGACGGCGTCTTCCTGTAGCTGTGGTTGTGGGGTTGGGTATGAGCTGACTCCCAAGGATGAATCTTTGGTACTAGAACTGATCAAGGCCATTATGGCGCACCGTCCTATTCCCGAGGTATCAGAAGTCTACTTCCGGACCCATACGCCAGAAACCGTTGACGAATGGGCATCCTTGCACGACGAGTTCACGAGCGGCACAGCAGCCTCGATGTCCGGCGGATCATATCTCGACAAGTTCTTTGCAAAGCTCAGGATCAAGGATGATGCCCTTGCAGCAAAACCTCAGGCACAGTCTTCATCTCAGCAGCGACCGGAACCAGGAGCGGCATCAGCACCAGCATCAAAACCAACGGGACCAGTACCATCCAAGGAGCCCAAGACTCCACCTTCGACCCCTCCTCGGCCGCACAGTGTATCGCAACCTCAGCAGAAGCCTCAAGCCCATCCTCAAGCCCAGCAGCAATCCCAGCAGCAACAAAAACCTCAAATTCAATCAACTGGTGCATATCCATATCCACATATGCAAACACCACCGAAACCGGAAGGGACTTCCACATATACCCAAGTGCCGCCACCACCCAAAGGGCCATACTGGACCAGGACAATGCCAACCCCAAATATTCCAAGATACAATCCCTCTGGAGGTCCACTGCCCTTTGTCCCTCCTACTGCAGCACAACAGCAGGCATATGGAGCGCATTCACCTGGGGCTTACCCACCTGGGGTGTACCAGACGTCTTCACAGCCGTACCAGGCGTATCCGGTGTATTCGCAAGAAATACCAACAAGCTATCATACGTTCCCATCACACCAGTATCCACAGTACGACCCATTCCAGCAACAACAGTACCCGCACCAACATCAGCGTCCGTTCTCGTCTACCCAGCATCCTTACCACCAACAGTATCCTCAGTACCAGCAATATCAGCAGCATTTTCAGCAGCAACAGCATCATCAACATCACCAGCAACAACATCAGCAACAGCATCAAGCGTATCCGCAGGCCCAACCTCAGCCTCAGCCAAGTCGGCCTCCACCTTCTTCAGGGACCAGCACCTCTTCGGGGTACTCTTCTGGCTCATATCGTCCGAGTACAGCGTACACCTCCTCGTCGACCACCTCAGGATCTGCACATCAGAGTAATACCGCATCGGCAACTCCTCCAAGGCCAACACCGACTCCCCAGGCGACTCCCCAGGCGACTCCCCAGGCGACCCCACAGCCGACATCAACTCCACGTCCGACTTCCGGCTCTTCTCGTCCAACTCCAGATCCCCCACAATCTGCACCAAATCCTCCACAGGCAACACAAGGACCTCCACCATCCAGTGGCCTTCGTAGGCCTGAGGACCGCAATGAGTACCCCTCATCTTTTTCTCAGACTGGCCCAAAAACCACTTCACAGAGCGTTCTGCCTCCTTCAAGAAACAGACAATCGACCCGCGGTCCGCAAATTCCGCATAGCGATTCGCAGCTGTGCCTTGAAGATATCACGTCGACGACAGTTGATCTGAAAGAGCTGCCAGTCAAAGTCATCAAGTCTTTGTTGGACGCGAGTTGCGTTTCCTATAAGGGGATCGTGGAGAAGGAAGATCTGGTCAAGCGTCTGCAGTCCTTGATCGACCATACTAGGTTGGGACAAGAAAAACTCAAGAGTGAACAGGAAGGTGGGTCCAAGGGTCAGGCTTCGTCCACAGCAGGACCAGCGGCAAGCACCAGCGCATCATACGAGGACGATAGTACCTGCAAGATCTGCTATGATGCGCCTTTGGACTGCGTGATGCTCAATTGCGGCCATTTATCAACGTGCATGGATTGGTATGGATGCAGCTCCATTTCTTTTATTGCAGTTATTGTTATTCCATTTAACTAACTTTTTTTCTTTTTTCTTTTTTTAGTGGCAAACAAATTATGGATAAAGATCGAGCCTGTCCCATCTGCAGAGAATACATTCTCAAACTTCTCCAGGTCTTCAGAGCTTGAGTGGCGCTCCGATGAATTAGCTCACGCCAATCTATTATCTGCTACTTCGGTCCCATTCATTAATGGATTATCTCAATATCGACCTCTTCAATCACGTCCTCAGCCGCTTTCCCGTAAAAGTACACGAAGGCCTTTCTGATTTTGTCCAGCCGGATATTGAGCACTGGGTGTGTTGCCTCCACTACATTCGCTGCTGAACCAACTACACAGAGCTTGTCGATACTCTCAGTCCAAAGCAGGATGGAAAGCGCGCCCGAGGCAATGTTTTTCAAGTCATGTCGAAAAGAGATCTGGTGCTGTGATACCGACAGACCACTTAGGCAATAGCATGTATGGTAGTAGTCGACCGATCTAGACAAGAATAAATCCGCGTTAATTTCATCGCACTGTACGCAAGGACGATTGTTGGAGTAAGATGCGGGTTGATCCTAACTTTGATGGCTTATCACGGAGACCACCCCATTTGCTCTGACATGCTACCAGCAAGTACTCCTGCAGTGCATCTAGAAGAAGAAACAAACACAAACGCCATTAGATACACCATATCCATTGCGTTGTAAAGCAATGAGGCGTAGCATGTACATCTCGCCATATAGCCACATACCTCGGTCATAGATGAAATCCAGAACGTTCTTATCCTGGTCCAGATTCTCAAGCATCTTGCCAATGATAGGGAAGACGCCGCCCATCCAGAACGAATAGCAGCCATCGACCAACTTGTTGGTCCTTCCCTGGAATCCTCCCTCAAGCGACATCTGTCGACTCGCACTCCATTTTACCAATGTATCAACATTTAATACATCAGTCCGACCTAACAGCTCCAACGCTGCTAATGCACAAAACGTGTATCCTCCATGCGCTTCAGTTCCCGGGACTGCGCCCAATCCGCCTTCGTAAGTCTGACACCGTCCAATGAACTCTGCAACGCCCTGTTCTAGTTCCGGTGTGCGAATGTTCGTAATCGTCGCCGCTGACATGGCACAATAACTTCCTCGGACATCAATCTCGCCACCAACCATCATTTTGAATGACCCATCTTCCTGCTTCACACGCATCAAGAACTCCAACAGTGTCGTGCGGTTGATCGCATCATAAGCTTCCTTAGTCCCAATGATGGCCAATGCATTCACCGCAGCATATGTTGGCGCCAAATGTGCCTCCTGTCCAGGCCCACCAGCAAATCCTCCAGTCTCGCACTGCATGTGACGAAGGGTCGAGACGGTTCTTTGTGCCAATTGTTCTGGGATCTTGTGTCCAAGGAGGTCCAGCGATTGAAGCATCCAATAGCAGAGCCATGGTTTGCTAGCGTCCAGAGCGGTCCAGTACCATTCCAGGGAGTCGATTCCACCGAGGATATATTCTACATGGCGAAGTCTCTTGAGTTCAAGGCTAATGCATCGTTGATTCGATGTAGGGCGCAATTGGTCAGTCCTTGATACCCCCATCCTGGCAGTAGATGCATATTTTGAGAAGCGCAGATCATAGCCTACCCTGCAATTGGCTTTGGCATAGGGTTCTCTTGGGTATATGAAAAGAAGGCGCCACGAATACTCTTCTCGGTCTGGAGCTGCAGTTCCATCGGCGATATCCAGTAGCTCTTAGTTAGTTTTTTGAAATTGCCGTATAAACAAAAGGGTCCTGGAAGATTCACATCCCAAGTTGCTCTATACCTGGACTTCGGACGAGCCCGTTGGGAAGTCGTCGTCTTTGTATCCATATGACTGCAGATCCCCTTCGCGGTTCAGGACGCCCATGATGAATATGGAGGTGTTCAAAAGGAATGTGGAGATTGCACGGTGTCCAGACGCGCGCACGTAACCCCTTGCGCAGGTCACACGTGATTCATATCCAACGTTTCCCCGTACAGGTCTGATCCGCTATATAGGAGCGCTCGATATTTGCCGTGCTGTTAGGATCATACATCGTCTCGATCCACATGGAGGCGAGCTTTGATGGTGCACAGGCATTTGGAAATATGACATTAAAAATGACTCAAGAAACGCGATAGTTTACCTTCTTAAAAGAGTTGTTTGAAGGACGTGTACTTTGATGACAAACCTTTCTACTGTTGAGGCTTCCGTTCCCATATATAAGTACAGCTGGCCTTGCAGCCTTACAGTGGATGGCATCACCGGGACCTGAAAGCCTCAACGCTCCCATGAAGCACCTAATCTCCCTCGGCCTGCGCTCCCTTAGTTCTCTCCCGGTTTCACCTCTTAAGCAGTTTGGAGACGTAGACACCGCTCAGAAGGTCTTGTGAGTACCACCAACGCCTCAAACCGTCCTTGTGTGACGACAAGGTCGGCAATGACTTGTCCGATAGGGGTTCCTCTACCTTCAAGATACTCAGGAGTACGATCGGAGGTTGATCCACTTGGCTCTCTTGAACAGAAATCTTGATCCACTGCGGCGCGTCAACTATAGCGTTTGGTGAGTACAGGGCTGCGCGTCGTGCCTTGAGTATCCCCACTGCATTTTCCGGTTGAGTATCAATTGCACCACTGTGTCCTCGTAGTCTTCCCCATGACCTCTACGATTGATGACGGTGCTGAAGTCTGGGTTTGTAGTACTTGGTTGACTGTCATGGTCGCCTGATGCCAAACACCATTAAGTTCGCTCATAGGCCATTGGTCGAAAGATAATCCAAAAGGCGTACCTCATATTGTGATATAGTGGGTGGGATTTGAGCTCTTTGGTATAGAGCATGCTGGAGTAGTGCAATTGAGTTTAGACTGCACAGGATAGGATGGGAATAAAAAGCAGTTCTATTTGTCTTCCTTATGATATGATGTTGGTAGTATAGTTACCCTGCATCTCGCTACCCTGCCCATACTGGCACCACCCCCAAAAGGGCCATGGTGTTACTCTGCTATGTCGCTTCATTGACATATGAGATCAAGTTGTGGGATTCGATGGAACGCAAGAAACTAGTTGTTGAGCACGCACGACATCTAGTGGTGGAAGAAGAAAAGCACAAGTCCCGCCCTGCTCGTGCTGAGCGATGCGTATGAAGGCCAGTTGTAGCAGGGTATACCAAGGATGTAGTGGTACAGCGAGAGTGAAATAATCGGTACTTTCTGTTCAGAAGGGGTAACGTCGACACATGTTTCACCAATAAGTTTATGGGGATGTAAAAGGACTAAGAGTCAGCCATTAATGAGTTCGGGAGCAATGGTTATGGGCCCAAGACAAGTGCAAGATCCAAGCTAGACATAACATCCACGACAGAGATAGCACCCAAGGCGCCGTAGCTTACAAGACTCTTTGACCATCGCAAGCACTGGGCTTGGCCTTGGGTCTCAGCGCACTTCACAGCTGATATGTAATCAACTCAAAGAGTTGGGATTCGCAGTAGCGTGAAGTAGTCGCTAGTTCCGACATCTCTGTTACAGGTTGTTCAAGGTAGTCACAGAGAAGGTATCACTGGAAGTGATGACCACGAGGTGCTTCAAGCTCAGGCATGCCAAGACAAACAGAAGAAATCCACAGCACAAATCAGCGTTACCTTGGAATTTTTGCCCTGCATCAGATGGGGATCCAGGATAGTCTATTGCATATAGCGCGATAGGCTTTTTTTTTTTTTTTTTGCTACCTGATCGACCTTTTATGGACCGCTAGGACGTTGTTACCGAACCAAGTTGCGCGCGTCTTCTTAAGGGGCTTCTATATCCCTATTCACACTCTACTCTACATACCAATGCATGTAACTTGCGGTGGTCTAAATAGAGTAGGGAATAGACTAAACGTGGGGCCTGAGGGGCAGTAATGAAGCGATGCCTTGGATGGAGAGAGTGCAATAGCGTATGAAATAAATCACGTTCGTTATCCGAGCTGCAATGCTATCGTCCCTTGCTCGTGTACTTAACTTAGTGGATGATCAATAAGGATTTATTCTAGGCAGTCAGACCTCAAAGAGCGCAACAATCCCTAAAAGTTGGTTCTGCACAGGATCAAACGGACATTAAGCACCTCTGTGGGTTCAGCTATCGCAGAGGACGAATCGGAACTGGACTCGCAGGAGGTCCAGATTTTGTAGAGTCCTTGGCGTCTCGAACGCTGTCAGGTTGGAAAATGTTGCAGGATCCACGATCAGATACGGAAGATCCACCATATCGGCGCCGTGGGTTGTGTTGTTAGGCGTGTTTGGCGACGTGCCGATCCCTCGTTTTTGAACTCCGTGCTCGGTTAAGCCCTTGGATGCTCCATGTGAGTGTTGAGGTCCACTAAAGCGTGGTTTTTGCTGCTTCGGGAGGCGCGACTGCTCGTGTGAATGTCGCTGTTGTGGCATTCTGGCGAGACGCGGTTCGTCTCTGCTTGATTTCAGTTTTCTCTCATGAGTCATCGTAGGATATGGTCCACGCGTAACAGACTTTGTCGAGCTGGATGCCTTGGGCAGCACTGTTGCATTTTGCAAACGCTTTGTCGATGTGGGTATGTACTCAGTCCTTGAGGGGATGGAAGACGGCACCGATATGGCTATAGGCTGAAATTGGGAGCTGGTCACATTGATGGCTGACGGAGGAGGGGATGTTGACGCACTTGAGCAGGAGACAAGGTCGCCCAGTATCCGGACTCTAGTCTTGTACAGAAACTCGTTTCTGGAGATATCGATGCAACTATTGCACAAGGATGGCCAATTATGAGGCAGAGCAATTCCAAAGGACTCAGGATGCTATTTTGCCATTACAGATGGTTTAAAAATATGCGTTTGATATGAGTGCTGAAATCCTTTCTTCCTTTCTTTCTTTCTTTCCTCCTTTTTTTCGCCGCTGTAGAAGAAGAACTAACCAAGAACGCAAAGTACTCGTTGCCGAAATGGTCAAAGTCACATTTGTTGTCAAAGCAGTCTGGCTGAACGGGTCCTATCCAGACTGGTATCTTGGCTGCCGTCTGTAGTTTGTCCACGAGTGATCGCGATCTTATTCTATCGCCGTCGGCTCTTCGGTTCAGCTTTGGTTGATGAAATTGCTGAATATCCTTGACGACTACAATTTGGGCCTCCATAATGGCGTCTGCTAAACTCTCCGGCAAGTTGTCCGATACTTGATGGCGATCTCTGATCTTCCCTGAAGCTGTCAGTCCGATGGCTATGATGATGAGTGCACCAAGCACAGTCGTGGCCAGGTACTGAAGTGTCGCGAGAAGGCCTGGCCCGGTACAGAGTAGATGTCTCCATCGAGCTCGTGAAAACACACTCCCTGGAAGCCTACGATCGTCCCACCACATGTCCTTCTCGTTCGATGTAATTGAGTCTAGTTGGCGGTCTCGAAGCGGCAGGCCCATGATCCCAAACTCTAAGATGGGCGGCGTCCTGTTTCGATTTTCTAGCGAAGAACTATGCGTCCCTTCCTGCCGCTCCGGGCTATAACATGGACCGTTCGAGCGGTGTCCCCCCGTATCTATATTATGGTCCTCCTGTGCTTTATTACCTTGCTGCTGCTCCTGAAGTGTTCGATCTGGTGACCGATTATTCCGAGAAAACGCTAGACGACCTTGCAATTGAAGTCGCTCCATGATCTGCCCTACATTATGTGACCAAGGCGATGTCGGGCTTCGAACTGGCGTAGATCGCTCTTGGCGAGGTGTCGTTGATGGTGTTGAAAGGTTTACGGAGGTGCCGTCTGGTATGATAATCCTCGGTACGATTGGTCTGTGATCCTTGAGTGTCTTCGAGACTTCTGGTGGGTTATTGGAGCCGCTCTCATCAAAGTTAGAGGGTGGTGTAGTACCAGTAGTGGTATCCTGCGTGTTTCCATTGTCCTCAGTTTTGACGTTGAAAGTGCTGTTGTAGTTTGAAGAGCTTGCAGAAGATGCAGGGTTGCTATCCTGAATATCTTTGACGTTCAAACTGTCAGATGTTGGACGACGAGGACAAAGTCTAGCGATTGTGGAGGATACAAAAGGCCTTATCGACTTGTCGGATGCAGTAGACTCCGCTGGAGATGATTGCAGGGAGCCCCCGCTTCTGTATTCGCTTTGGCGTGCTGCTCCTGGCCATACCTGATGCGGTGGTATTGCTTCTACTCTCGTTACGGTCGAGGGTGAGCCTTGTTCCGACTGCGAATGAGATGCTGAGGGTAAGAGTGAATCGACTTTGGACGAGCTTGTGATGATATTGGAATGGATGGAATGCTCGGCAGGCTGCTCTGTTGTTGTAGACAACAGTGCACAAGGTCCCTGGGCTGAAGAGACAGCAGTCTTGTATCTCCATGTCCTTGATCTCCGAAGAGACTCCGACCGGCGACTCATAGCACTAAGATGATCTTCAGAATAGGTCGCTGGTTTGCATGAGTGCCTCCAATAAACGAAGGTATCGTCGTCATGATCGTCCATCCGATCCAAGTCCTGGTTGGTGTCGCAGTTCAATAGCGGATCCATTTTTTCTTTCCAATGTAATCTCTACTACGATATGATAGAAAGGAAGGTTACCAACGAGAGTTTGGAGGATATGGTTGAGGAAGCAAGAAAAAAGAGGGCAATGTTGTAACCACCACACTTGTCCCACCTCCCAATTGACAGTTCTGTGCAGTTGCAGCCCAGCGAATGCTTGAGCATGAATACTGCTTTAAGGTGATGTCTTTATTAGCACACGCATTTTTGCTACAGTACCGTAAGGAAGTAGGAGTATGGACACGAAAGGCAGAGCAGTAAAGGAGAATCTTTTGACTTCATGCAGGCTGGAGGAAAGAAAGGAAAAGAGGGTGGCGAGTATAGTGAGAGGATTTGATGCTGAACGCGCTCTACTGCTTTCGTGATATGGTGTCCCAGGCACCAAGGGCCAACGAATATTGGGCGTAGGCATTTTGCTTCTTGAAGTGCTTGCATATCACGTGTAGCTTGTTTGAATTATATAGCCTTCTCTCTGTAAGGGAGACACATTCGATCAACAAGCAGCTACAGCTTTTATTCACGGACCAGCGATGCCATTGTTGATTCTCAGTGGACTGCCATCAAGTGGAAAGACAAGGAGGGCACAGGAGCTCAAGTCGTTCTTGGAGAGTCGTCTTGCTACTCAGACACAGGACGATTCAGCAGCCAAACCAAAGGAGTACCGCATCCATATTTTGAATGACGAATCACTGAACCTCAGCAAGCACGTTTCCTACAACACAGCTGCGGACGAAAAGAAGGCGCGGGGCGCACTCATGTCAGCAGTGGAGAGGTTCTTGTCGAAGGACGATATTGTGATTGTCGACAGTTTAAACTATATCAAGGGTTTCCGCTACCAGCTTTACTGTGTCGCACGAGCCATTGGAACACCCCACTGTGTGGTAAGCGCTCGAAACGAGGCAGAAAGCAGAGTTTACTAGTTGCAACAGCCGTAACTTTAGCAGCATAGAGATCCAATGAACGGCATCACGATGGATCTTAAAGAACAAAAATGTTAATCTGCTACTAACAATTCCTAGTTTGCTTTGTTCTGATCTATGTTAGGTGTTCTGTGCATGCCTTCCTGAAAAGGCCAGAGGATGGAATAGCACTTCAGGCGCATACCCAGAGAGTGTCTTCGAGGAACTTGTTGTACGGTTCGAGGAACCAGACTCGAGGACAAAGTGGGATTCGCCATTGTTTGTGGTAGTGCCAGAGGATGAAAAATTGCCCGAGGACGAGATCTGGGACGCATTAATCTTGAAGAAGGCGAAACCACCAAATCTATCGACTGTCGTAGTAAGCATACCAGCCAATACAAATTCGTGAGAGGGTATGTGGGGTGTTCCTTGACGTTAACTGCATTTATTATTTCTCTTTGTCATGCTCAATTGCACTCGGTTTTCCGCAGAAAGTGGTCAAGGAAACTAATTATCTATACGAGTTTGATCAGACGACCCAGAATGTGATCCAAGCAATCCTGGACGCACAAAAATCCGGCGATCCGACTAGACAGATCAAGGCACCGTTGTCGAACATCCTGCTGCAACTTCCACCGACAAGAGTCGTCACCCTCAGCGAGTTGCGTCGGCTCCGCCGGCAGTTTACGTCCATTAACAAGATGCATACGCTGTTGGACATGAGCCGTGTCGCTGAGGGCTTTGTAGAGTACCTCAACCAAAACCTGAACAACTAGAGTGGGGTCAACCGTCTCTCACGCACTGAGCCATCTTTGGGTCTTTCTTTTTATGATAATAGGCTAAAATAAACGAATATCGTATCGACGGTAACGTCCCAGACGGGGTAATCGATGTTTCCTGACCTGTCGGTGTCGCGCTATGGTTCTCAAAAACAATGCATACAGATATTGGGGATGCTGGGATGTTAGGAACAGCGACTAATCGTCGTGAACGGTGGCCTTGTCCGAGGTGGCGGCTAGATGGTCTTCAAGGCCAGGAGAATCGGGGCAAATTTTGACAAGAAAAAAAAAATCGAGTTCGAGATCAAAGCACGTATGCAGTATTACTTGCCGAGACAATGAAAGAAGAAATATTTCATTGAACACATCGGTTACTTATGCTTGTACGTTCCTTATGATCTTCAGGATATCACAGTAATGATCTACAAGATCTCCGCGAAAGATCTAGCTGGGAGTCGCGGTGCAAGTACAAATCTCACCTGCAGCAATCACTTCTATCGACGTCGACGCTGTTACAGCCTTTCCCATTGCTACCACCGTTTTCATCGCCGCACCGTCCCTTGATGACAACCATCTATCACTCATAAAACTTGAACTCGACGGCTTTCGCCCAGCACGCAAAGTTCTTGTTTGCGTCCCCAAGCAGCTTCTGGAATTGGTACGCGTCGAAATCGTCGCTTAAACTGTGCCCAATTCTAACTGCTTTCGCTGCTCGCTTCATGGTTCCCTTTGGCAATCGTATCTGGTTTTTCAACTGTCCTTGTAACTAGTCCGTTTTCCTCAATGACGGTCTCCCTGGCCTTGTCCGCCGCGAGTTTCTTCGTTTGGCAACATTTAGTGGCGTACCTCTTGATTGGCGGGGCAGACCCTTAACCATTCGGTCGATTCCTTGGCTCTTTCGGTTTTCTTGATCTCGATCTCCCATTCCCTCATCCTTTCTTTCATCCTTCCTCACTCTCCTCCATTCACATCGCACCGGTGTCTATCATAATCTTGCGTATCCATCCTTTTCCTTTCCAGCCGTTTCTCGTTGTCATCTTCTCACGTTAAGGTATGCTTCTGGCTCTAGTTGACGAACACCTCTTGTGGATTCTTTTTGTACTGCGGATACACCCATCGTAGGAGCCATCTAACCTATTTTTTCTTGTCAAACAATTTGTCTTTTCCTTCGGTCCCTCATTCCCAGATTCTTCGCAGTACACTTAGTCAGCACGCCAGTCAGCTAGCCAGTTACACTCTTACCCGTTAACCTCTCCCTCGACGATCCTCAACCATGTCTAACGCTCTCGATATGCCACTTGATGATATTATCAAGGCCAGCAAGTCCAGCCGTCGTAGCAACGCCCCCCGTGGTGCCCAGGGAGGCCGCGGTGGTCGCGCCTCAGGCCCTACCCGCAACCTGCGTCAAGGCCGCGACAACAAGCCCTACCAGGCTGGCGTACAGCAGTACCGTGCCTCTCCTGCTGCCCCCCTTCATACCTCTGTCATCCGCCAAAGCGTCCCTGATGGCTCCAAGATGCAGGTCTCGAACCTTGACAACCGCGTCACTGCCGAGGACCTGAAGGTAATTTGACGGAGCCGATTTTCTTTCCAAAATCTCTCTCGCTGGCTTGTCGACCCGGATCTCCTGGCTTCGTTCGGTTCCAAGTGCTCGATCTATTGTCACACGAGGGGTAGTCCAACAGTCCCTACTCAGGCGGTTCATTCACGCTTGCTTTACGATCATCTTCCATCCGGTTGACTCGGACAGATGCGACGAGCCATTGAGTCTAGAAATTGAGAGCGAGAGTGACAGGTCCACAATGGATTCTCATCGGACTTTGTCCACATGGATCAATGAAAAGAACAACCGAGCGCATGATGTGCAGTCTTGTATGGACGGGACCTCGGATAACTGAGCGGCCTTAGTCCTTGCGATGCGTCGATGGCGCCCTGATCTTCAAGACCAGTCTTCATGCTCAATTGTACCGCTGCAAACAAACACGGAGTCGACTCTAACGGACATCATGCCACTATGTCCCACTTCATTACAACATTTCTCCATATCCCTACCCCACAACCATGGGCGACGACGGATTGGTGTGTATTCTAGCTCGTCTTCTCCACCAGAGTCGGACCCCTCAAGAAGTGCACGCTCGTGTACGATCAGCACGGAAAGTCGACCGGCACTGCCGTGATTCATTTTTCTCGCGTGGGTGATGCTGCCATTGCCTACAGCAAGTTCAACGGAGTTCCCCTCGATGGTACAGGATGCACTAGACACTTATTTTTGCGTATCTTTTCTTTTCAGGCAATATCGAAAGCTGAATCAGGAATCTCACGTACCCTTTTTTCGGTTTCTGTGCGCTGTCAATTGTAGGCCGCCCTATGAAGATCGAGATCGTGCTGGCACCTGCCACGGCCCGTGCTGTCCTTCCTGCTGCCCAAACACCAAGGTATTGGCAGGAGATATTCAAGTCAACTATCGCTGAATCTTGAATTTCATGTCTTTGTATACTAATTGTCCGCATGGTTAATATGTATGATCCATTAGGGCACCCGCTAGCAACCAAGGTCAGCAGCGCCCTCAGAGCCAGGGTCAGCAGCGTCCTCAGAGCCAGGGCCGTGGCGGTCGTGGTGGACGTGGACGTGGCCGTGGCGGGCGTGGTCAGAGCGAAAGGAAAGAGACCAAGACTGCGGATCAATTGGACGCAGAGATGAGTGATTACATGCAGGTCGATGCTTAAGCTATCCCAACACAAATAAGCAGTGCACGGAGAACAACTCGGTCAGCATTAGAATTTTGATGAACTTCATTCTATTTGTGCGATCGCCGTCCTCACACGGGGTTGAACTGTTAACGATCACGCCTTATTATCCACTATCAGTGTTGCTTCACAAACTGCCGTTACCAAAAATAATAATAAAAAAACTATATGTATTTTGCAGATGTCGTCTAAGATATGCTACAGAGAGGATGCATTTTCGATGAGGTGGTACTGAAGACGATCCGACTCTTTCAGCACACCTTCACGGATCCAGAACTGAACCCTTTGCTCAAGAATGTCTTCTGTAACTTGAAGCTTTGCCGATAGCGCTGACAATGTCCATGAATCTATGATAATAAAGATGGGGGTCAGATAAACATATCATTGCAATGTAGTACTTCGAATTCGCTTTTTGTACATACCCTGTTCCTCGAATAGATATATAATGGAGGCATAGACTGGCTCGACTTGGAATTGGAGGGTCCGATCCTCCAGCTCAAGCTCCAGGTCAACTAGTCCCATGGAGATGAACAGTTCCAGCTTCTGTGCAGGTTTCGTTGTCTGGAAGGTGGCCTTGTAAGATTCCAGCAATCTAAACGTAGAGTAAAGTAAGAACAACTGTTTTGTCAGACGTGAAAAACATCATGCGAAAGGGTACTTCGGTCTAGCATGGTAAGTCCATACCGTTTGAAAGGATCTGGGAGTTCCAGCGACTCGGACTCAATTTCAGGCCAATAGTATCTCGAGGCAATAGTTGCGCTCACAGTCATCTATGCGATGAAAAAAGCAGAGAGGAGCGCCATTAGAATAATCGTCTTAACGAAGATATCAACGTAGTACTAGCTTTTATTTCAACCTTTGCTGAACTTACGTCCGGAAGGAGCGTTTGAATGTTGGCGTTGACGCGCTTCGACTCTGCGATATCTGCCAGCATCACTTCGCAGTGCTGAAGATCTGTCTCTCCGAATCGCAATTTCAGCAGCTCCAGCTGACGGATCTAGGAGAGGAGAGGGGTAGAAAGGATAGGGGGGGGGGGGGGGGGGGGGGGGGGGGCGGTGGTTAGAAAAAAATTGAAGCATGGTATACATAAAACAAAGGAGTCAGTGCCTTACTTCTCGATCGATCTTGAAATCTGTAGCGTGCAGTAGCCTGTCGGCAAGAATAGTCTGGAATTCCTCAATGAATCGATCATTAGTGTCATAAATGTTGGCAAGGACGCTGATAATGTCCGCCATTCTTCTTCTCGCCGAGCTCAGATCTACGAAATGGAAAGTAAAGGCGCGCTCAGTATGGGTTTCATTAATAAGTCCATACACCTGCTCCCGTACAGTAATCTGATTAACAGATATTGAAGGTCAGCTTGTCTCTTACCTGGACCAGCATTAACAGGTTCCGGTACCCATGTATCGTCATCGGATCCCTCGTCGTCCGCCTCCACATTGCTCTGAATCCCTTCTGTAGAATTCGTCAAGAGATCGCTCGAATCATCAACAATGCATGATACAATGGCCCGCATGGTATCATCTCTCGTTCTACATCAAAATAAAAGATAGTGGCGAGTGTTAAACCAAAGCCAGGCATGATATACATATATTTATATATATAAACAGCTTTGCACGACCCCTCCATTACTACCTTAGGTATTGGTTAATCGCGCGAGCAGCACGATCCAGCATGACTCCTGAGGGATCCAGTATCCTGAGATATTTAATCGTACAGATGTAAAATTCGATGATATCCGTCGTTTCTGCTCCCGGGTGAAGCAATCGTTTTTCCATCCTAATATATTTGATCCGCATTCATAAGATAAGTTTTCATAATGGTCAAAAGGCAAAGAAATAAAAAAAAAAATGCATTATGAATTCGGAAAACAAGGACCGGGGCAACCTACGCAGCTAGGATGGCGTTCTGAAGTTGATCGCGTTGGCCTGTCCACTCGATACATGTTTTCAGATCCAGTACAGCAGGCTTCGAATCCGGGCATTCGACGATGATATCGAAAAACTCTTTAATGCTAAAATGGACATAAAGCCTTGGATGAGCGAAATTGTTCTCAAGGAGCAAGCGCCGATATATCATATTATAAGACTTGTCGAGGGAAAGAGATGCTTACCGTACGTCGCCAAAGGTCTTGAAAAAGTAGAATTCCAGACGACTGGCCCACATCTTGTATCTCTTTCTTCCTGTCGGGTCCTCTAGCGGTGGTTATGGCAAGTCAAGTACAGGCATTAATTAGAAACGTGCACAGGATGATCGAGATGATGTTGGTAGCAACAACTTTACGCACCTCGACCCTTTCTCGGGAGAAGCGTGAGGCGAAGGAATGGCAGTATCACACGGCTCATCCAGTCTTTACCGCTCTCCAGCGTGGCCACACTCCACCTCTTTTTGAATGAGGTTAAGATCTTACTCTCCACTCTTTTGTAGAGCATCCTCGTTACGACATCCGTCATGTGTGAGGCGAACCCTATCTCTTCCAGTCTTTGACAGAGATCCAGATAAGTCTGCATATGATCCTCCTTCTCCAAGGCCTCGACGTCCGCTGTGCCGGTGCCGCCATGGAATATCTGCTCCACCAGCTCGTCATCCTTATCGTCTACAAACAAGTCCATGGCAAAGCGACCATCCTGCATAACCCGCCTCCGCTTCTTGCCAAGGTGCTGTCCCGTGATCTCGGTTTGTGGGTCCCGTCCTTGCCTGGTGTAATGGCCCGCCATGTCTGCTATGTGGCCAGGAGCCATATCACCGTGGACCTCCTCGTATTGCCTGAAGACGGTCTCGAAATAGAGATATGCGACTTCGTCAAAGGAGGGGGGCAGGCGGATCGCTAGTTCTGCTGAGAAGTCTGTCAGGAATCTAGATGTGACTTTGAGCGACGAGATATCAAGTGGCGGGTCTCTGTCTGCAGCTGGCCGAAGACGCTCGTCGAATATGTAGGCTAACATTCGCGATTTTGTGAAACGTGCGTGGACCATATGTACGATGTTGTAGAATGCTGGGATGACCCATTCAGCAGATCCGCTATAGGGTGTTCCCGCAGAGATGTACTCCTGAAGGATATGTCAAACAGATAATGTGTTAAGATGAGTCTTCCGAATGCTTCAGCGATATGAGGGGCGCATTTGCACGTACTTGGTACTGCAATTCCATGTCCTGCAAAAGTGGAACTACATTCTCCATCGCATCCCTGTGGAATGCGTCTATTGAACATAGAAGCAGTTTGCATGAGATATATGTAGGCGTTTTTATTGTCCAGCATACAGATCGGCAGCCGATCCTCAGTTGCAATCGTACCTAGCAGCGACGCCCCTGCCCAACCAGCCAGGCCTTTCCTTATCAAAAGGCTTATATTTCCTTTGACCTTAGCTGGTGTTATTGAAAGAAAACACGCGTAATGGCATAGCATAATAAAAAGGAACAATTGAGGGCGCGTCAATAGGTCGGATGTATTTATTGTTATTATCATATTCAAGCAGCAGCATCGGAAAAAGAAATTGACGGGTACCTGGTTTGTCGGGTGGAATTTCGGGATCAATTGCTGTCATGAGCATTGAAGTCGCCTAGAGTGCGAGGTTGGGTTGCAGTTACTATCCGGTTGAGATCATGATGCGCCTTTATTTCCAGGTCGATATGAACATATCGTTTTATACCAACGCAAGCTTATCAAGGACCCCCTTTGAGGCTTTGTAGTTTCTGTCAGGAGAGACAGAACCGGTCAGGGTGGCGAGGGCCTGGGTCCACTGATCCTCGATGATCTTGTCCATAGCTGATTTCGACGTTAATGCTGAAGAGCGATTTAAGCATATATCCTTCCGGCTTCCAATTGGAAGGCGAGAGGAGGGTGACTGCTGGGCGCTGCTTCGTTTCTCTTCATGCTTTGCCACCAAATCAGACATACCCCACTTTGGTATGCTTCCACAGATCAAATAGATCGAAAAGGTGATGATATTGATGATGGTGCTCCTGGCCCAGCTTCTGGATTTCTTTCATGTTTCTTCGTGAACATATGGACACGGACGCATAAGTGGATATGCAAATCAGTAAAGAGCCTCCATCTATGTGTATATCATAGCGAATGAATAGTTCCCCGCAAAAAAAAACAAGCTGACATTGAATGAAGTGTGAAAAAACTTAATTCGCTCTGTTGTTTTGTTTTTGCTTCTCTTCTTGTTCTTAATCCTCATCTTTCGTCCACCTCTACCTCCCTCTCCCAGTCCCCAATGTTATACCCTGACCAGTGTTGCATCACCATCGTCGTTCCATTCCTCACCCCACTCTGCCAGACCCCATATCCTGACACTCGCCTTCTGCTCTCGGACAAGTAAACCCCAACCTCCGAGAACAGCAGCACTCCTCCACCTACCATTACCTCTTACCCTTCCTTTTAATCCCCTATTTGAGTCCAGTCAGCCAAGATGGATGTCTTTTCCTTTGACCATGACGACCATCCCAAACTCAGGGAGCGCGCCCTTTCCGTTGACTCTGTCCAAGGCCTCGATGTGCCTCAGGAGGCACTTCCCAACCTCCGAGTGAATTCAAACAAAAACACCAGCGCTGGACTGACACTCACCAACAATGGCGCGCCCTGTCCTGTCTTTGCACCCCGCCCCATCGCTCCAGCATTCGCTATAGCAGCCGGGAAAGCAAGTGCGACTGCAGCACTGACCACTGCTGAAGGATTGACGGCCGCCATCTGTCCGTCCCCTTATCCAAGCCTCGGATTGTATCAGGCCAATAACAATTCGTCTAGCAAGCACCTGCCGGCGTTTTTCCACCAGGTGGATCGAGAGCAGGCCATGACGCCAGAGTCGACCTTTCTCACAAGTCGATCGCAGCAGGCCAACGGTGCTCCTGCCACCTCTAATGTCGGTAATGACCACCGCAGCCCGGGCTCTACAGGCACGAGCGCTCAGTGCAGCGACAACGAGACAGAGCAGGTCGAGTACGAGGTTAAGATTGATCAAGATTTTGATGCGCATGCTCCTCAGACGACCGACAGTCGAGGCCAGTCGCCTCGTCCAGGACAGCTGTCGGCGGGTCGTTTGGCAAATGGGCAGCCGGGAGGCAGGTCTGCGAATGTGTCTCCTCTTGCAGGACCCCGCCGACCAAAGCACAAGATGACGCCAGATGATTTCAAGTTCCTGAAAGTCATTGGGCGTGGAGCGTAAGTGCCTTTTCGATATATTGCTCATAAACTGAGCTTGTACTGCACTCCAAATGCACATGGATGACGATTCCATGAATCACTTTTGGGAATAGAGGTTGTGGAGCAAGAAAAAAAAAAGCACAGACTGATCAGTACCTGCTATTGATGTTCATGCTGATTCTCTAGGTATGGCAAGGTGTATCTAGTTCGACACATCTGCACCAATGCGCTGTATGCGATGAAGGTCCTCAAGAAGGCATCCATTATCGTCCATGCCAAGGACACGGAGTGCACTATGTCCGAGCGCAAAATCCTCGAGGCCATTCGGCACCCGTTTATCGTCAAGCTACACTACGCTTTCCAGACTGATCATCGCTTGTACCTGATCCTGGAGTACGCTAGCGGAGGAGAGCTCTTCACGCATCTTGCCACAGGTGATGTATTACGAAGCATGCACCCCTTTCTGGTTCCTTTTCCCCACTCTACCCCATCGTCGCCATCGTCATTATAGTTGCTTTGTAGTTCTATTCGCATTTCGCCCCTTGCAACTTTAATTACATTTGGGATGGAAGGGCTCATTCTCGCCTCACGATAGAGTCCACATACAAATATGATGTGGAGCTCTACTTCTTGCTTGGCTGATCCAATTGCCATGGAAGTAGCGAAATGCAACGTTGGGGGAGGAAGCAAATAGCGCTACGTCTCTAGCAATTCATTGTTGTCCCTGACTAACACTTCCTTTCGTATCTTTCTGTGATGACCTAGAGCGCATGTTCTCTGAAGAAATTACTGCATTCTACGCGGCGCAGCTCGTGCTTGCCCTAGAGCACCTGCACTCGCTCGGTATCATCTACAGGGACCTCAAACCCGAGAACATCATGCTGAATGCGCATGGGGACATTGTTCTCACGGACTTTGGTCTGTCCAAAGTCCCGCTCGAGAACTCGGATGGTCGCACGAACACTGTCTGTGGAACGATTGAGTACATGGCACCAGAAGTGATTTCGGAGAGGGCTCAGTACGACCGCACAGTCGACTGGTGGTCGCTGGGCATTGTGATCCACGACATGCTGACAGGATCGCCGCCATTTGTGGCCAACAATCGCAAGAAGACCATGGATGCGATTCTGAACAAGAAGCTGAACCTGCCCTACTATCTGTCCTCGGATGCGAAGGATCTGTTGACAAAGCTGCTGAAGCGCACGCCTTCGGCCAGGTTGGGAAATGGACCCAAGGGAATTGAGAACATCAAGAACCACCGATTCTTCCGCAAGATCAACTGGAAGCTCTTGGCTCTGCGCGAACTCGAGCCACCTATTGTTCCTTTTCTGTCGGATCCCGAGAGTGTTGAGAACTTTAATTCGGAGTTCACGTTGATGCCTGTTCAGGAGTCACCGATCTTTACCTATAGCTCTGTGCACATCAATGGCGAGGCCGAGGATGGTACCGCTATCCCGGGATCTGGCCATCATACCCCGTCTCGCTACCTGACCGCGCCATCCTCGGCATCATCGGCAGGCTTTGTTGCGGCCCTGAACGGTCACGACAATCGCCATGTAGGAGGCATTCCTATGGCCAAGACTCGATCCAGCTCACCTGACCATCATCATTTCCAGGACTTCAGTTACATCTCCACCTCGCATCTCCCGTCGCTCGGATATTTGGATGACCATTGACTCTGCATGGTTAGCCATGAGAGGACCACATCGGGAGTACAATGGAGGCATCAGATATCAGTCATATCGATGCATATCGATTTACGACAGGATCATGAGAATAAATATGTCAAATTGAGAAATGGAAAACATGGTTTAAAGATTCTATGGGCAAATGTGGATTAGGTGCTGTTCTATCGTAAATGTAACCAAAGAAGCACGCATTGTCACTAACTCCTCTTCTTTCGCCGACCCTCACCAACGACAGGGACCAAGACCTGTCCGACAAGGAGATCGCTCAAGGCAAACAACAAGATGGTAAAAAGGACCATCAAGGACGAGATACAGAAATGGCTGATACTCGTTCCTATCTCTAGCCAAGATCCATCATCCCGTACAAGGTAGAAGAAGTTGAGCGTCATCACATCCGTTGTTGCAAGTCCCAGCAGGAAGAGCGAAAATGGCGGCAGATCGAGCGATCGACCCAGCACGCGAAAGATTGAGGACACCAGAAAGAACGGTATCAGAATCTTAACGATCAGAAGCGCACCCATGAAGAAGGGATTGAAGACTGTCGTCAACCGAAACACAGACTGGAGCGAGAACGACGCCAGCGAAGCAACATTGCCGGTGCCAAAGAAGGCGACGTTGATAAAAAAGAGGAAGAAGATCGCTGGACGGGCATCCTTGGGTCCAAGTCCACGCGTGGGGTAGTCAATCGTTACTACTTGACTTGCATTAGATCCGTTGGCACCTGTGGAGGACGAAGGGAAAGATGAAGACGCGGCCAACGTCCGCTTTTCAGAGTAGAGTGTATCGGAAAGAGGTTGCATTTCGCGTGCAGAGTAAATCTTTCTCTCCAACATGAGCCATGACAGAAGTGTCGTTGAGAGGAAGAAGTAGAAAATGGACTCATATCTAAAGACAGTGGGATATAGCAAACCTGTGTCAGAAGCAGCCCTCCAATACCAGATAATAAGACGATGTTATACAAGACAGATATAGCACTTACGAGATGCTCAGAAGGATAAAGATGGGAGCGAAGGACAAGTAGATGATGACCATACGCAGAAGGTAGTGTTGGCCTGAGCGGGCACCGTAGACAAAAGGAATACTGCCCGTGATAACTAATAGTAGCGAACAAATAGCAAGAGAATTTGTCAGCTTTGATTCTATCCAAAAGTACTGCCGTTAACGCCACGCGCCAGTATTCCGCATTGAGCACATACACAAAATGAGCCAGCTAAGCGTTTGGTTCAACAATGGCAATCCCTCATGTGCAGCAAGACTCTTGACCGTATCGTTTACAATGATTGTCGAGAAAGCAATAAGACCAGTCTACAGCATACGGAGAAAATTATATGTTAGCATTCTTATTGGCGGATTTGTTTGGAGCGCAAGTGCAACAGACTCGATTCATATCCGTACCTGGAACATCATGACAGATTTGGCGGTTTTGCCACCATCCTGCTGCTCCGTGTCGGTCCCGGCGGTCGCGCCAGGGACAATCAGCACTGCGAAAACTCCACTGACAGTCAGAAGCAAACCTCCTGCAATACTAGAATCCGGATCAAATGAAATATGTTAGCCAACGCTAACGGCCGCATATCTACAGACGGCATAGTTTGAATCCATCATGGCCGGTTCGCTTACATCAGAGCTTTGTCCTCGCCCATTTCTACGGGAAGAAGAGTAAAGATGCTTGTTCCCAAGCATGAGAGCGACCATGATGCCATGAGAACCGTGTTGTTGCGCTGGATGCTGCCAGGCAAAAAGACAGGCCAAAGAGCCAAAAACAGGAAGCATACTGACAGAATCGCTCTGTTAAAGTAACTATAGACCTAAAGAGGTAGAACGAAACAAAGGAAAATACAGGTATTAGCAAACAGCACCTACTTGCTCAACTACGTGCATGAAGCTTCAGAAACAACAAGCTACCTACCAAGATCTCTAGAGCGATGATGTATCCCAACACGGAGCCGAGAGTCTTGATCCATCCATAATCCTGGGTGGTCTTGGAAATAGCTGCCAGGAGCTCATTACGGTCCACCAACACGCGACTCCAGAAGTAGACGGGAAATGCCACATAGGCATAGTACAATGCTGGCGATTGCTTGATGATGAGAACGATGGCGAAAACTACAAAAACAACTATTGCTAAGATGTCGATCTATTTCCAGCACGGATTAAAAACGGTGTTATCATGGATGCCCTACGGACGATAAGCAGGGTATATGTGCATCAAAAGGGTAATATTTACCAACTGGTTTTCATCCGGCGATGCAACATGCCTGTTGGCTCTTTGGGTTCTGGTAGATCCCAATGCGCGGGAATCGCTGGCGCTAACAAATGTCCTGAGGATGAAGTTCAAGCTGAAGACGATCCACCCAAGATATCCTGCAGATACAACTGAGCGAAGGAACAGCCAGTCGTAACTATAAAAATGAATATTCCGCCCAGTTAATACACATGCCATGGAAGAATTAAGTTCTCTTCTCCATAACTCAGGACTTACGTCTGAAGATAACGAAGACCCTCCAGGCAGAGGTTACGGACAACCGCACACTCGGCCTCAGCCTCTTTGTACTTCCCATTATCGATAAGGGCCTGCACCTGCGCCTTGACAGCCTCGGGCGAATGCTCGCCAGTCAGTCCAGGGAACGGCTTGAAAAAGATCTCCGTGCGGCGCTTTTGCTCCTGCTTGACATGGTACTGTTCCAGAATTTGAAGGGTATTCGTGAACGTGGACGCTGCTCTGAACGAATCAGACGCGTCCAGATAAGGTAAGGGGAGCTCTCCAACAGAATTGACAGGATAGTTGATTCCAATGAGTGAGGCCTAGTTCAATATGCAATAAAAAAAAAGGTTCTATTAGCCTTGCTAGTGCAGATTCACATTTCTGTGCTAGAATATGTGTCGAGAACGCAGTGGCTTCGTGCATCTTACCATGAGGGGTGCAATATCTGCCTGCTTCACGTCGTTTCTGCTGTACCCATCCAAACTCCAGTCCGCAGAGAACTCGTCGTGGCCCTGAGGGTTGATCTTGTTAGGGCCTTGAATTCCCGCTCCCCAGGCGACAATGGGCGTCCTAGTGTTGTCAGGATGGCCATCTCCGTGGGCACCTGAACACAAAAAAAAAGATATAAATATGATGAGAGCTATTATTCATCTCTCAAAACAATCCTGGCTTAACGTTTTTCCCTACTGAATATGACTTACCGCGGTTGCCCATGCCATGGTCAGCAGTGAACACATAGGCAGTTTTGCCATCGTCGCCATAGAAGTCGCGCAACTGCTCCGTGACTTTTTTGATGCCCTCATCCACGATTTTGATGTTGTTGATGTAGAACTCCGAAGTGGGGAGGTGAGAGTGGCCATTTGTGTCCAGACCGAGGAGATGCAGGAAGAACACAATTTTGTCCGAGTGCAGCTTCTTGCGCAGTTCCGCATCCGTGGCTGCCTGCTCGAACAATTGGGTGAACTTTTCAAAGACCCAGGTATCCAGGACGCTAGCATCGCCTATGAGGATAGGAATGAGGGGTGATAGAGATTCCAAGATATTAGGGCCGAGGTCATTAACTGGCGAGCTGCAACCACAGCAAACCAAAATTCCGATGGTTTACGTGCCTGCGCCAAAGTCTTCGTGCTCTGCTGGGTACATGATGGTGTCGATTCTGTCTGGATCGGATGCTCCATGGGCAAACATGGGTAGAATATCGGGCGATCCAAATGACCAGGTGTGTTCGCTCTGATTAAAAACCGAATCAAAGTTAACTGGGTTCATCTGCCAGCCTATGAATGCAATAACATCGTTGCGTACAGATGTGTGTAAGCAGGCAAGTTTCTACTCCCTGGATCGATGATGATGACGTCCTCTGCTTGCACAAACCTTTAGTAACCGCACTGACATCCTCGTAGAAACCGGCAATGATGGCGACGTGACCAGGACGCGACTCTGTGGGGACACGCGTATGGGACACGCCCCATGTACCCTCGTTCTCAATGATATGTCGCAGGAAGGGGGCTTTTGTCACTAGCTCGCTCGTCTCTGGATCTGGATGGAACTGGTAAAGTTTGTCCGCGCGAAGACCATCGGCTATTTAGAACGAGACACAGATTCGGTATTGATTAGAGGCGTGCACTGGCATGCAGATCAACCGACGAAAAGTCAGGTTAAGCTTAGCTACTGATGTTTGAGTCGCGAGGGAGGAAGAGAGGATGCTTACCGACAAAGAGAACAAGACGCTTTGCAGGGGCAGGCTGGTTGACGCGATGCTGGTCCATGCCATGGACCAGAGGGGAGGTGAAGTAGATGTCAAAGATGGAGCAGATATAGGTGACATGGAAGAGAACTCCAAGGATGAGCAGCCATGCGCTGGTGAGCTTTGAGGGCAGGAGTGCCATGGTTGTTGAAGTTCAGGTCGGGTCAGGTCGAGATCGCAACGAGGTTCGGTGTAAGGAAGGGAAGGAGTGCAAAGTGATGGCGGAGTGGAGGGGAGGAGTGAGTGGATGAATTCGAGTGTGCGATCAGGGCCGTCATTCAATTTTTCTGTGCTACATGTTCACCACGTCAAGGGACGAGCATTCAATAAAAGAAAATATGTGCTGGTCCAATGCGCTCCCATTGGCATGATTGGATCGTTATCGTATGCCTATCATTTCGCCATAAACATCACTTAGTTTCCGCTGTTGGAGTCTAGCTAGTATCCATGAACATCACCAAGCTGCACCTTTCAATCACTGGGGCGTTTCCGTTAAGGCTGCCTTGGTGGTCTCCAATGTCAGGTTTTGTCAAATCGCTCGTCCCTTGAGCTGAGGACCACCGAAGGAATGAACCAATATACAATGTGGAGAAAGCAGTATGATTGGGACATGCGCTACCACTGTAAAATAACCTTTTTTTTCCCAGGTCATCTGTTGCCACGAATCAGCCTTCCTCTTCTGCTTCATTCTCTACTTCCTTTCTTGAACCCCTTCTTGTTTGCATTCCTTTTCTTCATTCGAATTTCATCAAAATAACAGTGAACACTTCTCCTCCGCGAATCCTCTTCACACACCGCATGGCAGCTGCATGGTCCTGGAAGAGAAGACACTGGCCAACAGCCCTCCTTGTCCTCTGTGCCCTCCTCGTTCAAGTCCACGCCTTCTTCCACGTCGAGCAACACAGCGACAATAACAACCAGAACAACCCTGATTCTGATAGCAACACTCAATTCGACACTCATTCCAACACCAATACTCGTTACTCCCTCTCTCGACAGGAACACCTCCACCAGACCACCTGTGTCTGTCTTCAACAGGACAACCCCGCAGCACTTGACCACTATCAGCAATGCTCTAGCCATCCATATCCATTCTGTCTTCATGACAGAGTCCAGCCCGGTCTTCTTGGAGAAGGAAGCAGACATTTCATGGTAAGCGGTAAAAATGCACAATTTGTCAACTGCCGAGCTCGGCCGATGCTAACCACTACCATGACTACTTTGATAGTCCTTAGAGCCTGAGAGTGGCAAGAACGATGGCCATCACATTATCATCTCAGATGCTGGATCGGCAAATCAAAACGACGACGAGACACGAGCGATGGGCGTTAGTGCACCAGGCGCTACAGACAATAATCCTGATCACCAGGCCAGCCCGACCAACCAACCAGTTTCAGGCCCAACAATTGTCAGTTCAACCGTTGTAGTGTATCCGCAGAACCAGGGAGCTTCAACAGTAATGCAAATCTATGATTCACATTCAATACCTAATGGAGTCGACACCAACCAGGCACCCATAACATCAGATGCTGCACATGTGAACATAGTCATCAACAGCTCTACCTCGACGCTATCAGAGCCTCCAGTGGCCTCGATCCACCACCCTTCTTCAACAATAGCTGTCTCAACCGCAACTTCAGCAACACCAACGCCGACAAGTCAACATCAGACTGAGCGACACATACCTTCATACGAGCAATGGCGTAAACAGGTTCTCGAAAAGAAGAAGCCAGCAGATCCCAATGAACGCAAGTTGCGGAAACGAAAGCCTTATCAGGAGAACGCTGTCGATGTCGCCATCGGTGGAGAAGACGAGCTGGGCTTTGTCTTCCCGAACATGGACAACGGAAGCGGCAGTGGAAAGGGCGGAGACGATCGGTTTCTACACCCATCAGATCAGCTCGGAAACGGTCCAGATCTGAAACGAGATGCTAGCAAGGACAAGGAGTGGATCAAATCTGAGTACGCAAAGGATCCGAAGGACCGGTTCAACCATGCCTCGGCCACCTGTGCCGCAAGTGTGGTCAAGGCTAGCAAAGACGCGACGAGTATCATGGCAATTTTGAACGAGGGCAAGGACAATTACATGTTGAACAAATGCTCCACCAAGGACAAGTTCTTTGTCGTGGAGTTGTGTGAGGAGATTCTGGTCGACACATTTGTTCTCGGCAACTACGAGTTTTTCTCCTCTACCTTCAAGGACTTTGTCGTCTCTGTCAATCGATATCCGCCAAGAGACGACGGCTGGAGCATCCTTGGACATTTTCAAGCCAGAAATACCAGAGATGCCCAGGTATGATGCATATTAGGAAAATATCAGGCACTACCTTTTTATATACTGCTTTTAGAATGACCAATGCTCAGCTCCAAACTTTCTTTATCGTCTCTCCAGGTGTTCAAGCCATCTGTGCCACAATTGGCCACGTATATCCGATTCGACTTTTTGAGCCACTACGGCAACGAATACTACTGTCCCGTCACCCTCCTACGTGTTTATGGTGCCACAGCCCTGGAGCAACTTAAGCAAGAAGAAGAAGAGGAAAAAAGGCAGGCGGAAGAGGAAAAGCGATTGGCTGCGCTGGAGAAGGCAAGGCAATCAGCTGCAGAAGCTGATGATGCGGATGATACAGACGAGACAGAAGTAGTTGAGGCAGAAGGATCCAGCTCCACTGAGGCAACAAGGACCGGCGTCGCAGTGCCTACCCAGGAAACTGTGATCGAAGAAAGTCATCATGCAACGCATAATGAGAAAATGGAAACCGCAACGACTTTAAGGGAGCTCGAAACGTCTACAACGACTGGCGACTCGGTAACCCCTACAGAGACAAGCCTTGACTCCCACACTACATTTCCTCAGGATAAGGAGCATGACGATCATGGAGCCAATAAAGAACCTGGCGAAGAGCATCCTTACCTGGACCATCCAGTGACGGATTATCCTCCCCTCATGTTTCAAGAAGGATCTGGTACTGGGACAGAAGATCCACTCACTCACTGGGAGGAGTCGGCTGCGGGCCATGCCGTGCCATCGGATACTATCCTAAAGTCATTCGAGGAGACAACCACAACATCCACAGAGCACTCCCTGCCGACGGGAGTTTTGCCGCCGCCGGCTTCGACATCTCCAGCCTCGATGCAGGACGACGCAGGCCGGAAGAACGCGGGCCTAGGTATGGTGATGCTATCACCCAAGGCTAGACCGGGACAGCTCCCAAGGCCGCCAGGCGCGTCGAAACCAGTCTCAGCTGGTGTAGGAACAACCACCGGTGGAGCCTCCTCTGCAGGAGAAGCATCTTCACAGTCGTCTCCATTTCCATCTCCACAGCACTCTTCTCAGGAGAGCGTTTATAAGAACATTGTTAATCGTCTCAAGGTGCTGGAACTCAACTCTTCCCTGTCGTATCAATATCTGGAGGAGCAGAGCAACATCTACAACGACGTTCTGGAATCGAGTGAACAAAAGATTAATCAGCTAGTGAGCCATCTGAACGAAGCAACCCGTCGCCTTGAAACTCTGGTGAGACAGCTACACTGCTATGCGAGTACACCCATGCATCTTAACGCTATTCTAATACCGTTACTCCTTACCTTGTTTTCACGCCCATGCTATGTTCTTAGGGACGGAAATACGATCAACTGGCATATAGTTACAGGGCACATGTGGAGGTGGATGGAGAGAAGCGTCGCCAGGATTTTATCAACTTATCATCTCAAGTTCATCTTCTTGGAGCACAGGTATTTGACGACTTGCATGTTCACCCCTGCGAACTTTTCGACTACAAGAGTTGAGAGTTTATGCTAACTGACCATCTTTTTCTTTTCTAGATCATGTTCCAGCGTCAGCTCTTTGTCGTTGGCGCCATCACTATTTTCTCGATTATTGCCTCTATTGCCATCACGAGGAGCACCACTATGCATTATGCCATCCAGCATTCTCCCCTAGGTGAGAAACTCCGGGCTATCTCAGGACACAGACGCCAAGGACAACCGAATGATATTGCTTCCTCCGTCAGGATTGGGTCCGTCGAGGGCCTCAGTCAGTTTGACCAAAAATCGCTTCTCTTCCAACGCGCGGGTGAACGACGAGACAATTTCATGGGCAAGGGCACCAAACTGACCCCACTGATTTCACCAATGTCACCACTGACACCTGATCCAAATCATGCTGCCCAGTCCAGGCTCTTGGACGAGTGCGAGTCTAAGGATTCTTTCCTACCGGACTCAGGCACTTCACTTCAGAACGAGAATACTAGTGACAGGTCTTATTCTAGAGAGAATGGCTTGCCACATCCTGGTTCAGAATTGAGCTCCTCCATGCGCCCAGTCACATCACCCGATATGAACCCGCCGTCAGACCCACCGCTCGATCGATTCACGGTCTCGCGTACTCCTTACCCGACGCCGAAGAACAGCTATGGACCAAGTCGACTTTTCTTGCACCCGAACAACAGCAGTTCATCACAGCGGCCATCATTCCCTAACGACTACAGGCCAGATTCACCTGTATTCCAAGGGCCGTCCAGTGTACATGATGACGGACAGCTCTCGGATGCAGACGTCGCTTACATGTCACGGGATATGAATGTCGGGCGCAAAAGCCCGTTCAGTCCAGGATCCATACCTACAAGCCCTGCGATCAGGAGGCTATCTGCAGGATTTTACAATCATCAGCCGCACTACCATGGCAATCAGGCGATATTATCCCGACCACTGTCCTCCTTGAGGGTGGACACGACCGCTTCACTCTCGATGATAGAATCTTATAGCCCAGAGACAGCACACCATTCGTCCGATGACAATGCTATCAACAGCTTGGATCCAACTAACGACCCTGCTCAACCGCAGGAGAATGAGAGCCGTGCGAGTCAGGAAAGCAGTGACTTTGTGGTGGAATCATTGATCAAGACCCCGGAGATACCCACCCGCAGCGAATTTGAAGAGGATCTGGGATTTGTCTCCGACTCTGTCTTGGACTCGGCTTCGGAGAGTATCGCATGCAGTCGAAATCTTATTCAGCCCCCAGGAGCACTTGGAGATTGGGATAGGCAGCACGGGGAAGGAGAAGTGCTTTTGAAGCATAAGGACGACGAAATCGACCAACCTTTGGATACTCAGAGGGATGAACAGACGGTCAACGAAGCCAGTGAAGGAAACGTGGTGGCTACTCTCAAGAAATTGGCGATGGAACGTCCGCGACTCAGTCGGGATCCACCATTGAAATCCAGGCATAGAAGTTCCCACAACGTCTTCCGGTTGCAGGAATACTCCAATACGAGTCAGACTAGAAGCCATAGTGCGAGTGACGCCCTTGGACTGGGAGTGGGCCTGGGACTTGACGTTGGCTCCGAGAACTCGCCGTCCCCGAGGGAGACACTCTCTCGACCAGAGCCATCGTTTTTGTTCTCGCATAATAGTAATAGGAGAGGTCTAGATGAAGACGGCGCAGATGACGACGGCGCCCAGGCGGATGACGATTCTGCGGTGGTGCCGCAGGGGCAGGGGGTTTCAGACAGACGGAAAAAGAGCAGGAAACCACCGCAACCGGATGATCAGGTTATACCTGCAAGACGTATGAGCTATGGTCGGCGAGAAAGTGCCGAGGCAGGTTTTGCAGAAGACAAGGGAGGAGATGGTGACGACGAAAGGTCTCCACAGGTGTCGCGTAAGGCGGGATCATAAGCATGGGATTGAACAGCTGTTTCGTCAGAACTGGAGCTCTTTGTAACACTATATTTTTAATGAAGGTGCCGAGATGCTAAAGATAGTATGTTGCAAACGTAGAATTGGCCATTCACTCTTCTTTTGAGAATGAAGTCTGGCGTCTCTTAATTCTGACGGGCAGACCTTCCAGCATGGGCATGGTCAAGGAGACGCCGTATGGTGGGACTTTAGAGGGGTTTACCAGAGTGATATCGAGCTTGGACAGGATCATGGCGATGATTGTCATAGCCTCGATGGTCGCAAACTGCTGCCCAATGCTACGATTATATTCCAAGCATGCAAACACATTAGAAAGGCTATTTTCATGGCTTTACTCCGCAAAGAACCGTACTCATTTCAACTTACCAGACTCGTGGACCTGCATGGAACGAACTAAACTTTCCTTGAGAGGGCTTTTCAGAATTGATCCAACGTGAGGGTTTGTACTCCTTGGCATCAGGACCCCAGATGAGTTCGCTCCGGCCCATGACATAGGAGCTCCATGTGAACCATTCGCCCTTGTAGATCCGGGTGCCGTCGGGCAGCACGTCGTCCTGAACACATTGCTTCATGTTTCGGGGGACGGATGGGTACAAACGGAGACCTAGTTGGACGGGTATAGATGGGAGGTTGTTTGTTAGAGCTCTGGACCTGGCCAATAAGCGGCGAGTATTCGGCATCTTTTGTCAAGCACCTACTCTCGTGAAAGCTGTCGTTTTACAGAAAAAAAAAGGGAGACAGAGATAACCGCGTTAGAAAATCGTATCCGGCACTAGCATTAAGAAGACCATAATAAACGAATCGTTCGGGTGTTTGTGAGCCTTACCATGCTTCAGCAAACTTGAGTTGCTTGTAGGTCTCGTAGCTGGGGATGCCACCCTGCAGAACGTTGTCGACCTCTTCAAAAAGCTGGGTCTTGTCCTCGGGATTAGAACCATCGCGGTTCAGGAGGTAGAACATCCACGAAAGCGCTTGAGCCGTCGTATCGCGTCCTGCAATCTATATCGATCACAGCCATGGCAAGAAGTTGTCAACATCAGCATTTTCTTTCATTTTTTTTCTTCTCTTTTTGGTAACCGACATTAAGCTTCTCCATCTTACCGTGGCGTTGAGGATAATTGAGGCTATGTAATCGTCCGTAAGAGGCTGGCCATTCTCGTCCCGGACCTCCATAAACAACTGCAAAAGATCCTTTTTCTCGGCATGATAACCCTCACGACGACGCTTCTCAATAATGGCAAGCGCATGCTTGCCAATCAAGTCTTTGTCGTACATCGCCTTCTTGTGAACGCCCGTCAAGGACTCGCGTATCTTCCAGAGTGGGTCAAGCAGACGGTCGGAGCAGGTCGCGGTCAGGTCGTCAAAAGAGACCGCAAAGTCGACCTTCTCGTCCATGCTCTCGAGGCAGCCAAAGCTCTTTCCGAACGAGATTCTGGATAAAGTTAAAGGTGGCTGTGTTAGTCCAGGTCGCCTTCATGTGCTATAAAAGAGGGGCTATGCAACGGCAGGAGGGGAAATAACCCGTAGAGTACATAGTCGAAGGCTATTTTTACTTACGTTCCAAAACTATCCAGAGTGAACTTGAGGAACAGCTCGTGTAGATCCACAACCGTGCCCTCATCCGCCGCCTTGGTCAAATAATCTACCACACGCTGACCCTCAATCACAAACACATCACTCGTGTACTCTCGGAAAGCCTTCACGTTGAAGATATGACTCGCCAGCTTGCGCTGAAATTTCCAGTCATGTCCATCCGCCACAAAGATACCGTCTCCAAACAAATCGCCCAGGGCACCTTTGAACGTAGGACCCTTCTCGTAGGCCCAGAAATTGGTCTTGAGGACATGCTCCAGGTTCTCGGGCGTATCACCCTGGATCATGCGACCAATCATCGGTAGTGAGATCGACCAGGTTGGACCCAGCTTGACGTTCTGTTCCAGAAAGAAGTCGTAGAGCTTTGTGCCGGGAATAGAGAGGATTAGGGGCATATGGCCCAGCAGAGGAACGGCACCATTGGGTTGCTTCAGGTCAGAGCGACGGCGAGTTCCGAGAGCATGGGAGCGGTATTTGTAGAGGATGATGGCCCCGAGTGTAGCAAGGAGCTTCAAGTTGTTGGAACGGGTTGCATGTTGAAGCAGCTGGTGGAATATCTGTGTTACTGCCGCCATTCTTGTCGTGGTGTGCGGTTTAGAAGTGCGAGGAGAAAAGGCCGGAGCTGAAGAAGGATGAGTTAAGGATGAAAAGTGGAGGGTGAAAGACGGAAAGAGAAGTTGGAGGATGGGTACAGACAACTATGTCAATTCCAAGAAGAGCGCCAGAGGTTTTTATCGACCACAAACAAATGAGAGCATTAATAGAAAATGGAAAAGTGGCAAGGTACTGTACTGAAGCCGTACATTAGGCCACAGAACCAGGGCCATGAGCCTTGTACTCCCCTCCACTAAATGCAAAAAAAAACTCATCTTTCATGTGGCCGACTTCCTAGCGCATGTACCCTATTTTCACACTCGCGCAGAAATATATGATAATAAAACTGGATGGACAGACGCGTGTTTCCTCAGTGCCTTTGGGCGTGGATGCACACTCTTCGTTGCCTCTACTTGACAACCAGAACAATCTTGACTCGAGAGCAACAACAGCAGCAAGAACTGTTTGTATCCAAAATTTGGCCGAATGCAGGCTGCCAGCATGGACAACATCATTTCCGAATGTCAATTTTGGCACTTGGACACAAAAAACTATAGGACGCGATCCAATAGAATCTATCCTTTTATCAATACTCTCGGTGTTTGGAAAATGCTCAGGTGCATGCACCAACGGAAAGCACAACAAACAGCACAGGAATTGTTGGAAACAAACAAGCATGGCCGCGGAAGAATTGGGGGTAAGATTATGGCTCATTCCAGCCTAACTGATTAAAAAAAAGACGGGTCCCACTGCCTGTACGTCGGCGTTATCAAACACTCATATTTAAGCCTTGAACTCGTGGTATAACCAAATGGCGAGGTAAGAATGATTAGACGAGAAGTGTCTGGACTTTACTTCCCACGTCGCATCAAGATGTTAATACTGAACAAGATCATTGTGCTCACAAAAGTACCTGGAATTGTATGCACCCATGTCTATCCTTACGAATGCGAATATCAATAGATTTGTAGAGTATCTCCGTTTGACAATAAAGCACCTGTTTTGACTTGATCTACGCTTCTCTCCTCGTTCATTATAGTCTATAAGGAACCATCTTAACCCTCCGATAACCCGTTCGATCAAGTCCAGAGAGCGGAGAGAGAGCCCACTAACGCGATATGTGCGGTGCTGTGCACTGCAGGAGACGGAGAATACGACCCATGCATGAAAACTCAAAACGTATGATATGAAGCAAAGCTCGATCCACTAACCTATACCGGATGTGATCCCTAATTCTTAGAAAGTAGAACATCTGCATTCTATATATGGGCGTTTACCGTTGATGGTTTTGTCGCTGAAGTTTGATCGAGCTCGGAAGACACGTAGAAGACCCATTCTTGAGGGAGGGCCTAAATTCTTGACCATCTCAAACCTCTCAGCGGATTACACAAAAGGATTCAGAAGGACTGGGTTATGTTAGCGAAGTGCTGTTGGCTTGGCTCCAGAGCTTCAGTTTACTATGGGGTCCGGGGCCTCAGATATCCAGGGCCACCCTCACTAAATCCATATAAAAGCCATTCTCCGAAAGCTGTCAACTAGCTCGAGTTTCGCGGTCATTTTAGTCAACAAAATAAAATACGCCATGTGATTGAGGATGGCCGGGGTTTCCTAAGCAAGGTCTCGACACCTTGGCACCAGGACATCAGTTTCTTATGCGATATTTCAACTCGAAGATCCATAGTACCCCAGGCACTTAGTACACGGTCCACTTCAAAGAGGCGTTTAAGATTGGTTGAGTCCGGTGAGAAACAAGCCGAATCCGCCGCCATCCTGCAAGGAGGGTCGAGACGACCCACGTTTCCCGATCTGCTCGTTCAACAAAACCAGCTACGCCGAACAATTTGGAAGAGTCGAGTTTCTTAAGCAAAGTGTCGCTATTTTGACACCAAGACGCTGGTTTGTTATTCGACATGGATTCTTTTAGATAAAAAGGATGCACCATGTGGTTACAGGTGCAAAGGATGTCTTTCACACCGATTTGTCTTTATTATACTCGCATGTGTAATAAGACTATACATTCTCATGGAGCGCTGCTATAGTCCTGATCCCCACTTCCTACACCATCTTGTCCCTTCTCTGCATTATTTTCCTCATTATGGTCACTCTCATTCCCTGAGACACTGCTGGCCACACTGCTGGATACACTACGCTCTGCAGATGATCCAGCAGCGCCTCTTAATGTGGGGTTTCCTCTCCAAGCATCCGTACTCCGGCGAACTCTGGGTTTCTCTTCCAGCTTACGCTGTGGGATCACCTTCAGGAACGCCTCTTTCCAGTCATTGCATTCGATAAACTGAAGTAGAATCTCAAACACTATTCGATTAAAGGAAAAAAGAAAGGCATGTCAAGACAATGATAAACGGGCGCATCCCTGAGTACTTTCGATTCACCCTTCTAATAGCAGAGAACACTGTTGTTACCTTGGTTCACAGTCAAGATGCGACGGCTCGACATCTGGATATATTCGCCAATAGGCAGCTGCGCCGTCGCGATGCCAAGTTTCTCAGCTTTGTTCTGACACAAGTTCGGATATCGGTTCTTGTCCACAATCCCTCCGAGAATGTAACATGTCCCTTCTTCCAGTTTCGTAATCGTGTTGGGAGAATCGGCGCTCAAATAGACCACTTTCTTGACCGCTGGGATCATTGCCAGCTGTTCTTCCTTCAACAAACGCTCTTGCTCCAAAGCCTTGATATCCAATGCAGAAAGTGTGCTTCCACCGGATGGCGGTGGTGTCTGGACTGCGACTACTGGCGATGAGGACTCTGTTTGATACGGTTGCTCATTGCTGGAAGGTGTCGTAATGTCGGTCGGCGCCTGAGGGTCATGTGCTGGAAATGACGATGCTTCCTCCTTTGGTGCGCCCTTGTCCCCTGCTGCCTCCGTTTTCGCTGCTAACGCCTTTGCCTTGACCGCCTCCGATTTCGCCGAGGCAATGACAGTCAACCGTTTGAGTTCCTCCAAGTGCTGCTTCCCTGAGATCTCTTCTGAGGGCCAGACCTCCTCCAGGCTCTTCTCGTGGATCGTGAAGTTTTTCCAAAGCTCATATCCATTTGCGCGTTTGTTAAACTCCTGCTTGGATTTTCCTGTGAAGGAAGTTAGTGCCAAATGGACGATCTTTTCGCATGTCCTGTTATAGGAGTAGCAGCGTTTGATCTGGTCCACCATCGATTTCACCTCCTAGATGTTAAAAAAATGCGATCGGTGAGTAGATTTACAGATGATGAAGAATTGGTGACGATATACGCATAATCGGCAGACGAAGGAAAAAAGCGCTCACCTTCTCCAGCATCAGATCATCAAAAGACATGTCGATCCCAATCGTGATTCCTGTCTGTATCTGATCCGTTTTATGTCGCTTTGGTGGTGGCTCGATCAACCCTATCAAAGATCGAACAAAGCAATGTCGGCCAACCGCATTAGAAAACATCTTTCAACAGAAACAATGGGGTGTGTTGCGAAGCACAAATGGCTCACCAGCTTCAATAGCCTCGCGGCGCTCCTTATCCTTTTGCTTGCGCTTCAGCTTTTCCTGTACTCGCAGCATAGGCTTTCGTTCCAGAAATTGTTGCTGTTTTAGTAGTTTCTTTGTCGCGTTCCTCGAAAGGGGTTTCCCGTCGGGTCCGATCATGGGTGGCGCTCTTGGTTTCCAGAATGGGTTGTTCTGTGAGTTGGGGTTTTGTGCTTGTGCTGAGGCTGCTGTATCCTCGGGCGTTGCGCTTTGGGCCTCTCCCTCGCGGGTGCTGTTGTTGGCGGGCGAGGGTTCAGTTGGTGGTGAAGTGGGCGCCAAGGCAGAAGCATCTTCTGTCGAGACTTGGTCCTGCAGTGTCTTTTGACCAGTAACCTCCATGCTTTTCGGTTCGCGTAGGTGTGGGCGGGTCAGTGAATGAGGGTTGAGGATGAGAGTCGCAGGTTGCAAGCGTGAAATAGAAGAGTGGTGACTGTCGAAGCATTGTGTTGTTTATTGTCCTACAACCCATAGTTGAAATGTTATTAAACAACCTTTCCATATCCGTCTTCACACCATAATCCACATCACTTTGGGAGCCCCCGTGGCATCATTCTTGGATGTCGAAGATGACTCCAGTGCTTGCTGACTGGCGGTGGTAGTGGTGCTGGCGACACTAGGATGAGGAGTAGCTCAGAAATAAAAAGCGCGAGCTGGACGTGCTGGATTTTATTGGGTAAAGACTGAGGTTCAAGTAAGGGAGGCGCGTGTCTTGAATACTAAGTAGTTTCAATATTTTTGTCCAATACAATATCTCTGACATTGTTCCTATTTCTCTCCCTGCTTTGCAACACTCTTAGCGATATAGAATGGCTCGACACTCCTCTTTTGTCAGTTTTCTCCCTTTAATCCGTCTGTGCTTGTTAATGTGAATGTGCGTACTGTCGGTAGGGCGAAGTCCTGCAGCTTCTTGATTCGAGCCCGTAACACCTTCGCGTAGGAAGGCTAGGAGGCAACAGGAACAGTATTTAACCTAAGACGTTTTTTCTTTCGGTACCTGTCGCCTATTGATGTGGAGAGGGCCTTGACCACTTGAAGCGAATAATCATCTTCATCCGCAGCAGCTGGTCCTTTGTCTTCTTCGTCTTCCGTCTCTGAATCAGTGACCTCGAACTCCAAGGGAGAGGCTGGACGCTCGTCAAGGCATACTCGATCCTGAATAATATACCGCTCTTCCTTTTGTGTTGAGCGTCTAACTTCGTCGCACTTGTCCAATCCCTCGTATAGATAGAATCTGACCACGTCAAAATCGGATCCATCGTTTATGTCCGCAACATAGCGCTTCGTTAACCCCCATGTTTCCTCAATTAGATTGAGGTCTGGATGGTAAGGAGGCAGCCACAGAATATGATAGCCATATCTAGAAGGGATTAATGTCGTACTTACCATTCCATGTATAAGACAATCTGTGGTATTCAAGTTGGGCTTGCAAGGACCCGTCGAAGTAGGCTGTCGTACCGACGTTGTCAAAGAGGTCGCGATCCAAATTACTAGCACAGCATGCAGATAGATGCGTCTTTGTTTACTTGTTTGTATGTCATTGTCACCATAAAGTCATTCAAATAGATTGTTTAAAGGATCCATTCTTTATTGCATCGTCTGTTATTCCTACAATTCCTATCGGTACCATCGGCTCAACTTGCTATCAGTCAACCTTGGTTGCAAAGGTTGCGCAGAGTACACCACGAGCAGGTTGCAAGTCATCGTACTCCGAAAAAAAATACCGTACAAAGCCCAAAGAGACCAAGTGGATAAAAAAAAGGGTTCAGAAACATTCTCAGGAACTCTTTTGTTTTTGCGTGAAGAAAAGGCGAAGCTCCTTGGCCTGAGGGCACGACCAGAGGTGATGATAACCTAAAGGGAGCAGGGGAATGAGGGAATTTGGTGCTCCCGGCCCAAATGCACTACTAGGGTTAATAAACCCTCTGAGGAGCGGGTATAATCCACAGGTTGAAAACCTGGGATGGGTTATCGAGGGCACGCAAAGGTGAGGGGTTACAGCCCCAGGATCGAAGTCAAAACTCCTGGAACCTCTATATTTTCTATCTAAGGAGCGGTGGAGAGGGGGTAGTGGAGTGGGCTTTCTGACGAGAGCGCGTGTGGAGGAGGGCTGCTGACGAGAGTGAGCACAGGAGGTGGGAGTGGGCAGGAGGAGAGTGGAACTGGGTAAAGGACGAAAGGCGAAGTTGTGTCAGTGAAGAGAAGATGTATGGGGTGGAGGGTGGAGAGTGGAAGGTGAAGAGCAAAGAAAAATAACTTATATACCTATATCATACGTACCTGGAAAGAAACTTGCCGTAGAGCGTGCTGGGAAGAGTGTGGAGGAGGTGGAGGAGGTGGAGGAGGTGGGGAAGGGGGAAGAAGGAACGCGTAAGAGGAAAGAAAGAGGTGGAACAAAGTCGAACTTTAAATGTGCCGCGTGGTCGGTGGCTGAGTCGATAGCAAGGGGTCTATGGAGACCGCAGGGCTCATATGGCCGCTGGGAACTGGGAGGCGGACTATGGAGAACGAGACAGTAGTGAGCGTGTGCCTGGGAGTGAGCGAGCAACGCGCACGGCTCATCAGAGAAAAAGGAATCGTCATTCAGCGCTATCCACCATGAGCCCAACTTGCATCAACATCGCCTTTGCCAGCGATGAGTGTACTTTTGACAGCGAAAGTGCATGGTGGCGGACATGTTGCCACCAATTTCATGTTGAAGGTTGTTGAAGGTTGCTGATGTTCTGTTCGCGTGGTTTCTAAACAACCTTAAAAAAGGAGTGCCAACAAACAGCGCACCTACCACACGCGACTCAGCCCAAGCGAGCACTGCCAATAAAGTTTGCATCAGATTCGGAAAACATAAAACATTGATAACATCAACATGGGTTTGTTATCCGACAGCGGCAGCTGGAAGAGGAGTGGCAGCAGGAGAGGCGACAGCAGGAGGAGCAGCGACGCCTGCGGGACATCGAGAGACGGGCTCGACACAGAGAAGAACGACGAAGACGACGCCATTTATATCGTAGATATATGAATGTGGATGCAGAGGCGTGTATAGACCACTTGCACGAGGATGCGCACAAGGCGGTGGACAATATGACGACACCTGTTCGCCAACCATTACCGGCAGTAACAGATGAAATTGAGCGAGATTTACTGGGATTGGCACTCCAGGCACCAACAATCCAGCAAATTCGGACAGCTAGGAGACGTTTGCAAACACATCAAAGGCTTCACTTCTGCTCAGATGGGTCAGTGATTCACAACGGCACAGAGCAGGTTAGTGCAGCATTTGGAGTTGTCGTTTCTGTGGATGGTGGTCCCTACACAACGGCGTTCAGTGGACGGGTCGGTGGATACGCGTCGTCAACAATTGCAGAGATGTGTGGGTTCTTGGCAACAATTCTTATCAGCCCAAGGGAAGAGAACGTCGACATCTACATCGACAATCTCACAGTTGTCAACGATTTCAAGGAGTTGGTGCAGCAGCGGGATTCAGCAACAGCAAGGCAGCGTTTGAGATCTGCAGATGCACAGTGGTGGGCGATGGTGCATTATGCCTTCTTGCAACAAGAACAAGGTATATCTGTGCATTGGATACGAGGACATGCTGGACACCGTGGCAACGAGGCTGCAGACACTGTTGCCAAGGCAGCACATGGGATCGATACAGGACTATGGAGGCTAGACGCAACGCAACACCATGATTTGAAATGCCACGCACAGTTTGCAACACACAGTGCAGACCTGGACTTGAGGAGGATACTGAAGCTGCAGTCCGCGGTGCGACACCATTATCAGTGGACATTGCAGCATCGAACGAGGACCTACATCAAGGATTGGCGGTCGGTAGCATGGGCGCCGACGCTGCGGATCCTACACGATAATAACCCGCCAAAGCGCTTATACACCAGTCTGGAAGACTGTCGTTTACGTTCGCACAGGATCAAGAAGTTGCATGGAGATTTGCCGACATTGCAGGCGATGAAGAAACGACATCCAGATACTCACCAAACGGATATATGTCGTAGGTGTGAAAGGGAAGCAGAGACGAACGATCATCTTTGGCGTTGTTCAGCTACCTTGTGCGACCAGCGACAAGAGTGGAGGGATGCGGTGGAGGAGGTGGAGTCGAATGGATATCGTGCATGGAGACAGGCAGTGCGAAAATGGGAACAGGAGAGAGAGGAGGCCGAACGGAAGGACAAGCCCTTCACTGCGACTTGTCCCAACTTCTCGGCAACAGGAACGAACGCTATCTGGGAGTCAATGCAGTAGATTCAGGGGACGGCGGAAAGACGAGGGGCATATCACGTTGCGGAAGGAGAAGTACCGGAGAGTGAGGCAGATTGGGAGGTCAAGGAGTTATACCGAGGTTTGGTGCCAACGAGACTCATTGAGACCTGGAAGCAGCTATTTACCACCACCAAGTGGATTGCGACGATCATGGTGACAAAGTTCGTGAGCAGGATCGAAGAGTTTGGCAGGACCAAGATATGGAACAAACGATGCGAGGACACTGTCGCCTGGGAAAAGTCAGTTGGAATCACCTTTATGAGCAAACGCGCCGGAGGACGCAACGGTGATCGGGGACGCCAACGTAGTGTTGGTGATTTCTCTGATTTGAAAGGGAGACGGTTACTTGCAGCGGGGATCCAGGAAGGTAGACGGACTGCGGATTATAGGGTGCTGCAGCATTGTTTGGGGCGAGGGAAGTTGGACATAATGGAGGGTTTATTCGGTTTAAAAACAACTTTATTAACATTGGATCTGGATTAGGAGACGTGTATCGCGCAACAGGTCACGTAGGAGTTAGGTTAGGCTAGCTATGCGACATGGGTTATGAATTTGACGCCTCAAGCCAACATAGTTGGTAAGGGATGCGGCTCTGCCGTGCATGGAAGGCATCTATGGCTTCAAGGCCTTTGCGGACCATGCGTCGCGCGCTCATGGGGGTTTATGTTAATAAAAAAAAAGAAAATCAACATGAGTTTGTTATGCTGCATGGTTCATATTTACTGCAGCAGAGAAGAGGCGGCGGACGCAGCGCCTCCATTCCATCAAAGGACAAGAGCGTTGTCCCTAGTGCGAAATATACTAACATCACCTCGACTAGTGCGTGCAAGCGATTGCGATTCGACAAACCCGATTTCTCGTGGAGGACAAGAATAAACGATAAGAATACAATGAACATGAGGTCCACAAAGAGACATCCACTGCGGAAGAAATTCTTTCTTCTTCATTGCTATTTCCTTTACCTGCAGCAATAGCAAAGAGACTTTCGTACTGGCAGGAAGTGCGGAGGAAAGGAAATACTAAAGTGGTTGGCGAGCCATTTCTATGCGATAAAGACGTGCTCAAACGCACTCAGGCGAAATAAAGCACTGCTTTAAACAGCTGAAAATCAGCAAAACGAATATATTATGGGTGAAAACAAATGAGTTGACCGGGCAACTCAGGTCAACTCACTTTGATCCTTTAATGTCCACTCAACTCAAATGACGCCTGGGTCAGCTCAAAATTGTGCCTGCGCCCAAAAATAAAGGCAGACTGGATTAACCATCCCATTTCTCGCTCCTACACTCTTAACTCACTCCCATACTCCATTTATTCGCGTTCATAGGCAGCACCAAGCTCAGCATCAACCTAGTTTTCTTCGCCTGGGGTAAGTGTAGCTCCGTTGATGCATGCCTCCTTGAAGTGGCAGAACATGGTGCTGATACGATTTGATCCATATCTTCGATGAAGGATAAAGCCTATGTCTCCTCTTTCAATCTCGCTGCTCAATGGCGTACGATCATCGCAGCCGAATAACATTTGCTGGATTTCTTTGCAAAGTGCTATCTTAACCGCAGATAGTGCAACACTTCGCATGGCTGCGTGAGGCGAGAGATGTAGAGATTGACATCGCAATGTATCTCGCTTCTGGGCAATGACCTCTGAAACAAGAGGAACCTTGTATTCTGGTCTCTCGGTCATCTCATACAGTTACTTCTTGTTGGGCGCATTGAGCACATTGGCATCAGCGTTCATCTTCTGAAGCCGCTAATACAGCTCACTTTTACTGAGTTGAGAAAGTGTCCTGTGCTTCTCAGGCTGATCGTCCCGCTCGGTCTCAGTATTTTACTGACTGTATTCTCAGTATTCCTTACGATGATACTTGGCATTGTCCATGAAAAATACAACTTCAGGAAACCCTAGATCCTCCTTGCAGTAGCGACACAGCTCGTCCAGGTACATCTCGAAAATCTGTGCGTTCATATTCTCGTGATAATCACTTGTTCTCCCATTTTTTGCTGGCCAAACCCGTGGCTCCCCAATCTATCCATACTTTCAGCTAACATGGCTGATGCAGCACTGCTTCCCCTTGTTCGTACGGTGTACCGTCATCCCATTAGTGAACCAGGGCTGTTAAGAACAAAAATGAAAGCAGAACATGCGTTCTTCTATCCGAGATGAAGCCATAAACGCATTTTAAACAAACATAACCAACCTTGCTATTGACATGGTTCTGGTTACAGTAGAATTCGTCCGAATACACAAACACGGCGTCCTTATATTTGTCGGACCGTCGCCCTTGAAGGTAGTGCCACCTCTTGGCCTTGGTATCCTCGGTCTCGACAAAATTCCTAGTGTTTCCGACATCCTGATAACGGAAACCCATTTTCTTCATCAACAAGCGAATCGTTTCCTTGCATGGAGTCTTGAATTGATCCGCGAATAGCATCTTGATATGGTTAAAAAGGACTCTAAAGTTAACAGCTTGTCCCTTGGTATTCATTTCCGTTGCGATTCGTCGAAGGTCTGAAGCAAACGATAGAATGTGATTGTAGCGTGGATACTTGTCTCCAGCGTCTCTGCTATCCTTTCTCAACACGGTATTCTTGACAGTAATTAGTGAGAATCCCATGTAATAGGCCGTTCGTAGAAAACGATCCGATGTCGTAACAGGTTTCGCGTTCCCTTTTTTCTCCCTTGCAAAACTGGTAGCAATGAAGTACTGCTCTACGCTCCTCTACAGACCCTTTTTACTGAAGGCCGCTTAAGCTGTTTGACTGAAACGAACGTATTGCTAGGAGGTGGGAATTTTCGTAACTCTCTGGTCTGGCTCTGGAGCAGCTTGACCTCCTTCTGCAGTTTCTCAATCAGCTTCAAAGCCTCCGAAGCTACTGGCTCTTCCTCTTTTTCCAGATCATTGGACAGAGTTTCGGAAGGAGGATCAACGCAGGGGCGTCTTATTACTCGTGGCTGCTTGTTGTGGAGGGTCTTATGTCTGACTCAGTCATGTCGTCGTGTCCAGGTTGCACCACAGGAGCACAGGGATGGGCTGGGTCGGAGGTGTTCCCGCTTATTGTTCTGCTTGAAATAAAACTTGCGGCGGAAGCTCTAGTCGCGGTCAGGCTTAGGACAGACATGTGGCAGCGGAGGTTTCGGTGGATCTTGAACTTGTTGCTGCATCGGTGTCTTGTTTTAAATGGCTACAGGTGAAAAAGGGGGATGGGAGCAAAAGCGAAGTGTAGGGACGAAGTCTTTGAAAGCTGAAGCTGAAGAGATAAGCTGAGGTGTATGAGTGAGAGAATGTAACGTAAAGAAAAGGAGACAGTCCTCCCAGTACCACACTGGGCATGAAGACCATGGGGTGGTTAGTAGTATCGTCAACAGATGCCATAATACCCTTATGGAGGAACAGCATAGCACCATATGTAGAGCACAGCAAACTGCGTTTTTAAACAAGACTGGGACACCATCGCGCAGCCATGGCTCCACACCGTTCACCTTCACCAACAAAGGCCGTAAGTGGCAGCAGGACACGCGCAATGAACAAACCCTGATTGAATGGGACCACCACCGCACAGACCTCAGTCTGTTTGCTGTGTCTTGTCTTATCTCGTTTCGCTCCGCTGATTGGCGAAAGGGAAGTTCTGTCCTAATTAGGAAATGCTGTACGCTGCAGTCGACTGCGCCCAAACGGATTTTTTCATATTTAAACCCTGTTTGCATTTTCGGCTGCACTCTATCTTTTGCCTACTCTCAAAGATATACACTCTACACAACTAGAAAGGAAAGAGTGCGCATCTGGATGAATGCCGCTCCGTTTTCGATACCTTCCCAACTTATTCGTGTTACTTGGTGTACGTAGCATCGCTTGGTCAAAGTGGATTGAACCGGTCAAAAACATCAGCTCTGCAATGAATCCCATGCCACCTTAAAGATAGACGCTTCAGATGTAATTACTTTGCACAAGCAAAACAATGGCGCACGTGTTAGTCTCATATTCCTGAAGATCTGCTTCAACTTGTGCTATGAAGGACAAAAGGCATTCTGTTGTACATAAAATATTTATTTTTCGTCTTTTTTTTTTTTTGCAAGGACTATTTTCAGAGATGATTTGTTCGTGTGTTTCTGTGCAAGGGCGTGTGTATGTGTGTGTGTGTGTGTGTGCATCCTACGGGTGCTAGCTAATGAGAGCCCCAGAGCTTCATGAGGTTCAGAGCAGCATCAAGGACCACCTTGTCAGGCTCTTCTGGCCCTTCGCCAGTCCACCGTTGTGATCCAGGGCCAGTGCCCTCGCTTGGTCTCTCTCTTTCATGTCCTGGATCGCGGGGAGGATATGGTCCGTAACGATCCGCGCCGTGCTCATTATATGGCGGGTGACCATCGCGATAACGATGTGGTGGATGCCCATAGGCATATCCGGACTGTCCTTGACGGTATCCGTGGTAATCATGGTGGGGAGGAGGAGGAGGATGTGGTGACTCGTGGTATGGACCGTGAGGATGATAATCCGGGCCTACGGGATAGGGCTGGCTCTGTGAATGTGAGCGGGAGTGAGACCGCGATGGGCTCGGATAGAACGATCGTGCATGGGCTCCATAACCACGGTCATCTGCATAGTCCGGGTGGCCAGATCCATTCTCATATCGCGGCGTCGCATAGGCCCTGCCAGTGTCGTAGCCGCTGTGGCTCTCATGATGGCCTGCATCATGGCCCATCAATCTCTCATGACGAGGACTGGATGGGCGCGACAAGGCGGATGATGGGTCTTGTTTCTCCATTGGATTGTCTCCCTTGACACCTCCAGGGCGAGTCGGAATATCCTGTTTACCCTTGCTTTTCAGCACGATCACCTCTGGCTGACGTGGTGGGCGAGGGGTGTACGGCTTCTCCTTCTTCTTTGCCGATACTTGATCCTTCATGTCTGACTCCTCTGTCCTTGCGCGTCCTTCCGCTGCCCGTCCATGGTTAGCACGCTCCCCCTGCCCCTCATCGGCGGCGGCTTGGATGCTCGCACGTTCTGCCACTTCAGCCATCTCCTGGAGACGGCTAGGACCCATGCCTTGCTTATCGTCTGCACCCTTTTGATCTTCCTGTTGCTGTTCGTCGTGTGCCTGCTGCTTTGCTGCCAGCATGTATCCATTGGCATTCTCGCTGCTCAAAAGCATGGAGCGCTGCTCCATTGCCGCCATACACTGGTTCTGGACACCATCCATTCGCAAATGTCTAACTAATGCATCTTGGCGCACAAAGGTTGCCTCGCAGACGATACATTTGTATGGTTTCTCCGACAAATGCTTCTTGGCATGACGATCGCGATCATGGCGCCTCGAAAAAGCAAAGTTGCATGAGGAGCAGACAAACGGGCGCGCTTTGGAGTGTGTGCGCATGTGTGATCGGAGGTTGAACAAACGCGAGAAGCTCTTGTCGCAGTCGGGTTCCGGGCAAGCATGTTGGGGCTTGGGTTTGTTGGGATTCTTGCCCTTGGTGGTGCTATCCAGCAAGGATGATACACCAGGTATTCCATCAGTAGGGAGGCCTGCCTTGGAGCGCTCCTTCAACTGCTCACTCACATAGGCTGCATGCAGATTCGCAGACGCCCTCTGTCCAATGCCCAGCTCGCTCAACTCATGCGGCTCCTGGCGCTTCTTGGCCGGTTTCGTGTTGCTCGCGGACGGTGCCATCTTTGGGTGGGTCTCCTCCATAGGCTCCGCACCCGATGCGGGCTCTTTGTTGTAGGTCCATGATGAAGGCGCATGGTCATCGTATGAAAGGCTCTTGTTCCTTGAGCGAATGCTAGCCTCATCATGCTCATGTTGCAACGACCTTGGTGAAAGAGGAACAACTGCGGATGTGGGTGAGGATGGGTCCGCAGATGAGAAGGAGGGCGCAAACGACTTCTCTATTTGGGCACCTTGGGCGGAAGGGCTGTCTGAAACAAGATTCGATAGCGACATGGCCGCAAGCCGTTTGTTGGGAAGAGAGCCGTCAGAGGCGCCCTGGACAGATCCAGCAGAATCAAACCTGGATAAGAACACACTGGTCAGACTCATGTTCAAGCCATTGCTTCCAATAAATGAACGCCACCAAAAAGAGTACAGACACAACGATGCATACCTTGGAGGAGGCGAGGACAGTCTGCGCTTCATTGGCTTGGGCGATGTCATTGTTGCGGGTTCTGAGGCCAATGCCTCGGGGACCATTCCAGGGCCTGCATTCTTGATAGTTTCAGACATCAGGATATTCTTTCCATGATGCAGCTCGAACGTGACACTACCGATATTATATCTCAGATCGTTAGTGCGGATGAAAAGTGGCATCGAAAACGTGAACAGTGCAATGCCACCATTCACATCCACCTACATGTAACCAAAGTTCTCATTAGCGAGAACGTGGTGTGATGGTGGACAGCAAATCTTGAAGAAAAGCCGGACTTCACGGCCTGTGGAAAAAAACAGTCGTTGGGGCGATGGCACAGCCGGATCAGGGCCCACAACCTGAAACGTGTCCCGTTTCTTTATCTATGTGAGAATAAAAAAACGCGTCTGATTAGTCGTCACCACAATCACCATTGCCTGCAGACCAGGCTCGATTTGATTGAATCGCTTTTCCATGAACAAATGAAAGTACATACTTTGCACCGATCACAGGCAGTGACGAGATCCTGGGACTTGTATGTTTCTGGATCGACCACGGACTTCGCCAGACGCGGAAAGATCTTCAGGACAAGATCGCACTCGCCTAGAAAAGCAACATTGAACATTGTTATGTCAGCTTCAGTTCATCTGGTGCAATGAACCTTTTCCAAAGACGGTGACGATTAATATGTAAGCGGAATCAAAAAGAAGGTTGTCGAGCACATCGCCCCTCGCCCGTCACCCATCGGTGAGCGTGTGATACGATAATAGAATTGATTCAGGTAAGATAGGACAAGAGCTGTTGGAGCATGCACTTGCATGCATCGCGAACTCGCTCCGAGGTGTGACATACACCACTTGATGGCGCCTTTCAACTGACAGTTGGATTAAGTGATTAACCATCGTTCATGTTCAACAGGTAGGCTGCCCATTACGTCGGCAGTTAACGTTAAAGTGCCTAAAGGGTTTGAGCTACTTGTTTTCTTAGGTGCAACCATGATACGGGGAGTGGGAGGTGGAAAGAAACGCCGAGTGCAATTTTTTGTTTGTACTTTGGGTGAGGAAGAGAAAGGAGGAAGGGAAAGACACGCCGCCCAACATGCAACGCGTACCAGATAGGTATAGTGCATACATAATAAAAAAGATAAACAAAACAGAAAATAATATAAAAAACGAATGTGCATCGGATTCACCGATCAGACCAGATCGGGGTGAAGATTGAGATGAGGAAAGAATGTGATGTGATCTTACCCGGAGAGGACTGTCGCTGGCCAGGGATGGGCAAACGGTAGTTCTTTGGGATGTAGATCGAGCTCCAGGGGGCGAGGGTGGTCTGGTTGGAGTAACGCAGACAGAAGACAACGCTTGCGGTGCAGTCGCGACTGAACCTGGAGACATTGAGAGTGATGGGTTTGGAAGCGAGACTGGGCTCGTCCAGGGGGATGGAGCTGGACCACTGCTTTTGCTGGTGTTGCAGCTGGTGCTGCAGCTGGTGGTGGTGGTGGTGTTGAAGCTGATGCGGGTGATGATGCTGGTCCTGCAGCTGGAGCTGTTGTTGCTGTTGCTGATCCAGTAACTGAAGCGGCTGACGGTGCATGTCTGGGTCGTGCGTTGAAGCAACGGCGGTGACAGTAGTAGCAGCAGCAGCAGCAGAGGAAGATGGATCGGACAAGCTGCTTGTTCAGTGTCGAACAAAAAGACGAAGAAAAAAAAGAGTATGTTTTAGTGAGAAAAAGAGATGTAGATAACAGGGCGCAGCTGATGAACAAAAAAGGAACACAAGCAACCCAAAGGAACATGGGCAACCAACCAAGGCACACCCATCGCAGTTAAGGAAGGAAGGACAATGATTTCTTAATCGCGACATACGGACACATATAACACTGCATACGCCTTCACGCGTGCAATGGTGATGGTGATAGTGAATGCGGCTTCCCTTCTGACTTCTTCCCGTTCGTTCGGAGTGTGTTGTTTGGGCAAAATGCATTTAGTGCGTTTGTCTGTTTGTAATATGAGATGTGGGAACTGGGACAAAGAGGGAATCGTGCAGGGGTGAGCTGGGTGGAACAGCCTGGGATGGAATGACTCTGGGAAGAGGGGGACGGGCACAACAGGGCCCATACTTAAAATGTATACACACCCTCCCTCTCTCTTTCCACTGCAATTCACTACGTTCGATCCATGGAAAAAACAGGAGGGAGAGAAGAATGCAATCGAACATCCATGGAGATATATCACGTAGGAAAGCAAGATCGTTCTCCTGATAGCTGTGCAAAGCCCAATCTCCCTTTTCTTGTTGACTGTAGACCCCCACGGGTAGAGCGGAAACCCATTCCCCAGCCCCTCTCTTCGTTGTCAACTAACGTAGATGAAGAAGAACAGCAAAAAAAAAAAAAAAAGGACACCCACGAAACAATCGCCTCCGAACTGCGTTGAGGGAGAACAGGGTTTGTTATCCCTTTGGGCTAAACTGGTCATAGCCCAGCCTTTTTTTTGCAGCTGCAGTACATCTGTACGTTGTTTGTTTCTGGAAGTCTCCTCACAACTCGCAGCTCCGGAAAGTGAAAGCGCGGCAGTGTATACCAAAAAAAAAAAAAAAAAAAAAGGTATAGTGTATACCAATGCCACGCTTATACCCTATAACGTACTCTCCATACGCACTTCAAAGGAAATCATCAAGGAATGGGCAGAAATGAATCAATTGCCTTGTGTTTTTCGGTTCTCCTACCTTGAACTAGTCATGGTCATACTAAAGTGCCTTCAACAGCGACTGGGTGTAAATTCAAACGAAAACTCGATTGCCACAGGTTCGGCTGTAGTTTTCGAACGACGTCAATGGATGAAGTGGAATAAAAGAATCCCTATCAATTGAGAAGGGCCAGAAAGCGCGTTTGAGAATCAGCAACATTACTCGAGGCACCATCGGGCAGGCAAGAAAGGGGTTACATTCACGTTCAAGCCAATGCTCCTTTGCTTCGGTTGCAATTGCAAGTGCGAAATGTGAAGTGTGTAAAAGAAGTCAAAAGAAGCAAATACTGCTACTACGATAGCAGGGCTAAAGTAGCAATTGCGCTCGATACGCATTCGCCAGCCTTTTAAAAATGCGCCCAAGGAGGAATTCATAAAAATACACGATGCGAGCAAAGCAAAAGGGCAAATAGAATTGGCTCTCAGCTTTCGGGGCTAGTTCACGGTATCTGGTGGTGGCTATCTGTCTGGTGCTCCGCCAAAGCCCCCGGTTGATGAGCTAGAAGTCCATGGAAGCATCGAATCCTGTTACCGCCCCTTGGACACTGCCGTCTCCATCATAATGTTTGTCATGTCCAATATGGGCTTTGTCTTCGTGTGGGATGTGATTGAGAACCGAACATGTTCCCGAGACGAATAGGTGAGAAAATAATAATAAAGAGAGTGTGAGAAAGGAAGCGATGGATCTTACTCGAGACGAATGATCAACCGATTGTCTGAATGCAGGGGAGAGGATAGCCAGAAAGAGATCTCGGATCTGATGAGGGAGGAATGGCTTGAAGAGAGAGAGAGTGGGAGGGAGCAAGGATCTCAAGCCGGACAATCGGATGTGGAAGAAAGAGCGAAGAGGAGGATGCGGAAAAGGACTCAGAAGGGGGGGGGAAAATTGGGCACAGCAGCCCCGAGTGAGTGAGGAAAAAAACACTCTCCAGAGGGGCGCAGACCTCTCTGCCGACCTGCTTTGCCCTGTCTCATTCTGCCAATGATCTTATTTTGAGTGCTCTCAATCCCGTCATCACACACCCAGAGTACCGCACCCGTAATGGAAAGAGTGCGTGTGTACATGTAGATGCATAGGCGAACCGGGGAAGGATCCCTTTACCTCCTCATGGCGATGGCTCTCTCATTCACAAGACAAATACTCGCTCCCAACCCGCGCACGAGCGCACGCATATACAGCGCAAACGGACACGCAAAATACATATCAACATTGACATGCAGATGCACAAACGCACACACCACTTCAACCACTCCCCGCCACTCCACCATGTCGCACCACAACTGCAAGCAATGAACACCTGCGCATTTGATCCTATCGGCAGCCTCGATTGATCTCAATAATTAAAGATCGGTTGTTCTGCTAAAGCCATTATCAACGGGCATTTGTATGTGGTACTCGATGAACGAAAGAGGAAGATGTGCACACCAGAAACATGTTTTTTTTTGTCTCATGCTAGGGGACTTTGGTTGGGATGCAGCTGCCGACCATTTCGTCCATGACGGATTTCAATTGCCTCAATCGAACGAACAATGTTCAGTTCAGCTCGCTCAAGACAATGAACGAAAGATAGGACCAGGGACTTTCACTGCTTCATAAAAGGCAAGTTGAGAGCAGTTGATTGGCCTTACTCAGCCTTCCATATTCCCATAGTAACGCAACGGGGCGTTTCTTCTCATGGTAGAGGATATTCAATAGCCCACCGCTGTCTTCGTGTGCCTTTTAGGGGTCTTTTGTTGTGCAATACAATTTAAGGTTGGCAGGTCTTTCATGCATATTTGATCAGACGTCACTGCATCCATCGTCTACGCCCAAATCCTTGTTGACGGCGCAGCCGAACATCGTGAAGAAACAGCAACTGAGGATCAAATGCGCTTAAAAATGGCATGGTAATGGAGGATGGGGCAATGACACTCAATTGCTGGCAGTATATACACTGCTGATCAAGATTGCATTTTTTGGCCCAGGTCCTTTTGGTTCTCTCCACATTCTTGCAGGATAACCTTAATTAATCTAGGCAGCTACTTGGGATATGTCTTCCTCACAGGCGCAACCGCCGTTTGCAATCAGGCAACAGAAAGATGTGGTTGACAATGGCCTAGCTTGCTCTAATTCATGTGGCTTTGTAATTTGCACATGGCTACCTTTGCTGCATATGCATGCTATTTGTGTCGTCAGCGACTGCGCCGACTGCAGCACTCAAAACAGAGCGTCCCTGGTCGTTCAGAGTTCGGCGAAGCAGCAAAAGATTTTTTAAACACTAGCCGTTAATTTCCAACAGCAATCCTTTATTTCCTGCATTATGCATTCCACAGGGAACATTTGATTTTTACACTCCCTGCTCTTTCGCATTCAAACATGGCACAAGCAACTCATTGTTCTCCTAGAACTAAATATCTTACATGCTCAATTGATCCTTTTATTTTTTAAGTAACATATTATACAAAAAAAAACATAACAAAAACTATAGTACAAAGGATGGAAAAGACTGGGAATCGCTTAAGCAATGGTCGATCGCCAGTTGCGGGCGCGCTCAAAGCCGTTCTGACCATACTGGTAGTCCACAAATGTCTCGTAGATCTCCTCCTGAGAGTTCATCACAAATGGACCGCGTTGGACAATGGGCTCCTTCAAGGGCTCGCCCGCGATCACCACAAAGTGTGCATCCTCGTCCTTGGTCCTGATCTTGATCGTCGTGGTACCATCCTCCGAGAACGTAAGAGTATGGTGGGCTTTGCCCTCAAATTCCTTGTCACCAATAAATGCTGTACCCTTGAGCATATAGATAAATCTGGTATAGCTGGCAGGGATGGACTGCTCGACCGTCTTGTTCTTGTCCATCTTGAAGTCCAAATACATAGTGGGTGTGCGAGTGCAAACCTTGCTCTCTACGCCATGCGACTCATCCGCAATGACCTTGATGGCGACACCCTCCTCAGGTGTAGCGCGAGGGATCTCCTTGTCGAGTAGTTCCTGGTATTGGGGCTCGCACATCTTGTGCTCTTTGGGCAAGTTAATCCAGAGCTGTAGACCATGGGCACGGGTCTGGGACTTGACTGGCATCTCCGAGTGAACAATACCGCGCCCGGCGGTCATCCACTGCAGGTCGCCAGGTCCGATGGTTCCCTTGTGTCCTGCAAAGTCCTCATGCTGGAACTGACCCTCAAGCATGTAGGTCACGGTCTCGAAGCCGCGATGAGGATGGTCAGGAAAACCGCCGTTCTTGTCGACATTGAACTCGTCGAGCATGAGGAAGGGGTCGTGGTTGCGAAGCTCAGGACGGCCGATGGATCGGCGGACTCGAGCACCGACACCCTCGCCTTGTTCACGAGAGAGGACGGACTTGACAATGGATCTTGAAGTTCTGGCGAGAGTTGAAGCCATGGTAGAACTGGTTTGTTGTGGGATGTGTGTGAAAGTGCTTGTAAGGCTGAGAAATGTTGGAGTCGGTCGAACTGTGGGTTCTTTTTATCCCTCCTTGGAACAAACTTTCTGACCAATTGGCTTCTGTAAGCAGCTTCACAAATTCCTCCTCTCTCTGACAAGCCACCACGAGCGCTTATCATCCCGCGATCTTCGCTGGACAGGCACCGCTTTCCTTTTTTGGACGATGGAGAAAAAAAAATGGAATACCAGTCTTGAAAACACAGGTCATGGACCGATGTCGTGTACATGTCAGCAAGAAGCTATGCAAACTACCCGACAAATCTTCCGCTTTCAATTGTCAGTGCAATTGTTGAGCGCTTGGATGCTACTTATGTTCTAAGAGGCACCACAAGGGAGGAGAAAGATATGCGGTAATAATAAACTTTGTTTCTGAACTCGCGTCGCATCGCGACTGTTGGGACACCAATTTGGTAGTCATTATTACTCTCAATCGCCTTGGCGGCCTTTCACACTACAATCCGTATCCTCGTGGTGATGACAGGTTACTTAAGTCATTTGTGTTCCATCTATCCATATACCAGAATGCCTTACCATTATCACCTTTGTGGTTTTCTTTGCTTCATCTCCCTAGCAAATGAAGTACCCTGCACCGATCCTTGCATACCAAAGACCGAGAATGCAAATATGTCCATCATCTCTGCAGCTCTATCACCATCGACCAGGATACTTTTCTTCCATTTCCTTTCCCACTCTCTCTTTCTTTCTTTCTTTCAATCCTTCTCTCTTAAACATGCGCCCCGCAGCCCATGCTCCCCGGTGGTGCAGCCTTCGCGGACTGCAGATAACCGTGCACTAATGAATTTTCACAGTCGAACATTCGGATAATGTGTATGACCATTTCCCCAGTTACTGTCAAGAACGCCTTTGCACACAAAATGAAAGGTATCTGGCTCTGCATTAGAAATTCAATGGCCATGGATCGGAGAATAAGAAATGAGGTGATGAGCTAGCCTAATTCCATACTCTGTTCATTCTTCGTTTTATTAGGCTCTTTAGGCAGGTGATTGGTCGTCGCGTCAAGAACGCCTTTCATTATCGAAGAACGCTCCCCGTATCATAAGTAGGCACTCATTTTCAGTGGCTCATCTGGCATCGACTTTTTAAGCTACGACATTGACCTGAACGCCTTTCTTTTTTTTTTTTTTTTGAGGTCTGTTATATAGAGCAACTAAGCACCTGGATCTGTAGGGGATATATGGTTCAAGTATGATGAAACAGCACTCTATTACGGGATTACAGGAGGACATTTTATATCCATTAGAGGAAGTTAGAGGGTGGTCGCTAGACCACTTTCGGGCTGTCTATTTACTTTATTAAAGTTTCGACCAGAGTATAATAACTTTACGACTTAGGTATCTATGAATTTACAAGTGTCGGTTTATCAGCTTATCAGCATTGAGTACCTGGGTTTACGCGTTTTAGAAGATCGGCAGAATGCTGCTGGCATTAGCTGATAACAATTGTGCTTTCCAAAAAAAAAAAAAAAAAAAAAAAAAAGGCGGGCAATGATGATAGATGACAGTAGAGTTTATTCCCAGGAGCCGGACCGGTCTCTCAGACCCCACATCTCTATGATCATAATGATTAGCGTCATCTTTCACACTAGTAGTAACACTAGTGCATACTGAGTTTTTGAAACTAAGTGGTTTTGCGGGATCAATTCAGGAACATGTATTTCTGGCAAGCATGTGAACGTGAAAGTACGGACTTTATAATTTTTTTACATGGCTCCCTGTCATCTGGGAATTAAAAGTATGAGGAGATCCTCCGTGCGCCAAACATGAGATCCGAGATGGGGGGGGGAGGGGGATTTGTACCACCATCAATCTCGAAAAAATGGCTGTGCAGCCTGACATCGAACAAAAAAAAAAAAAAAAAAGGATTACTATACAAGTTTTGGCTATAGTTTTATTGTTGGTTCTCTTCATTTGTATAATACAGAAGGACGGACCGAAGAGTCCTGTCCTTTGCTAAAAAGAAATATAAAATAAAATAAAAACATCCCCGTATCCATCAGACCCTCTCAAGTAAGGAAAAAAAATACGCCTGGTCTGCTGGACACCTGGTATCCGTGATATGTTTCATACACAGACGACCGAATCTCGATGGTCTGTGTACATGGGATGTTTCTTCGAAAAAAAACCCCCAAAGAAACACCTGTACCCATCAAAAAAGTAAAAGAGAAAATTGTATACTATTCTAAAATTTGGCAATAACCGCCACGCAGGCGATCAAACCAATGGTCGCAAGGCCGCGCCAGAGGGTATACTGACGGAAGGGAATGCCAAAGATGCTAAAATGATCAATGAGGCAGGAGAAGATCATTTGGGCGCAGACAATAATTGCTGTCGTAGTACCGGCACCGAGTTTGGGGATCGCCAGGATGGTGATGATAACAAAGACTGCACCGATGATACCGCCGGTCCAGGTCCACCAGGGAGCCTTGGCCATCATCAGGGTCAAGTTCGCTGGTGGACGGCCCCGCACCTCAATCAGGAAGTAGATGCATGATGCCACCGCGCCTGTTGTGGAGAATAAAAAGAACCAGGATTAGTTTTTTTGTCGTCTATTCGGAGGAAGTACTGTGGGCGGGATATGTGTTGTGGAACGTCGATTCAGGGTCCCCTCATACAATTGGTGCGGCAACGACAAATGAAAAATAGGATGGCGGGCGGGGATAGATTTTTTTTTTCAGGGTCGATATGCAAGTAATCCATGCCGTCTAAACACATACCGATGCAGAAGACGATGGTCGAGGAAAGACCCTGGCCAGTGTACTGGCCAAGCTTGGAATTGACGGCTCCCTGGGAGGCCGTAGCAATACCACCGACCAGGCAGAGGAAGGCGCAGAAGATGACGTTGTCGAGGAGAGACATAGGTTTTGGCTGGATGGAGCGGACGGAGGATTGCCTGGAGACGACTTTGATGCTAGAAAGATCGGTGGTATGCGATTCGTTGTTATGAAGCATAGATCTGGTTACTGGTGATGGGATAGATAATGTATGTTCTCTTTCTTTCAGTGAAAGAAGAAAACAGGATTATCAAAAGAGTTAAGGGAGAGAGAGAGAGGAATGAGGATCGGTCCGCGTGGAGAGATGCAGAAAGGTATAGTAGATCGGATTAAGGAAAGGAACAGAAGGCTGTTTAGGTGGACAACAAGTGTCAAGTAAAGTGAGGGATTGGTGTGAAGGCGAGTGTGAGAAGGGTTGAACTGAATCTAGCTGAGGAGTTGTTAAAAAGAAGAAAAAAAGGGGCCCTGGATGCTGTCGGGGTCTGGATATTTATACGACAATCCATGGAGTACAGATCATGGCAGGGAGACATGGGCTAAAGAGATTTTCTACTCAGTGGGCAAAAGGGAGGAAGAGTAATAACAAACCATTCAATGAAAAGGTGCCGATAGGCCAGAGTAAAAGCAAGTTGTAACCAAATCAAGTCAATATAGCCAAATCAAGTCAGTTTTCTTTTCTTTATTCACTTTTTCAAGCGGAAAAGGGTTTGTTTACACTTCACTCATGGTAAACGTTATCCCTAGGTTGCTCCTCCTCTAGAAAGGATGTATATAGTATTTAGTCTAGGAAATGAATTGGGCAGGACAGCTACACGCTGCACTACGTAACCGTAGACACAAAAGCAGACGACAGTTCTAGAAAAAAAACACGGGCAGTTAGGTGCATAGGGTTCCTCGTCTCCGGTCTCTCACCTTTTGTTTACAGTCATCTCTGTTAAAAAAAAAAAAAAAAAAAAAGCCAGATCAGAAGGGCAATCTTCCTCGTTGTTAATTGTTGTTATTGTCGTTTTCATAGAAACATTGGTGATCTGTAAAGGCCGCCGCCAAGAGAGATTTCTGCTAAACATGTGTGTTGTGTCTCTAGGCGCAGCAAAAATGAAAACATCAACAACAGAAGAGCGCTCCTTGGGTATATAGTAGTTACTTGGTCTGCAACTGCAAGCTACCACGATTCACTGCGTTTTCGTCCCTGTGGTTCTTTGAGGGACTGCAGATGAGTACCCCAATCAGGAGCAGCGAGCGAGTCGCCACGCGCCAATGGGGCATAAAGAGGGCAAATTAAAACGGCCAATTGAATCAAGTCGTACCTGAATTCCATGCAACTTCTATAGAATAACCTGTCTGTTTTCCCCCATACTTGCCTGCTGAATTCAGAAAAAGCGGGGAATATCCACTTTTTTTTCTTGTTCATGTCGTAAACTCTATTTCACAGCCAGCTCCTGTTCCTTATTGAATATAACACTTTTTATTGCATCTCATTGCAGAAAAAAAAACACTGCGGATTTCCGGTCTATAACTCGCCTTGCTGTTACTTATCCTTCTTGCCAGCCAAAGTTTGAGCTTCAAGCAAAGCAAGTTTCCACTAGATCAAACAAAAACACACGACACAGAGTAATGGGCCCTCCGGCTTTTGGTAGGTTGATTGTTGACATACCCAGGACGATGGGATACAAGCGACAACTCCAGGAGACAAAGTCACGTCTCCATGTTTATATGAATGTACGTTCGAGCTGTGTACGCGTCGAGCAGGACGTCTGCGATAGACGCACACAGATAAAAGGAAGTACAATCGACTACGATCTGCACGCTTGACACACTCTCACGCACACGCTTTCTTTATTTCAAAACCAGACAGCAAAAGGCGGGGTAAGGGCAAGGCAAGACAAAGAGTATGAATGCACCCCAGGCTAAGGGCGAGCGGGAAAATTACCTTTAAAGTCGCACTTTCCCCACCTTTCCGATTCCGATAGCCTTTTTGCTGTTCGGAGGGCATGCACACGAACAGTTGGTTCTGACCAATCGGTCATCGTTCGTTGAAAAACCTGACCCTATGGTCGGCTATCGGGGCCTTTGTATTGGTAACTTTGAAAAAGAGACACAAGAAAAAAAAACACGGGCGAGCGTAAAGAGAACCCTGTGAGCGAGCGGAGTAAAAAAAAAAAAAAGGAGACACTGTAGACATATCCGCCTTCGAGTCTACGGATTATTTTGTACAATCATACATTATCATATCCCCCGCGTTTCGATGTTGCCATATGGAGGAATCTCCCCCGTATATTTCCCTTACTCCGTACAGAGCCAAACTTCGAATAATCCATGCTCTCTCTTCCATTATCCGTGATGGACCTGCACTCCCGATCGCATGATGAGCCAGAGTCGTGGAGAGAGAGAAAAGATAGTCTTTTTTTCGAGTCCGACTCACTCGATCGTGGGGTGGACTTCTATATATGTTAAAACCTGGAGACCAGGATCCTTGGTACCCTGCAGATGATGCCACATGGTGCTACACAATCCGCTGGTTTCGGCAAATGCAAAAGAAGAGGACGTTTTTGCTACTTTCTTAGGCCCTCAAATGATCACTTCTGCGGATCTGAAAGTAGGTATACTATTTACTCTTATTCTGTTCCGCTCGCGAACAGCAGACGGGGGATCGTTGCGAAAATGCCGGCGCCAAGACCAAACAAAAAACAAAACCATTGGCAACATATCCTCAAAAGTACATTCTTTCGCACACACGCACACTTGTAAACTACTAGTTTTATTTTTTATTTTTATCCGCATGAACGCGCAGCCTGGAAGAATCCGTAGACGAATAAGCAACCGCTATGGTCCTCCTCGTTAATGCGTAAGCCTCCAAAAGACACGATTTTCATCCTAGTATTGCGAGCAGTGCCGCCCAACACAAACCAATTTCTCGATTAATTCGGATGGTAAACATTTAGGTCCGTCCGTTATCATGCTGGTACGGGAGCTGCCAATGTACGCGCTCCAATCTGCTCGATGGCATATCTAGACCATTTATCGTATCACCAAGGATCGAAAGGATGTGTCCAACAGACCAAATTCCTTGGTCATAAACAAACATGCAGAGGCAAGCATTAAAACATATATTTTTCAAACAACAACAAACACAGGACACAGCAGCAAGAGCAAACAAACAAGTAAAAAAGAGTTGGCCGCTTTTCTCATGCGAAAGTTAATCATGCGCGGGGAACGGAATAGGACTCGCCGCCCCTCATACGCCTATTTTGGACAAAGACGCGTCAACGCTTGTCTAGGGCGTTGTTGATGAAGATATGTACATGACAGTAGGTAATAGCAGCATAGGACACGCGCCTGCTGATATTTTGTTCCGCACTGGAGATTAACGTGTCGGTAATATCCTTTTCGTATTAAACGACATGATTTAGGGTTTCTTCGTCTTCCGCGCCTCACCAGTTTACTTCCAGAAAGCAGAGAGATAGATAGATAGATAGAGAGAGAGAGAGAGTTCCGCTTTTCGGGCGATACTTCAAAACGCCAATAACGGAAAGGGTTCAAGGCCCATTCTTTTCTAGAAAACCATGTCATACCCCACAGACACAGATACAGACACAGACACACCCCACCTCACAACCGTCCTTGGTTGTTATGCGATCGCCTTAGCCTGGCCTCTCGGAGGTCCTGATTTTGTGAATAAAGTGCCGAGGAGTGATCTTTGATCCCTGAATAGGAAACCAAGTAGGCTAGAAGCCCTTCAGGACCCGGATTGAATTTTGCCCGCAATCTGGAAAGGAAGAAACAGGATAGAGGGAAGCATGATTGCTGTATAGACCAAGGAGTGCCTCTTTTTTTTTTTCTTTTTTTTTTTTTTTTTTTTTTGGGGGGGGGGGGGTGGAGGTTGTATGCAGGCAGACTGCAGCTCTATTTTCATCGTTTCTTTGTTTTGACCTACGCGGAAAAGGGGACCGCTGCAACCTACAGCCCTTGGCTCCTGTTGCAGTTCTGATCCTTCAAAATGTCTTCTTTCAAGGCCTAAATGTATAGCAAATGACTGCTTTGTATACATTGTCCTAAAGACTCTTACTGATTCCATTGACTATATACCCACCCATACGCGCACTCCATCTCCTGTAGTGCTCCACGCCGTCGCTCTAGAGAGGCAGCTCAAAGCTGACGTTGATCTGTGCCTCGCGGGCCATGTTAACCATCTTGCTCAGCTTGACCGACTTACTCGCTGCATCATCCAAGTCATCTGACGTAATGATTCTCAATCCAGACTCTGCAATCAGCTTCTTGGCCTCATCGACCTCCGTACCCTGAAGACGGACCACCAATGGGATCTGCAACTGCAGCGTCGAGGCCGCCGCAATGATGCCCTGCGCAATCACATGGCACGACATGATGCCGCCAAAGATGTTGGTGAAGATCGTCGTCACTCGGGGATCGGACGAAATAATATTGAATGCCTCCGTGACCTGCTCAGCCGTTGCTCCACCGCCGACATCCAAAAAGTTGGCGGGCTCGCCACCATGCAACTTGATAATATCCATTGTCGACATGGCCAAACCAGCTCCGTTGACCAAACATCCGATCGATCCGTCCAGTCCGATGTAGTTCAGGTTGTATTTGCTAGCTGAAACCTCACGGGGATCCTCCTGACTAATGTCACGAAGGGCAAACACCTCCTTCTGGCGGAACTCGGCATTGTCGTCAAAATTGATCTTGGCGTCCATGCAGATGACTAGCAGACATGATGTTGACGAGCACTGTTAGTATCGGACATCGTAGCGGGGCATGATATCGTATTCGCAGAGACAGAAAAGCGTTATCACCTTCGTGGTCAGCGGACTCGGCCATGGGGTTGATCTCGACCATGGTAGCATCCTTCTGCATAAAGAGGTCGTAGAGGTTGATCATAGTGTCGGTAGCCTGATCAATGCATCTGGGGGTGAATCCCATGCGCTCGGCAAGGTCACGAACAGCAGCACGATCGACGCCCTTGTTGATATCGATAGGAAGCTGAAGAATGGCCTCGGGGTTCTCAGCCGCGACTGACTCGATGTCAACACCACCCTGAGAGGAGGCGACCATGACAGGGCCCTGGGACTTGCGATCCATCAAAACAGCAAAGTAGTACTCGCGACGGACATACTGGCGTTCGCAAATGTAGACAGAGTTGCAGATCTTGCCGTGAGCACCGGTCTGCTTGGTGACCAGTTTGTGTCCAAGCATCTGGTCCGCAAACATCTGGGCCTCGCGAGGGCTATATTGAAGTAGTCGAGGCGTATCAAGTCAGTCATCGCCGTAGTCCTTCGGCATTGCCCCTCTCCTCTCCCCCAGAGAGCAATTTTCAGACCCTCGAAATTAGAAATTAAAAAACATCGGCCAACAACAATTTACGAGAAAATAGTGCGAACACCTCCTTTGAGACCAGAGTCGAATGTGCCCTTGCCACGACCACCAGCGAGAACTTGAGCCTTGATCACCATGTCCTCGGTTCCTGTTGGATCAATCAATTGAAAGTGGTAGGGTAGCGAAAGGTCAGTCAGTGTACGCGTATACGGTCCTATTAATTGACTTGCTCCAAGCCCATGTAAGGCTGACTGATGAAGACTCGTGCATGGTCCTGATAAAGCGTCGCTTCGGTCTGCAGAGGGTGTGTCTGCAGTAGTTTCGTGGCCAAAGATTCCGAATAAAAGTCTCCGTTACTCTCAAGTGCGACATGGGCGCAGATCAGGATCGGTGCACGTGCATCCTCGATAGGTCGGGTAAATGTGTGAAATCATATTGCCGGACCCATAAACCATACTGCAGCTGGTCTGGTACAAGGCCGTCTTCGACCGAGGCATTATTTCGTATCCACACAAATGCTGAAGCAATTGGAGAGTCTAGAGGTGAGAGGCATCCAAGATGGCACATACCGAGCTTCTCGGCAACAGCATAGGCCTCGGATCCGGTCTTTGCGACGCCGCCACGAGGGGTTTTGATCCCCTGCTTCTGGAGAAGCTCCATGGAGAGGTACTCGTGAATCGACAGGAAGCGCTTCTGCTGCTGGGTAGCAACATTCATGCGGGGCTAGGAGATAAGATAAGGACCATGATTAGATTCCTAGAGTGGTTCGTTCGGTAAGTGGCACCCCCATGGAAAACTTCCTGCAAGAGCTATATAAGGTTGAGAGGGCCTTTGGACATATTAAGACAATCGCGGGGATCAGTCCAAAAGAGAGCCGATCCGAATGACACCTTTTCAGAACGCCCATGGGAAAAAATAGAGGACAGGGTATTATAAGGATTGCGACAGTTGTGTTTCCTAATAGCATTCCTTTTGAGGGTGGACATTGTCGAGTAGGTGGGACTGAGAAATTGCACAGGTTTAGGTAACCGTTGAAGTCGAAGACAAGCAAAGCAGGCCTACAAGTGTATCCCTAAATAAGCAGCAACAGCACAAAGGAGGAGGGGGGGAAATGTTTCGTTACCATGGCCCTTGCAACAGCTGAGGCAGATCTGATGGTGCGGAACATGATGTCGTTAGCGTGTGTGAATGCGTGTAGAAAAGTATAGTGAGAAGGGAGGAGGCGAGGGGAGTGAAGGAGCGCGTTTCCTTCCTCCCATCTACGACATAAGGGTAGCTGTATCACGTGGAATGCATCATCACGGAGGGACGAAACCCTTTCGGAGATGGAGGTGATGGTATATGCGTCTCTCTCTTTCAATTCATCAACAACAACTAACAACAATCAGCAACACATATACGTCAAATCATCATGGCTATTGGTAATAATAACAACAACTTCAATCTAATGGAACGCATCACCTTGCTAGCAACGTTGCGGAAATGTACTTGGTCCATCCCACTTATTCTCTTGCGAACACGAAACACAAAAACATCCCTCCGAATAGCAACTCACCTCGTCCTCACCTCCAACACATATATCCTCCTTAGGAAAATGGATGGGTTGGTGGGGTCACTTGGGCGGCCTTAAGCAGCGTGGTATCGTCACCTACAGCCTGTCTCCCTTTGAGCAGCGCGCTTTTGCCGGCGCTCTTCACCAGGCGATCTTCAACACCTTCCGCCGTACCACCGGTCAGGTGCTCTACATTGGTATTCCCTTCGGTCTGGCCTACGGCACCTACTCCTGGGCCAAGAAGAACCACGGTGCGTGCCAAGAGCCTCTTCTTCATGTTAGAGTAGAATTCCATGGCAGAGGCTATGCTCGGTCATGGACATGGAAGGAAACTGCTCATTCCGGGAAACAAGTTGACAGTAACCAACGACGACAGGGGAGCTACTATCCCTGATATGTAACCATGGATCAATTGCAACAGTCTTGATCGAACCCAACTTCAAGAACATTATCGATTGAACGAGGCCAGTCACTAAGGAACTCATGGGACTAATGAATAGAGAAACCATATGAATACAGAGACTAACATGGTACACTTTCTACTAAATTCAATAGAGTTTCGTTTGAGCAAGGAGGGCCATGCTTTCTACGGTGCTGGAGAGCATTAAGCAGTCGCGTCCTTGTCCTTGTCCTTGTCTTTTAACTTACAAACCTGCAAAAGCCGGAATAAAAGCGACTCCTTGTCTCTTTGCGATTGATGCTTTTAATAATGGTGCCTGCTATATGCTTTGGAAACAACGCCTCCTGCGAATGACATTCCTCTAGGGCAATAACATTCTATTTCGCTCCGATTCACCGCCCTTCTTCAGCCTTTTCCGTTCTCTGCTTCTTTGCTTCTTTGCTTCTTTGCTTCTTTGCTTCTTTCTTTCTTTCTATCTTTCTATCTTTCTTTATTTCTTTCTTTGTTGAACGCTTTCAAATTTTGCCTATCACTCCCCTGCAGGACAATCCATTCAAAAAAAAAAAAAAAAAAAAAAAAAAAGCTCAATGGTTGCGGCTTCCAGGCTAACCAGCCTAGATGTTGGTTATTCGCTTCGTGCCACGTTGTTCTTTTTTATGCTCATCAACCTAGCAGTTCACACTATTGCCCAGCAAGTCGACGGAAGGGATAATGCTCAGGCCCTTGCTGATATCACCCTTGCAGACGCGATGCCAAGCGGACCAAGTACGAGACACCCTTTCACACTTAGCCCATGCTTTCCATGATTTGTATTTTTACAACTTCCTTCTAATCCTCCTTCGTCTTCTCGTTTGGATGGCCATTTTTTTTTTGGAATTTTGAGTAGAAGTAGACGCCGCCCGAGTGTATCTCAACCAAATACCACGACAAGCCATCCCTTACAATCCTCCACCAAAAGACTTTCCGCCGGATCAATGGGGCAACCGCATCCCTGACTTTAGTCAAGTGTAAGGACAGGATTCCTTGACAAACACAGCATTTCATTTTATTCAGCTTTTTTTTTTTTTTTTTTTGGCTAATTGTCACCTATCGATCGCCATTACTTTTATGTCTGCTGGGGGGAAATTTACCATAGAGGATACCGCAGTGGCCATGTCCCGCTCCCTCAGGTCCCTGTCAAGATCATCCTCCATCCCTCCTCAGATCCCCAGGTCAACGACCGTGCCCGTATACAGAACGCCATCGACTGGGTTGGACGCCAGCCCCTCCAATCCTTCACGCTCCGTGACCGCAAGACCGTCATCCGCACACGTGGCGCTGTCCTCCTCCAGGCAGGCATCTACCATATCCAGGGCGCATTGATCCTCAATAAATCCGGCGTCGTTCTCCGGGGAGAAGGCAATGGGCCCAACGGCACGGTCTTGATGGCCTCGGGCCAGTTCCGACACGATTTTATTCACATAAACGCAGTCCTGGATCCGACGTTTCAGGGCACACCAGAGTATTTGGTCAAGCATGGGGCGAGTAAAGAGATGTCCCCGAAGGATCCGTATGTGATCTTGGACCAACAGGTCGCGCGTGTGGCGAAAAAGTATGTCCCTGTGGGGACGACTAAGTTGCCGGTGCAGGATGTGTCGAATTTCAAGATCGGGACCGATGTGGTCCTGGAACGACGGGCGAAGGCGAGTTGGGTGCATCTGCTGGGGATGGATGATATCCCGCAGAGACCGGGTGATCCGGGTCGCACCAGGAATTGGGATCCGCGTCAGTATACCCTAAGATATGTGAGGAAAGTTATGGCGATCGAGAAGAAACCGCAGGCGAAGCTGAGGGTGAAAAGGAACCAGCACCGTGGCAGACGTGTCCGATGGTCGCGGCACCACCGACATGTTATAGACAGGAACCATACGAGCATTATCCGCATGCTTGAGACCAAGTCCGTGGTCAAAGGTGAGGGTGACCATGAGGACGACGACATTAAAGAAGAAAATGGATACAAGGACTTGGGAACTGAGCAACGCGCCCAGCCAGGGTATCTGAGGCTCGATATCCCGACGGTCATGAACATGGACCCAGCCTACGGCAGAAGCGTCGTCTACAATTTTGAGCGCGAGACTCCGATCCCCTCGGATGTCGGTGTCGAGAACATGGCGCTCTGGTCGGAATACGACCCTGACAATTTATTGGACGAACAGCACGCGTGGTTTGCAGTGTTAGTTGATCATTGCGAGCACTGCTGGGTGGCCGATATCAAGGCCAGGAACTTTGTATCGGGCGTCAAGGCCGGTCCGGGGTCGAAACATGTAACGATCCAGGATAGTGAGATGCTGGAACCAATCTCGTTGCGGAACGCGGGCGGAAGGCGATACATGTATATGCTTCAGGGACATATGGGACTTGTGAAGAGATGCTTTGCGAGTGACTCAAGGCATGACTTCCTAACGGGGTCGAAGACTCCTGGGCCAAACGTCTTTGTGGACTCGGACGGAATTCGTGCGAACAACGATGCAGGGCCTCATGGTGCGCTTTGCAAGAAGAACAAGAAGAAGTGGTTCGTTTCCGATGGATAGGGTTGGGGGGTTTTTTTTAACACGCTTGACTTTTTTTTTTCTTGAATATCTGCTGCGTTGTTAGATCGGTGGACAACAGGAACGCTCTATGATAACATCCACAGCCATGACCTTAATGTGCGCAATCGCGGATGGATGGGGTCCGGACAAGGCTGGTCAGGCGCATTCCACGTTGTCTATCGCTGCTCAGCCGACGTATCCGTCGAGTTCCAATCACCGCCTGGAGCCACCAACTGGGTCATCCACTTTGAAGGCAAACTCGGTCATAAATCGGTCGAGTTTAAAGGAGACAACGCCACATTCTTGGACCCCAACCCCAAGAACGGTAAAGTCTCTCGTTCGTTGTACTGGTCCCAATTGGTGGCAAGGATGGGTAACACGAACGATGCGGCCATCACTGTGGAGAACTATGTGGGTGTTGCGGGAAAGAACAGCTATCCACCACCGATGCAGGGAAGGTTTGTGAGCATGGAGGAGATCGTGGCACGCGACAAACAGATTAGGGCGGATCTCGCAGGTGACCAAGGATCGGAGCGTTGGGAGGCAGATGACATTACCTTGAAGGATCTAGTGCAGGAGATCCAAAGATTGGAGCGGGAGTTGGGCTATGCTGTGGACAGGCGGGCCATCTAAATGGAAGCACATCTATAGCATCTCTTTCTCCCCATCATTGTCCGTGTATTTGTAATATACCCATATATCCATACATCCAAAAAAAAAAAAAAAAAAAAAAAAAAAAAAAAAGAGTGCGGCAGCATTCACAAGTCCCTCGACTTTTATTTCCAATTGACAGCCAGTTATCAATGGTTGCTTGCTGCCATGAGGCTATATAAAGACTGTCAGACCAGACCCTGCTGCCCGAATCCTGATATTGAGTCGTGTTCGCTGTGGTCCATTGGGAACGGGCTTGAGGGGTTATGGCCCATAGGTTTCTGTAATGATTGCGGCAAAGCGGTGTTCAATGGTGGTAATGGCTGTTGCGATGATTGTGGTGGGATATCTAACGAGTTTGAAGCCGTTACTGACGATTCATCGATCGGAACGATATCATGGCCGAGCTCATGTCCTAGATGAGGGTGGTAATGCTCTGGAGGACGCGGGTGTGTGATACTGAGGGTCTGCAGGGAGCTCAAAACAGGATGCTCCACAGGGTTGAATGTCATATCCATGGACGACTGTTGAGAAAGAAACGTTGCGGAGCGGTTTCCCAGGTCCATTTCATCGTGGTCTTCAGACGTAAATGTCGAGCTTAACTGGCTAGAAGTATGAGGCTGTCGATGGTGATGATGAGGGTGATGGTGATGGTGGTGGTAATGGTGACCATGGTGCCTTGTTGATCCTGATCCTGTTGAAGCGGAGCCATTCAATGCTGGTGAAGACGGTGATGAGGGCACATGCAGAGCAAAATATCCAGCAGCCGATCCCTCGTCCGACAGTTCTAATGGCGTGATTGGCGCGGAGGGTCCTAGGTTGGGTCGCAGGAGCGGAGAGGCTTTTGGAGATAAGCCCATGAGTGGGGTGACATCGCCAGATCGAATAGCCGCGGCAGCAGTGGACATGGAGTGTTTGGTGTGGGCCGTGGGATGGTAGAGACAGCCAAAGGCATCGTAGAGGGCCGACCTTATCAGCTTGGAGTCGTGAGAGTTCATGGCAGGCGAGGTAGAGGCAGAGGGCGACATCAGACCGAGGGGTGAGGCTGGTCTGGCGTTCAGCAGTTGCTGCTGTTGAAAGTCCAGGGCGATGCCGTCCTCGAGGAGCTGCTGGGGGGCAGATGGCCCTGGCATCAGTCTGGGATGCGACGAGGCATTGTCCTGTCCCTGGTTATACGATGTATGATCGGCCTGCTGCTGTTGCTGCTGTTCCGGGTGAAGGTGTTCCTGAGAAGGCTTGGGAGGATTTGGCAGGTGTGGCATTCTGCGGTGGGCTGCCACGTTCGGGAAGGGCATTATTGAGGCCATTTTCTTGTGTTGTGCTATGTTGCCTGGCGCTGTGGGGAGGGGGTGTCTTGTCTGTGTCGAGGGATGAAAAGTGTGTGAAGTTTGTGTGAGGGAATGAAGAGGAAAGAAGGAAAGAAGGAAGGAAAGTGGTGGGGCGGTAGAAACGGTGCGTGAGAGAGTGAAGTGAACTTTCCCGTCACACGAGGAAGGGGGAGCTTTTTGTTGGTTGGAAATAAGGGCTCAGAGACATGCGATGACTGGATATGATGCGAGACAGACCCGAAAGAAACACATTCGATTATTCTGTCCAACGGAAACTGAATGGGTAATCCATTGCTCGAGTGGGCATTCTCCGGGAAGTCCAATGTGCCGCTGTATCCCCCTGCTTCGGCAACACTCCCAGCTTCGTCACTCCAACCCACCGCATCACTGCATTATCACATTACTGCAGCCAACTTTATCCCGCCCGAGTGCTCTCATCTCTTCCCCCTTCCCCCCCTTCTTCTCTCTCTCTCTCTTTCTTCTTTCTTTCTTCTCTTCACCCCTTCACACCTCAACCTTACCAGCAGCCAGTTCCTCCGCCATGGTCAGTTTCCAGTTCGACTCCTTCGCCAACACCTCCAACGCCCTCGTCGCGGGCAAGGTGGTCGCGATCGCTTCCCTCGGCATCTACGCCGGCACTGCTCTCAGCTTCAGCACCATCATCATGCCCTCGCTCCGCAAGTTCTCCTCCAACAGCTCCGTCGCCATCTGGCACGAGGCCTTCAAAGCTGGAAACTGTAAGTGACAACCAGGACATACTCACACATGTGCGCACCACACACGCGCTACAAAACAAAGCGAAACATAACTTGTCTCCCCTCTTTCCGTTCTATTCCGCGGGATCAAAAGAAAGCATGCAATTGACATCCTCTCTTTTTTCACACGACCCCAAATAGACGTTCAGACATCCGCGATCGCGGTCAGTGTCCTCGGAAATGCAGGATTGTACTACAAGACAAAGAACCCCTCGTACCTTTACAGTGCCGTTATCATGGCCTTGTCGGTGCCTTACACCTTCATCGCCGTCATGCCCGTCAACAAGAAGCTCGTTGCGATCCGTGAGGAGAACACTATCCATGGCAAGAGCAACACCATGAAGGACCCTAAGAGCAACGACAACGTGGCCGAGGCACTTTTGAGCCGCTGGAGCTTGCTCCACGCGGTGAGGACCGCGATGGGCTACGGCGCCTTGCTCGCCACTGTCTACGGTGTTATTTCCGACAGAGGAGTCCGCTTCATCCTGTTCAAATAAAGCAGTGTTGTTGTATGTATCTATTTAATAAACTTACGCATACTTGCCATCACGTAAGCACGTCGCATGATAGAGAATCGATCGTCCGTTGAAAGGGAGCAGAAAAAGTAGGAAAGGCTTACAGATGGAGCAGTAAAGCTCATTTTTATCGGATGCTTCCGTTTTTGTATCACTTTCTACAATCCTCAACCGAACCTGCGAAGCAACAACGCACTAGTCTTGATCGCATGCGCAGGGTCACCAAACCACGTCGTTTAATGTGTGGAAAAGCTTCCGTGTGGAAAGATCGATATGACACCCCATCACTCACCTTCTAAAGACGATCAAAGTTGGGGGAGCATCGCGAGATGGCATGAACGTATCCCATATTCGAGCAATTGAATGAATACACTCTCTTGGAACGATGATGGTTCGTGCCCCTTCATACGCAAGCCCATTGAACTGTGTAGTCTACTACGGAATGGGCATAGCAAAACTGCGGAATAATCCAGCAGGAACTCTCCTTCACTCGGACATGCAGTCTACGGTATAAACAGGCGCGCATGTGCATACTCACATGCGACGACGCAGCTAGAGCGACAAAGCACTGGAAGCGCGATTGAATAAAAGGAAAGGGTTACCTTAAAAATGCCCTAGCGACCGCGCCCTTTGTGACACACGGGCCACAGACACAATGCGTCCCATGCGATGCATAATTATGCCCGCAATAATTCTGCAGCGAGTATGTGCGTGTTTTTTTTTTTTTTCTTTTTAACTGCTGTAGATATGTAAAGAACGCGTTTGGGAAAGGAGGCGCGAGAGCTGAACATGGCCCGAGCACCATTGCCCATGGCTGGCTCGCTGCTGAGTTTCGGTTCACGATCCAGCAATTGGACACATGTTGTTTACGAATGCCCTGAAAAAAAGGGAGGGACATGGTTGTCTGATAGTCGATGAGCGTGTTGTAAAAAAAAAAAAAAAAACGTTTTCTCTCACAGGACCCATGGATAGGGGGCAGAAGGTGTTGTCGCATGCCTTCCTCAATGTTGATCCAATTGAATTCGCCTTCGATGATAGATAGCGTGCTTGCGGGTGTTTGTTACAAAACAAAAAAAATGGCAAGGAGAGATCTGCAGGATTTCTTGTTTTGTCTTCGTCTTCTCTCTCTCTTTCTCTCTTTCTCTCTCTCTCTACTCTCACTACCCACACAAATTTCAGAGTCCACCCATCCATCGCAATCAATTCCAGACGGATCTTTTTCTTGTATCATACGCAGGTACCAGCAGCATGACAATGGCATAACAGATTACCCATGTTTTTTTTTTTTTTTTTTTTTTTTTTTTTTTTTTTTTTTCATTCCGACGACGCGACGGGGCACCGGAACACCCGCTTTCCATTTTTGGAGTAGTGAGATATTCTCCCCACGCATGGAAGGACTAAATTCAACATTCGACAAGTTTCTTGTAGAGACAAGCTGCGCAAGTAGAGAAGAGAGACTTTTTTTTTGAACGAGGAGAGATAGCATGGGTGAATTATTATTCGAAAGTGGCAACTTACTCTTGTGATTTACTTCATATGTCAATTGCTCTGCTCGTGTGCGTGTGTGCGTGTGACCGATGCAGAAGGTCGCTTTAAGAGAACACGGTTTTCTTTCCAAAGCGAGGAACGGAGGAATGACATTCAAAGAGGACCAAGAGATAATGAGCGGTATTTCGATAAAAAAGACAGGTCAACGGAAATGAGAGACCGAGAAGCGAATAATTCCTCTTTGAAGTATAGAGGGTAGGCTAAAAAATATGTCCGGGGCCGAAGATCGTTTCCGCTTGGGAAGATCACTAAACAGGAGGACCGGAAACGGCCCTTAGTGCCATCGCCTAGCTGTCTGGGCGGTAATTACGGAATTGAGCTGAGCTGGCTGACAAAGGAACGACATCATCTCCTCATCGTCATTTGTTGCTGCCTCGAGGCAGGAGTGTGTTCTCGTACGCCGGGTATAACTATATGCTTCTGCAGCAAATGGTGTGTACCTACCCCACGCATTATGACACTGCGTATTGGATCCGTAACCGTGGGGGGGCCTGGAATGTGATTGATTATATAACAGCACTTCCCCCCCCCTAATCATTTCAGCCATCTTCTCCACACACTCTTGCCCCTTCAATTCGCTAGCTACACATTTGTAGACCCTACTACTATTTCTTATATGTTATCCTATATCTGGCCTTGGCTCTCTGTTCACTCTACATTTAGCACTCGCACACCCATCCACGTACGTGGCTCTACTACTAGGTCTGCTCTTCCTTGCACGCTCCACTTGGACACCCTTGGCAAAAAAACATTTTTAGCTTGGCATTCAGGCATTTCTGAGCATACGACAGGTGAGTGAGTGGTGGTCATGAGCATCTACAGCTCGTTCTGGATCGTGTTGAATGTTAAAATATGTTTCTATTACTTTACCATGTCATTTAAAATAGCAAATCGCACAACACACGGGCCAAACACACTTCTTTTCTTTTTCTTTCCTCCTCTCTTTTTCTCTCTCTCTCTCTTTCCTTCTTCTTCCCCCTTCTCCTCTTCCTCCTCCGCCTTTCCTTTGTCTCTTCCTTTAACACTTCACACATTGGACTTCTCGTCCCTCATTCCTAGCTGATTCATTCCATTTTGATCTCTTTTGCTGCTGCCCTGTCTTGACTTGTCCTGTTTCACTTCTCGCCCGAAAGTAGTCTTTTTCCCCACAAAAAACAACCTCCCCCCCCCCCATGGCCGCCGCAGAGACTGCAAACGTCCTCCTCACACCTCCGCCTGACAACGACCGCCTTCGCCCCACCATGGACTCTGCCGCCGAACCAGTCTCATTCTCGCCAACGCAGCGACGTCCCTCCCGTCCCCTCGATGACTCCTCAGAGGAAGAGCGCGAACTCGTCAGTCGAGACCGCCAGGGCGGCCTCCCAAGCGAGCATCCAGACTTTGATGAGGACACCACTACCACTACCACTACCACCACTACCACCGTCAAGTTGCCCAAGAAACACACGAGCCGCAACAGTAAAGGCGGGATCGAGAAGCTGGTCGCCCACCATCAGGCTGCCCATCAAAAGTTCGCCTCAGCAGCACCCGCCGAGGAAGGAAACAGCTCAGAACCTGAGAACAGGGACAGGGATCGTGCTGTCATCGCAGAGACAAGTAGCACCCAGCAATCCAGTCCTACGACAGTTCTAGCTCCGTCCGCATCATTATCAATCTTATCGCACCCCATCAAGTCCGGTCAAAGCTCAGCGGATACCGCTTCAGAATCGACGACGACAACCATTACCTCGCCCATCCAGCGACTCTCAGCCAACTCGGGCTCCAGCAGTACGCTGCCACATCACACTGGGGATCAAAGCAGAGTAGAGGCGCTTAAGATGTTGCCCACCAGCCCCAGCTCTGATTCTCTCGCCAGTACCCGATCCAGCACGAGTCCAGGGACGCCTAGCTCTGTTGATAATTACCAGACAATCTCCACCACATCCACTGTCACCACCCGGAGACGCAAGTTGCGTCGCCCCACGTTCGAGCCCCGCACCTCTCGACTGGATCCAGAGACAATGACCAAGAACCAAGACCCCTTCCGTGGATTCCACACACTCTTCTGGATTGTAATGGGTGCCTACGGATTGATCACATTTGACGAGGAATGGACCAGGGTCGGGAAGGCCTTTGGGGGCACGCTCTTCTCATCGTTTTCACAGGACGCAATCATTCTCGCCATCAGCGATTTCGGACTGGTGTTCTCAACCGGGTTTGCCTTTGTCTTGGTCAAGATGTTCGCCAAGGGATGGATGCGGTACATGGTCAGCGGCATGGTGGTTCAACACTGCTTGCAGCTTGTCTTCCTGTTGACGGCAATTGCTTGGACCATTTGGAGGTAAGGATTCTATCCACCTGATTGAAATTTGGTGGCGCATAATAAGTAAGCGCAGCGCAAGATAACAAGAAAAACCTTGTTTGACTAACCCACTCCTCTGTATGGTTTCAACCGATTATTTAATTAATAGGGATTGGCCATGGGTGCAGTCTGGATTCTTTACGCTCCACTGCATCACCATGTTGATGAAGGTCCACTCCTATATCGCCTACAACGGAGAGCTATCCGAAAAGAAGATTCAGCTCAAGAAGATCGAATCAGCCTATGCGCAGATGAAGCGGAACGACATTCAAATCATGGACGATAACGACATGGATGCCAGCGCAGTCGCTGGCAATACCGATAACGATACATCTAATGACAACCACATTGACGACTTACCTACCAATGACCCAGTCCAGGAACAAGAAGTATATCGACGCCGCCACCACCGTCTTGCCTCGGAGGCAGCGGCTGCGCTTCTTCAGGACCCCGCAGCAAACCCGTCAGGATTCGACGCCAGCATGCTCGCCTCTGAAGTGGACGAACTGAAGAATGAGCTCCGGTGCCAGAATGGCGAACTCTGGCCTGCTAATGTCACTGTCGCCAACTTTGTGGACTATTTGCTCGTGCCTTCCTTGATCTACGAGCTCCAATACCCACGCACTACCAGGTATGGATTTGATCTAGTCTCCTATAAATCCGAATCAAGGCGAAGGTTATTTTCGTGCAATTTATACAACAAACAGCTAACATCATTCCATGATCCGCTTTCACGTATAGGATCCGTCCAATGTACGTCTTTGAAAAGTCCGTGGCAACTCTGGGTACCTTTACCCTCCTGTACCTGACGACAGAGCACTATATTTATCCAGTGGTGTTCGATCCGACCATCTCCCCTATGCGCGCTGTGGTGCTACTCATGATACCCTTTATGATGAACTACCTGATGATTTTCTATATTATTTTCGAGTGCATCTGCAACGCTTTTGCTGAAATCAGTCGGTAAGTTTTTTCTCACTTTAAGTACATTCGAGACGTTCCCCTCGATGAGTATAGTCATCTATCTGTGTTCTGACTTTTTTTTTATTTTATTTTTTTTACCAATAGGTTTGCGGATCGCAGCTTTTACGAAGACTGGTGGAACTGCGTGGGTTTTGACGAGTGGGCACGCAAGTGGAACAAGCCTGTGCACCACTTTCTCCTCCGCCACGTGTACGACTCTAGCATCGAGTCGTTCCATCTGTCAAAGAAGAATGCGGCCTTTGCGACGTTCTTCCTGTCCTCATGTGTGCATGAGCTGGTGATGATGGTGGTGACGAGAAAGGTGCGCCTGTACCTGTTTGCGCTGCAGATGTTCCAGTTGCCGTTGATCTGGGCAGGCAACATTAAGCTGATCAGGGAGAGGCCTCGTCTCGCAAACGCTGTCTTTTGGCTGGGCATGTTCTGTGGTCCTCCATTGCTGGGCGTTGCTTACTGTTACGCCTAAGAGAGGGAAGGGAGGATGTTTTTTTGTATTTGAATTGTCTACAGAACATTGCTGTGCAATGTGCGTTTTTATTTCTAGACCTGCCTACAAAAGAGTAAAAAAAAAAACCATAAAAACCGAAAGAGTATTTTCTTAAACTGCACGAATCTTTGGTACTCTAGTTTTGGATCAAATAGCTGTCTCTGTGCCTGTCTCGTACTTTTGCGTTGCTCGCAAGTGAAGCGAATTCTCTGTCGAGGATACAGAGGTGCAGATGGTAAACAGCGATGAACAAGGGAGACGTGGGATCCCACGCAGCTGGACAAGAGTGAGCATAACGTTCATTAACGATGTATATACAGCATGGATCTTGTCTCCATCAGCACATGTCCTTGAACAGTAAGAACCTGTGGGTGTCCAGATGGTGGTCGCGTTCTTTGAGCAGACTACGTGCTATGGCCTGCATCCTGAGAAGATCGTAGTCCGAAAAACGGACGTGTACAAGGTGTTTTGTGGGTATGAGGAGGACGTGGGTCTCTGCCGAGCGCCTCTCTGAGCTAGGATATCATCATAGACGGGTAATATTTTGTTGTAATGTTTTTTTTTTTTGTCTGCAATTGAGGTCACTGCTCGGGTTCCATCAAAGACCATGCTTTTGCGCTCATTTGCGACACCCAGATTGGAGACCCATCCTTCGATGGCCATCCGATCGGATGAACCGCGTTTCGGTTCAGGGAATGACGGGAACGGGTACAGCAAGCGCCAGGCCTTGGGGGGTTGAGAGCAGCCCGTCCACATGCTCGGGGTATTTTGTTCCCCCAAACACTGTGGGATGTAATTATTTTTCTCTGGGGTTAAGGTGGTCATGGGTGGTCATGCCTTCATCATCACACGCCTTAAAAGCCTGGCTGGATATCCCCTTCTTTCTGTTCTTCTTTCTTCCTCACATTCACCTCCCTTCTCCTCCTCCGCTTCCTGTTCCTCGGACAACAAGACTCTGGAGATCCGCAACAAACAAATAAAACGTATGGTGATCAATTGCTCCAGTAACACATTTGCCCCTCCTATATCTGATATACGATCCCCTCGACCCGTGTTTCCCACTGGCAGCCTCGCAAAAGTTACAGCATCGACGGCACCAGAGGAACCTCCACAGAAACGATACCATGTTGGACAGAGTTGAATACACCGGTGCGAGGAACGGACAGTGCACGGCACAGGACCAGGAACAGACAATGAGTGGATGAGGCAGCAACAGTGAAAGGACATGACTAGACGGCAATGACTTTTCGAGATGAGGAGGCAACAGGACTGGAAAGGAAGACACTGCCTTCGACCCGCATAGACTCGCTCTTCCTCCAAGAGGCTATTGAACTTCTTGACTCTTCCATGCCCAACAGTCGCCTCTTACTTTTTTGTTAACACCTCAAATCTGCCAATTCTCTAATTAGCAAAAAAACAACCAACCAATCAACCACACAGCCAACCAACTACACCTTTTACCTCCCCAAACAAACCATGGCTCTCCCAGTATCAGCCTACCCCGTCATGGGTGTCGTCTACCTGGCCCGGAACATCAGCCAGCTCGGCCCCCAATTCATTCGCTCGCTCTGTTGGGCGCTGGGCGTAGCCGTCTCAACGATCACGCCCTTGATCGCGTTGACCTTCCGGTACCAGAACCGTATGATCGGCAATATTATCGACAGCGCCTTACCACGACTCGCGGGCGTGAAGATCCTCGGGATTGGGATCCAGACCTGGTCAACCATGTTCTTGACCATGGGCGAATCCTCGCTCTTGGTCGCGATTATTATGGGGGAGGTATTCAAGAAGGAGAAGACCAGGGGACTGTTCCAGAGCGTGTTGACGAAGGATCATGTGCCGATTGGACCGCTGGCGAAGGTGACGGATAACGGCATGATCAAGGTGTCAGTGACTTCGCCTGAGAGTTCTAAGCCACATGGATCCCAGCAGCATAAGGCACTGGATCGAGTTGGGGCATCCACCTCGCTTTTCGGACAGAGGATGGGATTGTGGTTGTTGACGTTGCCATTGAACTTTATTCCGGTGGCAGGACCAATTGTGTTCTGTTATATCAATGGAAGGGCGCGTAGCCACTATGTACATCGACGTTACTTTGATATGAAGGGGATGACCGCACAGGAGCGCGAGGAGTGGATCAAGAGCCGAAAGGTAACAGCCTTTGAAGGAAGACGGGGGCGTTTCTTTTTTTTTTTCTTTTTTTTTTCTTCTGCAAGAGATCTGTCTGCTAAATTAACTTTTCCTGAATATGCTTCGTATAGTCGGATTACACGACCTTCGGTGTGATTGCCCAGGGGCTCGAGTTGATCCCGCTCATTGGTATTCTCTTTGGCTTCACGAACACGATAGGGTAAGGCGCGAGAATCAAAGGACGAGCACCTTTGGGACCCGTGATTTTTCTTTTTCTTTATGATAGAAATCGATAACTGGAATGGAATACAACTTCTTGCGTACTCACACTCACATGCCATCTTTACCTTCTTTCTTTTTTCATCTCTTATGTAGTGCTGCATTGTGGGCCGCCGATCTGGAGAAACAACAGGTTGAACTGCGAAACAAAAAGTCGCGCCAGTCCGCTGGAGTTGGAGTTGGAGTTGGAGCTGGAGCTGGAGCTGGAGCTGCCTTTCCATCCTCTTAAACGAAGAGAACGGAAAGTGTTTCCTAACAATCCCACTTTCGCTTTGTAATATATAGCCCGCTCATAGTCCATCCTACCTCGTTTGTTTCTTGGTGGTGGCACCCATTTACAGAATTTTGTTAAGGCTTTGTCCAGTCATATCTTTACTTCATTCCCCACCATTCTTCCCCTCTATCCATTATTTCCTCTCTCTCCACTCTCTCCATCCACTATGTACTCCAAACCTTCCTTTCCTCAGGCTCGTTCAACGTCTCTCTCTTACGAGTCCATTTTTTGTTACTTTTCCCAATCCTTTCCCCTCCGAATATCCTTGTACAGTGCGCGTCATCTAGTCCCGACGATTCCCGGACAATAGGCGCGAAATTTCCCCCATTGGTCGAAACTTTTACAGAAAATAAGCATTTCTTGTAGCGGAAATAATCAAAGTCATTGGAAATAAGACCCTACGCCATATTTGGGGTTGTGAATTGACACAGAGACGCGCTCATTTGACAATATGTATTTTTATTCACTGGCACTTGCGCCCTGCCCCCGCCCTGCCCCAACAGCTTTCAGTCCTGCTACCGCACTTTGAAAATACTGCAGCGTACATCATCTTTTCTTTTTTTCGTGAACGATATCACCTAGTTTCTTCAAAGCGTCTTCTAGCTCGCGTTCACATTCCTGAAATGCCTCTTCATTTTCAGCTTCTCTTGCTCTTCTCTGCGCTTCCTGCTGTTCAGCGCAACCGATCCGCGGGACTGTGAATTTTCAAGAAGGAGGAGCGATGAATGGATCATTGTCCTCATCCTTTTCTTGCGCGATGCCATTGATAAAAGTACCAAGGTAAGTTGACATCTGGCTTGTTCATCGCGCAGCTCCTGTCTGCCATTGGCGGGGATTAGTGCTGTCAGCGAGGTGTGCTGTTTTGCCATGTTGGCCGGCACAACGAGGTGCTGCACTCAGCGCGGTAGAGCTTGTCTTTGTGTCTCAAGTATTAAGATGGCGCGCTCAGTGGGGGTGTGACAGCTCTGCCAGTGCATGTTCTATGCGGCATTGCCGATCCCCATACTTACCTGTCTGCCATTGGCGGGGTAAGATGCCCCATCGGGTGTTACTGCTGCCATTGGCGGGTACTCCAAGGTAAGGGTTGACCTCCCAGTCGACCGTTTGCAACCCTCTGTCTGCCATTCAACTCGGTCCATGCTTAAGGAACCTCTTAAATAAAATTTAAATTCTTACTAGTGAACAAAGCATCACAAGGCGCCCGCGAATTCTCCTGCAAGGAGAGAAAGAGCCGACATCGAAGGATCAAAAAGCAACGTCGTTATGAACGCTTGGCTGCCACAAGCCAGTTATCCGCGTATCACGGATAAAGGAGCTCAGAGTGTGGTGAGCAAACTGCTGTGTCTTGGTAAGTGTGGAATAGAGGAAAGGATTTAGTGGGAGAGAGATGTGAGCTACGCCTCACACTCGTTGGATGCTTTTATTCCTACATTAGAGGGTAACGTGAATGTAGAATGAGCATAGCTAGTGCTAACTCTGTCGAATATGCCACAGTAAGGACGGTGACAGTCTCATCGAGTTTCTCCCAGACAAGTTTGATATCCTCAGGGTTCGGTGCTCGACGAAGGCACGCCTGGATGTCACCCAAGCGTAGTGTACACAGCTTATAGGTCCCATTAAACAAGGTCTTGAGCTGCTTGGGTTCGCTTTGGTTCCCAGCCTTTGAGCGTTGACACAAGTCTTCATCTTTGCTATTGTCTTGAGAAGTGATGGTCTGGATGGTAGGCTTGCCGTTGTTGATGCTGGTGGTGTTGATCGGAGGGGACTTTTTGGAGCAGACCTCTGTGAGTTTGAGATCTTTCAAATCCTTTTCATCAATTGGGGACACCCTTGATAAGAACTTGACGACATGAGGCCTGTGACGAGGATGTTGATTTGTATTCTTGCTCTTGTAGCCACGATCTTCCAGTTTTTTCCTCTCGGGCTTCCCCACTAGAGGTTAACGGTCATTTCCTCGCTGATTAACAGAGAGGTGGTCTTGAATTCACTGGCAGGGCAAAGCGCTGGGAGATTGTGGTAAATCAGGCTGGACTGAGGTAGTATACCAGTGCTTTGCTCTACCAGCGAATCCAAAACCATCTCTGTATCAATCACCAAGGCCATGGCCAAATGACAAAAGACCGGGTGTGTCCATCGTGAGACTTGGGTTCCGCAGGTCTCTGTCGGCGAATTTGGAGCTGGGTCTTGATAATCAATGGTGATCATAGGCGACATGTGCTGAGCGCTGGTCTTGACCGAGAAGCGGACGTTTTGCCCATGCGAATGTTGACTCGATCGTAGCAACTTGAATGGCAGAATTGGTTATTTGCTCTTAATGACGGCGCTTAATGGCGGTGGGTTTGGTAGGATATCAGATGTATTGATCTGTGGGTAGATACGCGTTGTAGAAGTGAAAAGGAAGTGCGATGAAGTTGTCGGTAATGGGATGCTGAAGGTATCGGAGTAGAATTGTGCAAGGTGGTGATAGAATTTGAGAGGGAGAAGCATTCTTCTTGTATGTGAAAGGAGAATGTGATAGACAAACGTCTGCCTCTTCATCGCTACTTCAGAGAGAAAATAGAAGGCATGTATCCAATTCTTGTTTGTTAAAGTCCCTTGGTATGGTTCTGAGCAGAGTGAGAACAATAGCGAAGGATATTTTGCATTGTTCATGAGCGATGTGGAATTGACTGGTGTTCTACTAAATTAGGAAGTCAAAAGAGCAGGCCATGGAAGTGATGGTGTCCTCGAATTAGATGTCTGTCCTTTTGTTTCGTGTTTTTTTTTACTGGTTTGTTGTTTTTTATTTAAAAAAAAAAAAAGCTTTCTCTTCCATTCTGTCTCCGTAATGATCTCCCTCTCTTTATGAGCATCAGAAAACAAAACATCGAAGCGTTGTTCCTTGTTCAAGAACGAAAAGAAAAAAAAAAAATGCATGGAAACCGATCCGAGCAAAAGAAGACGCTCCTTGGCGGGGAATTGAACCCCGGTCTTCCGCGTGACAGGCGGAGATACTCACCACTATACTACCAAGGATTGTAGCTCGTCGAATAGACAAGTTTTACTAAATTTTTATATCTAAATATTAGATTTGAAGTTAAATGGATTTCCTGCGTGAGTGGATTTACACGCAATTTGTGCACGACAAGCGCTCTGTGCACACGTTCTTCAGCAGTGCTGCTGATACGTCCCAGAGGACACATCATATTAAGAAGCTGCATGGTATGCTGCCCACCCTGAATACCATGAAGGCTCGCCACCCGAGTCTATATCATGACCGTGTCTGCTGCGTCTGCGATGTTCAGGACGAGGACAACCATCACCTGTGGACGTGCAGTGCTACTAGAAATGTCCACAAGGAGATCTGGCGCGAAGGGCTGCAGCAGATTGATAAGTGGGGACGAGCTGCAACGACCGAATACAACAAGAACAGCAAGAAGCAGCAAGAGCGTGATAGGATCCGCGCTGGAGCCACCGCTGCTGCACCGAAACCCATTCGATGGGTTTGTCCTAACAACGAGACCCACATCCGAGGTCTATCCTGTATCGCCGGGACCCGATCAATGCTCAAAGGCGACGAGTATTATGACCGCTCTCCGGATCTGACCTGGAGCATCAGCGATTTATGCCGTGGCATCACACCCGTCAGCCTTATCAAGGAGTGGGGCAGTCTATTTACCTCGCCATCGTCGATTGCGCGCCAGGTCATTCACAAGTTCGTCGGCTTTATTGAGGAGAAAGCTACGGAGCTGATCTGGAAACCACGCTGCAAGGCCACCATTGCTCGAGAGCGAGAATGGGGGATCACAGCCAAGATGAAACGAACTCCATACAAGGGACCGAGAGGGGACTGGAGTGATGGGTATGGATACATTAGCGACGATGACCAATGTCCGTGTGGTGCATTACTCGCTGACCATGTAAACGGGAGCTGCCCTGGCCCCGTGCTTGACCCAGACGCAGCGGATCGGACGCTGCTGGATTGCCTGAAAGGGAGGAGGCGGTTGACAACCATGGAGGGGATGGGGAAGATACCCTTCTTGTAACAAGGTGTTTTCAGCTTTTAACACACTGATGAGGTGTGGCAATTGTTGCGCAGGCCCTAGGGGCAGGCCCGGGGAATGTGACCTGTCAACTGGCGACTGTGGATCGGTTCCGCTTTGGTGGTGAGGACAGCGATAGTAGATCTTTGCTAGTTAGTCTGATAGATTCGCAGAGTCAATTGACTCGAGAGACAAGTTGTTATAAAAAAAAAAAAAAAATTGTGCGTAGAAAAATACGCGCAATTTGTGAAATCCCACATATCCTTGTGGGACAACAGGCCACGTAGGGAGCAGGAGCCTTTGGCACGGCACTCATGCGGTTGTAAATTATGAAACCAAGGATCCGTCGCGGCACTAGTCGGGGCGGGCAGTACGCTGCTTATTTTCTGTCCCAGCTGTAGGACTCCTTTTTTTTTTTTTTATTAACATAAATCCCCATGAGCACGCGACGCATGGTCCGCAAAGGCCTTGAAGCCATAGATGCCTTCCATGCACGGCAGAGCCGCATCCCTTACCAACTATGTTGGCTTGAGGCGTCAAATTCATAACCCATGTCGCATAGCTAGCCTAACCTAACTCCTACGTGACCTGTTGCGCGATACACGTCTCCTAATCCAGATCCAATGTTAATAAAGTTGTTTTTAAACCGAATAAACCCTCCATTATGTCCAACTTCCCTCGCCCCAAACAATGCTGCAGCACCCTATAATCCGCAGTCCGTCTACCTTCCTGGATCCCCGCTGCAAGTAACCGTCTCCCTTTCAAATCAGAGAAATCACCAACACTACGTTGGCGTCCCCGATCACCGTTGCGTCCTCCGGCGCGTTTGCTCATAAAGGTGATTCCAACTGACTTTTCCCAGGCGACAGTGTCCTCGCATCGTTTGTTCCATATCTTGGTCCTGCCAAACTCTTCGATCCTGCTCACGAACTTTGTCACCATGATCGTCGCAATCCACTTGGTGGTGGTAAATAGCTGCTTCCAGGTCTCAATGAGTCTCGTTGGCACCAAACCTCGGTATAACTCCTTGACCTCCCAATCTGCCTCACTCTCCGGTACTTCTCCTTCCGCAACGTGATATGCCCCTCGTCTTTCCGCCGTCCCCTGAATCTACTGCATTGACTCCCAGATAGCGTTCGTTCCTGTTGCCGAGAAGTTGGGACAAGTCGCAGTGAAGGGCTTGTCCTTCCGTTCGGCCTCCTCTCTCTCCTGTTCCCATTTTCGCACTGCCTGTCTCCATGCACGATATCCATTCGACTCCACCTCCTCCACCGCATCCCTCCACTCTTGTCGCTGGTCGCACAAGGTAGCTGAACAACGCCAAAGATGATCGTTCGTCTCTGCTTCCCTTTCACACCTACGACATATATCCGTTTGGTGAGTATCTGGATGTCGTTTCTTCATCGCCTGCAATGTCGGCAAATCTCCATGCAACTTCTTGATCCTGTGCGAACGTAAACGACAGTCTTCCAGACTGGTGTATAAGCGCTTTGGCGGGTTATTATCGTGTAGGATCCGCAGCGTCGGCGCCCATGCTACCGACCGCCAATCCTTGATGTAGGTCCTCGTTCGATGCTGCAATGTCCACTGATAATGGTGCCGTACCGTGGACTGCAGCTTCAGTATCCTTCTCAAGTCCAGGTCTGCACTGTGTGTTGCAAACTGTGCGTGACATTTCAAATCATGGTGCCACCTGTAGGACTCCTTCAAACCATAGTTAATAAGTCCCATGTCTATGGGGGTTCTCGTTAATAAAAAAAAAAAAAAGAGCATGGCTCGGAATATCCAAGCAAACGATGTTGAATCGTCTGCTGTGCTCAGCTTAATGATTAGGATGGTCACCCATTCCGACCGACTTAGTTGAGCACCCGTTCAATGACCTCTGAGATTTTTTTCGGGCTGCAGCCTGTTGACCAGGCAGGTCAAGGCAAAAAAAAAAAAAATGGTGGCAAAAAATCTGAAGCCTGCTTTTTTTTTTTTTTTTTTTTTTTTACATGAGCTTAGCATTTCTTAAAAAGCCATGCGGACAATATAAGTAAAAAGGCTAGCATGCTCACTCCTCGCTTCATGAGCGAGCTCGCTGGACTCTCTTCACTTGTTGGTATCTGGGTGCATGTTCACCAATTATTAATTCTTCAACTTGACGCAGGTCAATGGGCGTATTCGATAGATGCTGGGATTGCAAATTGAAAATGAAAGCGAACACAGCAGCTGGATATTCTGGTATTCTGAAAGGTTATGCATAATGGGTTGGGACTAAGCTATCGTTTATGGAGTAGCTAGATTACTTTATGCTGCGCCCAAAGTTCGGCCTGTGATGGCGTATTCCTGAACAGAGCTGCCCACGTTGGAGTGTGGGAAGCAGCTCTCCGTTTTTGTCCCTGTGCCTTGTCCCTCGTATCTTATCCCTTATCCCTTGTCCCTTGCCCCTTGTCCCTTTCTTTTTTTTTTTTTTTGCACACAGTCTCCTTTATCCAATCTCTCATCGATTTGTCGAATGCCGATGTTCGGCGTTCGTCCATTTACGTTCAGGTGGATAAAAGGCCAGCGGCACAGAGACATCTCCGGGTCACCGAATGAAACATATGGGAACTCATGTCCGAAACATCGTTCGATATCGCCACTGCTACACAAAGATTAGAATAGCGCTTCTAGAGCAAGTGGCATGGAACTGTGCCTGAATTTATAGTCTATGCATGAGTGGAACCTTGAAAGGTACCCTCAAAATTCTTTCATTGGTCGATTGGTCCGATTGAAATACAGTGGTGCACGTTGCAATTTGGAAATCCCAGAAGGGCGAGGTGGGCCTACGAATCGAAAGGCGCGCAAAGACAGGAATAGAGCAAAAGCTCTTAGGCGGCATGTTGCTTTGTTGTTTCTTGTTACAGTTGTAGATGGTAGCACAGAGGTAGGTTGGAGGAGAAGAATACAGGAAAGCCAGGTGTGGGAACAGGGTGTGACTTAGAGGCACGCTTTTGCTGTAAGGTGGAGAACACATACTCTACTATACGCTGAGACGAGCCAATTCCCGCAATGGACATTTTTCTTTCTTTCGTTTTTTGAGCCAACCAGCTGCTACTTAGGTGGAGAAACAAGCACGAAAGGCACAAGGAATAGAGAGGTTGGGGAGGATAGAGACCCTACCCGGGACGTTATACGTTATACGCGATGTAGTACAACAAGGGAGAGGTAGACTAGTGGGCGATGTAAATGGACCATTGCAGGGATTGTCATCCCACTTTCAGTTGGCCATCGCTCCTCCTTTTTGACCACCCCTTTTCATATGAAAAGAAAAGAAAAGGATGCCAAGAGGACGTGCAGTCATCGCTTATGAACTTCAATTGGCAGGCTATTCAGGCAGGTGGGTGGCCAGCACTTGTGGGCAAGAGGGAATGACCGACTTGACAAACAGACGGACGGACTAAAAAAAATAAAGTAATGACCATATCAGTTGACGGAAGTGATGCTGGGGGTTGTATTTAATACTTTAACACTAAGGCTTTTGTGTTCTGGGTTCGGGTGCAGAGGCACGCTGGATTGGTCAATGGAGATTATATTTTATTTCTTCTTTTTTTTCTGTGCATTCCAATCCGAAGTGGTGCAATCTCGTTCTATCTTCATTTCCTGAGGGGTGGGCTGTTTTGTTCCAAAATTGAGATGAACCTCACTTTGGGCAAGCGGGATGCTTTCGCTTTCAAAGAAGAGACATACAACATACGATGGCTGTTTCCTCTTTTACCTTTTCTCTTCTCCTTCGTTTTCTCCCTTCTTTCCTCCATCGGCGCTGAGGGTAGATCCGTCCTGGAAGAGCGGGGAAGGAGGTGTTTTTTTTTGCTCTTTGAAATTTTATTTGAAATAAGAATGGGGGAATTGGACGCACGAAAGCCATACAGGAAATAAAAGTTGTGGACTAGTCTATCTTTTACCATATCTGATTCAATCCACAGTATTCATTTCAATTCAATCTAATCTTATCCGCCCTTTTTCTTTTTTTTCCATTGGTCAATTGCTTCACTTCACACTTCTTTCTTTTCGCGACTTTCTCATCTCTTTTCTTTTCCTTCCTTTCTCCTTCTCTCTTCATCCTTCTTTTTCTTCTTCATCCTCTTCATCCCTCGCCGTCCTTCCGCTGCGAATCTGCTTGTCACTGGTTCCCTGTTAGCAGTTTCCTCTTCCCTTTCCCCACGCCTCCTTCCTTCCTCCTCCCCTTGGTTCCTGTTGAGATCCCATACAGCCAACCATATGCCACCAGAGTCAACGTACGTAGAGCCCCTGGCCAAGAAAAATGTCATCTCGCGATCCCAACTGGAGACGAGATGCAAGGCCGGCGAGATCCTGATCGTCGTCAATCAGAAGGTCTACAAGCTTGACAAGTGGATCAAGCATCATCCCGGCGGCCAGCTTGCCATTCGCCATTGCATTGGTCGTGACTGTACGGACGAGGTCAAGGCACTGCACCCCGACTACGTGCTCGAGAAGAAGATCAAATACTTTGAGATTGCGGATTATCTCCCCCGCGACTCTGACCCCGAGTTCGCACCCATCATTGGCTCGCGCACCCGCACCAAGGAGGAGATTTTTGAGGCCCAGAGCGCCCAGGTCTCGAGTGCCTATCGCCAGCTCGAGTCTCGTCTCCGCGCTCGGCAACTATTCGAGACCAACTATACCAACTATGCCTGGGAATTTTCACGGTATCTGACCCTGTTCACTATGGCGATCGTCCTCAACATCTACGGCACCTGCACCATGCACTACATGGCCTCAGCCCTCTGTCTAGCCATGTTCTGGCACCAGATCTCATTCTTTGCCCACGATGCCGGCCACAATTCCATTAGCCACAACCTTCAAATCGACAATGGCATCGGCATCTTCCTCGCAGACTTCTTAGGCGGTCTCTCAATCGGCTGGTGGAAAAAGTCGCATTACGTCCACCACATTGTCACCAACCACCCCATCCACGACCCCGATATCCAGCACCTTCCCTTCTTTGCTGTCACGACCCGCATCTTCCAGGGATTCTTCTCGACCTACCATCAAAAAGAGATGGTCTTTGACCGCGTCGCTCAGTTCTTTGTGTCGTACCAGCACTATCTTTACTATCCGATCATGATGATGGGTCGCTTCAACCTCTATGTCCAGTCGATGATGTTCCTGGCCAAGGAGCCCAACTACCCATACCGCAAGCAGGAGATTTTCGGTCTGACGATCTACTGGATCTGGTACCCGTATTTCCTCAAGCAATTGCCGACCTGGAACATGATCATTGCCTACGTCTTCATCTCCCACATGTTCACGTTCATGCTCCACGTCCAGATCACGCTCTCACATTTTGGCATGTCGACCGAGGAACTTGGAGATACAGAGTCGTTCGCAGCCAAGATGTTGCGCACGACCATGGATGTCGACTGCCCCACATGGCTCGACTGGTTCCATGGAGGACTGCAGTTCCAGGCCATCCACCATCTCTTCCCGCGTATGCCCCGGCACAATCTTCGCGCGGCGCAGCCTTACGTAAAAGAGTTTTGTGATGAAGTCGGATTGACCTATCACATTCACGGCTTTGCGAAGGGCAACCAGATCGTATACTCGGCGCTCAAGGACGTTGCGGACCAGGTTGGCTTCTTCATGGAGGTTGCCAAGCATGAGGCCAAGGAGTACGTTGAGGCCCAAAGAATCGTCCTTCCGGAGACCAACAAGGACAAATAGAGTTGGGAGGGGATCGTTTCTTTTTGCTTTTCTTTCATAGACTGACCCCTGCCGGTGTTCTATACCAAAGTCTTTGAAAATATATACACCATCTTTCATCATCATTTCTCAAGGAATTACTCTGTGATGCCAAGCAACGAGAACAGAAAAAGAAAACTCAAACTGGAACAGCCGGGCTTGTCGGCATCTATTTTTACCCAGCGAGCCGGACAGAATTCCCATAGACCGAAAACGAAACAGAGAAGCATTGGATGGAATGGGGGGCGGAGAGTGGCGGCGCACAACACACGACACAACAATAAGGGCACTGCCGCAGGGAGAGAAACAGATCGGGATCGACTGGAAACCATGACTAGCCCCGACGGACTTGTTGGGCGCGGCACGGCTCAATTATACATCTCAGCCGGAAGAGAAATTGCGCAACTTCATCTCTCGCCTTCCTGATAGTCTCGTTTGCTTGCACTCCCTCTATCGCTAGTCCTGCTGCCTATCTTGTCCCCCGGAAGAAAAGAAAAGATGGACAGGCGGGATGGTCAGACTGTCCCACGCCCTATTTCCTTTTTCTTTTTTCTTTTTTGCTCTCCTTCCTTCTAAAGCATTTTCTGTCACTATACCCATTTCGAATCTTCCTCCCTTTCTCGTTGCACATTCTTCTGCTCATCCTCGCCTTCATCCCCTTTATTCACTAGTATTAGTACTAAATAAAATAAAAAGGGCAGGAAAGGCAGTTATCTATCTATCATGAAGTGTATTGAGGACATCTCTATCCATCATAGTGCGAGAACATTGGATTCTGCAGCTGACGACCATCATTGCACTTATTACCGATTGAGCAAGTTATTCCATTTTTATATTTTTATATTGCTACTTTACAAGAGCTGCCAAAGCGATGTGTTTGGCACTAGTCAAGGGTGTGGCATGTGTGTATATGTGTATGTATGTTTTTCCGCGTGTATATATGTCTATCAAAGACCACACCATCCGCACCTCCTTCCTTCTCTAGAACTCAAACTCGCCGCGGAACTGGTTAATGTCCGCGCCGACGACCGCGCGCTCTGCCAAATCACTGCGGTCCATCATCATGAAAGTGCGACGGAGAGTCTCCCAAAGATTTCCGCTCACATTGACAGATCCGCCCTGTCCGTTTCCTTCGCCATCGGCCTGATGCATGCTCAAGGCGCCCAGCAAGTGCTCTGCAGCCTCCTTATGGCATCCAATGTTGATGCATGACACGCCCAGGTTGTACCGCGCACGAACGAACGACGGCTTGATCTCTAGCGCCTTGTGATACGCCTCAATCGCATCCTCGCTCCGTCCACTGTTGGCCAATGTGGCTCCCAATCGGTTCCAAAGCAGATAATCGCCTGGGCGGACCTTGAGCCCTGCCACGAAACAGTCAACGGCCTTCTCATACTCGCCACTGCCATAGAACAGCACGCCAAGTCCGACTTGAAGATCAGCGTCCATGTCGGCTCCTGAGGATCCATTCCGGACGGCCTGCAGGTACAAATCGGTCACACGTGCGTGGGTCTCCCATGAGCTGATTGATGTGGTTGGTGCAGGGTTTGCTGCTACAATATCCGGGTATTTGGTTGCCAGCCAGCGCTCTAGTGTCAGGTATGCCTGGTGGTCGTATCCTTCATTCGTGTAGCTGACAGCAAGATTCTAATATACAACAGTTACAGCAAAAAAAAAAAAAAAAAAAAAAAAAACGTTTAGTTTATCGAGCAATAGAAGACGAAATCGGGGACAATGAAAAATAGGTAAATCCGACATATAGTTCCTTACCATGTATGCATCCAAGTTGTTGGCATCGACCTGGACGGCCTTTTCCAAAGCTCGGATCGCGGGCTCCTCCTTCTCGTTCTGGGCTTGAACATTTCCAAGCATCATCCAGGCACGACTGTTGTTCTCATCCTGCTGCACAGCAGCCTCAAAGGCCAAGGCCGCCTCCGAAAGGGAGCCGCCTTCCTCTGTAAGCCGAATACCCTCCGCCATAGGGTCTGGGTGTGTTAAGTACGGGTTGTTGGGTTCGAACGTATAGGGTCCCAGCTGTGGGGCTGCGACCGCACTCAGATCCGAAAACTCGTTCTCCCAGCTTGAAGGGTCATCCAAGATATTCTGTACGTCCTCGGTATCTGTCAGGTTATCTCTGAGAGTGTTCCAGAGATCCTCAAGCTGCTCATGTTCTTCAAAATTGATGGGATTGGCGGTCGCTGCTGCCTCGCCGTCACGTTGAGCGGCCTCGAATTGGGCTTCCCATGAGGCGCTGTTGGCATCGATCGCCTTTCCTTTGCCCTTGCCCTCGACCAGTGCGAACTCATTGGCCCAGTCAAAATTCTTTTGGAAAGCAGCTTCGAATTCTGGGGGCATTTCGCCAACCACATGCTCGCGCTGCATAAACTCTTCCTGCCATTCTGTTGTAAAGAGGCGAAAATAAAGATAATTCTGCGATCAGCGGTCTTGTTCTTCAATAAACGATTGTTCTTATTGATAAAAGAAAAAGAAAAAAAGAAATTTCAAAGTACACAAAGGCTTTACCATGTGGAGGAGCTTGGTGCTGTTGAAACGCAGCCGAGAAGGCGGCCTCTTCTTCGGGACTCAGCTCAAAGAGACGAGCACCGGGTGGCTGATGAGTCTGGAACTCTTGCGTCCAATCTCCACCTATACCGTACATCAGATATTAAAGCATACATTTTATCAGTATCCGGTCTAGAGCTACAAAGTTGTGCAGTGTGTAATCGATCAGGCACCGTGTTCGATCGTTAGGTTCACTGCCTATTACTCCGCAGTTGACCATTTTTCCACAGTATGCATTTTCGGGGTGATGTACCTGGTGCCATTTCAAATCCTGGGGCATGGTGGATCGCCGACAGTTCCTGATGCATGTCGTTGAATCTGAATGCTCCGGGATCGCCCTGCTGCTTCTGTTGCTCAAAGAACTCGTTCAGGAGCTAATAACCATCCCGACGGGACAAAGTTTAATTGGAGACCGATCACGAATCAAAAAAGAGATAGACAGCTAGAGGTTAGAGAAAAGGTGGGGAAGCGATACAACTGTTGATCGAAGCGGCCAAAAAATAAAATAAAATAAGTAATGTCCATCGATTGTACTTTACCTGCTGGTCGTCGCCGGCCATGGTAGGTCGTGCTGTTCGCATAGATGGACCGGCCGCAGACGGTGCGTTCACGAAACGCTCCTAGAGTCATCGGTGGCAAACATCGACAAGAAGCGCCGGCAGTAAAGGCGATTAGTTTCATGAAAGAGAAGCTGTGGGGCAAGACCCGGAGAAGGGGGGTGAGAGGACTTACCCGCTGCAGCGAAGTGTTTTGGTCAAAGTGCTTTGTGAACTGGCGCATAGCGTTTGAGCCGGAGCCACACTCTGCTCCGGAGGCCATACTCTGGAAAGCCATGGTGATATGATTATTTGAACGAAGGAAGTGAAGGAAAGGGCTAGGTAAGATGAGGAAAAGAAGAAGAGACGAATGAGATGGGAAGGAAGGAAGTGGTGTGAATGAACAACGGCTCGGAGCAGTGGTCTTTCGTTGTTGAAGTGAACACTTTGTGGACCCATTTTCTTCAGGTGGAGTAAAGAACATCACGTGTGAATCCCCCGAGAGAATCCAATGGGCGGGTGGAGTCCGTGCAGCGGGGAAGGGAAAATCCACTGAAACGGGGAAAAGAAAACTGGCTTGTGGCAACCAAGCGTTCATAGCGACGTTACTTTTTGATCCCTCGGTGTCGGTTCTTTCTCTAATCCTTGCAGAGAATTCTAGCACCCCAGCATTGGATTGCTGCGGATGTGTATAGGTGATACTAACAGGACGTTTTCGCTTTTTTTTTTTTTTTGGTGAGATGTTTACTCTAGGCTCGGACATGTACAGTACATCCGCCTCTATCCCATCCCACCAGCGATCTCTCTGGCATAGCCTCGTTGGCTTACTTTACATGACCAAAAGGTACTTGTTTGCTTTATTTATTTTTTCCAGTCATTGAGCAAGCCGAAACAGACGCGCTTCGCCGTGTGTCCATTTAAACATTTTCGCGCCTTTTTTTTTGAACCTCGGTAGCACCGCAAACACGCATCCTGTTGTACAATGGACCGTTGGCTTCGTTAACAACTAGCAGCGTTTTTCGGGATGATGTCTGTCTCGTTCTTTATGCATGAAAGCGAGCGGGTTCTTCGAGCAGGCACACTTACATAGCCCCACCAGCAAGAGCGTCAGACCTCCGACGGTCAAAATCCTTGCAGAGAGATATGCAGCAGTCTAAGAGTCGAGTCGTGTCGTTGTCAGATCTCAGATTTCGCTGTGGGACGGTGCATGAATATCCGGCGGGGACTTTTCGCGCTGTCCTCTTTCTCTCTTTTCTCGCAAGACCTGCTTATAGCTGGCCGTGTTGTCGACATCTCCAGCAGTGGTAAAATTAGGCATGGTGATCAAATTATGCAGTATCCATGGTGACGAGTTGATGGGTGGCATGATGAAGATCGATGTGGGTTTGGCGAGGAGGAAGAAAATGGTTGAGGAAGTAAGTTTGTTTCCGCGAACATTAGTGCTCTCTGTCGGTATGTGGCCATTGGAGTCAGCGTAAATCTCGGTGGCGTTGCGTGAGACGAAACCAGGTGCCGGCCCCTGAGAAGGCTACTGCGTACGTTCCGCAGCTGTCTGGGAGCAATTTGAAAAGACATATTAATACAGTAAACAGCTTTTGTAGAGGCTGTCGCATATTTCACCAGAGTCCATTGTATATTATTTAGTTTAATAAGTGCACCTCCAGCTCACTATTATACTTTATACAAATAAATACCCAATCGGTGTGGTCTGTGGAGCCACATCTCTTTCTCACTCAAGACCTTTGCGATGTCGACACCCTACCGCTCCCCTATGCTAGTCGCTCTGGCTCCGTAGAACTTATCATCATCCCGCCTTATAATCCCTTTGTTACATTGCTCCTACTGTGTCTGTGAGGGCGGGATGCACAGCGCTGACTGTACATTCATACGGGTGCGGACTTTCAGCCACTGTCCAGAAGGCCTCTGCGTCTGGTTATGCTCACTGTCGCTCATCTGATGCTTTACAGGTGCGGGCAGAGATGGAGTGCTTTCTTTCATTGGCCTTTGGTTTCTTTACCTCTATATACACAACTTAATGACTAACCCTGGTATACCCGAGACAACTTGTTAGGAATGAAGACATTTAAAGATTTCGTGCTTACCGACACTCATGACCACGGCACCTTTGACAAGATATACTCTTGCTTTATGCATATGTTGATCGGGAGCGTGGACGTGGAGACACATTAGCAATGCAATACAGGCTCGACGCGGCTCAATGTCGGGAGGAATACCACGATGTATTGATGCAGGGAAACATCAGTTGCTCACACGTATCGGCCAGTACCGTCTTACAGACTTTCATGCGATATCAAGCTGCCCGTAAGAACAGCTATTGTCGTCTTCGTACTAGTTTTTTAATGCTTAAGTGGGATCGATTGCAAACTGCATTTCATCTTCCTTTGGATCTGATAGAGGCCATCCAAGGCCTTCGTCGGAAAGTTCGGTTCCCTCGAAAAGATCAGCTGCAGAAGTTGTCTTTGAGATTGGAGAGGAGGCTGACGAGGCTGATATGAGCGCTCCAAGCCCTAAACCGCCCCAAAAAAAAGTCACCTTCCTGGAAGTCGAATTTCCTTCGGAATGTGGAAGCGATCACGTCGATTCCAATCCCTCTTCGACCAGATCATCTCTGAACTCCATTGACTTCTGCTTTAATTGGACCAGGCATCTCATCTTCACAACTGACTACAAACACTCGCCTCATAATCGACCAACTTGATGTTTTTAAGCTATTGATGGACGCGCGAAGATCAATGATCAAAAAGCAAAGCGAGATCACGGATGTTTTGGATTTGTTGCAAGTGGTTGCTGGAGAGTCCTCGCCAAAAAGTCGTAACCCTTATAGTTTTATAACACTCAATTTCAATTCAATCCTCAGTTCCACGTACGAGAAAAAGAAGCAAAGCAACATCCGCGCACGCGCCCACCCACTGCCATGTGTAGGAATGAAGGCCACGCAAGTAGCAAATTTGTACGTAAAATCTTATCCGAAAAAGGAGGTCAGTCTATGTGATTCATTCGTGCCGAAAATATAAGGGTTACGACTTTTTGGCGAGGACTCTAGCGTCCGGTCATCGACACACCAAAGCACCAGTGCGACCCCGAAGTTTGCATTCGTCGCACAAGGCGGATTCATCTCGTACAAAGGGGAGCTCCCAGAATTGGGGGAGGTTACGTTTGGCCGGATCTGAGCATACAATGGTGAGCGCTACACGGTGATCGATGAACCATTTGCGCTCCGGAGCCCCTCACGATGAAGCATGGTGAGGACATCGCGGAGATTACGCTTACTATTGACAGAACATTCGCAAGCTCTTCGCAGAGGAATATGTCACGGTGTTGGAGCAGATCAAACGACTCGGAGACGAGATGACTTCAGGACTCGAGCGTGCGAAACGAGCCGTGTAGGATTAGTCTTTACTCTCCCGCTTGATCATCACACATCCTACTAAATATGTAGCTTATACATAAACAAGCAACAAGCCCTCAAAATGAACATGCTTAGATAAATGGATCAGACGGGAGTACCGGCATCTCCATCTGATCGGGTATGTTGTGGGAACCCAAGTGCGCTGCAGGTTCCTCGGCACCGGTTGCTTCTCCTGAGTCCCCTTCTCTTCTCCACAAGCAATAGGCCACAATAAAAGGTTCATTTCTTCATATTTGTCATCAAAGATGCGGTAGACCATGCGGCATAGGGATATATATTGTAGATCTTGTATATACATATCCCGTACATGTTCCATATACAAGTATTGCAGACACCCTTCTTTGGTTTTGCCGCCGTCTTTGGTTTTCTTTATTTCCGGTTCCTGATTCCTTTATTTTTCATCAAAGTTCTTTTTTGCTGTTCTGGTTCTCCAACAACTCAGTCTCAGTCTCAGTCTCAGTCTCGTTTCTACACTCCCCATGACTGACGGCAATCCTTCACTCGGTAATCCTTCATCCTCTCCCTCTCATTTATCCTCGCCATCAACCATCGTTTCTTTGCCTTCATCTCCACAAGCAAGCGGTACCACCCCTGCTGCAACCTCGCCCCAATATCCACTTCAACTTCCACAGGTGCAACCCTTGGAGTATCCGCTTTCAGAGCCTGCTCAACCATGGAGCATCACACTTTGCAACAACCCAATCTCGATTCCCAGACGACTTCCTTGTCAACATCCTCCACAAACACGGCTAATCCTGCACCGGCAACCATGGAACACAACAACATCAATAATTCAAACAGCACAAACAATATTATCAATAGCAACGGTGCTGATATTAGCCAGGCTATGATCACCAGCAATACCAGCACCAACAATGACAATGTTGTTATCTCCACTACCGCAAACACCGCTCCCCCACATAGCAACAGCGACAACCACAGGAGTAACACCTGTCACACTGACGGTGACGATAGTTCTTTGATCGACAAATGTAATCCTCTAGCTCAAGATACCCTTAGCAACACCCAAAGCAGCTGTAGTAGTTCCAGGAACAACAACAGCAATCAAAACAGCCCGAGACCTGTTGTTCGAAAACGACAACGATTCACAACTACAAGAGTTCTAAGTGCCATGGACGGCTTTCCTGGTTCAACACTGGGGTCGAGTTTTTCCTCTGGTTCAGCCTCAACAGAAAGACGGTCTGGCATATCTCCAGTCCTTTCAGCCGACCGAACTACAGGTCTTTCGAGCGAATATCACTGGTAGTTTGCCTTTTTTTTTTTGTCCAGGCAGAAAGTACAGTGGTTTTCCTCAATGCACGCCTACTTACACCATCGCTGCATCCCTTTGATATACCGACAATATTAGCCCTATCTGTCGAGGATTGATGAAGGAAGCATTCATCTCCCGCTGTGGACACTCGTTCTGGTAAGCATGCACGTCATGAGCTGCTTGGAATAACGGCCATCACTTTGCTCGCTTTGATAGCTTGACTCTTTAACATCAACATCTCTCTGTCTCAGCTATCTTTGTATATCACGACATCTGTGCGAGAGGCAAGACTGCCCAATATGCCGAACGTCCTTGGCACGCGACCAGATTTTTCCGAACTTCCTATGTAAGTGAACCACTAGGCAGGGTTCGAGTCGTTGGACCGCCTCGCTCATTCTCGAAATTGCGATGCATTGCATCTTGAATAAGGAGCAGCGGCGTGTATATCAAGTGTGTGACCGGAGAACCATAGGTCACTGACAAATCTTTTTTTTTTTTTACCTATGCTTAGTAAACAGCATATTGGAACAGTCCACAGACATTGTTGACACGGATGATCTGGAACCGCGAATAAAGCTAAGACATGATCTTCTCAACCAGAGCAACTTTTCGCGGGAAGGTATACAGAACAGCATGTTGAGCTACCATGGTTCATGATTAATGCGATCTAGCTCTAGATATCGGGACTGAATTGAAACCAAATCCCCTTCTTTCTCTCTCGCTTTTTTTATTCTCTCTAGAAATCGACGACCTCTTGTCAACCTTGAAGGCAAAAAAACGGAAACTTGAGGCGACAGATCAACAAGTGGAGTTGGAAGTTCTGCTTGATTTTCTCAGGAACACTCGAGCTGAGAAAGAAGAAGCAAGTTTGCTGGCAAATTGGAGTCCAAGGCACACGACAATCTGTACGAGAACATCACAGGTCACTAACGCATCATATCAATGGACATTTTTGTTTTCTCATAGTCGCTGGCAAGACTCAATGCACAGATTCAATGTCTCGACAACGACATGCGGAAGGCCGAGGAGAAACTGGAGGCATTGAAGCAGTACAATGGATATCAAATCACGCAGACTCTCGAAGAGGACGACGATCAGCTTGAGTGTGCAGGAAACTCTGGAGGCGTACAAGTCCCAAATGAGGTTTCAGAAGAGGAGGACGAGGCTGTGCCTCCACAGACTGGATCCAAGAGACCACACTCTGTAAGCCACTAAACGTGGATCCATGGATCAGACTGCCTTCTCATGTCGACTGCATCGTCCTAACCGTTGCGGACTAAATTTGTGTCTTTACCAAATGATAGGAACTGGAGCACGATGAAAAGAACGATGGAGGTAGCTCAGGAAAAATCAGCTCCGAAGCTACTCTTCAAACTGTCAGGATCGCTAAGCAGGTCAATCTCAACAAAAAACGCGTCGCCGAGCACTTTGAGGACTTGCAGCGGTGCTACTTTGATTTTTCTCTTAGCTGTGAGTCTCCTCAGTCTGTTATACGGATCGTCTGGAGAGACACAACACACACCTCTTAAGCCGCGCAGATATCTAACATATCGGAACAAACTGTATTTTCTATCACTCATAGCAACAGCCAGGAGAGAATCCGCATTATCGAGCTTTTGCTCCACGATTTCGAAATTTACAAAGTTTTCACACTTTGAGCACATCAATACCCTGCGCTACGGCGACATCTTCAACACGTCGTCGATCGTATCCTCAATCGAGTTCGACAGAGATGACGAGTTTTTTGCAACAGCAGGAGTTACCAAAAAAATCAAAATCTTTGAATACGGCTGCATCGAAAAGACAGGACTCGCAGGCACAAGTCTTCGGGAGGACGACCGGTCGGACATGTACGACGGCAGTGATCTTACCCGACCATCACGGTACTCTGCCAACAAGAAACCCATTACATCTGTTCTCCACTACCCAGTGCGCGAGATGATGTGTCGGAGCAAAATCAGGTATGCGTGTGGTTTATTGAAACTGATGCTAATGACATTTATCGCGACAACACATTATGTATTCTGACGAGAGTTCTTTTTTTTTTTTTTTTTTTTTTTAACCTAAAAAAAAGCTGCCTTTCTTGGAATTCGTACATTAAATCGCAAATTGCCAGTTCCGATTACGAGGGAATTGTCTCCCTGTGGGACGCGCAGACAGGAATCAACACACTCAATTACGATGAGCATGAAAAGCGTGCATGGAGCGTCGACTTTTCGCGCACGGACCCAACACGCTTGGCCAGTGGAAGTGACGATACAAAGGTCAAGATTTGGTCAACAACACAGAAAGCGTCCGTGTGCACGATCGAGAGCAAGGCCAATATTTGTTGTGTCAAGTTCAACCCTGAGAGCAGCCATCACATTGCATTCGGTAGTGCAGATCACCACATTCACTACTACGACTTGCGCAAGGCGAATGAGCCGCTGTTTATCTTCAAGGGACACCGCAAGGCTGTATCGTACGTCAAATTTTTGGGGCGCGAGGAGCTGGTGTCTGCTTCGACGGATAGCACTCTCAAGCTCTGGAACACACTTCGAATGAACTGCGCGAGGACATACACTGGTCATGTCAATGAGAAGAACTTTGTGGGACTGAGTGCATCTGGGGACTGGATCTCATGTGGCAGCGAGAACAATGCGGTGTACACCTACTACAAAGAGCTCCGGGACCCGGTTGTAACGGTCAAGTTTGGCAACTCGAATCCTGTCACTGTAAGCAAGCATGACCTTGATACGTTGTTGTGATGTCTCTTCTATTTCACCGTTCCTTACTGACTGTCCATGTTTCCTTTATTCTGTTTGTTCTGGTGTGCATAGGGCGAGGACACTGTAGATGAGGACCCATCTCAGTTTGTGAGCTCGGTCTGCTGGAAGAAGAACACGTCGAACAACATTTTGCTGGCAGCCAACAGCTCTGGGGTGATCAAGGTCCTTGAGCTTGTGTAACAGCAGGTTTTTCATTTGCTCAATTTGTCCTTCGGTTCTCTATTTACGAACGTGAGTGGGGGGTCAGCAAAGCAATCAAGCAAAAGACGCACGAAACCAAAAAAATAATAATAAAGCTCATTGTGATCACCATTCCCCCAGAAATCTTTTCCCGAATGAGGGGCCGGACTTCGTGTTGAGACAGTGACACAGCGCCAAACCTTAAATGGGTTTACCCTCCCCTCCACATTGCTCTGTTTCAGAATAATCAATCAAGCACCAACAACAGCGGCTATTTGCTTTTAGCTGTCAACATACAGAATAAATATTACTTATTTGCAAGGAGGATCTATACAAGTGTCGTTGTTGTTGTTGTTGTTGCTGTTTGTGTGCTGCGTCCTGATATGTGGATTGGAGTGATCGCTGACACCACCTCTTATCCTTCCTACTCTTCCTCCTCTTCCACTTTCTCTGGTTACTATTCGTGTATCTCTTACATTCCCACACCTTATCTATCTCCCTCTGAAACAAAGACAAAGGATACTCGTTCAAGATGTGGATAGTCTATCTATTTGACAAGGAACCACATTCGTTCCTTTGTCACTATGTAACTCTAGATACTAGTTCACATTCCCTGCTAGTCAAGCATGGCATTCAATGGGATTTTTTCCCCCCAGTTCATTGAATATATCATGCCGTGCCTCGCATGAGCAACCAAACAGGTAGTACAGAGGGTGATCTTTTCCTGCTTATTAAGTAGTAACAGCAGAAGAGTCATACCGTCTCTTGATAGGATGAGACGTCGTTCTAGTTTTAAATGACTGATAGCAAAAAAAAATGATAGAAGTACAGAAACGGTGGACGGTTAAAAGCGTATAAATGAGCCCGAATAAAAAAAAAGAAAGAGAGAGAGAAGAAGGAAAAAAAAGATAAGGTGGCGCCTGGCATTTTATACAACCCGTATATATCTCGCGAGTCATAACATCCTTTAAACCAATCGATTATTAATGTCCTCTCATCTATAGCAATAGCGTCCAGCCACATTAGAGTTGTGTATTCTGCAGATCTTTAGCCCGATCACGAATAGGGAGGGGGACATTAGGTTGCGCTATAGTATATAATAAATGAGTTCATGCCACAACCAAAGCCTTAAAAAAAAGTCAACGGCAGGGAAGACCTGACGATTAACTTGTTGGCCTGCAAAGAGATGAATACATGAGGTTGATACAGAACCCCTCGGCTAGTACGAGAAGCTGTGTTCTGTATGACGCGTCTCTATATGGTGAAATGTGTTAGCATAGTTAGCTAGTTACCGGGAGTTACCATTCCGTCCACTTCACAGTAAACAAGAGAAGAGGAGGATGAGGAGTGGTGGTAGTGGTGATGATAAAAAAGGGAAACAAGGAGGCATGTTGTAAAAACGCGACATAGTTGTCAGTTGACTATGTCAACCAGTAGTAGTCTATAATCGATTGAGCATACGGTTGGGCAGCAGGGGTGTTAGGAAAAGGAGAATAGCAGACTCGAGATTTACAATGACCTTTGGATGTAGACATTACTGAGTGCTTCAGATGTCTGTGAAGGCATTATATACAGCGGATGCACTTGTGACAGTTGATGACTGGAAAGATGGGCATCGTATGGTGGTGCTGGTCATGGAAATGGCCATAGGTTTATTGAAGGATATAAAGGCAGATTTATGGGGTGTGGATGTGGATGAATGTATGGTGTGGAGAAGGAAAGTTGCTCTATGCAATTAGTGCGGTGATTCAGAAAATATATACTTAGTCCAAAAGAGAATGAGTGCGGACCATGAAAATGGGTGCTGTGCTGTCCCCTAAAAGGGCATCTCTCTGATCCCCCCTCCCCACACATACACACTTTCCTTCACTTTGTTGCTGCCAAGTGGCTTTTTGGACCTCCTTCGTCCTTCTCTTCTCTTCTCACCCTCACTTTCTTCATCATCCTCATCCTCATTCTCATCCTTATTCTCATCCTCATCCCCACACTCACACTCCTCCTTAGTCATCACATCATAAAACACTTCCTTTGCTTCATCATCACCCCTCCCCCCCCATCCATCTTAACTCCCCTTTCCATCTTTACTATCCTGACCTCAACACCCACACACATACACACCCCTTCTTTGTGCCAGATATTCTTCTGTTTCCTATCTCTGTCTCTACACTTCAATCCACCTCTCAACACTTCTTTCCTTACCAATTTCTGAAAAGTCATCCGGGCTGGTTTCTTTTTTTTTTTTTTTCGACACCACGGTCGCGGTGCAATTGAACACTTGAATCGATAGGAAGAGAGACCTCGCTGATAAGACTCGATGGAGTACGAGTACTCGCCGCCTCACCAGTCTGGTCGGCAGCAGCAGCAGCAGCAGCCACCACATCTGCAACATCAGAACCAGTACCCGCAGCAGCACCCGCAGCAGCAGCAGCAGCAGTACCACCAACAGCAGCAGCAGCCCCAGCAATGGCAGTACTCTAACCAAGGAGCCATTCCTGCTATACCTCCTTACTCTGGTAGCGGTGGTATGACTAGCGCGGCAGCCTCTGACTCTTACAATTCATATTATGATTACAATGGGCAGCACCAGTCGTACCAACAGCAGCAGCAGCAGCACCTAGAACACCAGCATCTAGAACACCAGCATCAGCACCAACAACAACATCACCAGTATCAATATCAGCAACAACAGTACCCGCAGCATCATAGCCTCGAGGAGGACGCCCCAGGAGCGAGTGGAAGTGCTGAGAACCTGTATGATCGATCGACAGAGGGGATTCCCAAATCGGCCCTAGACCAGTCAGCGGCTGCAAAGTATCGTCTAGAGCATCATTTCAGTCAGTCGTTGGAGCAGGCGATCGAAAGAAGTCAAAGGTAAACGAGCACTGCCATGTCCCGCGTGCAATTGTGTCTCGTGTCGAATGCTGAATTTTTATCGGCTTTCTTTATGCAAGGGGGAAAGGAGGGGAAGAGTACTTTCTGCTTGTGTCCCCTAGTAATTTGGACACATTCCTGCTTGCCTATTTTTTTAAGCTCCTTTGCAATCTTCAATTCGCTCACTCACGCCAATTATTCGTTCTTTTGGTTGTTTTTCTGTTATCTCGATCAATTTCTTCACTGTCAATAGGAGGATAGAGCTCGAGACGAGACTGGAGACCGAGCATGGGAGCGAGGAGCGCAAGCATCGACAGCTGGAGGCCCTTGGCCGAAAGGAATCGCAGTATCTGAGGTTACGACGGACGCGCCTGGGACTCGATGATTTCGTGACGGTGAAGGTGATTGGAAAGGGAGCCTTTGGAGAGGTGCGTCTGGTCCAGAAGCTGAATTCGGGCAAGATCTATGCGATGAAGACACTTCGTAAAGCGGACATGTTCAAGAAGGACCAGGTAACGAAAAGAAAAAAAAATGGCGTCCTGTTTTTTATTTTATTTTTAGCACGAATGAGTGATGGATTGTATGCATTTTGTGTATCACAATGCAGTAGGTTTTATTTTCCTGCTTACTCACTGTCGCTTTACTGCTTCGTCTTTTCTTTGTGGCCCTTTTTTTTTTTTCTTCTTCCCTTTCTTTTGCGAAAATGCACAAATTGTAGCTGGCCCACGTTAAGGCTGAGCGAGATGTCCTGGCAGAGTCCGAGTCGCCATGGGTCGTGCAGTTGTATTATTCTTTCCAGGATTCCCATTATCTGTACCTGATCATGGAGTTCTTGCCCGGTGGAGATTTGATGACAATGTTGATTAAGTACGATACGTTTTCCGAAGACGTGACCCGATTCTATATCGCCGAGTGTGTGCTGGCCATCGAGGATATTCACAAGATGGGATTCATTCACAGGTATGAGGAGAGAAAGAGAGAGGAGGACAAAAGAAGGCAACAATTGTTGTTTGTCTGTCTGTTTGTTTGTTTGTTTTTTTCATTCGCTTTGCCGCTCTTATGCATGGATATGGATGGATATGATGGATGAACTAACTCAATATTGGCTGTACGACCCATTCCTGGTTTTGGATGAACACAGAGATATCAAGCCGGATAACATATTGATTGATGGGGATGGTCACATTAAACTGTCCGACTTTGGACTCTCGACCGGGTTCCACAAGACGCACGATTCTCAGTTTTATCAGCGGCTGTTGGACGGTCAGATCAAGGGCGGCAACAGCAGCCATAACGATGGGGTGACGCGACTTGACACGGGCGTTGATGCCATCAACCTGACTTTTTCAAGCAAGGATAAGCTGGCGACTTGGAAGAAGAACCGAAGGAAACTGGTAGGGATTATCTTTTGTGGTTGCAACCCCTCCCCCCCGAAGTATCAATGTTGCTTTGTGGTTGTTGTTACTGACTATAATGCTATTATATGTATCTGTGTGGTTGTTAGGCATACTCGACTGTGGGAACACCAGACTATATTGCACCAGAGATCTTTTTGCAACAAGGATATGGACAGGAGTGCGACTGGTGGTCGTTGGGTGCGATCATGTTTGAGTGCCTGGTCGGATACCCACCTTTCTGTAGCGAGAACGCTCATGAGACATATCGGAAGATCATGAACTGGAGAGAACAGCTCTATTTCCCAGAGGACGTTCATCTCTCGCCCGATGCTGAGGATCTCATCAGGAGGTATGCACGACATCGCGAAGGGACTTGAAACGAGGGTGGTCATTGTTGATTCCTGTACTCACAAATTGCTTACTGCTGTTGTTGTTGTTGTTGTTGTTGTTTGCTGGAATTTGTGGGTCATTAGGTTGATCTGCTCGCCAGAGATGCGACTAGGCCGACATAGTGTGCACGAGATCATGTCGCATCCGTACTTCCATGGAGTGGATTGGGCGAATATTCGACGGATGGAGTCGCCCTTTGTGCCGGTGCTTAACTCGATCACGGACACGAGTTATTTTCCGACAGAGGATCTGGATAAGGTTCCTGATCATCCGGAGCACCACGGTAAGTTCAGCTTTCTTTTTTCTTTTTATGTACTTACGATGGTGTTTTAGTGTGTATTCATGTTATTTTTATTTTATTTTATTTTGGTCGAGTAGAATACATGGCACTGGATGAGAACAGCAAGCAGAAGGATCTAGCGTTTGTGGGATACACGTTCAAGCGGTTCGAGTCCTTGAGCAAGCGAAACGCACTCTAGCATAGAATATCAATAGAAAGTGTCTCTTTGCTCCCCTCGCCAATTTTTTTTTTTTTTTTTTTTAGCCCGGTTATTTTGGGTAGACAACCTAGGACTACAATAATATCTAATAGATGGACAGATGAGTGTCGGTTTTTTTTTTTTCTTTTTTCTTTTTTTCTTCTTTTGATGAACATTAGATACAGTCCATTATGGATGCAAAGTGACAGATAAGGATGATGTAGCCGAGCAGCCAGGTAATCATGCCATGCATATGCGATGAGATCCAATGGCTCATTAAGCATGTGGAGGTCGATGTGGACATGTAATGAGCGGAGTAAAAAGCATATCATATGGGAATGCAGAGAGGGCCAGGCTGCTTTTTTTTTTTTTTTCTTCTCTTGGTCTTGGTCTTGTTTGCTGACTGGCGTATGAGAGCTGCTCATTTTTTTTTTTTTACTTTCTTGACAAGTGGGAGGAAAAAGGTTCGACAGTAGGATTTGACTGAATGAACCCAGTTGTGAGGGTGCTAGACTGTGGAGTGTACGTCTGTAGTGCACAGTGATAAAGGGCGGAGATTGCGGTACATGAACTTTTATTAATGCCGTAATAAGAGACTGGATTAAAAAGAAAAAAAAAAGAGGTATGTATTATAGCCGCAGGACCCTAATTGCTGCAGTCTTTTGAGAGAACAATTGGCATGCATGGTAAGCAGCAGGAAAAGAAAATGCGCCGGGCATGGGACTCTTTCCTCTGTTGTGTGAAATTGCAAATGTGATCGAGGCGCATTGGGAGAGGGGGGGGAGAATTGCTGCAAACTATGGTCTTTGGATATTAGGTTAGATTTATGAATAGTGCACACAAGGAAATTAAAAATCTGCTTTTTTAGCACTGGTGAAAACGAATGAACAACGACTGGAATCAATAGGGAATAAATATATCAAACGGTCCTTTTAATAAGCTGTATTGTTGTATCAAGGATCGATGCGGTAGTGACATGGGTTGGATCAATACTGGTAGTCGTTGTCCATCTGCTGTTGCATCGAGCGTCCGTAGGGCGTGGGTGACTGGCTGGGATGCTGATGATGCACTCTTGGGCTCCGTCCGCCCATGGACGGTGTCAGCGAAGGCGCCATCGTTGGCGATATGGGGCCAGAGGTATACGAGGGAGCTGAGGTAAAGTTCGAGGCCGGGTATGGCGAGCCTGGGTATGGCGAGGCCGGGTATGGAGAGGCTGGGGGAGGGTCCTTGTGAGGATTGAACATCTCGTACTCATCCATGACCTTGCGTTGTTGCTGCTCTACATATCGCTTGCGCTCTGCAACACTGCTGGGACCGTATTTTTGACCACTCGTATCCGAAAGCTCGTACTCGACCAATCCGGGGGTCGGGCGGTCGTTGACGCCGTAGTAGGGGTGGTTGAGGGCATCGGATGCGCTCTTGTAGCGGGGATGGCCTGTTTGATCGAGATCCTGGTCGTCATCGACATAGACGCTTGGGGGTTTGCGGATCGTGAAGGATTTGGCGAGCTTGGCTTTATCTCCACGGTCTTCGTCGCTCATGTGGCCAGCAGAAGAGGACGAGGGGTTGGGTTGGTTGTTCTTGTTGCGGGAACGGGATTGGTACGAGTTGATGGTGTTGGTGCGGGAGCGGGCGCGGTAGCGTTGGAGGACGAGACCGAACACTGTTAGGACGACGACAGCGGCGACGGTGACACCGACGATCATGGGGATGTTTGAATTAGAGGTGGAAGAGGAAGGGGTTTGGCCCTGCTGGTAGTTGGGTGAATTGGGGCCGCTGGCTCCGGAGGGGAGGGCCGGGTAGGTGAAGGGGGAGGTGCCGGTGGGAAGGTTGAAGATGGTACCGTTGCCGGCGGCAGGGACGCCGGGGATGTTGTAGACGGGGGTCGGTTGTGCACCAGCAGTGGTGGTTGCACCAGCAGCAGGGGTGGTGGCAACAACGCGGGTGGTTGTCGCTGATTTTGTAGACATGATGTGAAGGAGATGTAGGGTGCTCGTTAATAGATATAGAGATAGAGATGGAAGCCAATGACAAGGGACAAGCGGAGGGCGATGGGGGCTGAGGAAGGGGGTGGATGGATGAAGATCAAGATCAAGATGATGGAGGATGGTAAGATGGAGGATGGAGGATGGAGGAGGACGTTGGGGTCAAGGGGGGGACAGAGGAAAAGAGTGCCAATGAAAAGAATACTAAATAGAAAACAGAGGACTGAGGAACCAACTAGCCCAATTGGCCCGTCTCAGTCTATTTCAGCGTTTGTGGCGATAGCGAGCAGGGACGTCTACTGACAGGGGCTTACTCCGGACTAGACTAGACAAGGCAAGGCGGGGCGCCGTCACTCTCCCCCTCCCCCTCACCTTCACCCTTCATTTGCAGTCCTCCGGACAACGGTCGGATGAACTGGGTTGGACAGGGTTGGACAAGCACATGAACCATATTTCATACTTCTCATCCTTCTCATCCTGGACTAGTCTATTCTCTATTCGCATATGTTCCTGTTTGTTTGTTTGTTTGTTTGCTTGCTTATTTATTTGTCTCTGCCCTCAGTGCTCTCTTTGCTGCTGTCAGGTCTGCGCTCACCCCCTCCACTTGCGACCATGCACACACACATACACATGCACCCTGCTTCGTATGTCTACTGAGGTATCCGTTTTGAGAGCAGAGCAATACACACACACACACACACACACACACGCACACTTCCATGGTGCGACATGGCATCCTAGTCTACATACATGGCCTATCCATCACTAGGAGTGCTTGCATCGCACAGAGTCCTTGAATACCGTGGAATCCTCATCTGGTGTACATTCACAAAACCAGCACCACCCGTATTTGTTGCGTCTATCTCTCAGCTACGTACATCCACGAGCCGAAAGCTTCCTATATACTATACATCGCGCTGAACCTCTCTGCGTGACGACCTCGACAAGAATGTGTCGCTCTTATGAATGGGGTGGTATTCGATAACCTCATTGACCTCGCTGATGTATAATCCGGAGAATCGCCATGTTCTGACTGTGGTGCCCAAAGCGGGAGGGATCCCAGCGAGGAGAAGAGTGAGTGAGCGTCGGGTGCCAAAATGGACTATGCTTAAGCTTTTTTTCTCTCTCAGCGGAGTTGGCGGACAGAGGACATAGACCCCTTAACATATTGAACTGCGTGAACGCGTCGGTCGCGCCCCTTTTTGGTTTTTGTGATCGAAATTCATTTTTAGTCAAATTCGAAAAAATAAAATAAAATTTTGGAGCGCGTCCCAAAGCAAAAGACGCGTTTGTGGTCGGATGGTAAAAAAAAGGTACGCGGTGGGGGACAGAATTGAAAAGACAAAATTCATTTGCACACACAGCTTCGAAGCGAAGAGAGGGAGGGGAGGGAGAGGAGAGCGGGGAAGAGGGCGTCCTGCACCAGTTTACACCGCAATTGTGCGCATTCCCCGCCGTTTCCCCTTCTCTTTCCTCTCCTTCGCCTTTGTAAATCCACTCAACCCACTGCAGCGACACTCGACCCACCCTCGGGCTCCAGGATCCACACCCACACGGCCTTACACTTCCTGCTCCCCCTGTAGTGCTTCACTCAATTGTCCATCCCGCCATTATCTTGCTCAGTCCATGATCTGATCCTACCCGGCGCCCGCACCCATCCTCCCTCCCCTCCCCTCCCCTCCCCTACCACTCTCCCTCCCATCCTCACCCACCACCACTATCCATACCATCTACTCCGACCCGCCATACCACCTCCACACAGCATGGCCTCTCCCACACTATCCAGCCCTCCTTTTCGATCCGGCTCTCTCACGGATGAAGATGAGATCATGGCACAGCACGATTCAATAAGCCTGCCCATGTCTCCGCCCCTATCACAAGAATCACTCGCATCCTTCGCAGAACCAGAACCGAAACCAGAATTCAGTCAACCACAACAACATCTCCACGACCACTACCAACAGCAACAATCCGTCCACCCTCTCGACCAAGCCTCGCCCACATTTCCCAAGAAGACCCTCAACTGGGTCAATGCCCTGCCCTCTCACTTTGACACCGAATCATCTGGCCACCCACGGAAGCGACGCAGGAGAACCAACAGAGAGGAGCTCGAGATCTTGGAGGACGCGTTCGCAAAGAACCTTTTACCCGATGCAGCAACACGTCAGGAACTGGGCGAGCGCTTGGGGATGAGTGTCCGAGCGGTTCAGATCTGGTTCCAGAACCGACGGCAGACGTTGCGTAAAAAGTCGGTGTCCCATCCAGGAGGGTCAGAGGAGGAGATGTCGAGATCGGACGTGGAGTCGAGGAGGGATTCGCCCAGGCGGCGGTCTTCCGGAGACTCGATCATATCATCGTCGTCCCCGGTGCTGGGTCCTGTGAGCGGCGGCGGAAGCGGTCAGATTGCAAAGTCAAAGTCTTGTTCGAATCTGTTGGCTTTTCCGCCACCTCTTCCTTCGCAAACTGGGTCCCAGACCCTCCTTCGTGCAGAGACTTGTTCTTCTCTTCCGACAACGGTCTCTGCGCTTCCATCAGCCCCAAAAGCATCACCAGCAGTAAGATCGGCTCCACCTCCTCCCGACGCACGGCCATTGTCGGCAAAGCAGGAGAGCAATCCAGAGGAGATGCCACAGGAAGAACAGCCAGAGGTCGGATCCGAGGTGAAGGTGAAAGCTGAGGTGGTCGAGTCAAGTCCGAGTGAGGTACTGGAGGCAGCAGCCGCAGCAGAGTGTGTTCAGGACATTGTGGACATCAAGACGGCAGATCTGCACCTATGCATGCTACTGGAGGAAGCCAAGAAGCGATCCGGGCAGGTGGCTGCTCCTGTGATGGGTCTGTGGCCCGCACGCTCGTCCAAGCATGTGTTGAACCCGACCTGTCCAGGATCGTTCCCACCAACAACAACGACTTTCCCGACCCCGAAGCGAACCATGTCCACGCCGTCCATGCGCCCTTCATCCTCGAACCATTCACATCGACCGCCGTCCGCGGTACAACAGCATTCTCGATCCAGCACAAAGACTGCAAGGAAGCATCGCTCAATGCCCGAGGCTGGTGCTTTTGCTGGCTCGTTAAGCTCATGCTCACCTTACTCCAGGACGGTCTCACTCATGGAGCAGGTCCTCAACCGCCAGCCACATCATCATCATCATTGTCATCAACAGCAACATCATCACCGTCCTGCGCCCAGTAATTTCAAGCAATCAGCACTTTCGGGCGCCACCAAGCACACAATCGATAGCGTCAGTCATAGGACCTTACAAACATCATCACCTATTTCTTCGACGGGTCTCTCGCCAGCCCAGCTGGCTCGGCGGTTACAATATGTGGTCAGCTCGAATTTGAAGCGTGTACAGTCAGAATCGGTGTTGTTGGAGCGACAACACAGTAACAACACCAACAACACCAACACCAACAGCAACAGTAGTAGCGGGCGGTGTGGACAGCCAGCGATGAGGGCACGGAGGCTCTCGTTCGGGAAGTTCTTGTTCGACTCGGATACAGATGAGGAGATTTGGGACAAGTCGCGGCTGTCGCTGACAAATCAGCAGCAAGAGCTGACGCATCAGGCACAAAAGCGACGGGCGGGCACGCCTGCGACCCCGACGGCGACGATAAGGGATCAGTCAGTGGACGGCGACGAGACCGATGAGGAGGACTTCCGGGCGCTTGTGAACCAGCGTACGATGAAGCGGTTTAATCTATCGAAGGCATTGAAATCGTCGCCATCAGCCTCGCCGTCACCCTCGCAGAGGCAGCAGGACTGGAGTGGAACACACAAGGTGCCACGGAAGAGCTTAAAGTCATCGCTGTCGACCTTGTCCTTGGCGACGTCGTCGCCTACGCGAGAATATGCACTGGAGTTGGAGCGGTCGCGGAGCCCGTTGACGAGTTACCCAATCTTGGAGAGGAACCGGACATGGTCGCCCGCAACCTCGGGTACGGCGGCGACGGTTGAGCAGATCGGTAGTGGGACAATGGTGCAAGAGTCAGCGACGACGGAGGGTAGCTCGACAGAGACGAAGGACTTGAATATGGATGAGCTCGAATGTGCGAGTGTGCTGGCGGGTCTCGGATGGAGTCGTTGAGACTCAAGCGTTTATTTGTAGCACTTCAATTTCTGTGTTAGCCATCCTTCACTCAAACTACTTGTAACATCCTCCTGATTTTGAACATTAGCAACAAGAACGTGTACCATATTACCATATTGTCAGAATACAAAATGTACTCAACCATCTCTCTCTGCCGGATAAACAGTAATGACTACAAAGAATGTTGTTTGTTTATTGTCAGCGTCTTCTGCATTGTCGCAAAGGCTATCTGCAGGTATGCAGGGTTCTATGCAAAAAGAAAAAGTGAGAATATATAATTTTTTATTCTATTTTTTTTTTTTGCTGTGTGCAGCGGTCTTTGTGGGTGGCTATGAAAGACTCTTCCAACTGTACCACCATCACGGACAAGCGAGCGAATGAACGGAATAAATATCGTTATTTTCTATACCTTCCTCCCCTCCGATGCTACTCTTTCTTTTTCTCATTCTCGAGCCCTTTCCGCTCGGAAACACATCTCAAGAAACTTGATTACCCCTGTCCTACTCCTGTCACTGTCCCCCCTCTCCTTCCACAAACAAACAAACAAACAAAAACTCTTCGAAAAGTACAAACGTAGCGTGTCGCGAAGCTATCACTGAGTTTTATAATTGTTTTTTTCCCTTTATATAGATATATAAGCACTAATTACAAATATGACATACCATGCACCTTACGAGTCCCAGTTCTGTGGACGTGTGGGTGCGCTTAAGAAATGGACGTCGACGCCCGAGCGATTCACGCTTCTGTTACAGAGTCTCGGGCTTTTGGAGAGGAGGCCACAACAACAACACCATCAGCAGCAGCACTACCACAGTTTACAGCAGAGATACTATGGTCAAGACAGTAACCCGAGTAGTACCTCTCTGCGATCCGGGGTTTCGACTCTTCAGCAGCAACAGCAGGATAAGAAGCAACAGAGATATTACGGGCAAGGCGATAATGCGAGTAGCACTTTTTTGAGACCCGAAACTTCAAGGCTGCAACAACAACACCAGCAAGTATCGATCGATCACGTCCAGGAGATTTCTTCATCCCACGATTCCCACAACACCCTACACACCCTATCCTCAAATGAATACCAGGCGCCTCACCAACAAGGCCAGCACCAGCAATATCGTGAACCCCAGAACCGACCCCCATTCGCGCCCCAAAGGGATGTGTTATCAAAATTATATGTACTCACGACCGCGGATATGGAACGCAAGTTCTTGATAAAGATCTTTCCCTCCCAAACACCATTCTCACACCCTGCTACCACCGCCGCAGGCACAGGCACAGGCATAGGCACAGACACAGGCACAGGCAGGGGTACAGGCATGGGCGATGCGGCTGCGATCGATGCGACTGTGGTCGACGCAGAACAAGAGATGCTGGAGAAGATGGTCCAGCATGCGATCGAGAATGAGCTCGGAGCCATGCATTGGGCGCGAGCGCACTGGCAAGTTCCTTCAAGAAAAAAAAAAAAAAAAACTTATATTACACTCCACACCAAGCTGGCCAGCTTTTTCTGGGATCCGGCTTTGGTTTTATATTTTACGTGCTAATAACTGTATTTGTCGTAATGGGTACGGGGGGTTTTTTTTTTTTTTTTTTTTTTTTTTTGGTGCTACAGCAAGAATTTTCGAACACCTGAGGTTCTGGGATACGCCTATCAGGGTCTTGCAAAGGATATGAAGGCATGTCTGGAGATCTTTGGGATCTTTGGATTTATCCTGATGGAACTCCCAGCTGGCGGGGTGCTGTATCAAGGCCCTGCACAAGAGTGTCGATTGGAGGAAGCGGCGCATTTTGCGATCAGTGAGCACCTCGCCAAGGTAGATTCTTTTTTTTTTCTACTCTAAAAAAAAAAGGAAAGGGCTGTGAAGAAAATATTACAGTTGTTGATGACGATGATACTCTTTGTTGCTGTCCTTGGTTTTCTAGCTACTGTTTGAAATGAGGAGCAAGGTACAGGATGCGGTCTCTGGATTCGATACGCAGCAGCGACACTTCATGACCCAGTCAAGATTCGGTATGTTCGCTGCCCATCATTTTTTTTTTTTTTTTTTTTTCCCTCAACTATTGATTGCAATGGTATTTTGACATCCATTTCGGTTTTTTTTTCTTTAGATTTAATCGTCCAAGCACTCGACACGTTCCACGATTTTGGTAAAGAGTCCACGCCAGCATTTTTACAGGGCACATCGGAGGATCTACAGGCACCAAGAGTCTTGCATCGCTATACTGCACAGCGAAAACTCAAAGACGATAATGACAACGATCTCCAGGATGAAGAAGACAGCGACGAAGACGACTACTGCGACAGCGACGACGACGATGGATCAAACCTTGCGAGCGAGGCTTTAGGCGAGCGCCTCGTAAACACAGCACCGCTCAACAGCGCATACTATCGTAATCAAGACAGCGCATTTACCACTGTTACCAATACCACTACCACCGCCATCGCGCCGACTCCCCCTGTCGCGATAGCTGCGGCTGCATATCACAGTACACCGATCCCGCCACAAAGACCGGTCCGTGCTCCTGGGCATATCCCAATGACGGCAACGGCTGCGGCCAAGTTCAGCGCACCTCTACCACGGGTGTCCAGTCTCGCTCATGCGGTGGCATCGTCCTCGAGATCGGCTTTGATCACCACAGACCGTACAGTGCAATATCCGCCAGTCCCATACCCTCGCACCCCACGGATGGATGCCCATCGTAAAAAGACACCGCAGACGAGTAAACCACTCAATCCTACGAACGACACTTCCGTACCCAGCACCTGGCATCCTGTCGTAGAAGGATCAAAGAGAGATGATTCGCAACGGACGTCTGGAACGAGTCAGCAGGTGTCTTCTGAAGCACGAGCTCCACCAGGACTGGATACTTCTATAGCAGAGACCAAATCCTGGTTCGATCAGGATCCAAGCGTCTATTGCAGTAGCCGCGCGCGCCATGACGACGGCGGGGAGGTTGGTTGCGTGAAGTACAACCTCACCACTGCACTGGCTCCAAGACCATCGCACGATTTGACCTCGCGCTCAACCGTACTCCCGACCAGGGGCCTGCGTGCGAGAGCGTCCAGGCCCAGTACTGAGGAAGATAACTTTTCCTGGATGACCGAAAACAGTATCCCTTGGCCCACAAAGTTTATGCGTCCGTCGCGACCGGGCGAGGTGTATTCCTGTGTGGCAGAGTACGAGCAAGCACAGCTCATGAATACGTTGGTAGCCCTTGGACGGCTGGACTCCCATCCTGGATCGACATGCCGTTTCCCACAAGAGCTCCTTGACTTACTCCCACGGATCCTTTGTCTCGCACATGATGAATTACTCTTTGCAGGCTCTAAACTCGACCTCGCCATCAGACGTAGGACCGTTCGCGAAGACCTTCCGTATTCGCGGCCGACGGGGATATTCATAGACCATCGAGCGGTGTTCACATGCACAAACCTGGGGCCGGGCTCCCTTGTTATTAACCGGCAGCGTGGGGAGATCCTTGCGATGATCAATTTCCAGCATGCGGGGTTCCTGCCGAGTTATGTCGAGAACGTCCAGGGTCTGTTTGTGGAGACTAGTCACTCATCCTTCTGGAACGTGGATCGACATGTATTGAATGACGACGCGGGCAGGGGCGGCAATGTTGATGAGCTCCAAGATGGATCGGTAAGGAGAACAGGCTTGTTGCGTACCACTCGACCATCGACACTCGCGACCCCACGATATGCTTCACCGTCGCAATCGACGGACGCAGTTGCGGCAGGGGTGTTGATGGTTCTGGGGCTGAGGCCCGGAAAGGATACTTGTCCGTCGTACTCGAGACGAGGTAACCACCCATCGCCCTACCCGATCATCAACCATTACACCACACGGGGTTCTTCGGCCCCTTGCAAGTCCATGGGGTACTATGAGCAACCCCCTCCTCCTCTTTTTCCAGCCCCGGTTTCCTTGCCGCCAAGTCCCGAAATCATCATCAAGGACTCCGAGTCGATTTCGGAAATGTCTTCCCGTACGAATAATGGTACCAAACACCCAAGGGCTTTCAGGGGCGGCCTCAAGAACCTGGCGCCGATAAAATGGGCCATGTCTAGAGATCGACCTGGATCTCCGCCCGCGAGTAAATCGCCGATCGAGGCAGCCATGAACCTCAGTCTCTCCTCGATCCCAAACTCATACACCCCTACCTCAGCTGTTACTGCAAATCAGTCTGAGAGCCCTTCGAACGTCGCATTGTCCATGCACAGCGACTCTGTTGGGAGGTCGAACGCGTCTGATAAGCACACCTCCGCAGGTACGAACTCATCTTCAAGCCGCCTTACCGTTCCAAAGCCCTTCCCCACTCAGGTTGGGATGTTAGTTCCTAGGGTTCCGACGGTGAACCAAGGCGGGTGGTCGCATTTCCTAGACTCGTACCGCGCCCAAGACTCTCAGAAGAGTCATGCTCCGGGTAAGGATAAGCAGCGGGCCACGACGTCTCCGGTCCAATCCACGAGCACTTCGACTTCTAGTTCTTCCTGTTGTTCTTCTCCTTCTTCTTCTTTTGGCTCTTCCGGACGGATGCGTATCCCTGTCAGACCCAATACGGGAATCGACCATGGGCCGACAAAAGATGCGAGTCAGTTTTTTGAGCATGGTCATGAGTCAAAGTACCTGGATGCGTTGATCTGTTTGTGTAGGACGTTGCAGAACCTGATAGTCGTGCTCGAGGCTGGTGGGATTGTGTTGACGCCACATCAGCTCCTGACGGCGGTCGCGCTTAAGAGGCAGCAGTGGGAGCAAGAACAGCACCAGCGCCAGCACCTGCACCACCAACATCCTGTTGAGATCGCAGTTACTTCACAGCAGCAGCCTGTTAGCACCATGGCCCACCAGAGACAACAGCATCGGACAGAATCGACGGCCGGCGCCGCTACCGCTGCCACGGTCACTGCTGCCGTCGTGGGGATTCCTGAACAGAAGTCTTCGACCGCCACCCCACCACCAGAGTCGCCCTCGAAATGTCGACGATCCCGACGAAATATTTTCATAACGATGCTCAAAAAGACTACAAGGCGCCGTCCATCCTCCACAGCGACCGGATCCTCAGCCCCGTCCAAGTCTTTGCCCCTCTTACCTGATGATGACCTCCCACGGACCTACCGACCCTCGCGTTCTTCAGATGACAATATCTTGTACTCCGCGCCCGGGAAACAACGCGACCCGCTACCCTCAGAACTCCCGGACCATCTCTTGAACCTCAGTACCGCAGGGGTGAACAGCGCTATGGGGCAGAGCACGCTCTCGATCACCAGGGCCCCCCATGACGGCAACAACATCTCCAATAATGGTGATCAGAACCCGGATCCCGAGCGTTTGAGGTTTCCGTCCATCAACCCTATGGGCTTACGATTGACATACTCGAGACCGGGCGGACGGGGACCGGAAGAGATGATTGTGCCGTTGGCGACGGATCTGCGACTCGGGAGTATGACGGCGAGACACTTGCCGGCGTACGGGATCCGGTTGAGCAATCGGGACGGGACCAAGTTCCTGGCGGAGGTAGAGATGGAGAGGATCGAGGGATTGGAACGGGAATTCTGGAAGGAGTTTGAGGGACTTTGTGATCGAGGGGACTTTATAGGGGATATCGGCGCCGATAGTAGTAGTAGTAGTAGTAGTAGTAGTAGTAGCGGCAGTAATGATAGTAGTCGCCGTAATAACAGTAACGGTCGTGGTAACAGCAGTAGTAGTGGTAGTAACAAGGAAGCGGCGGATGAGGATGATCCAGTGGGAGAGCAAACAGGGCAGCGAGGAGTGGATGAGGGGAACAAGGAGAAGGAGAAGGAGAGAAGGAATGATGGTAGTAGCAATGGTACCAGTGGTATCAGATCAAGGTATCCGGGCGTGGCGCTGCTGTATCTGGAGGATTTGGTATACCATCTGGAGATGGTTGAGCGGTATGTGACCAAGCTGGAGGCCTATGCGGAAAAGCACTACCGGAACCTGAGGATATAACACGTATATATACACACACACATATATATATATACAGCTGTAGAGAGTATATATTTTTTTTCTTATATTTTTTTCTTATTGTGCTGTACAGTTGAAAGTACAATGGAGAGGTCATCAGGGCCAAGGCCATTGGGGGTTCATTACTAGCCCAGGGGAAGGAGGAGGGATATGGTATGTACAGGATTAGATGTTGTGAAGGGAAAAAAAAGAGAGATAGGGCGCGATATTATACATGAGTGAAGGAATACGTTTTTGCCTTCAAAGAACAATGACCTGGAACCTCTCGATCCCAGCTGCCATGCCTAAACCACTACGCCCACCACCACCATCCTCCGACTCGTCCTCGTTTCGCCTCGGAGCGGTACTACTACTGCTGCTCCCACCGCTACCACTGCTGCTGCTGTTGGTGTTGTTATTGGTGATGTTGTAAACGATCGTGAATCGAGAACCGCTGCGCTCGTATGTTACAGGCCTATCGATATCATGTTTGCAAAGCGGACAGCTCTTATCCGTCAACAACCACTGATCCACGCACTCGAGATGGAAATGATGTTGACAAGGCAGGAACCGGATCGTCTCTGCTGGAGCATAGTCTCCAAGACAGATCGCACAGATCGCTTCTTCAGGGTCACTTCCGAACATGCCGTCGGTCATGGACATGGAACGCAATTTGTCGATCATGGGTTTCGTAGCGGTCCTGGTGAGTCCTGAGGAGATTGATGGTGGAAGGACCCGTGTGAGCAGGAAGGAGCTGCATGGCTATTGTCCAGAGGGTCCAAAAAAAATATATATAAAAAAAAAAGTAGGAAGGTTAACATTTGACATCCATGCATGTCGCTGTGTGTCCCTGTCAAAACAAAAATAAAAATAAAAAATACACAAAAAAAAAAGCTAGAGCTTGTGGCCATTGCTTACCAAGAAGTAGAGTCCAACCAAAGACATATGAAATATGATGATCTTGAACGAGAGCGTGTACACTGGATCGTTCGACGGTAACTATAAAATTTTCATTGAGAGGAGAAAAGGGTCCAGAGCCATCATCATCACAAATGAATTAGTATTCCGATCTACAAATGCCTCTTTGCCTTTTTTTTTTTTTTTTTTTTAATCATCTTCCTTACACAAATAGGATCCCGCCGGGTACGGTCAGCCCCCAAGAACCCGACGCCGACGATGGTCCAGATCATAAAGATGATCAACAAGACCCTCGAGCGCTGATCCAAAGCCGCGACCCTGCTGGACATGGTCTGCCGCTGGAGGATGAAGCACGCACAGAGGATCTGGACCGAAAACAGGAACGCCTGCACGGTCAACCAACTAAACAATTGCTCATCGCAAATCACTCTAATTTTAAAACAGTAATAGTAATATAAAAAAAATAAGTACGAGCAAGAGAATTGAGACATATTGCCATGGGAGGTTTTTTTTTTTTTTAGCGAGACATGGCGTGCATTTTTCTTAGGACGAGCCAAAAACAAAAAAAAAAAAAACTCACTCTGTTGTTAGAAGGCGCCCGATGGTGATGGAGGTGAGGGGGATGAGATAGAGCAGATAGCACGTATTCACGATCCTAAAATGTTATTATGATCAAATGACAATTTTTGTTTTGTTCAGGGTCAGTTTTTTTTTTTCCTTTTTTCGCATTATCGTTCTGCGGACGAACCACTTCACCACAGACATTTGGGAGACAGGGGGGAGTGCGCATTGCATCTCCCCTGCTTTCTCTTTCCCCTCTTCCTTTTTACCACATGAAAAACGAAAAAAAAAGAACCCCTCATACCTGATTGCCGACCAGGAGGAAGAGACCGAGGAGGAAGAGAGGTGGGCGACGCTGAAGAACTGAGGTCGCTGTGAATAGAGTCGAGAGACAAACGAGTGGGAGAGAAGAGCTCTCAAAAAGTCACTCAGGCGATGATACCCATGACTCGAAAAACTGCCCCCTCCAGAAGGGAAAAGAGCCGGTCCAGGAGACGCCATGATGATCCCACTGTGTGCATCCGGATCCGTTTCGGTTTCGACGGCTTCGGTTTGGTTGGTCTGGTACAAAAACACCCTGCCGCCTCGTGTTGTTTGCGCCGGCGCAGAGGCCGATGTTGAGAAAGGTTGAAGGCGCATCGAGGAGACGGGCGTATTTGTCAAGAGACCTCCAGACCCTGTTCCGTGAGGGGTTAATGCGTGGCTGTGGTTGCTGTGGTTGCTGTGGAGGCCAAGGCGGGGCAAAGGCATGGTTGGACCCTCGCGCGGTTCGGTATGGTATGGAGAGGACGAAGACAAAGAGGTGGACGCATTGACGCCGCTGCTGCCTGGGTTCTTTACGTCGAATTTAATGTCTGGATTGAAAGGTGAGCTCATCCTCCGTTGTCCAGCTCTCTGTTGATAGCCCGCGGGGGCATCACTGCTGATGAAGACGCCCGGTTCGCTGGCGTCCGGGATAGAGTATCCAGAGTTGGGTGTTGCTGATCTTTGCAGCTGCTGATGCAGCGTCGACAATCTCCTCCCAGTCATCGAAGTGTCGAATCCACGACAGCTGTTGATGTCTGTTGATCGATGAGTGCTCATAGACGGCAGTGGTGATTGAAAGCGCGACGTGAAGACGTCTGGACGAGTAGGTGTTGCTGTCGTATTGGCAGAAGCAGCGGCGACAGCAAAGGCGCTTGAAGTCCTGTCGGACGGCGTGGCTACTCCTCCGGTTGGAGCCCAAGAAGGTGGCAGTTCGCGACAGTCGAGGGTTCTGTTGAAGGCGGTGCTTTCGTATCGCTCGGACATGGAGAAGGGCGTCAGAGGTTTGCGAGACATGTCCAATAATGGATCGCGGAGAACCATTGACCCGTCGTTCCACTGTCGGGTTGAGGTCGGCGTCGGTGTTGCTGAAGAAGAAAGAGTTGGCCCTTGAAGAGGAAGCTCGTTCGCATTCTCTACCGGATTCCCCTTGTCGTCGTTGTCGTTGTTGCTGCCGTTGTCATTATCATTCCTGTTCCCTTGGTCGTTATTGCAATTGAGACCACTGCAGCAGGAGCAGATCTTGTCTGGACTGTGAATTCGCCCGGATGCTGAAGGGACTGCCTTCATGGCCAGGGAGGATTGAAATATCCGAGAAGGAAAAAAAAAAAAAAGGATGTGCGAAATAGGCGTGTCGAGGAAGCGAAGGAAATACAAAAGAAAGAGAAGCTGGCAAAACAAAGTCAATTGAAGGAGTAAGGGTTGGCGGGTACGAAAAAAAAAGGGAGGGAAGGGGATTGCAATCGCGGATGAAGAGTAAAGGAGAAAAGATACCCGATAATGCGCGGCGGAACAAACCACAGGCGGATGACATACGTGCTGCTGTGGGGGAGGAGGTGCGAAGATGGGGAAGTTGGGGGGGAGAGCGAAACAAGACCCATGGAAGGGGTGTGTATGCGTGAATCTTTTTTTCTTTTTTCTTTTTTTCTTTTTTTTTTGTGTGGGGTGAGAGCTCAATGACCACACCCTTGTGTATTGAACTAGACCTGCTCTTCTTTTCCTCCGCAACCACGACTACGGCGGGCCAGGTTCAAGGAAGCCCAACTGGGCCCAGGGAAGTTCACTTTGCTCGGTCAAATATTGGGACACATTGGGACCTATCATTGAAAGAATAGAAAAAAAAAAAACGAGATTTCTTCCCAGCACCATCGACATTTTCACCGATGAAGTTTCCCTACCCCACCACCGCCGCCACCACGCTGTTGAGCAAGGGGGGGAAGGAGGTGAAAACAAAAGGACGAAATAAACAAAAACAACATGCAGTACATGCAGATGTAATGAATATATTGTTGGTATCGGCTCATGCTCACCACTGGATGCTACACAAACACCCTGCATTGGAATGTCACGAGCGGCATCATGGTGGTCAGCAATAACCGTAATTATCATGCATGCCCCCCACCTCCTCCTCCCGAATCGAACCCAAACAATCGCGTGGTGTGAAAAGGGACCTCTTTGTAGAGGAAGCATAGCAGTTGAACGTCCCAGGTACAGACCCGGGAAACGCGGTTTTCCTACTAATTCTCCTGCACGCGCCAAAAAAAAGATCCCGTTGTGAACAAACAAGCTGACGGACTGCCGGGTGAACCATGCGCAAAACGAGATATGCTCGTGCGTTCAGTAATGCAGGTATCCAAAATGACGAAATCTGCAAAAAAAAAAAATGGGTTCTGTCAATCAAATAATGAAAAAACAAGAATAAAAAAAAAGGGCGGGAAAGAGAGCCTTTTGATTTTCTTGACAAGCAAAAGGATGGGTGCGCGAGTAAAAGAAGTAAAGGCCCGTGGCAAATGCAGACAGTTCAGTCGTTTCGTTTGTTTATTTCCACCATGGTGTGATAGATCGCGCTGCTAGCCAGAACGGTCTGTCGTTTTTTTTTTTTTTTTTTTTTTTTTGTGGTTTCCTGGTTTCTTAATGTTCCCACCTCCCTAACCGCAATGATGCCAACAATGCTACGTCTACGGATCGCCTTTTGTGCATTTAAAATGTCTCGTCTGGGTATTCACCCTCTGCCGCCGCCTGGTCCTCCTCTGGGATCTCAAATCCCTCCTATTCACGATGAAAAAGAAAGGAAAAACAAAGAGAAAATCAATAAGAAACAACTAGTCAGTGAATATCCTCTTTTGCAGCTCAATGATTCGTATGTTCATGTCCAATCTCATATATACCTCTGTGCTGTAGAGAACAGCCTGGATCTCCTTCAAAAGTGGGCTGTCGGCCATCTCGGACGACCGTTCCAAGTCCTGCTGGATCAGCACCTCAATATCACGCAGCTTGCCAAAGTAGAAATCGCGCTCCTTTTCCAATGCCGCGACCGTGTTGCGTTCCTCTTGGAGCTCCTTTTGCAAGTTCAGCACGACTGCATGATCGGGGCTAGCCTGTTTTCGCAGCGACGTGTTCCCTGCCGACATTACTGAGCCGCGCCCTGTCACCGAGCGGTTTGCTATTCACAAGACACCCCCAACCGAAGAATGACATGACGTGGATCATGATCCTTGTTAGCGCATCCTATTTCTTAAGAACATCCATTACCAATGGTCAAGATTGCCCGTTGCCCAAGTAAAAAGATCCCGGAATAGAGATTGCAGTTCCTGTTTCTCTCACCTGCACTGCTCGAGCTGTTCATGGCTCTTCTAGGAGGAGCGGCTGCAGATCGGTTGCTGACAGGAACATCACCGGAAGCTCCTCGGCGTGCGGCAGCGTCATAGGGTCCTCCGGGGAAATAGGCATCCCAGTACTTCTTTAGCCACTGCGTGAACTCGAGATTGTCCTGCATCTTACACTTCATCAGACGATCTGTCGGGATTGACTATGGTATGATCGACACGCATCGAGAGAAAATTGGAGGAGGAGGAGGGGGACGAGAAACGTGGGAATTGATATAGAATAATCGTTAGGCTGCGGTCAAGAGCGAATAAGATCAGATCTTGCAAGAGTCAGGTTTTTTTTTTTTTTTGGTCATGACTGAGTACCTTGTCAACCTTATGCTGCTGGAAGCAGGTCTGGAGCACCTTGTAGTTCCCCAGATACTCGTACTCGTGTTTTGACGAGAACTTGATGCGTGACATTGGAAGGTCGCCTGAAGAGAACAGGGTAGAAAAAGAGGACCATAAAATTCAGCATTTGTTGCGGTTCAACCCATCCAATGCACTGCAGAGTTTGCCAACCATTTGTCGCCATGTGGGAAACAGTATGTACCATAGATTGAATCCATGATCTGGACATACGCCGCGCCTAGAACGTGTTATGTATCGAGAATCAGTAGATGGGAGAAGGGGGTTAGCATCCAAAAAAAAAAAAAAAGGCTCCAAGACCCCTCCCCCCCCCTCAGATCCATTCAAGCGTGCGCACAAGGTTTGTAGTCACGCGTCCCCGAAAGTGCTCTCTCACTCCCATTCTTCCTCGTCTTTGTTGAGCAGGACATGGTCTGTATGCTGCAATCGCTGGGTGCATAAGAGTAATATCTCTCCAGACATATAGACCAGAATAAAGTCAAAAGAGCAATTGCTAAAATTGTTTGCGGTGATCCTCCGCTTGATTACTCCAGAGAAATATCTCGAGACCAAATGGGTGTCTTTATTGCGATGAGTACCTGATCCCAACTGCTCGATCTTGGTGTAGCTAAGACCCAAGAGGTCGTTGACCCAGGCGATGAGTTCTCCTCTGCTCTCAGACATGGTTATGGTTATGTGGGTGATGAGGCGTTGATTCGGATTGGGAAAGTGAAGAGAGAAATGAGGAGAAGAGGGAGGTGCGTGAGTGTGTGCAAAGGCCCCTTACAAGAAAGAATGCCCTTCTGTTAAGTGACTCGACCCTGCGGGAGAGTGCACTTTTTTTCTTCAGGGACGGGGGCATGGGTATTTGTTTCTGAGATGTGGTGACGCCAAGGAGGAGATTGCCATGCGCGCACTGTGCGGATTCATGCATGGGGGGTGGAACAAGCAAGCAAACAGGCGGAAGAAAAGTGCCCAGGTACAACGGGACCATGTTACACCAGGAACGCGTACAGCGGAGATGAAGATCTCCACTCGGGAAAAAAAAAAGAAAGAGAGATTAATTGGCCATTGCGCCCAGGTATCGAACAGTTGAGCGAGTAAGAGCAAAAACACCTTATCCTCGCATTCGCATTCGCCTTCAAGTTCGATGAACATATAGCATTTGTCGCATTCATAGTCCATCACATCCATACATATGGTGAATTTGTTTTTTAATGTTAATAAAACGTCAAAGAGAAAAAAGCAAATCAGAAATACAGTTTTGTTACAAGGAAGAGAAGGACGACTCGGATTAAGAGACCAGAGGGAGTTGCGGGGAGGAGTGTTTGCCGAAAAAGACTGGACAGAAGGAGAGGATATAAGGCGTCAAGGAAACCCGGTTTGTTGGCCAGCAGACAAAGAAAAAAAGACTGAAAAAAACGATATTACAAAAAAAAAAACGCAGAAAACAATAATGAACCGCTGGTAAAGGATGAACGAGTTGTTGCTCTAGTCCATCCTTTTCAATAGTTTTTTTTTCCCCTTCCTGTCCCCGGTCTTCTTCCTCCTATTTTTGTTCTTTTCAAAAGACTGAATGGCCCCAATTTCCGCCTTTAGGCCTTGGTGGCCTTAGCCTTCTTCTCCTTGGGGGCAGCCTTGGCCTTTGACTCCTTGGGAGCAGCAGCCTTCTTGGTTGCAGCAGCCTTCTTAGCAGCGGGCTTCTTGGCCTCAGCCTTCTTGACGGCCTTCTTGACAGCAGTGGCCTTCTTTGGTGCGGCAGCCTTCTACAAAAGAGACAAATGTCATTGAGATCAGAAACCGAATTAGCACACTGAAGAGATCATTCTCGCACCACCTGCAAGAGAAAAGATAGCAGTTCTATCGTACCTTGGTCTCCTTCTTGGCAACGGCCTTCTTAGGGGCAGCAGCCTTCTTGGTGGTGGTGGCGGCGACGGGCTTCTTAGCAACGGGCTTCTTGACCTCCTTCTTCTCCTTGACCTCCTTCTTCTTGGGCTCCTTCTTGGCCAGCTTGACAGGGCCAGACTTACCCTTGGGCTGGGTGAAGTCGCCGGTCTCAACACCGCGCTTGATGGCAGCGTTGAAATGAACATCAGAGCTATCGCCGACCTTGTAGTTTCCGCTGATGTACTTCTTCAAGGCCTGGCGGGAGGAGCCGTTGCGCTCCTTGAGGTGAAGAAGGGCAGCAATGATCATCTCCTAATAACCAGAACATAAATGCAATCAACAAGACATTTACATTAGTATGCGGCCTGTTTGAAGCGTCTTCTTTTTTTCTTTTCCTTTTTTTTTTTTTTTTTGGCCCACTCTCCCGAGTCAACATTTTTTTTCTCTTTTTTTTTCATGCCCATCATTTCTTGGTCCATTTGACTTGTCAAGACTGACATCTAAACGTCTTTTTTTTCTTTATCGTCCTCGGCGGACAAGGCCAAGGATATAACCGAGTGCAGGTCTCTTTTTTCCAAAGACAAGAGATTTGAAGTGTTCCATGTCCGTCCTGGCTGTTTACCTTGTAGGGAGGATGCTCAGACTCCTTCTTGGGAGCGGCAACCTTGGCCTTCTTAGTGGCAGCAGCCTTAGCAGGGGCATCGGCAACGGGGGCAGCGGCGGCGGGGGCGGCAGTGGACTCGTCCTTCTTGGTGCGGGCAGTGGCCATTTTAGATATATGTGACGTTGAGTGGTGGGTTGGTTGGTGGGTTGGTTAGTCGGTCGGTTGGCTGTTGCTGAGCGACGGGAGGTGGTGGTGTTCTTGGTGATGGAGGGGTGGGTGGGGAAAGGGAGAGGGGGAAAGAGAGAAAAGAAGGGAAAGAGAGAAATGAGCGGGATATGAGGAGGAATGGGCGAGAGGGAGCAGGAGGCCTTCACGGCTCACATTTCCCGTCGAAAAAGATTAAAAAAATTAAAAAACGCGTCGGTGAGGCCAATAAGATGAGCACCTAAATTCGATTTATTTTTACCCGAATTCAAATTTTTATATTTTTTTTGTTAAAACACCAAAAAAATCATTCTGCTGCAAAAAGACGCGTCCCTCTGCACCACCCAGAACGCGTTGTTTGGGTGCGAAAGGCGGGCTACCATCACGTGTGCTATCCAAACCTCCCTTTTTTTTTTTTTTTCTTTTTTCTTTTTCTTTCTTTTGGGGTTGCCACCATTCTTATATTGATTGACGTCGTACGCGTCTCTCTCTCTCTCTCTCTCTCTCTCTCTCTCCTCCCCATGGTATATATATACCTTGGGATACTCAGAGCTGCAGATTTGTGTGCGCACAGCAATAGAGGTATATAGCCATACGAAGGCCAGATCGATCTGGCATGGCTGCATTAATAAATGTCTGTGCCACTTCCTTTCGTTTGCTGATAGACAATTTCATCTCATTCTGAGGAATAATCAGACGATGCAAAAGCGAAAGACACAGACGCATCGCATACAAGTTCACACCCACAGTGCTATACAGGACATAGACGCTTTATCGCCAAGGTATCTCTAGAGTGCACAGTGATGCTTCGCTATCAACACTATTGCTGCCCATCATGGCGGAATCAACCAACAGAGGCTACTCCACTTTCTACTCCTGTCATTGAAAAAAATAACATTCATGGTCCACTTTATGAATTTTGGTCATTGTGGTCTGAAGCAAAGAGACGCGACCAGAAGCGATGGCTATGTTATCACGCTTTCCTCGCTATCTTTGCATTTTCTCCATCTATTTGGACATGTATGCTACAAATCGACTATTTTGCAGCAAGTCAATACCGTGGTTGGACTAGCGCGAGAACGAAGGCAACAATGATTTTTGCTGCAACAAACCTGTGTTTGTTTTCTTTTCCGTAGCACGCGTTCCTGCATTCCATCGGTTCCAAATGATAGCTAGTCAGTTAGCCACTCGCTTGTGTACTGGACCTGAGATCGCGTATCCCAGGAACTGATTTCAGCATCCGAGCTGGAGAAGGGACTGGAGGAGGAGGAGGAGGAGGAGGAGGCCTTTAAGAGTGAATTTCAGACTAACGTCACTCTGACCTCGCTAGTATTTCCGAGCTCACCCTGGTCCCACTTCTGCTTAAGTACTGGACAACAATGGGATTTCTGAATGGTGTGTATACGTTTTATATGAAGTTTACTAAAGGAATAAAGGGTCGGTACTCATCTTCCCCGAAGGAGCAAGCTAGAGATATCGGGGGGGACCTTATCATTCTGCTGAGGGCTGCAAATGTAGATGGTTTCCAAAGGATGGGATGGCCAATGCTCTTGGTAGCTTGGACAGTTGTTTATTTTGATCGGCGATGTAAAGAGAGAGGCTACTTTAGCGTGGCATGCTGGCGGACTAGTCTCAGGAACGGAAGCACAAGAAAGAGGGAGCGAGATAAAGAGCAGCAGTAGTCTATATCGTCCATGCCATGGCCCTAGTCGCGGGCGAGGAGGTGGACAGATGGGGCGGCTATCAGATTTGGCAGGCAGCAGGTGTCGGTGGGGGGATGCTTATTGGCTGGATAAGCAGGATCGGAGGGTGTACTTTCTGGAGAGTAAAGATGGAGATAGCGGTGGGCCTGTCATCAGCGCGTAATGGATGGGTGTGGGTGTGGGTGTGGGTGTGGTCTCTGTCCTTCCTTGGAGGGACCGCACGCAGCAGTGGGTGGCGGATGGTGTGTTCCAGGGTGGAGGACGAGTGATCGATGTTCCTCCGCCCGCCCTGGGGAGAGTGAGGTCATCGAACCAAACCAAACCAAGCCGGCCTTCGAATCCTCCTATCGCATGGTCCACACCCGTGCACGATCAACCCCAGCGAGTGGCGCCCAATGCTGTCCGCCCACTGGACACCGAAGGGCGGATTGTCATCATCACCCTCATCATCGTCGTCACCGGGGCTAGGGGCAGCCAGGGAGGGCCCGTTCCCCTTGCCTTTCCTCCTCCTCCCTTTAACCTTAATTTCCACACACACCCACTCCCTCTCTCTCCCTCTCTCTCCCTCTCTCTCTCTCTCTTTCTCTTTCCTCTTCTCTCTTTCTCTCTTTCACATCCTCATTCTCTCCCGCCCTCCTCTTCACTCACTCATTCACTCACTCACCCACTCACCTCCACTCCATCGTCCATCGCATCCTCCTCAAGGCTCCTAGTCCTAGTCCTTTGTTCTTCTGTCTGATTTTACCTCCTGTCGCCCAAAATATAGCCAAGCCAAGAGATAAAGCAAGCCAATGTCCTCCATAGTCACCCACCACCCCATGTCCTCATCAACCTCCCTCAGCGCACCCAAGTTCGTGCCCCTGACCGAGCTGCCCGAGACCGCCCAGATCGTCCTCAGCGAGAAGCCAAGGCTCATCAACGTCACCCACCAGATCCCCTATGCCTGCACCATCATCGATCGACCGGCCGCCAGTGCCCCCAACAATGGTCTGTCCTCCACCTCAGCCAGCAGTCTCGGATCGCCCGCCAACAGACGGCCCTCCATGGCTGTGCCCCGTCATCCCGCTGCCTCCTCTCCTTCTCAGGAATCGGTCGATCCCACTTCTGCGACAGACAGCGCAGCGGGAGCTGCCAATGCTAATTTGAATCCCAATCCCAATGCCAATACGGGCACAGCCACTGATCCTTCCCTTCTCGAGAACGGAGACTGCATCCTCGATCCAAGGCGCGGCCACTCTGCTATGTATTCGGGAGTCAAGTCGCTGGAGAGAGACATTGAGACGATCCAGATCGGATGGGTCGGTGAGCTGGCAGATCAGGACGGATATGTCGTTCCATCCAAGAACCTGAGCGAGCAGCACAAGCAGAACCTCAAGGACAAGCTGTGGCAAAAGGAAAAGGTCGTGCCCATCTTCCTGGACGATAACCGGGCAGCAGGACACTACGAAGGCTACTGCAAGACAGGTAAGGCTAATCCAGGGCGCACAAAAAAAAAAATTGGAACAGGGCATTTTCCCTCAGAAGTGCGATTTTTTTTTTTAAGTGTGTGTCTAAATGATTGAATTGAAATGAATTGAAACTCTGCGCGTGAGAAACGATGTCATTTTTCGTTCATTCTTATCTGACGCCCGAAAGAAAAATAATAATAATTCCGACCCTCGCATTCGATAGTGCTTTGGCCATTGTTCCATTACATTCTCTGGGACGAGGCCACCAATGGCCGAGTGGAGAAGCAGAACTGGGAGGACTACGTCTTTGTCAACCAGCAGTTCGCAGACGCCATTGTGGAGCAGTACCAGCCCGGCGACATTGGTAAGTGGATTTGCAAATCAGATCGTGTTTTTTTAATTATCATTGACTGGGTAAGAGCACGGAGCTGACCATGTTTACCATCCGTTTCTTCTCCTCGCGGCGCGTATTAATAGTGTGGATTCATGATTACCATCTGCTTCTCGTGCCGCATTTGCTTCGTCAAAAGCTGCCCGGGGCAGCCATTGGTGTCTTTATCCACGCGCCCTTCCCGTCGTCTGAAATCTTCAGGTGTCTCCCAAGTATGTATTCGTGTTTCTGATGTTGCGCCCAATTGCATATTCATCATGTCAGGAAGCGAGGAAGGGGGGCAAAAGGGAAAAATAGGGAAGGAGGGGTGGGGGGTTGATTCGGTCATATTAGATTATTCGACATTGTGTTCCGCATCCTCATTTTCTTTCTCTCTCCCCTGTATAGAGCGTGTGGAGGTCCTGAATGGTCTTCTTGGTGCAAACCAGATTGGATTCCAGGTAAGAGAGCAGCTTGCGATACCCTATTAATGCATGTATCCCTCCTTCATTTGCCCTAACCATCTCCACTTTTTTCTCTTGCTCCACATAGACGTACTCGTATGCCCGCCACTTTATCAGCTGTTGCACGCGTGTCAATGGCTACGAATCCACACCTCGCGGTGTAGATGCCATGGGAACCACCGTTTGGGTTGGAACATTCCCGATCGGGATCGATGCCGAGAGGGTCGAGCGTCAGCGCAAGGCTCCTGGAGTCCTGCCAAAGATGGAGGCCATCCGCAAGACCTACAAGGGCAAGCGCATCATCGTCGGCCGTGATAAGTTGGACCTGGTCAAGGGTGTCCAGCAGAAACTGCAGGCCTTTGAAAAGTTCCTGAATGACTATCCCGAGATGCAGGGTGAGGTCGTCCTGATTCAAGTGACGTCTCCTCCTCTGGTCGAAAACCCCAAGCTGGAGGCCAAGATCGCCGAGTTGGTTGCGCACATCAACGGCACATACGGTTCTCTCAACTTTACGCCTGTCCACCATTATCACCAGCACATTGATCGCGACGAGTACTATGCCTTGCTGTCGATCGCAGACATTGGTCTGATTACATCCGTCAGGGACGGCATGAATACCACCTCGCTCGAATATATCATGTGCCAGTCCGAAAACCACGGTCCTCTTATCCTCAGTGAATTCACAGGAACTGCAGGAAGCTTGGGTGGAGCATTGATGGTCAACCCTTGGGACTACCAGGGCGTTGCTCGCGTTATCTACGATGCCCTGCATCTCTCGGAGGAGGACAAGCGTACTCGGCATAGCGTAAGTGAGCGATTTGTTGCATGCATGACATTGGGTGCTGTGTGCCATATATTTGTAATAACCACGTTCTTTTTATTATCCCCCCCCCCCCCCCCCCCCCCACCGTAAACGTAGCAACTTCACGAACACGTGCTGTCACACACGGCTCAATATTGGGCCAAGCACTTTGTCTCGGAATTGGTCTTGAACGCCAGCACCTGGGACCAGTCAACACCCACGCCGTATCTCGACTTGAGCGTCATTGTCGACAAATACCGCAGTTCCAAGAAGCGTCTCTTGATGTTCGACTACGATGTAAGTGCTTTTTTTTTTGTCGGGTTGTCAGGATTATCATCATCCTATGATGCCTTCTTGGGTCGACAATCAATTTCTCACGCTCTTCGTTCTTGTCGATATCGCTACCCTAGGGTACACTCACTCCTATCCGAAAGACACCCGGCGCAGCTGTCCCACAGGAGCATATGCTGAAGGCCCTGACTGCGCTCGCCAGTGACCCCGACAACGTTGTGTGGGTCATCTCTGGCAGAGATCAAAAGGTCTTGGAGGAATGGTTGGGCGATGTCGAGAACCTTGGTTTCAGTGCCGAGCACGGATCGTTCATGCGACAGCCCGGCAGCAAGAAATGGATCAACCTGACAGAGTCGCTCGACATGAGCTGGAAGAACGATGTCATCGAGATCTTTACCTACTACACAGAGCGTACACAGGGATCGTTCATTGAGCACAAGCGATCTTCGCTCACCTGGCACTACCGCATGGCTGACCCCGAATTCGGTAACTTCCAGGCTAAGGAGTGCCAGAACCATCTCGAGAACGCGGTCCTGTCCAAGCTCCCTGTCGAGATCCTAGTTGGCAAGAAGAATCTGGAGGTCCGACCCACGATTGTCAACAAGGGTGAGATTGTCAAGAGGCTGCTAAGCCAGCACCCTGAGATCGACTTCGTCCTCTGCGCCGGAGACGACAAGACGGACGAGGACATGTTCAGGGCATTGGCGGGAGTCAGCAACGGCGGTGGCCAGAACCGTCGCGAGTCGCTCAACAACCGGGGTGCGATCATTGAGCCCTACAACGACGAGCTCGTGGCAGCGACTGCGGCCAAGATCGCACAGGCCACGCTTCAGCACTCTCTCGAGCACTCGGTCATCCCCCATCGTCAAGACAGCTCCGGACCCAACGGCATCGCCAAGACCCCCAACGGATCCCATCTGAGGCCACCAGAGCCATTCTCTGCTAAGCGGAACCAGCCCTCACCATCGACGCCTGGATCCATCACCAGTCTTACATCGATCAGCTCTCAGGGATCATCCACGAATTTGGCGGACGAGCACTTTTCGATCACGATCGGACATGCTCTCAAGAAGACGCTTGCTAACTGGCACGTTAGCAGCCCTGAAGAACTGATCCGTGTCCTTGGCATCCTCTCCGGAACCATCGATGCATAGACAAGAGGATAATCCGCAACTGTGTCCTAGAGTTATCAAGGCATATTTGTATATAGCTTTAACACACACACACACACACCCAACACATATACACACACACACACACACAAAACCTCTTCATCCTCCCTTCATCATCATCTGTTCAATAACCCGTCCCATGTTATATTAGGCAAGGTTGTGCATAAAATAAAAAAAAACTGAATATCCACGTCGACAGTTTTTGGAAGACCTGTATTTGCCTCTTATGGCGCAGCATTACTACATCCGATACAGAAATTATCGAAATTATCGCTTTTCATAAGGGCAATACACACACACACGATACAGAGAGAAACCGATTGCCGCGTCCCGTAGATTTACAGAACGCGTTCATTTGTGGTGGATAGATAGTTTAGTCGAGAAGGGGTGTCGTACAGTCGGATGGGGGAAAAGATAGGATCGGATATAGGAGTGAATATGCACTTTTTTTTTTCTCTTTTCTTTTCTTTTCGGAGCATACTCGTAAGTTGTACAGTCCTTATAGAGATGGGGCGGGAGGGAGACTTTATAGTCAGGTTTTGGTTGGATCATATCTTTGACATATTGAGATCAATCAATGCTCCTCTGATAGCATTGATTCAAATACAAAAAGTAGACCTCCGTTCCTTGAGTCATTGCATCCCAGTTTTTCTTCTTTGACAGCAAACAAAAATAACAATAATAATAATAAATAGTCTCGCACTTCATCCATGTTTCCTGATGATAAGAAAAAAGTAAAAGAAAAAAAGCAGTGCAAGGCGCTGAAAGGATGTGTCCAACATTGAAAAACTGAGGATTTATTGTTGGTGTAGTTCAAGAAGCGTCGGTCGTACAGGGAATTGCGAACAAGGAGAAATAAAAAGTAAGCAATTCTTAGTGGGCACGGCGGGACTCGGCGATGACGTTGGTCATCTCCTCGACCTTCTTCTTGGCACGGAGGAAGGTTCCGAGCTAGAAGGAGGATAGAGAAAAAAAAAAAAAAGAACGGGTACAGTGGTTAGATTTCAGGTTCGGCTTGATTTCAACTCGATGTGTTCGCTCTGCTCCTGCAGATAGCAGAAAAAGACGAGGAGTCGTAAAGGTTGAAGATTGAAGGTTTCGCGTTGTGGTGTGTAGCTGTCCGGAGGATGGCATAAGGATACTTTCGAGCGCACAATCCCATCTGGTGATTCTAATCCTGGCCCATATAGAAAACCATGTTCGATGACTCTGCGATCCTAATTGTCGAGTATGACCGAGTTCCCGCAAGAATGAAAAAAAAAATTGTTGTCTTGTTGTTTCCTGTCGGCGGCACATACGAAAGTGAGATAAACACAACGCAGTATTTGGTTCACCACCATAGTCGAGCTCAGCTTTGCCACTCTGGTTACTGCCATTCCTACTGCATACTGCTGCTGTTGCTGTTGCTGTTGTTCCCAATTGCTGCTCTCCTGCAGTCCTGCGGTGTGGTGCAAGGAGGTTGCTCGTTGGAGATAAAATACGTACTCTCTTCTTGGCGAGCTTACGGGCACGCTTATCCTTGGAGTTCTTGATCAACTCCATGATGCGGCGCTCATAGGGAGCAAAGCCAGCGACCTCACGGATGAGCGAACGGACGAAGATGACACGCTTGCCAGTCTATACGGAGACACAATGGGTTTTAAGATAAGGGAGGTGTGTGTTAATGATGGACCTATGCTGTTATGCGTTTGAAGGTGTTGCAATAGGTGTCGGGGATCTTTAGTAGGGCAAAGTCGAGTGTTGGTACGATTGGCGCTGAGCTAAAAGGCGAATCAAGGCGACGGCGAAGCACTTGCTATGAAACGACATTGGTCACTGATCCAGTTGCGGCTTTAGAGAACAGGGAAGGGGGAACCCGCTGGTAGATCGACGGTTGCTGAATCATATGTTCCCCATGCCTCCTTTGTGATGTTTCTATAGTTTTTGCAGCCAGATTCCAAGATTGCGCTGTGTGAATGATGTCTGGCACTAAAGATCCGATCCAGAGGTGCACAAGTAACATCAGTGCCTCCCTTCCAATGCTGCCCGTTGCTCTTGTCGTTGTTTGCTACTGGTTGTTCGTATTATTTTTTTCTTTCTGATGTGATGTCCTGTCCTGGCTTGCGCAGAGTCCAGATATGATTATGAGCACATCCATCGAGGGTGCGAGTATTTGATATCCATCGATCATTGTATCGATGGGGCAGAAGACTTACAACGCCCTTCTTGTAGGACATGGGGGTCTTCAGCTCACGGACAGTGGTGATGTGTCCGTGGTTCTGTCCAGATCGGATTCCGGTTCTCTGAGTAACGGCCATTGTTGCTTGCAAGGTTCAATGGAAAGGAGGATCCAACCACGGCCCACAATTGGGACATTTCAAAAAGGGGAGGTGTCTCCCTCCCCCCCCCGCGCCTCTTCGAGACTGCCCTTAAGCAGCAAATGTTTAGACAGAGTAATAAAATTTGTACGCACCCGCAGAATGGGTTGGATCTTTCTCTCGCGTTGCTTTCTTAGATCCCCCAGCCCTGGATCATTCATCAGAACCAAGTGTCTGAATCATCATCAGAGAACGAGGTTCTGATCATGATCCACTCGACAATCACGCCGAGTTTAATGGCTGGAGAATGAGTCATTGGCACGCCAGAACGATCTCCCTGCGTTCCTTGCCATCCCCATCGGCTTTTTTTTCGAAAAAGTTGATGAGCCCCTCTTCGACGCCCTCATTTTTTTGAGAGTCAAAGCTGTTAAGGAGGGGTGTGGCCAAAGATGCGGACATCTCTGATATTATTATCATTTATTATAAACAAAACAAAAAAAAATAACTGGCATCGGTGTGATTGGAGTGGGACTTTAGTGCTGTGCAAAAATGTTTATACGTACAATTAGGGGGTGTTCATGATGTTCAAGGTGTTTCATCACTTTCATGGTGTTCAAAGCTGTGGATTTGGGCTGCAATTTCACGGGCTTTGCAATTGAGCAGGTTGCGACACTCAGTTGCATGGTTTTACGACGCTAAAAAGCGCTCTGTAGAGTAGGGTTCGCATAGCAGTAGCACTGAATAAAGGCCGATCATGTTCCCATGCAGATTTAAATTCCATTATATGCAGTAGTCCATGCTGAAGCATGCCAGAAGGAGGGCTGTAATGTTTATTACAGTCGAAAAGAGCAACATATGAATATGTACAAAAAAAAAAAGTAGGTGCTGCTATTCAGCATTTGGGCAGCGAAACTGAGGACGATTCGGCATCCCACTATCTCAGAATGATCACTACGAGGACCCCCATGGCGGTTGATTTTGGTTGAAAATGATATAGGGGCTAGATCAGTTCTTGGAGTCAATGTCGTTCTTGTGAGAGGTGTCGGCGTTTGTAGAGCTACCGCTGACGAATTCACTGATCTTTCTTGATACTTCTGCCATGGCACCGCCAACGGCGGCGAGGGGCAATGCAGCGGCCTTGGCGGCCGTCTGTCGTGTGCCCTCCTTGTTTGGATTTGGATCTGTGAAAGGTTCGGAGGTAGGGTGCTCCGGCGAAGAGCGCGAGTTGGAGTGATCTGCCATGGTCGTTTCTTGTTTGATAGAAAGTGGAAGTGTGACGGAGTTTGGTGCTGTTCAGAAGGAGGAGAAGGTAGAGATGGACCAGAGACAAAAAAAAAAAAAGCAAAGAAAGAGAAGAACAGAAATAAAGACGAATGATGATTACCAGGCTTCAGCACCGCCGCGCTTCTTTTTTTTCTTGTTTCTTTTTTAGTCTAGGTAGTCCAGATCGTAGAACGACCGTGCAGGCCACCCCGTCTAATTGATCCAACAGCATATGACAGCACCCTTCTCTGCTGGTGGTGCATAGCAGCTCATTTGTCTTTTGTGCGTCGTTCCCGTTCATCGTTGAGCACGTCACTATCACACTGCTGTTGTGCAGGCGGATGTCCAAAAAGGGGCGTATATCGACCGAGAGCAGGCTGCGATGCGATTGACTGCGGATGGAGCGATGGCTAAGGCGGATGACCACATTGATGCGGCAGCACAGAGGTGATCAGGGTTCGGGCGGTTGATCCTTCCTCGGGTGGGTTGACTGGCGTGCGTCTCCCTTGGGTCGTTTGAGTCGTTGAGTCGTTGGGCCGTTGGGTCATTGGGTATATAGCCTTTTGGCGCACAAACACGCTCCGATACGACTGACGTGATTGGGCAAGAGAAGACGCTTTGGTTTCTGTTTACGTATTCATTCCAATTGAGTCCAGTGAATCCCGCTTTCCTTTTTAGTAGGGCGGTCTAGATAAGCCGCATCGCCGGAAGGAATTGGTCCCGGCGGAGAGAGGGAGGAAAAAAGGCGATTTTTATTTATATTTCAGGTGCGTTCCTGCTTTCTTCCTCTCTTCTCTCCTCCTTTTCCCTTCATCCCCAACCTCCCCTCTCCTCCCCACTCTCGGACCAGCTACTCCATCATGTCTCTTCAACAACAGGCCACTGTCGCCCCCACCGGCGCCGCTCTTTACGCTCGCTTCGCCCTCGCTGGCGCCATCTGCTGCGGTGTCACCCACGGTGCCCTCACCCCCGTCGGTAAGGATCTGGATCTCTTCGGGATCAACAACAAACACCACCCTGATCCGATCACAATCGCCTTTCCGTCTACTTTGCCACTAACTCTTTCCTCCTCTTCCTTTGGCACCATGTAGATGTCGTCAAGACCCGTATCCAGCTCGAGCCCACTGTCTACAGCAAGGTACCGTCATTTGTTCCTGAGGGGGGATTTTTTTTTTTTTTTGCCGGTCGTTTTTTCGTTGATCCCATGTACTTGTCTTGTTTCCGATATTCGGATAAAGGAGTACTGGGCTTCTTTCCACCTGCAGCAGACCTGTCAATCAGTCAATGGGCCAATGGGATCGGCGAGCAGAAGGAAGCAATAATCGATAGTGGACACATGTTGCCCGTGCTCGCTATCTCTCTCTTGCCTTCTCCCCGTACCTTTCGTGCCTGACTTTTTGTTTGGTCTGCAATCAGAGTGTACAAGTTGCAGCAATAACATGTCTCAAGGACCATACAAAAAAAAACGGCTTGTGGATGATCTTTATCCGTCTCCTAGACTGTGCCTGTGTACTCATCTATGACTGCTTGCAATGGTCAAAACCAATTAGGGTATGGCTGCCTCTTTCCGTCAGGTCGTCAAGGCTGAGGGTGCTGGCGTTCTCTTGACCGGATTCGGCCCCACCTTCGCCGGTTACTTCTTGCAGGGTGCCTTCAAGTTCGGAGGTTACGAATTCTGGAGGAAGACCTTCGTTGATGCCATCGGACAGGAGGCTGCCGTCAACAACCGCACCGCCATCTACTTGGTTTCCGCAGGTATTGCCGAGTTCTTCGCCGATGTTGCCCTCTGCCCCCTCGAGGCCACCCGTATCCGTCTCGTCTCCCAGCCCACCTTCGCCACCGGTCTTGTCTCTGGTTTCTCCCGTATCTTGAAGGAGGAGGGTGTCATCCGCGGTTTCTACTCTGGATTCGGCCCCATCTTGTTCAAGCAGATCCCCTACACCATGGCCAAGTTCGTCGTCTTCGAGCGTGCCTCCGAGGCCATTCTCGATTCCGTCGGCCCTAAGGAGAACCTCTCTTCCGGTACCTTGACCTCCATCAACTTGGGCTCTGGTCTCATTTCCGGTGTGGCCGCCGCCATCATCTCCCAGCCTGCCGATACCCTTCTCTCCAAGATCAACAAGGCCTCCGGCACTGGATCCGTCATGTCCCGCCTCGTCGGTTTGGCCGGCCAGCTCGGTGTCCGCGGTCTCTTCTTGGGCTTGGGTCCCCGTATTGTCATGGTCGGTACCCTCACCGCCTTCCAGTTCGCCATCTACGGCGACATCAAGAAGGCTCTTGGTGCCACCGGCGGTGTTGAGATTCGCAAGGCCTAAATCTCATAAACCATCCCGCTCGTCTCTTCAACCTCTTACTTCCTCACCTCATCATTATTCATCATCGTCCTTACGAACGCACTCTATTATAAACAATAAAACGAAAATGCATAGAGATTCTGTACCAAACAATGATGCATTGACATCCTTGTCCCTTTTGTTCAGGGACGCCTTGGATCATTGAGCGTTGTTAATAAATGCAACACGTCCAAGATCCGATTCATTTTATTCCCTCGCGTAGCTTGATTAATTAAGGGTCGCATTGCGCTCGCAGTGTCATGAATGTCAAGTCGATGATATAGGTAGAACGCCTCTTCTCGCTGCGCTCAGGAACAGCCAAATCGGAAGGCAACACAGGAGCAACATGTCACACAGTCCCCAACATGCACCGTTTTCAGCACAGGTGCTCGATGACCTCGACCTCAACGAACGCAATGTAGGACAATGTGCTGATCAGTTTTGACCGCATCCTTGGGATGCCTTGACCAATGATAGCAGTACTCATTCAGACCCCTTCCCCTTTGTGCTACTTTGCTTGGATAGTCTCACAGGACACAGGACAATGTACCAGGAGTGCCCATGTCCTCCGCACCACCGCCTTCATTCGACAGCTTTCCGGATATCTCTATACCCAGACCACAGTCTTCATCGGTTACGCCAGCAGCGCCACCAAGCTGGCGTATCCCGTCGTTCTCGTCCTTTCCGGTCGATAGTCCAACTGTTCTACCGCTAAGCGCTACCGCAGGCGTGCCAAGGGAAGAAGATCTCGTGAGCTCGAGTCGGTCGAAACACAGGGAGAGGAAAAAGGACAAAAAGAATGACCAAACGAGCGATCAGCGCCGCGAAGACAAAGACAGGAGCAAATACGGGACGCGCTCGAGCGACGATCGAGGCGACGGCGATCGAGACCGGCGGAAAGAGAGAAAACGGAGTCGAAGCAGGAGCTACGACAGGTCGAGTCGGAGCCACAGAGACGAGAAGAGCAGCCGAGATCGAGATCGAGATCGGGATCGGGATCACTTAGAGAGTAAGGATCGACATAGGAACAGTACAAGTAGCAGAAGCAGCAGGAGAGACAGTTCAAGGGACAAACATGCAGATCGGCAGCGCCGCGACCGAGTAGACCATCGCGATGACCGCGATCCAAGTCGAGATCGGCACCACCGCCACTCCAGCAGGCATGGATCAAATCGCGCACGAGATGGTAGCAAAAGCCCGGATCGCAAGAAGAGTCGGCGTGATGAAATCAAGGAAGAGGAGAAGGAGAGCTGGGCCAGTCGTAGAAAACGGGACCAGGAGCAGGAATCAAACAAAATCATGTCAAGCTTTGCATTGTCGTCAGAGAAAAACAAACCAGGGACATGGATCATTGATGTCAAGGGCGACCAGGACTTTCACCGGTATGGAGGATTGGATCCACACACAGTACCTCGATTCTACCGCGCTGGAGGTGTGTTCTACGTCAGGTTTGAGTGTTTCATGGTCAGATGCAAGAACTTGTCGCTGTTGACCGGATTTCTAATAATGATTCCTTCAAATGATGTAGCTGGCCGGGTTTTGGGATTGCCAAGATCTATGCGGATTGATTTTGAAAAGACAAGGGCACTGGGCAACAAGGGCATTGTGATGAGGACGAGTGGCCGAAGCACAAAGCCAGCTCGATACAGCGACCTACATGCGACCTGGCGCGACCAAAGCCACGAGTACAAGCGGATCACACGTGCGAAGGCTGAGGAGCTTGCGATGGCGATGAATATCGCACGAGAGGACCCATCGTTCATATCGCTGGATGTGCGGTTACAGAACAGACAGGATGATCTTAGCATCAGCGACGATTCAGAACCGGAGAGAAGCGACAGTGAGGATGGGACTTTTGACAGCAGGAGAAAGCTTGATTATCGAGATATCCATGGCAAATCGGTTCACAAGGATGAGGATGAGGACTTGCTGCAGACGACCAGCGATCAGGAGGAAGAAGGAGCCGAGAGCGCATTAGACGTGTTGCGAAGGCGTAGAATGATGCTTGACGGCGAGTTGCGAAAGGTAAGGATCACAGCGGATTTTTGTTGGCAATGGAGATGAGGCTGTTTCAGGCGGACATGATCATTGACCTATCTATCCCTTCATTCATTACAGAACCCTAAGCAGCCCGAGAAATGGCTCGAGTTTATTGCAGTCGAGGATGAAATTAATTTGGTATCAAGCAGGCGATCTGTAGGAAACCATGCGGCCCATTCAGCTGGCCATGCAGGGGTCAAACTGAGTATCTTTGAGCGAGCGCTTCAGTCGAACCCGACCAACGAACATCTGCTGCTTGAGTACATGACCACCTGCCGGCACAGCTGGGAGCCAGCCAAGGTCCTTTCGAAATGGGACGAGTTGTTGCAATCGCAGAAGATCCAGACAGCATGGCCAGGTCTTTGGATCAAGTATCTGGATTTCCGGCAGAGGCACTTTCTCAGCTTTTCGGTCAAGAACTTTGCTCGCGTTCTGGAGGATGCGCTGGACCGACTAGGCCAACTGGCCAGGTCAACCTGGCTGGCCTTGCAGAGGGCTGATGAGAAGACGGAGCTTCAGGCCCAGCTTGTTAAGGTCGAATCGGTCATGGTCCATGTCATAGCGCGTACATGGACCTTTCTAAAGCAAGCAGGTATGTCCTTCAGTTTGAATGTCTTTTAATACCTCCTTAATTAGGATAGTTTGCTGAAGCTCTTTGAAACGGATCATCTTCTACGAACAGGATATATCGAGCGGGCACAAGGGATTATACAGGGTCAAGTTGAGTTTATATTCAACATGCCGCCCAGCCTAACAACTGAGTCGTGGGAGATCCAGATTGGAAGCCTTGAGGAATACTGGGACTCGGAGCTGCCTCGATTTGGAGAGAAGGATGCCAAGGGCTGGACGCACTACGTGAGCGAAGAGGATGAGGTCACCATGGAGAACCAGCTGGATCAGACGACACTTCCAAAGCAAGATGACTTGGACGAGGAGCTGCTGAAGGCTTTTGCGGACAATGATGTTGATAGGTATCAGTACAGCCGCTGGGCAACACTCGAGAAGGATTTGAACCGCTTGTGTTGGTTCCCGATCCGAACCACAGGTACGAACTCGATGAATATTGCTTCCGGTCGATAACATTTCATCGGCTGATGGAATACTAATGACATACCCCTTGTATCTGAATCTAGAGGATTTACCTGCCCAGCTGGAGAATGATCCCTATGGAATCATTATCTTTGATGACATTCGACCGTTCATTGTGTCTCTTTACACAGCAGAGGCGCGTCTGCAGTTTGTGGACTGCATGTTCAACTTTCTCGGATTGCCTGTTAATTCGTTTGCTGGATCGAATGAATCACAGAGCTCTCTGTCTTCACCCGTCTCAAGACCGATGAGAGCCACCAGCTTCTACAATCCATACTTTCATGATTCGTTGCTTCTGGACATGGGGATGGATATCCAGTCGTCACAGGATTCCAACCTGGGTCTGAAACGATTCTTTCCGCCGTTTGAGAACAAGGCCAAATTGGTCGAACGCGTCATGAAGGAGATCGAGTGGGAACAGCAGCTTCGTGAGCCAGAGGAACGCGACTGGAACTGCGTGTGGAATCTGCCGATCCATTTGTTTCCTCATGGACCGGATACAATTTTTGGCAGGAGGGGCGGTGATTCCTCGGAAGAAGACGCGCGATACCGATGGGCGAATGTCAGCAGCCATGAAGAAGTCAAGGTCTCCAATAAGGTGTTCATAAGGTGATACGGTCGTTGCCGAGAGGAGTTTTTTTCTTCATCATTATGGCAAGAGGAACTATTTCCACAAAGAATATTTATTAATCTTTGCTTTGATTCTTCTTCTTCTTGACACCAGGAATACATTCCAGCAGTTAATTGATGTTGTCAAATTACCCAAGAACTACCAGCGCGGTCTTTCGTTATACCACTTGATGTTTGAGGCTTTGGACACTCTTTCTGCATCCAAGGGCCAGAAACTGGCAAAGAAATATCTAAAGGGCGATAGAATGGATCTGGAGCTCTGGAATGGCTATGCGCAAGCAGAGTTGACCCTCGGTCGCATCTCCGAGGTATGCTGCTGTGGGAGATTTTTTTGCATTCACTGCTTTGTAGTCATGTTTTTGAGATTTATCTTCGAAGAACCCTACTAACATTCGTTTGCATTGACTTTGACAGGCAAGAAAGGTGTATTCGACGGCTCTTTCGATGTACAAGACGTTCCCTGCTGAGAACCAAGCTCGAGCACCGCTTATTATCCGCTATTTCGCTGAACTGGAGTGGGCTCAAGGTCGCCCAGGGGTCGCACTAGTGATTCTTGTTGCATTCGCTGAAGGAGTCGCAGGTAACGTATACATGCGGGCAATTCTGCATTCTCTTTTATTGTTTTAAGGTAGAGAGACTAATGTCGTACGTATTTGTATTGTTCATAGCCGATATTCCAGGAGATGATGAAAAGGACATCCCAACACCGACCCCGACAAGACTGATCAAGGCGCGCCAGTTCTACTCTCAAAAGTCTGCTCAGCTTAACCTTGGACGGCTCACAGATCTAGCTGACAATACGGATGCGATAGGAAGCAAATGGTTTGAGCCGGCCTTGGACCTGATTGTCTGCTTTGCCTGGTTTGAGTACTTGTCATGGTCCACTGGCGTCGCTTTGGAGGCTGGAATTAAGGTCTTTGAGGATGCGATTCAGCAGCTTGATTTCCGAAATCCTGATTGTGAGATCGAGGTTCCTGTGGAGGTCCCTGGACGCAGTGCCACCAGTAAACACCAGCCATTGCTCTTTTCGTCGATTGCAGTGTCTGCAGACCTGGAGGTGGAGAAGAGGACAACGAAGAAGAGGATCTGTACCGGTGCAGAGGCGGAGATGGTGTGGGTCCAGATGGCCAAGTTAGTCTACTTTCATTCCTTGCAGGCGGCTAGTCCCTCCAAGCGATCAAAGGCAGACGGAGCCGCAGGATTTCAACCACGCAATCTTAGGCATGTTGTTCAAGCAGGTCTGCAGAGGTTCCCAAACTGCACAGTCTTACAATCGCTGTTCTTTTGGACAGAAGCGAAGCAGAGATTGCATGGCCGTGTTAGAACATGGGTGAACGAGCAGGTGATGTATGGTCAGGGTTCCCGACGGTTAGGTGGTGGAGGACCGCTGGCGAGCAAGGCACCGATGTGGATATTTGGGCTGTTCTATGAGCTCTGGCAACAGGAGCCGTATAATGTCCACGTGGTGCGATCGCTATTGGAATCTGCGCTCGAGTCGGCAAAGTCGGTGTCGTCCAGCTCGAGTCCAAACCTGTGGCTCGTTTATATTGAACTGGAGCTGCGCGAGAGTGTGCGGCAGCAAGAAGACAGGAACAACAGCGAAACTAAGGGTGGAAGCAAAGGCAAGGGCAAGGACAAGGATAAGAAGTCGTCCCGTATTGATCTGGGCATTGAGTCGAGTAGCAGGGCGAAACAGCTGGTGATGCGGGCGGTGAATGATTGTCCGTGGTGCAAGGATCTGTACATGCTTGCGTTTGAGCCGCGGATGCGGAAGTTGTTCTCGATCGAGGAACTGGACCAGTTGTATCAGACGATGCTGGAGAAGGAGATTCGGGTGCGACATGAGATCCCGGAACGCGTGGTACCGGCGTCGAAGGATGTGGAAATGACTGAGGCGGACAAGGACAGTAAAGACGTGTCGATGGATGAGGATTAGGACGCATGCATTACATGGCACGGTATGACATTGTATGTAACGGATAGCCTGCATGCATCAATCAATGTATCCCGTTCGCTCGCGTGGGGATGGGTCCATGCGTAGAAGGATAGAATAAAGTATATCCCGATCTTGGTCGTCATTATCATCGCCCTTCCTTCACATTCTCGTCTGTCGTCTTCATCCTACTTCCTCGTTTACTTTCTTATCTCACTATCCACCCTGCCTACAACGGCGGCATCACATCCAGTAATCCTACTGTACCCTACATCTAACCTTCATCCTTCATCCGTTTTAAAGTTTGGCCAAGTTGGGCACAACATTTTCGTCAAGGCTCATTTGTGAGTATTGGTCTCGTTAGGTCCGCTTGGCCCTGGCCCACAACATGCCCATAGTCCGTGCCGATGAATGGAGGGCCTCTATAACATGTTGCCAGTGCGGTACCTTAGGGAAGGTTGAAGGTCGGGTCATCAAGTGCCAACAATGCAATCAGGAGAGAGATCGAGACCAAAACGCTGGCCACAATATGGCTCGCGCCGCCCTCCCTCTATCTTGTAGAGCACCATGGGTGGCCTCCCGGAGCTGACACGTCCACATCAACATCAATAACAGCAACAGCAACAACGACAACATTAAGCGCCGTGTGGAGCGGTAGTGTAGACACAGTGGAGGATGAAAAAAGAACAGAAAATTTAGTTTATTTCTCACGATTATGCAATGACTATTACCAGTCTTGCAAATATATAACATATATACATGTGTCCTTCACGGTGCGTTCGTTCGTCCTTGCATTTGTTGTTCACGAGGGGGGGATCGTTCAAGCGGTGCCGAGGGAATTCATAAGCACGGAAAGAAGAACGGTGGAGACAAATCCTGAGAGATACTTGAACCGCAAGAGATCCATGCCGCGCTTCTCCCACAGGTACTCGGAGGTGATGGCGGGAGCGACGGTGCCAAAGAAGAGGAACGCGCCCAGTTGTGCGGCCTGTAAGATCGTACCTGCCTGAGTCAAGTTCAAGAGCAGACCTGTTGTCCAAGCCTGGGGAAGGGGAAGGGGAATGTAATTATGACAACAAGACAGGGAAAGGAAAGCGTATTTAGAATAGGTCAAGAGTGCCTTTGCAATGGTCCAGTGCGATTATTTTTTATTACTTACCTTGCAAAGGCTGAGAAGAAACTCTTTGAGAAACAGACCAGGGAGACTGGCCTTAGGGTCCTTTTGCATCCAGTGATCGCCATTCTTATCCTACGATGCCCGTCAAGAACCAGGTTGATATCGAGGGTGGGTGGGTTGGTTAGGAGATGCATCGGAATAAACGCGCTTTTTTGATGGAGAAGAAAGTCGTTTTGTTGCAGCCGTTGTCCCTTATATGGCGTAATTGGTTACCCTCTTCATGGCTGCGAGCCAGGATTGACCAAAGAGTGGGCCGTATTGAAGGGAGAGGGAGAGTAGGACGAAGATGGCGCCCGTGGCTATTGTATGGTGTATATTACAAGCAAAGTGTTGGTGGAGTGTTAGAAAACAAGCATATCATCGAGAAGCGTTATTATGGAGAGAGTACGTTACCGACGGTGGTGTGGTCAACGTGAGGAACGTAAATCATTTTCTTTTTTCTTTTGTAAGCGCTGTGGAAGTGGATGTGGTGTGGTGTGGGGTGTGGTGTGGAGAATGGAGGGAAAGGGTCCTGCGTTTTTATATCGTCCCTACAGCATAGGCTTAAATCACAATGACAACCTCTCGCCACCAATTTTTATACGCCTTCCTTCTAGTGATTGTAACTCGAGTTAACTCGAGTTAACTCTTCGATGACCTTACTGAATGTATTGTCAATTATAGTCTTTTTATTTAAGACATTATTGCTAATTGACTTCCTTCTTTGGGAACTCAATGTGGCTGTCGATAGTGATGAAAAAGTTTCACTGCTAGCGACGGCCCATATGTTTGGTCCTGATTTGAGCAATCTGATTGGGTGAACATACACTACCATATTTAGAAACACGATGCCCAAGCTTACCCTCCGCCCTCTCTAACTGGAAGCGTTTCTTGCTGTTCACTCACACACTACACTCCTTTTTGCGAAAAGGCCCAATTTTCATAGTAAATGTGGGCCTTTTCGCACTGAATTGAAAATATAAGGGGTGTTATTCAGTGTTCTGTGACTATTTTGCTAGGATTTACGGATCACCAAGCACACGAATCACACATCGCGCTGCTTTTCGGTGGCTCGCATTATTGTCTCTAAGCATCTCGAACACCTTGGTCTTCAAAGTCTCTCCTTCCTTAGACTTGAACGACTCGACAGCATCACGCTCGATGGAAGAACTCCTCTCTCGCGAGCCGTACCTCTTGGCGATTTTCTTGCACATCTTCTGCTTGATCTCCTCTGCCAAATCCTGTGCGTCCTTTTGGTTCTTGTCAAGGGAAAACTGAATCTTGTCCTCGTCCATGACCGAAGCAATCAATCGTACATAGCGTCGCCTGGCCTGACTTGCATCCGTGTCCTCCACAGGTGGATACAGTGGTGATCGCTCCTTCACATACACTGATTCTTGCTCCAGCTTATCAACTTGCGCCTTTGAAAGAACGCCGACTTTGCAAAAACAATGCCTCACCATCAAGGCCTTGACATGCGACCACGCGTACGGAATAAGTGACCATGCATCGCCGTTGGATATCTTCTCCCCAGTGGCATACTCCTTTGTAACTGATTTGTTGCTGAGCATCTCGAGGTAGTGTCGTTTAAATGCGCTAATTATTCCTGCGTCCAAAGGTTGGGTAACGGATGTCGAATTGGGTGGCAGGCGCTCAACCCGAAGATGCTTCCATATCTCTCCTGCAAGTGGGTCCTTGCCTCCAGACTTGCCGTGTGCTCCACATGAGTCGATAAGCAGAAGACTCTTGTTGGTGAGGCTCTCGTCGAGCGAATGAAGCCATTGCTTGAAAAGATCCAGGGTCATGTATCCCTTTTCATGTCTCATCGAGGCAATAGGGACCTCAGGCAATGGTCGGATACCTCGAGCAAGGTGCTCGCCTACAATATCAAGCAATTAGACATAATCATTAGTTCCTTTTCATGTTAAATAAGTCCTCTATTAAATTTAGTACAAAACACGGGGTTTTTGTATCCTTACCAAGAACTTGCGGCCTCAAAGCCGTTACGTCTGCACGGTCAAGCGAAGATCCAGAGGCGTTGACACAGAAGAGAATCGACACGCGAGATTTCCCCCGCTCTGGTTTGGCACCACTCTTAAACTCCGCCGTAGTGTACGAGTGAGTGGAGAGCTCCCTGAGGTACATGCCAGTCTCATCGCAATTGTAGATGTCGTCGGGTGCAACAGCAGCAGAGTCAAGGGGTCAAGGGCAGTGGTCAAGTAGGAATGCGTAGAAATGAATGCTGTTTAATGATCGTAAGTAGGGTCTATATATACATGTCTGGGGCCTATTGTACAGTGTCGTAGTGGAGTTGTCATGATGCCGGGCTCCCATCCTGGCTCTGTGTGTCGTAACCGTGCAGCTTGGTAACCGAGTGGTAATCCTGTTGCATCGGGCTTAAAGTCAGCGCATATGTTGCGGATCTCGTTCATCCTTTCTGCGATGGCATCTTTGTCGACAGATCCCGCTTCTCCTCTGAGACTGCAGTAGGCGACACCGTACTCCTGCGTCATCCTCGAACGCCACGATGTCGTAAAAGAGATGGTGCGACCATGAGGGATATCATTGAAGTCACCAATATCGTCCGCAATGTCGTCCGCAAGAATGTGAAGAACGGAATCGGCTGCGACTTGGAGCTGTAGACCACTGACAACGCCGTTGCTCTTCCGAACCTCTAGTAGCCACCCAAGGACAGTCTTGTCCATTATGTGTCGTATCAAGTCGACTGGATTGCTGGAGAGTATGCATTTGTCGCCTCGACCATGCGCCACATCAAACCGAATCTTGTCAAAGTCCTTGTCCCACTGCGCGATCGACTTCCTATAGACGGGGCGGTGTACGAACTGGTGAAAATTGCCAGCTGTGACCTTCACATCGGTCCTCTTGAGGTAGCGAAAGATCTCGACCAACTCCATCCGATGCCTTAGACTACATCCTCCACCTCTCTCACCACTACGGCGTTTCGGATCGGCAGGTTTTTGAGGTTGTTGATCGACGGCTTGGTCAGTGCTAGCCCGAGCTTTAGCCAACAGTGAGTAGTAGTCCAGCACCTGCGCTTCCTCCGGTAGTGCCGAGGTGCCATTCTTGAGCTGGTTGACCATAGATGTGGTGTCTGAGAGGGGGGAGCCCCGTGGACGCGTATCGGTTATAATACGAGGTGTCTTGTTTTTTGGCATATGGAAAAGTGAGAGGGAAAAGTGACAGAGTGATTGCATGTTGTAAGCATGACATATCTTTGCGAGGATATAAGGTAAGGTCAGGTGCCATGTGGACTGAATAACACCCCTTATATTTTCAATTCAGTGCGAAAAGGCCCACATTTACTATGAAAATTGGGCCTTTTCGTAAAAAGGAGTGTAGTCCTTTGTAGAGAAGGTGTGACTGGCGTCAATGTCACGGACGCTATTTACTTTTGCGTTTTACAGTATTCTTTTTGTGGGGGTCAATTCAAATGTTCGAATTAACTTTTATCATCGATTTCACTATCAAAATGATGACAAAAACCAGATTCGACTGTAAATAGCGGGTAAAACATAGTCAGCTTAAAAAAGGAAGTCTGTTAAGGGTATTTATATGTGATTATTAGTTTATTACTATTATTATTAGCGAGCTCGCATATAAATACCCTTAATAAACTTCCTCTTTTAAGCTGACTATGTTTTACCCACTATTTTCTCTCAGCCTCTTTACAATGATTTACCAAAAAAGGAAACAGCATGTTTCCACTATATCATTTAGAGAGGTTTGGGCCCAACTCCTCTATAGTGATTCGACTAAAAAAGGTAGTGAAGCTTTTTCACCACTATCGACGGGTGACTATTCATTTGACGCTTGCAAGGGGGTGCGCAGCTTCTGCTTGGCTCAGCCGATAATAAAATAAAAGAACACAATGCCAGATATGATGAAGATGAAAATGACCTTGGCATTGGCGGAAGCAGGGGGAAGAATGCTGGCAAAGAAGCACATTGTTTACCTTGTAGCTCTGTGGCATTATGGCATTGACCATGGCATCGTAGCCTTGTTAGCCTTGTTAGCCCCTTTGGCCCTTTTGGATTCGTGGTATTGACAATCGATCGAATGTGTCCGTCCTCCTGCTTTGCGCCTCTGCTTTGTGCTTCTACTTGTTGCATACACATGTACTGCATGCAGCGCGAACTGCCCCAGACCATTAGATGCCTTTGCCTGTCTGGTCGCAGAACCCGCCCGAGGCTGCAAAGTAAAATGCAATAGAATAGTTTGCACATGGACCATGATGAAAAATGACTATAGTCGCGTTTTTATTTTGTACGCGCCTACTGGCCGTACATTTAATAGGCGAGTTTAGTGATGGTAATGATCCCGCTTGTCTGGCTTGACCGAGAAGGCCGTATAGATCGTCACTCCGTCTTCCGATGACGCTTCAATCGAGAATGGTGTATTGGCTCCGACAAAGAACACGTTTCCGGCTTCAACAGGGACCTCGACGATCTCCGGATCAGTCTCATGGTGCCTCTCGGACCGAATCACTCCCTTGCCCTTGGTCACAATCACGACACTAGGGCCCTCAGCTCCACGCAACCGTTCCTTCTCCTTGTCATGGTTCAGTGTTGTCAGAATCACCGAGAATTCTTCGATTGGAGGGTCGTACATGAGTGAGTGACCTGTGGGTGTACAGAGTACGCCTGTGAGAAGCTGCTCGGTGCTGGATTTTGCTTGGTAGGTCAGCATCTGGGTCAGGACCTCAACGTCCTTGAACTTGGGGGTCAGTCCTGCCCGGACGACGTTGTCGCTGGCAGCCATGCACTCCACACAATCTGCGCACGCATAAGCATAGAGTTTTCGTTAGTTCTTGTTTTTCTCAATGGCCAAGGTTAAAAATAACCCAGAGAGCATCTCATTCAACACCCAAAGAAATAAATACGATAGATGCAAAAACGCATCCACTTACCTCCACTTAAATATGCATGTGGCTCGTTAGCAGCCAAGAAGATGGCCTGACCAGGCTGCAGGACCACATAGTTGAGGAAGAACAAACAGAACACACCCACATCGTCCGGGAACTGCGAATGGGTCCTCAACAACAACTCTTCGATTGAATGACGCGGGTACTGCTGCGCGTCGCCCAAACGGTTGATCAACTGGTCAAGTTCCTGCTTCACCTTGGCCGGATCTGCGGTCATGACGACGCTGTACAATGCCCTTAATGCCTGTCGTCCTTCCTTGATACCCTTGATTCCTTCGATTCCTTTGGATCGCGTCACGCCGTCTTGAAAGTCCTTGGCATTGTTATCGCCGACAAGAGCCCGCAACTCGGGCCATTGGTCCAGGGCGGCGGAGATTTCGTCAAGGGGCCTGAATCCGCAAAGGGCTTCGAACTCTGTAAGTGCGATGGCCATCTCAGGCTTGTGGTTGTCGTCTTTGTAGATGTCCGGGTGGGCCGAAAAGAGCTTTTCCGCGAGCTCCTTGTCGGGGTGGGCTTGGATCGAGAGGGCCTTGTTGATGGAGAGGACCTTGAAGAGGAAGGGGAGGTGGCCATGGTATCTTTCGTGGAAGAATGGCGTCAGGAGTTGGGGGTTGGATTTCAGGACGGACTCGAGGGTCTTGTCGGACTGGTGGACGGTTGAGGGACCACTGGAGTGGGTTCCCATCCAAAGCTGTTACAGGTAGATCAAACGATTTAGTTAGATGACGCGATGTTTAGTGTGATGCCATCCCATGGTCCTTATCGCCTTCACATCTTTTGTGAAGGAGCATTGGTAAATGTCCTTTCGGGCGTGAGAAAAATCAACGCGTTTCTTGATGTCGAGGATGGAGTGTGTGCCTCGCTGGCTTGATTGAGGTCCCAGGACGAGACATGATACATCGGTATCTGGATAGTCCATACCTCAGCATAAGGACGGTTCTCGTCAACGACGAATCCGGGCGAGGACGAGGCGAACTTTGCGACCTTTGAGGCTGATCCAACCTTGCCCCAGTCGTAGGATTGGGCCTTGCAGTCGAGACGAAAGATAGGGGGCTGTGTGGCGACCATTGTGTCTGAGTGGGTCAGTGTTATCGAGAACGAGGTGAAGGATGAGGAGTGAAGAAGAGACTCAGGGAAAAAGTGAATGAAGAGAGTTGTGGGAATGAAGAAAAGAGAGAGGGAGAGAGAAGGAGAAAGTGTTGTGTGTGTAGATAACCATGTCAATCGTGCCTGGTTTCTATTTTGGGCCGCAGGGCGAACACGACGTGGAGGAATGGCCCATCATCTCATCTCATCCTTCTTTCGTCAACTACAGCCCTTTTCATCCACAGGACGCATCCACACATACATCGCATACATCCCCCCAGGAAGAAGGACCGCCCGACCAGGAGACTCTCTCAGGCATACACTGGACAACAGACAACATACACACACATACCCTCATCACCATCAAACTAGACTATGATGACTGCTGCTACTGAGGACACACACACTTCGCCCGCCACCGCCACCGGCCCTGCCTCGGCTTCGAAACAAAACTCGTCTATTCGCTTCACGGTTGGAAAGGTCGACGCAGGTATGACCATCCTGCTGACAGAAGACCATCATCTCATCGAGTTCCCTTCCTTGCTGCTGCCCAAGGGCGTCTCTGCTGGCTCCGTCGTCAACATCTCCGTCAACCGCGATCTCGACGAGGAGCACCACCGTCGCAACGAGTTCTGGGCACTTCAGGACGAGATCCTCGACCAGTTTGGCAAGAACCCACCCAAAACACCGACTCTGCACGTCAAGGCGCTCACGCAATCGACCTGCATACTCGAGTGGGACTCCCTGGTTCTGAACCAGGCCAGTCTGCGCTCATTGGACGTCTATAAGAACGGTGTCAAGCAAGGCCACTCGATCGCAAACCCGTTCCATACGAACCAATACAAGCTGCAGGGACTGGAGATCGACCACGAGTACAGCTTCTACATCGAAATCAAGACCTCGGCGGGAACGCTTCGAAGCAACGAGGTGAAAGCCAGGACCCACACGCTCGAGAACCTCACAGGAACCAACATTTGCTTCGGTGTCTTTGAATCCGAGGCCGCGCTGGAGGAGTGTAAGAAGCTGATTGTTGAGATTGGAGGCACCTGGACAGAGGAGGTCGGCATCGAGACGACACATTTGCTGTGTCATGTTCAGGGAGGATACAACTATGAGGCTGCATTGCAGCAGTCCATCCCGATTGTAAAGCCTGAATGGCTCAAGGCCTGTGTCGAGCACAAGAAGCTGCAGGCAGCATTGCCCTATTACCTCGTGCAGCCCAGCAGCAATGGCATCTCCAGTCACCCAGAGACCCCAGTACAAGATTAGAGAGGTCATCCATCAGGAAGGAAGGCTAATAAAAGTGAGACTATCATGTGATCTTACGGCGTTTTGGCATGGAGAGTGAGAGTTGTGGAGTACTTTGGGTCAATCGAGGGTGTCCTGGGAGGCGGCACCTTACCACAATAAACGGGCACCTGTACATTCTTATCGACTGCGGTTCGTTTTTTTTTTTTCGTCATTCAACGCTCATAGGGTTATTTTTTTAGACAGGTGTTTTATTGATAAAAGCAACAGTAAGGAAAGAAGGAAAGAAGAAGCCTTTCGCTCTTAGCTCAAAGAAGACATCTTAAAGCATGCGCATCTCGCTATAGAGGCGCCCCACCAAAGTCTTGTTGTAATATCCAGAACCAAGTAGAGCCATGGATAGACGGGGACGACAGCGCAACCGGAGGAGAGGCGGAGGCAGTTGGGTTATTGAAGAAATATAAAAGGTGCAAACAAGACATTAAAAAGACTGAGGAGAGTTTCAAAAGGAGTGCCATTCTGGTCTGTCCGTTTAGGTGCGCTCGCCACGGAGACGACGGGCGAGGTGGATGTCCTTGGGCTGGATGGTGACACGCTTGGCATGGATGGCAGCCAAGTTGGTGTCCTCAAAGAGCGAGACGAGGTAGGCCTCAGAGGCCTCCTGGAGAGCACCGATAGCCGAGGACTGGAAGCGAAGATCGGTCTTGAAGTCCTGGGCGATCTCACGGACGAGACGCTGGAAGGGCAGCTTGCGGATCAAGAGCTCGGTCGACTTTTGGTAGCGACGGATCTCACGCAGGGCAACGGTACCGGGGCGGTAACGATGGGGCTTTTTGACACCTCCGGTCGCGGGAGCGGACTTGCGAGCGGCCTTGGTGGCGAGCTGCTTACGAGGGGCTTTGCCTCCGGTGGACTTGCGGGCGGTCTGCTTGGTACGAGCCATGGTTGCTGTTGGTTACTGTGATTATTAATAGAGGAATGGTAGGAGAGGAGAGAGGAGAAGAGTGTTAGTAGCCGGTATTAAACAGGTTTGCTTATGTGTATGTTTGTATGGCGAGTGCAAGAGTGGCGAAAAATTACATATGACGAAAATTTGTTAGTGGGATGGGGATGAGGGATGGGGATGAGAATGCTTTTATTTGGAATGAGAGTGAGAATGGGAATTAGACGCAAGGGGGAGTGGAATGAGGGATGTAACCAGGTTGGAGACAGTTGTCTAAGCGAGGGCGCTTTTGGCACTCGTATGAAGCAAGAAAAAAAAGGGCTAGAAAACCTATATGTGGGTAAAGACAGTCAATTCGCGGTTACCTTTCGGACGGGGAGTGTGTGGAAGGAGAGTGGGGATGGAGAACGAAAAAGAGAGAGGAAGCGAAGGAAAGGAGCGAAAAGAGCCCTCTGGACACTACATCCACGAGAAATACTCAAAAGGTCGCCTGCACCAGCGACTCGAACTAAGAGCGACAAAGCCACCTCAGACTTTGGCCTTGTCTGTCCACTGCAGAGAATCCGCTACAAGTACCGGTATCGATTCCAGCACTCTTACTCGACTCCGGCAGTGATGCTCATCGTATGGCGATTTTCAAAAAATTCGAACGCGGCACACCTACATGGCACGTACAGGCTACAGGACAAGAAATTTCACGTACATGCAAGAAGACAAACCTTGTTGCTCCCTAATTGCAAGGGGGGTCTGCAATCTTCCCTCAGCTGCACAAACCGTTGACATGACACGCCCAATCTCCGCGGGCACACCGCTGCTTTCTTTTTTTTTTTTTTTCCTCCACTTCTCCATCCTCTGACCCTCTTTCACTACACAAACCAACCAACCCAAGCATGGAGGAAGTCACCGAAAACGAGGTCATCCAAATGGAGGATAGCCAAATCGTTGCGCCTGCCACCTCGACCCTCATCGAAACCGACGACAAAAGTGCCATCACAGCCCACAGCTCTGAACCCAATCTCCAGGAATCAGCCGTTTTACCCGCCATCACTGCCCCGGCCGAGGTCGTCACTGGCCCATTTGACGACGAGGATGTCACATTCCACAAGGTATGCACAAGTGGACAGCTATATCCCACATTGGGTCTTGTTTAATACGCGTTGTATGTGTATACATGCAATGCGACAGGTGGATTGACATCGGCTCTTGCTGGATAGGCATTGAGAAATTCAATCTCGACAGAGACACCAAAGCAGCTGTCAGTGCAGGGAACTCTCCCAGATTGGCTCACAGGATTTCATTACACATTGAGTCCTGGCGTCTTTGAGGTTAAGTATCCCAAGATGGTCGTTGTCAATGGAGAAACCGAGCAGGAGACCAGGACATTCAGTTTCGGCCATTGGTTCGACAAGTAAGTGTATCTAAAATAAGCCAACACACTGTTCTACTCTACAGGCGCGCACAGAATCACCTGTCTAACAGCACACATCCCTATCTTGCTCAGCATCCCTCAGGTCAACCAGTTCGCGATCTCAGGATCAGACAACACCATCACATACCGTTCCACCAAGCCCGCCCATCGTGCCGAGACCAAGATTCGTGAGCATCAAGGATACCTCCCCAACCAGCCCTCGAGCATTTTCCGAACAGATACGAACCAAAGTGTATTTGCCAGGCTCTTGTCCACAAGTCAGACACAGGGAAAGCCTAGTCTGGAGCCCTGCGGCGCCTCCATTGATGTGATGCCGCCCTTCAATGCGGACGGTCGGCGTACAATCTACTGTCAGAACTATGCTAACCACGTAGGTGCTTTTTTGCTTTAAGAATGCATGTATATTTAGATACCGAATGGGGCGTTGAAGTGCATCAAGGTGCTCACATCCTTCAATTTAATAATGCAAATTAGGTTCTGGAACTGAACGCGGACACACTGGAAAAGTGCGGGATTCTCGCTTGGGAGGAAGTCAACTCTCAGTTTAAGGGATCTCACGCCTCGCCCCACTGCCATTTTGACCCGGTGACGAAGGAATTGATCAACTTCACAATGGAGCATGGATTTCACAGCACACAGTATCATTTCTTTTCAATCACGGAGAAGGAGCCCCATGGCTCGTTGATTGCCTCAATCACAGCCAAGGCCAGCCACGTCCACTCCTTTGCAGTTACGCCCCGGTACATTGTTCTAGTCGTCAGTCCTTTGAACGCCTCCGATGGTGGTGTCAAGTATTCTTGGGGCACTTCGATCTTGGATGCATTTACCTTCAAGCGTACAGAATCGACCTATTTTTATGTGATTTCGCGCGTTAAGCGTAGACATATCGCAACCTTCAAGTCCGACTCCTTTTTCTTGTAAGTCATCACTAGAGTCTGCTCCACATCAGTTTTACACGGATGATCCAACAAAAAACGATATAGCGAAAGGAAACATATGATTCACATCTATTTATGTTGTGTTTATTGTTAGCTTCCATCACGTCAACGCATTCGAGGACGATGCAGATAACGTGTACCTAGATTTTACCATGTACCCAGACGACACGATCGCCCACCAACTCGGACTCTCATCCCTCTTTGATCGATCTTCGCCTCCACTACCAAAACCCGAATTCTGTCGGTTTGAGCTGGCGAATGTGCAGACGGAGGCGCAGCGGCTTGAGAACTACCAGGCCGTGATGGCGACGACAGGACCTGTGGACAAATTGCGCGGCTTCATGCGCCGCGTGAGCATCAACCAGGGCAGCAGCGCCAATTATTCAGTCCCGGAAAAGAACTCGAATGTGACACCGGTCGCGACTCGCATCCGCAGCACAGTAGGAGTTGAGCTGCCGAGGATTAATCCAATCTACCATGGGCTGGATTACAAGTACACGTGGGGCATTGGATTGTCGGAGAAGGGCGACGGCGATATGTACGATTGTATCATGAAGCTGCATGTCAAGGGCGATGCTGAGCCCACCATCTGGAGCCAGGTAAGCAAAGCATCACGCTTCGTTTTTCACTCTGGGGCCACTTTGACCCCCCTTATTCGAGCATTTGTGATACTTACGATGGTCATATCCGATTCTACCTTTAACTTTGTTATATAGAAAAACTGCTACCCAAGTGAAGCGGTGTTTGTTCCACCACCGGTGTTTGACCAGAACGAGGACGCAGGCGTGGTGATTTCTGTAGTCTACGACGCCGAGGCCAACCAATCGTTCCTGTTGGTTCTGGATGCGAAGGATTTGACAGAAAAGGCACGGGCAGTTCTTCCCCAGATTGTCCCACTTTCGTTCACGAACGGTTGCTTCGCCTCCGGCGATATCAATCGAGGCATGCAGGAGGCCCAGGCACCAGGCACTATCAGCGACGATGAGCAGGACGACGACTGAAGAGCTTACCTGTTTTGTTTGGAAAAATACTGTTTCTCATACCCCCTCCCCCTCACTAAAGCTTTGTAAAATGCATTTCATACCATACCATGTCATGTCATACATATGATAAAAAAAATAAATCGATACTCTACAATGATCTCTATTTGCGATTGTAAGAATCTATGGTGCCAGTTGTTATTCGCCTCCAATCTCTAAGCATCCTTGGCTTTAGCAAAATCTCCGAAACTTTGGATGATGTACGAGGGCTTGATAGGTTGGTTGGGGTCCAGGGCCTCTTCCTCGGTATTGACACCCGTTAGGACCATGAGGGTCGCAATGTTACCGTTGCGACCGAAATCAATGTCCGTATCGAGTCGGTCGCCGACCATGCACGTCCTCTCCGGATCGGTGTGGTAACTAGATCAAACAAAAAGGACCCAATTATACAGTTGTTAGCATCCAGGAAGAGCAAACCACGAAGCGTCTCTAAAAAAAAATAAAAAATAAAATGCATACTTTGAAAAGAAACAATCAAGCATGGGCTTGTTTGGTTTGCCCATGACCAAGGGCTGTCGCTTGAGTGCATGGATCAACGGCTGCGCCAAAGACCCAGTGCCAGGGAAGATACCATTGGGAGCCGGGAAGGTCGAGTCATCGTTGGTGAGGATGAAATGAATGTTCTGCTTCTTGTTGTTGAGGTACATGAAGGCCTTGGCGAGCTTGCGGTAATTGAGGTTCAGGTCGAATCCGCAGACGACTGCGCCAATCGTCGCGTCCGGCTCGATCTGGCCAAAGTCCGAGTGGTTCATCATCGTGCCATTATCCTCCTATTGCGGTGAAATCGACATAGAGAAAGAACAAGGGAGAGGAAGGGAAGCAAGAAAAGACGTGTGTGTCAGCGTATTGGGGGTTTTGGAAGATCACTCACTAGACGCCCAACGATAACGGTCCATCGTCATTTGTTTGATCGACCTTTTTTGCCTTATGAAGTTTATTTTTTTTTTTGCTGCAAGATAACGAAAAACACACCCAGCAAAATATAACAACCCTCTTCCTCCCAATTCCCTCTTTAATGATAACGACGTTCCTTCCGAATGCACTTACAGTTAATCCTATGGCCTGGATGCCGACCTCCCGAAGTTCGTCCTCGATCCCAGACTCTCCAATGACATAGACTTTCTGATCACTCGGGAACTTCAAGATCTCCTTGAGATAGACCGCTGTTGCGAATGCAGAGCTGAAGATATCTTTCTCCGAAGCTTCGATCCCGAGTTTTTGGAACTTCTTGACGTAATTCGCCCGGGAGAGTGTGCTGTTGTTAGTTACAAAGACGAGTTTCTTGCCTGATAGTGCGTGCAATCCACAGTTAGTCGAGGAGGGATAAAAAAATAATAATCGGGGAATGAGATCGGCGGTATGTATCACTTGCGTCCAATTGAGTGTTGCAATCGCAGAGGGTTCACAGCATACCGTTTTGACGAAGAAAGTTGATGGTATCCAGTACGCCATCGAGAACTCTGTTGCCATGCCAAAGGACACCTATATACATCGTCCGAAAAGTGTCAACAACAACAACAACGAATGCCATTGAAACGGATGATAGAGGCACGAAAAAAAAAAAAAAAAAAAGTAAAAAGAAGGAAAAGAGCCAATACCGTCGCAGTCGAGCATGAAGGTGTCGAACTTGTCGAGGAAGGTCTTGTAGTCCTCGATGGTTGTCAGTTTCTTGGGCGTGGGTTCTGAGCTGACCATGGCTGTGTTGGAGAGATGAGAAGGCCAAAGGTGGGGGGAGGGAGGGGGGAGGGGAACGAAGTGAATGAGAGTGAGAAACGCAACAACAGCAGGGCGTTGGAGACAAAGGACCCGTCCCTCCCCCCGAAAATGCTGTCACACCAACAGCGCAGCCCAAAGTTCCTGACCTCATTTACACAGGTCAGCTCAGCTCAGCTCAGATCGATATCCCACGCAGTCACCTTGTGTTTTTTTTCTTCCTTTTTCTTGGTTGGAGTCTTCATTCCATTTGACATCCTGACTCGAACTCCACCTTCTTCACACAATGTAATCTCCCTCAACCACCCTAGCTGTCCTCTGTATCCATCATGTCGCTAACCCACTCCCCTGTAGCATACCAACACTAACCCTACCTTCCCTTCCATGCCTTGTCCTCCTCTCCCCCATAGGTGCTGGCGTGTCCACGACAAGTACCTGTGCTCGACTGACAAGAAGCACTTTGAAGAGTATCATGTCTACTACCAAAAGTGCAATTCCTGTCCCCATGACCGCGAACAGTGCGGCAGTCTGATCATCGAACGTGAAGCCTCCAAACTCTTTCCCTGGCGATGCAGCGTCTGTGCCCAGAAGGAGTTCATGGACAAGACGGGGCGTTATAAGACCGAAGGTACAGCAACAGATGTTTAAATGCCAATGGTGTTAAAAACGTCAAGGCGTATATCTGAGGATACGATATGAAAGTAGAAAGCAAATCCAGTAAAATTGACAATGCCGTCTTTTTTTTTTTTTTTTTTTTGTTTCTTTACTCGCTGATAGATTTCTCGCGATGGTAGAAGCAGCCAGCCATTGCAGCAGCAGGACCAACTGTTTTTCTTTTTCTTTCTTTTTTTTTCTTATCTAGCACGCTTCATTGTATCAATAAACCCTCATTTTAAAGCACACCAAACAACTACAGGAACACCCACATCCTCGCTTGCAACTTATGGAGCATCGCAGAGGATCGCTAGGCATGTCTTTATAGGGCAGCCCTGATATACCCCAAGATACTATGTAGTCTACAGGAAAGGACCGAAGGCGGGCAACATGAAAGCAAAATGGACCCAAATGGATCAAAGAACAAAAAAAAAAAAAAAAAACCAGATCGATACTTTCACAGGAAGGGCGCATCAATATCGAGCTCAACATCTACATCATCCAGATCCTCCTCTTCGTCTTCACCATACTCGTCCTCATATTCTCCGCCATCTTCCTCATCACCGTCTTCATCCTCATACGGCCCTTCCGCATAGTCATCAAACGACCCGCTCAGAATTTGGTCCGCACTCACGCCCTCGCTCGTTTCCGCATACGCATCCTGCAGCAATGCACCCGTCGCATCCTGATCCTGACTTTGACCTTGTTCTGACTTTGAAGTCCTGCTGCCCCGCAAGAACGGGATCACCGTCTCTGTGAATCGACTGGCGATTTGAGGAGGGGACACTGAAAACCCAGACGACGGTGCCTTCTTCTCTACCTGGATATCGAGCGGATGGACATCCTCCGCATTCATGGTACCTGGAGGATGAGACGAGTTAAAGGAGGTCGGTGGCGAGGTCCCAAGGTTCGATGGGATGTAGGCAGAAGTCGAGGTCATGGACATGCCTCTTGCCCGTTTTCCTTGATTTCCAATACTCGATTCTGTAATTGCTGCCGCGGTTGCAGTGCCCGATGATGGACCGCTATGCTTATCAAACGGATTCACATTGGATGCCGACGACGACAATGCTGGAGAGGTCAACACAGACTGGGCTCCGTACTTCATCAGCGATGTCGAAAGTCGACGCGTCCGCTCTGCGATCTGCAGCCCTCCAGACGCAGAAACCGGAGGAGATAGCGGAGGAGTGACTGCAGCAGGATTATAGGATGAAGGAAATGGTGGGGGCGAAGAACTCGTCAACCGGGGGGAGAGCTGCGACACGAACGAGGAATTCGCGGACGGAGGTGTCTGGGGTGCCGAGTTGAATGTCGGGATCGACGGTCGCCTCTTTCCAGATGCTCCGGAAGTGAACGAGCTGGTGAAACTGCGGATCACGCCCAGGCGACTGGATTTGCTGTAAGTGTTAATGTCAACGGGCGCTTGTGGGAGCACGGGTTGGTGAGAGGGTGCCATGGGTAACTCGATCGAGGGCAAGGGTGCCTTCCAGTAGTTCCAGTCATTGAATTCTGGGGCATGACGCTTTCCTGGGAAGATCTCGTTCACAAGATCATTGAGCGCGAGGTAGCTACAAAGAGATATCGTGAAGAGCTGTGGGAATCAGTCATGGGGCATCGACGATATATAACCCTGCTTTCGTGTTTGTGTTTATGTCGGTATCGAAATACGACGCTTACGAGGATTTGTAAGAGCTGAGGAGCTCCAGCTTGACTTCGCCGCCCGAATCGATCGTGAAGATCCTAGACGAGGGGACATTGACGCTTCGGTACGAAAGCGCGTCCGTGATACGGTTTCCAAAGCCGGCATAGAACGGATTGCGGTCTCCAAACAACCTTCGGATATCGCGCAAGCAGGCCATCTTGAACTCTTCAGGCTTCCTCATAATCACCTCTCTGATAATTATTATAAAAAAATAAAGACCAGATCAACATCGTAACTGGAATCTATCGCATGCTAAAATATGCCGCTGCAGCATTTCCTTGAAAAAAAATAAAAATAAAAGATAAAGCGCTGGCTTACCTGTGGAACGCGGTCATCAATCTGTCTGGACTCATAATGACAGGTCCCTCCGGCAACTGGTAATTGTTCTGCTCCACATTCTTCAGATACTTCCTCGTATAATCCGCCTGACCAATGGCTCTCGAGGTCAAGTACAGGATATGGTACCCATTGTTGGCAATATCCGTGTACAGTTTTGCGACACCGGTATGTGTCCAGTCCTTGCCGGCCATAGTGAAGATATGTCCCAGAGCATCGGATTTGGTGATGGTGCCGTCAATATCAGAGATCACGACCTGGAAATCATGGTCCCATAAGAACAGTTTTGCAGAACAAACCGCCTTGCCCTGGTAGCTGGACGTGACCGAGAACGTCAGCGTGTTGGCGCCCTTTTTCAGGTTGAGAGACCTCTATGGAATAAACATTGCAGGATGGGGGTGGGGGTGGGGAGGAAGGTGAAGTAGAAATGGTATGAGGTGAGTTATCAGCGTGTTCTTGAATGCTACAGGCTCGACCCTTGCCACTGACGCTTGCTTGCATTAACTAAACGTACCAGCTGCTCCGAGGTCAAGCGAAGAGTTTTAGCATAACGCTTGTTACTCTTTTTTTGCATTGCTTGAGGTTGTGTCTGTTGCTGATCGTCCTCGTCTAGGACTGAATGAGTTATGGAAGTGTCGATGGGCAAGGATGTGCTACTCGATAACGCCTCTCTGGCTGGACCAGAGTATATGCCATTGCTATTTTCCTTCTCTGTGTCTTCTGCAGTCTATTAAACGTTGAGAGAGTTGAAAAGAAGTTCAAACGTGTTAGACGCAGCTTTCAAGGTCAACGACAGAGTTGGGCCGACAATCGTACCTCATGCACAGTGCTTGATCGACCAGTAGCGCTTTCAGAGTATGGAGGAGGATGGAGTGGAAGACCTTGGTCCATCGCATCTGCCTGTGAAGGAATGGCCTGAGAGCCCCTGAACCACCTTGAAATCACACCGAATCGCGTCGATGGCTCTGGAACCGCCGGCGTTCGATCGGACAGATGACGAACGTCCTTAACAGAGAGCTGGTGCAGCGTCTCGTCTGAGAGAGGTTTCCGGAAGAGCATCAGGGATGCCAGGTAGGGTCCCGCAGCCGCCCATGTGAAGTACCTACAAGAGGACAGCAACCGTTAGACATGTTAGGATCTCCTATAAGAACTCGAATAACTATAAGCAAAGCGAAAGTAGAGATCGATTACCTGTCGTTGATCAAACAGACTAGGCTCTTATTGTTGAGAAACTTGAGCGGATCCTTTGCAAAGTCGTCAAACGAGATCTGATGCGTCGCAAATAAAACCTCGCTTGCCTCCTATGCTACCCCATAAGACAGATGCATTGTCAGTTTTCCCTCTATCCTTTCCCGAAGCAAGTGTTGGGGATATGTCGTCCGCTGACAGTAACGCTCGCTTACCAGATCCTTTCCAAAGTCGTCTCCTGGACACAAGCTGATCGCAACTCGATATACAGCTCCATCAATATCCATTTCGTTCAGCACTGGCTTCGGGGCGGTCGGCGGTGGAGATGACTCCATATCGATCGACACATGTCTGTCGAGCCCGTGTACGTTCTGATCCGCATTAGCAGCGGACATGTCATCGACGCTGTCGTTCTTGACAGGTAAACTACCCCAGCCCCACGTCCACTCGGTTTCCTGTGCTGATTTTGCGCTCCGAGGTGCTTGATACTGTTTTATAAGAGAAGACAAGTGTAAGCTAAAATTGTCCCGGTCTTTGAGATACTGGGCTCCATGGATCTGGTAACGAACGTATGTACCTCCAGCTCAGTGTCACTGAGTGCATTGAGTGCAGGGTTGGACCTGGGCAGCGACTTCTTTGTCTGAACAGGTTGGTTTGTTTTATGAATAGGTCGTCGAGGATAAGTCTTATCGCCCTCGTCGCGTTTGCTGTGGTGGTTACTCGTCTGCAATGGAACGGAGGGCGGGGTGAGAACGCTACTAGGTGTCGCGCGTAATTGAGAGTCACTCGACACTGAACCGTTGATCTCTGACTGCGTATCCTTCGTGGGTATCGGCCTGATAATGGTGGCCAGTTTTTGGGATACGGACATCTTGACCTCACCTAAGAATTTGTGAGACCAGTTAGACTTATGCAACGCAACAACGCTAAACAAAGACATCCACCACAACACCGCAACTGACCTTGCTCTCCCAGGTTGGGCAACGACGACGAGCGTTTCTTTGGGTGCATGCTGGGCAAATTACGATCAGAGGGGTGCTGGATCGGACGAGCTGGTAAACGCGGGTCGGTCCTGTCGCTCTCACTCGCCGCCGCTGCATGTCCATTCATCCTATCGTGCTCCCCGCTGCTCCTCTTCTCTACATTGTGACGCGTAAGCCCCGAGAGCGAACGTGGGACTCTCGTGCGTCTCCTGCGACCTCTGCGTCTGACCTTGATCTCCCCTTGAGTTGTTGACGGCCCATCCGATTCCAGATCGCTTTCTGCAGAATCGTCTGTCTTATATCCAGTCATATCCATGATCAGTTCGTCCTTGGGCGGACTCAGCAAGTCCTTTTGCGTCATTTTGTTGGAGGAATCGCTGTTGTTCCTCAAAGTACCCTCAGAATTTACTACTGGCTGAAAGTTTTCCATGATATCGTGGGCCTTCAAGACCGGCGAGCAAGGAAGCGAGATCGAGATGGAAATACGACTCTTGAGCGTGGTACGTCCTTCATGTCTTTGTCGCCCTTGTCCGTTTTGTAGATCGGCATCCTCCAAATCATAACCATCATCAAAGGAGTCAAACTTAAGCGTCACTGGATAACCTGGTCTCTGAGCCATTTCTGATGAAGGACCTTCTTGGTCGTCCCCCTCAAACTCTGAGCTATGACCACTATGCGCACTGACATATCCATTGTCTGAAAAAGATTGCATATGCATAAATGAAATATAAGTTCCACTGTACGAACACAAGTAGCTAGTCGCTTTCATCCAAGAAGGTCGACCATTCATGGGGAGGACGCAAGCATATGTCAATTTCAGGTCACTGTGGTGTCATTTACCTAAATCCTCAGGCGGAAGTATGGCAGTCGTGGGAGTATTCCCACCCTCCTGAGCAAGGTCCAAGTAATCAATTTCTTCCTCGACCTGATCCGCCGAAGGTCCTGCCAAGGGCGAGGTGGCAAATTCCTCGGGAACGTCCAGCTCAGTTTCAAAGACAAAGAAGGCCTCACCAGCATCTCCAACCTTCATAGGAAAGTCAACCACACGGCCATTGATCGTTACCTCGACCTAAAAAATAAAACACATGCAGAGCAAGAGATAGGCTACGATCAGTCTTATCGTGATTGTTGTCGATCATAATACAACCTTTCAAAATGCCCAACAAAAATATTTCGAGGAGGGGATTTGTACCACTTTCTCCTGGGGCCGGAGGATGCTTAGTTTTCCGAACCGGACATGAAACGGCGAGCAGGCCAGATCCCCATTCGGCTGCTCCACCACGACAACATCGATGGCACCCGAGAGAGTTGCAGGATTGAGCTCACTATAGAATTTTGTGACGGAAGAGAAGAAACTGCCGACGGACTGCATCGAGGTCAAGTTTTTATATATATTTTTTTTTCCTGTATCTCTCAAGATTTCAGCACTCGTTTGATAGGAATAGACAAAAACGGTTAACTATTCAACAAAGCGAAAAAAATGAGTGAGTGGAGAGCGTTTTAGATGAGGATGAAGATATGGATCAGGAAGAGTGTTCGAGAGTGAAAAAGACAAGAAAAGAGGGGTGGAAACCCAAGGGGTGAAATTTAGACCTGAAAAACAGGAGTGGACGACGAGGCACGTTCCATGTTTGTGGCACCAACGCTCGGCCCGATCACACGCTCGGCACGCGTCTCTTCCTCCTTGCTGGCCTAGCCAGCCGCGTTTCTTTTTCTTTTTTTTTTCTTCCCATGGTCGTTCATTGTTACTGATACATTTGTTGGTTTATTTGAAAGATATTGTGCTGATGGTTATGTCCTATCTTCCCGTCTAAGCATCAATAGCATCCTTGCCGACCAGCTCCTTGCCCATCTTCTTGTCCAATCTGCAGGCTGGATTGGACTGGATCATGTCCAAATCGACCTTGTGTCCCAAAAGCTATGTCAGCGAGGAGCAGAAAATATATATATAAAAGATACAAAGAATGATGAGTATGCAACGACAAGTTCCTGAACCTGACAAGTCGTGAACTGCAGAAAAGAAGACCAACGACTTACCTCACGGATGTTGTCCAAGCCGTACTTGATCATAGTAGGACGCTCCAATCCAAGACCCCAGGCAATGACACGGACATCAGGGTCCAATCCCATGGCCTCCAACATCTCGGGACGGAACATGCCCGAGTTTCCAAGCTCGACCCACTTTTCAAGACCAGGGTGCCATGAGAAGATCTCCATACTTGGCTCAGTATAGGGGTTGAAAGCGGGCTTGAACTTGATATTGGGCACTCCCATCTTCTCGAAAAAGACTTCCATGAATCCAATCAGGTCTCCCAAGGTCAGGTTCTTATCTGCGATAACACCCTCGACCTGGTGGAACTCTGCCAAGTGCGTTGCATCCACAGTCTCGTTACGGTAGACACGATCAATCGAGAAGAACTTTGCGGGCTTGAAGACTCCATTGGCCTTAGTTTCCTGAGCAAGGCGGTAGAGCATGTTGGAAGAGACCGATGTTGTGTGCGTGCGAAGAAGCAATTTTTCTGCCTCCTCGATCTTCCAGTCATATCCATATCCAATGGAGCCGTATCCTCCATGAGAGTGAACCTCCTTGACACGGTTGACATAGTCCATATCCTTGAAGTTGGAAGAGGTGGCGGGATCTATTTATGTAAAATGAATCCTGTTAGCTGTGACCTAGAGTGGTTGCAAATCCCCAAATAAAAAAAAGGCATCGGTTTTATGTAGTACCGAGAAGGAAGAAAGTGTCGTGGGCATCACGAGCAGGGTGTTGCTGAGGCTGGAAGAGAGCATCGAAGTTCCAGAACGAGGACTCGACGTACTTGTTGGTGGGCATCTCTTCGAAGCTAATTGTAAAGTGAACAAAGTAGGCATCAGTAACTGCTGTCTAAAGCTGCCGTTGTTTCTCTGCGACAAAAAATAAATAAATCAATCCTATCATCCTGAACCTCAGCACATACCCGAGCTCGAAGAAAATCTTGCGGAACTCCTCGCGGACCTTCATCAGAGGGTGGAGATGACCTCCCTCAGGTGGGTTTCCTGCAAAGTTGTATTTCTTGAAAGTTTGGGTCTTCCATGATCCGTCAGCCAACATCTCAGCGGTCAAATCTGTGGCCTGCTTCTCGATCGTCAGAGAGAACTTGGGTCCCTTCGAAACACTGTACGAGATCAGCTTACTATTTCAAAGGATGAATGCCGATTATTCATTAGCTGTGCGTTGTTAATGCCATTCCATATCATCCTGCATAGAGTCGAATTGCAACATGACCAGGTATCCTCGACTTGACCACTTACACCTTCTCGACGTGCTTACGGGACTGGAGGTCCTTCAAGGTCGCTGGGTTGGAGTGAGTACCGGTCTTGCGGACCTCAAGGGCGTCTATTTGCGTCTGATCAACAATGCTATCAACCTAGCATGAAGAGCGGACAAAGAGAGAAAAAAAATCAGTCTCGATAACAGAATTTCAATACCATCGAGCGAAATGATGTTGGATCGGCCCATTACCTCGCGAACCAGCTTGTCACCATCCTTCTTGATCCACTTGTTCTTGAAGGCCTTGCCCTGACCGATCTTTGCGGAGGCTCCCAGCAGCTTCTACAAAGTTTACATTTGTCCAATCGATACGCCGTGTTAGCGCGCCAATTCATCCTTGATCAAACACTTAGAGATAAGCAGTCTTGGTATCAATTGCCACGACCCATTGTTGAATATCCATTGCTTACAGCAAGCTCGGCGATAGCAATTCCTTTCTCGGCATCGACGGCATTGAAGACCTTGGCTTCGTGGCTTCCAGAGTCGGCAATTTCGTTACCCTCGGCAGTCAGGGTATAGTGGTCCTTTTCGATAGTGGTGTAGGCGATCATCTAGCAAATTGAAAGACAACAGCCGATATCCCCGTCAATTCTCATTTCTAGAACACGAATGTGCGCTGTTGGATCGTAAGGGGAAGCAAGTCCGCGTAAGAAGAAGAAGAAGAAGAAGGCAGCTTTACCTCCTTGCTGGCAAGCGAGTTGAGGACACCGACAACCGCCAAGTAGGGGATAGATGAACCATCGGCGGCCTTGAGTGAATCCGTGTTCTCAATGGAGCCCTGCTGGTCGAGGGTGGTGAGAATGAGCGCCTGGATGTCCTCAGAGGATGCCATTGTTACTGCGGTCGAGTTGGCGAGTAAGTGATGATGAACATGTAGGGAAGGGTACTCGTCTTTTTGTCTTGTTTACAGAAGTGACTCGTCCTACGGCATGCTTTGACACTAGCCAATCAAAGGAGGTGACTCAGAGAGGATCGCTTCTGTATACCAAAGCGATACGGACCCTTCTGGTGCTGTGCTCCCCCTCTCCCCTCCCTCTCCTTCCATTCGGACAGGCCTAGCAATCGACAGAGCTGGGATAAATGTCTTTGAGCGTCCGCTATTCCTTGAAGCAGCCCCATCGACGGTGTCAGTTAGGATACGCAAGTCGAGAGTCGTAGCATACGCAATTGATCGAATAAAACGCTTTTGCTACCAATTTTGCCCTAGCAACTCATCACGCTGGGTTTTCAACGCGTTGTCATAGTAATATGCTCGGAAAGCATCATGTAAGGGAAGACAATGTATGGTAACAGCAAGATCACATAAGAGCTAGATCTTCTTCCCTTATGGAAGGGGCGGTGTGCATGAGAACATAAGAGAAGATCCCAGTAAGGATCTATTGCTCCTTCTGTACTAGTCTGGATCAAGCGAGGACGCGCCTGCCACTGATTTGTTCGAGCTGCAGCGGGGTTGCCCTACACACATTTTTACATTGAGTGTAGACTATACACATGAGACGCGCTCCACTTGTCAAAAACAGGTACATGTGTGCAAACTAGTCGAATTGGACGGGCAGGACGGGGTGTGTGTGCGGGGAATGCACTTTATTTCGAAGAGGTTGCCGTGAGAAAACATCAGGCACCACAGCAGACGACCAAATGTGGTCTATCTCGTAGCCGAATACCCGTGAATGCCCGATGAGAAAGACGGGCTGGATGAAAAAAAAAAAAAAAAAGTAAAATAAACAAGAGCTGGTGGAGTGTCTATCGCGAGAGAGTCGTTGTAGGGGTCTGATCTGGCAGCAACTGCTAAAGTGATGCGCATGGGGGTCTGTCCCACCACCGTCGGCCCGCAGAAAGACAACGACGACGACGACGACGACGGATCGGCGGGGTCGGACGATAGTCGTCCGCCCGAATGGCGGGGTTGCCCAATCAAAACGAGTCCGACATATGACAAAATCAATTTCGTGGGCTTCGCTCAATTCAGGTCGACATTGCCCTGGATCCGAGAGGCAGAGTCGGCCTCGACAAATTCTCTCTTTTCTTCCCTCTCTTTTGCTTTCGCTCTTTCTTTCTTTTCTTTTCTTTCTCTCCCCTTTCCCTCCCCCACAGCCCCCCCGTCCTCCCCACGTCGCTTCTTTTTTTTTATTACCCCTCTCCACTCTACCTTTTAATCAACCAGCCATGTCTGATTTCGCCGAGACCGAGCCCATCCAGAAGATCGCCCCCCAGACCTCTGCTGTCAAGTCCTTCTTGTCCGGAGGATTCGGTGGTATTGCTGCTGTCCTCGTTGGCCACCCCTTCGACCTGGCCAAGGTAATAACAACACTCGAACGCACAGAGAATCAGCTGGAAGCATGGACATTGGATATCAAGTCGACAGCAGGAGCCTTAACTCGCCATCGAAAGCAGGCGCAAAATGAGGACACGACGCAATGGAGACCGCTTATCGACGAATAGGCAAGAGGGATAGACTCGGCATCTGCCTCGCGAGCCTTGACTAGGATGCAAAGACTACAACAGACCGAGACTCTGGGGGCGTTGTCGCGACAACAAAATACATCCTCTCTGAAATGAAGGATCTTTTACTTTTTTTAAAAGATGGATCATTCAGCAATTACTAACATTCGTTCTATATGATCCAATGCAAACAGGTCCGCATCCAGACCAGCGCCAATGGCACCTACACTGGTACCCTTGATGTGTTCAAGAAGACCTTGAAGGCTGATGGTTTCCGCGGTCTGTACCGCGGCATGGCCACCCCTCTCGTCGGAGTGACGCCCATCTTCGCAGTCTCTTTCTGGGCCTACGATCTGGGCAAGAAGATTGTGTACGCAGCCACCCCTAGCCGCGCAAGCCAAGACCTGACCATTCCCGAGCTTGCCTTTGCCGGTTTCTTCTCTGCTGTCCCTACCACCCTTTTGATGTCCCCCAGCGAGCGCATCAAGGTCGTTCTTCAGGTAAGCGAAGCATCAGGAGGCAGGAGAACGGAAAGATCAATTTTGTGTTTGTCTCTCTCACGTGTGTCCGGGGGCGAACTTTTTTTTTTCTTGCCCCGTTCCTTTTTTGTACAAGCGATTCTCGGATCATAACTCTTTTCAACTATCTCATCTACGGCTCTGAGGACTTTGTATAACTGACCGCTTTTTTTATATATATATATATATTCACTTTAAACCAAACAGACCCAGGGCTCGGGTGCCAACAAGCTGTACAATGGACCCGTTGATGTCGTCCGTGCCTTGTACAAGGAGGGCGGTCTTGCCTCCATCTTCCGTGGAACTGGTGCCACTCTCCTTCGCGACGGTCCTGGATCTGCCGCCTACTTTGTTGCCTACGAGTTGATCAAGAAGGGCCTCACCCCTGCCGGTGGCGATGCCTCGGACTTGAACCTTCTTACTGTTCTGTTTGCTGGTGGTACGTGAAAAACATTTTTTTTTTTTCTCTCTCCTGCTATGCTTGTGGAATGGCAGAAAATAACAGGTTTGATACGCTCTTGTTTGTGAACGCGTTTTGTAGGTATGGCTGGTGTTGCCATGTGGACCATTGCTATTCCCCCAGATGTGCTCAAGTCCCGTCTCCAGTCCGCCCCTGCTGGTACCTACAAGGGAACTGGTGATGTCCTCCGCATCCTTTTGAAGACCGAGGGTCCCCAGGCCCTGTTCAAGGGTCTTGGACCTGCCATGCTCCGTGCCTTCCCTGCCAACGCTGCGTAAGTTCCTCCATTGTTTGCATACAACCTAGCCTTTCTCTGCGATGACTCTCTTTGTTGAACAACTGCTAATGGTCGGTGATGCTTTTATCTTGTCTTTCATATCCATTTAATAGCTGCTTCCTCGGAGTCGAGTACAGTCTGCGTGCCATGAACATGGTCTGGTAAAAGATTTGATTCTTTGCCGCAAGCTTATTCTCATGGGTGGATCATTTTGTCACCGCGTATCCATTATCCGTCCTCCCTCCCTCCCCTCTCCTCTTCTGTTTCCCTCTTTGAGAGAAAGAAAGACCGTGCCGACATAGAACGATATTTCCTCCTTGTAACATAAAAAATCCGATATGAAAAGTGATGAGCTAGAAAATACTGAGAGGGAGAACGAGAGAGAGATTGTGGTCCTGCTGAACGACCGATACGGAGACGATAACGACAGCACGACTGTAGCACGGCATTTAAATTGCGGCCTAATGCTGCGTTTTGTTTACTTGTTTTGATTTGTTTGTTCGTACAACTTGATTGCTTTTCTTCCACACTGCTTGGAAGGCTAGTGGACAGAGTGCAGCCATTGGGGGCGTGAGAGGTACTTGTATGAATGTGTGTGCAAGCGCATTCAAGGAGGCCAGCTAGCCCTGAGCTGCCAATTGAGGCGATTGTATGTATCTGTAGAGTCTGTGGAGTACAGAGTGCCTCCTGTTGTGATGGGGAAGGGTGCGAATGGATAGATGGATGGAGTGCATGCATAGCCCACAATAAAATGGTCGACATTTACATTTACCCATATGCCATAGACGTTTCTGGCAACAGAAGGAAAAAACGTTTAGGGCTCTTTTTTTTTTTTTTTTTTTTTTTATCGACAATGGGGCTCTTTGCGAGCTATGTTCGGAGTAAGTGGTGTGTGTAAAAGAGTGCGGCTGAAGGAAAAATAAATATAAAAAAAAAGTGGGTGGTGGCCCCACAGGTGTCGCGGTATGTGTGTGTGTGTGAAAAGATGCAGTGCAGCTGTTGACTGAGGAAAGAGACGCGCAAATGAAAAATGAAGAGACTAATGATGACACGACGATGGAATATATCACACTCCGCCCTTTGTCCATTCTTTTGCTCTTTTTCTCTTTTCCTCACTTCACTTCACTTCTCGACCTCTCGCCCTCTTCCACTCCCTCCCACTCCCTCCTTCACTCCCTCCTTCACTCCCTCCTTCGCCGTTCTTATTCATTACTTCACTGCGTACACACACACATACACGCACACGCACACACACACACACACACACACCTATTTTCTTCCTCTCTCTCTCTCTCTCTCTCTCTCTCTCTCTCTCTCTCTCTCTCTCTCCCTCTCTTCATAGTACAGTGTATGTACTCCTTTGCATCCTCATACATTCTCCATCTCCATCTTAAAGGTACGCAGACACCATCCACCCATCGCCCCTACGCTCCTTCCTCGCCACCATACCACGCCCAGTCCACACTGTCCCATGGGCTCAACTCTAAACCTGCCCTGTGCATAGACCCTCTTTTCCCTCAATCGCCCTCTCTCCCTCTCTCTCCTGGGACTCGATATGAACAACGAAGAAGAAGAGCTCCCTTCCTCTCCATCTCCTCTTGCCTTCCTTTCTCTGACCCCTCTTCCTCTTCTACTCAACGGCTCGCTTGCTGTAAGGGCATTCAGCCGGCTCTGGAGGGACATCCTCACTCCCGTTATTGCTCAATTGCTAACGCTTCTCTATATTTCCCTTTTGCCCATTACCCATTGTCCATGGCGCATGTTTGTTGTACTTTCTAGGGAGAACACAACAACGCCATTCCTAGCCCCTATTTCTCCTCTTCTCTTTCTCTTCTCTCTTCTTCTCTTTCCCCTTCTCTTTTCTTTTCTCGGCAACGCATTCATCTTGGAATCTCTTTTCTCTCCTCTTTTATCTAATTGAAATTAGCATTTTGCATTTACACACAAGGATCTCACACACCAAACACATCTAGTATTATCTAGCCCTCCAAACACACCAAAACAAACGACCAACAGCAACGAACAGACTACATCACATTTCACTCCCCTGTCCCCCCTCTCTTCTACATTCTTCACGAACACTTCAATATAGTCCATTTCAATTTGACTCTGTCACAAAGCTTCTCTCAGCCCTAGCCTTAATCTTTGCCCTTGTAGCCCCTTGAAGAACCTACAGCTGACAGCCATGCCAACAGAAATGCGTCTGCAACGACAGCTGGAACACAACAAGCGACTTCGCGAACAATACGAACTCGAGCGTATTTCCGTATCACAAGCCAGCTCTTTGTAAGTGTATCTCTCTATACATCAAAGTTTTTTTTTGATTCTTTTGATTCTCTTTTTTTTTTTTTTTGTTATGTAAAGTACCTCACCCATGTTGGGCGCATGAATGCATGCACTTTGTGCATGTTCATTCATGCAAATAAAAGAAAAAAGGGAAAGAGCTGCGGAGCATTGAGAACAAAGCGGCATGTGCACCGAGCATCATCACAGAAAGATGGACTGGAAATAGGGATGTGGTTCTTGGTCCAAGGGTGCTGGACGGATCTTGAAATAGAACGGGTGCATGCATTGGTTGCACTAAAGCATTTGAGGGGCGCAACTACTCTCTTTCTTTCTGTCTCGTTCTCTCGTATTTCTTCAAATACCCGGTTGGAACATCGGCAGCACTCAAAGGGGGACCCCGATTGTTCTTCATGGTGCTTTGCCATTGATTTGACCCCCCTGAATGAAAGTGGGGGGAAGGAGGGAGGGGGGAGGGGGTAAGAAGACGGATCGGGAGTCCCCAACCAACAAGAAGCTGTTTGGTACTAAATTGGGTTGTGCCTCGACTCCACATTAGTCGAGTGTTTTTTTTGTTCATCATTTGCTTCTCTCCTCCCCTAAAAGCGTTTCAACTCAGGTTCTAACCCTTTTTTCGCTCCTCAGCTCGTCGTTGCACCATCCATTTCTCTGCCATCGTATGCCAAAAAAAAAAAAAAAAAAAAAAAAAAAAGGCACTCTCGCTTCTGAGCTCCTTAAAAACTCTTTATACTTTGATGGTCAATGCTCAATCCACCTGTATGCTAAATTCGCAAAACCCTAACATTTATCTTTCATTTATCATTTATCGTTTATCATTTATCGTTTACCGTTGCGGTCGTTGCATGTGTATTTGTTTCTGGTGTGTGTCCAAATAGGCTTATCAAGTACTGCATGGACACCCGAGACGTCTTTGTAACGCAGGTCTGGGGCGACCTCGATAAGCATGAGGATCCCTTCATGGCCCAACCCAAAGGATGCTGTGCCATTATGTAGGAAGAAAGAAAGAAGGACAAAGACAAAGACAAAGCTCCACCATGCACTGGGACAGATCAAACCACTGTCTCAACAAAACAACAACGACGACGACGAAATCATCAAAGAACAGACGAAACAACAGGAACGCCGGACGTACCCTACAACCGCCTATTCAGCCAACCCACACGATGCATCGACCTTCTTTACTGGAGTCTTTTTCAGGAACTCAGGAGACCAAAACAAAAAAAAAAAAAACGAAAACGAAAACGAAAAACTGCACCAGAATGCTGTTCTCCTTTTCGTTTTTTTCCGATGTTACCGAGCTCTACCATCGCCATCCCTTCACCCACTCCGCCCATTCATATTTTGACAGGATTTAAAAAAAAAAAAAAAAAAAAAAAAAAAAGATATGTACATAATAATAAACATAATAAATATAATAACATAGTAGTAATTAGTTGGCTGTGCTCCCTTGGGGGGATATGGATACTAACGGGGATCCAACAACATTCATGCAGGAGCTAATTGCACCTTTGGGGGGAGGGAGGGGTTTTTTGTTTACAAGCTTCTTTTTTAGTTTTTTTTGCTCCCACTCATTTTGTAGTAAAAAAAAAAAAAAAAAGAGGGCGCAAGATGGGATGGGACTCGACTACACACACATATTTATCTACAATGTAGACTACTACAGTCTACTATAGTCTACGATAGTCTACTAGACTATACAAATTCATATTTCTGGGCTGGCTCACTTTGCAAAGACCGGGGACGCCAACGCAGACGAAGAGGCCAACGCCTTCTCCTCACAGATCTCACTCAACCGCTCCATCTCTGCCTGGTCCACGGCCTCGATCGCCATCAGCTGTTCCCACACCTCCGCATCCTTCACAAACGGGTACCGATTCGCCATCGCCCGGAACGTCAGGATCCGCTTGATGATCGTCGCGATCGTCCGGTGCTTGTGCATGTTCACCATCCATGGCTGCTGCTGCTGCTGCTGCCGCTGCTGCTGCCCGCATTCCTTCGACGACATGGATGATCCGCTCATAGGACCCGGATATAGATATGAATTTGAATTTGAATTTGAATATGAGCATAAAGTCGGCTCTATTGGTGGTGAAAATGTCGTATCCAATGCACCGCTGTGGCTCTGTGGAGGGAGCGCGCTATCTGTTGTTACCGTCGTTGTCACAAAGGGGACCTTGGGCTCAACATACGACGGTAGCTCGGTATTATAAAGAAGATCTGAGAGATACACTCCCAGGAACGGAATGCACCCTCCATTCGGTTGCTGCTGTTCCTGTTGTTGTTGTTGTTGTTGTTGTTGTTGTTGCTGTTGCTGCTGCTGTTGCTGTTGCTGCTGTTGTTGTTGCTGTTGTTGTTGCTGTTGTAGTTGATGTTGATGTTGATGTTGATGTTGATGTTGATGTTGATGTTGATGTTGATGTTGCTGATGTTGTTGTTGCGGTTGCTGCTGAAGATACCCTCCGGTTTTGTTACTCTCCTTATCTTTCTCAGCTGCATTAAAATACTGTGGCCCATACAAGAGCGATTGGCGATCCCTCTCCTTGTCGTTATCCTTGTCCTTGGTCAAAGACGACACCAGCGACGGGAAGCCCGACCCAGATGTTGGCTTCTGCTGTCCAGATGAGCTCGAAACCAGCTGTCCAGAACTCTTGCCGACCGACGAAGAGCGATTGTGAGAGACATGACGAGGGTGTGGATACATCGATCCAACCTGCGAGTGCCTCTCCTTGTCTTTGTCCTTGTCCTTGCCAGCCATTTTACTGAACAAGTTAACCCCAACGCCACCCATCAAATTCCCTCCTTGCTTGCCGCTGCTGTTGCTGTTGCCGTTGCCGTTGCCGCTACCATTGCTGCTGAAGGAAGGAGGGACCAAGGTCGAGAGAGATCCCTCTTGACCTGCCACACCGGCTCCGGAGGCGCCACCCCACTCATCCGCAATGTTCTTCATCGCACTCCGGAGATGCTTCCAATTATGGAACATCGATGTGAACTCCTTGAGATCCTGCATGATCCTCACCTCTTGCGGCCGTACCCGCGCCCACGTCTGGCTCAGTCGAGAAACCTCATGTGCCTGCAACGCAAGCATGATCTGCGTGACGGAGCTGAAATTAGAGTAGCTGTAGCAAGTCTTATAATGCGGAAAAAGAAAAACAAAGAAAAAAGAGTAGGCGGGTTGCGCCCAAACCCTTGTCAATGTCGGTCGCACAGACGGAGCCTTGAATACAACAGGAATATGTATAGCAATAAATACAGATGAAACAAAGAGACATACTTGTGCGACCCTGATGAACTTCTCGACCACCTTGACTCGTAGCTCCAGGTCCGTCGTCTTCAAGATCTCGGATTGTACCCAACGGCATGTCTATCAATATATCAATCGTTCATCGTTATGGAATTAAGCATGTGGTGGATCAAGAAATAAATGCGGCCATAACCAGTACATCCCCCCCCCTCCCTCCCTCACTCTCATTCTCTCCTACCAAGTTGAATCGATCCACGAGCTGGGCCACGCTCGGACTATCCTTCGTATGACTCCGTTGTGGGAACCGCTGCATATGGGTCCTTGCAGTCTGAGAGCGGCCGAGTGGCCATGGACTCGCAGGCCTTCGAGGAACGGGTGCCGTAGACGGTGCTTCCTCTTGACTCTCTTCCACCACGCTACCTTCAGCAGCAGGTCGCAGAGTCCCATCATCACCGCCAGCAGCTGCATCTTCCACTGCAGTATCATCAAAGGACTCGGGTGACCTTTTCTTCCAGCCCGCATTGACTAGCTCGTACCATGGGATCTGGTTCAGGTACTCGCGTTCGATCAAACACAGCTGCTGAGCGATATGCTCAGACCGGTGCCGGAGGACGATCGAAGGTGGTGGACGTGGAGCCTCTCTTGATGACGAGATAATGCTATGGAAGCGCGGGTTCATTGGGCTACGCTGTTGGTTATAGCTGTCCTCGTGGGATTGATGGCCGTAGTGCCCACCCTGACTCGTATGGTATGGCAGCGAGTGGAACCGATGTGCTCCTCCTCGAGAAGCAGGGCTCGATTTCGGGGTGGGTTTGAATAGCGTTGTCGCGGTCTCGGGATCCGCCATGTAGAGCAAATGCGGATCAGAGTTGGACCTTGTCTGACCAGCAGAATGCTGGCTTGAGATAAAGGCCGAGCTATCCAGAGGGCGGGGCCTTGGGCCCACAGGCCGCGTAGGTGCTTGAAGTGGAACGCGTGGGGTCGGGCGCCAAACGGTCTGGCCCTGGCTATCCTGACTGGTCATCATCCGCAGCTGCCGCTGTGTTTCCCGAAGAGCAGCAGCATACTCTGCACCCTCCAGTAGCGTCATTGAGCCCGGAGCTGCTCCAGTTGTCTCTTGAATGGACCTCCTTTCCTTGGCCTGTGAAGTCGACCAGCCGCTCAGGTTATGGACCTCAGCTGAATGTCGCCGCTGTTGTGGGTAGCCCTGTAAAGCATCTTCGCTCTGGCGATGTTGTAGATAGTGGTGATGGTAGTAATAGTGCATAATCGGTAAGGTTCGGCGGTGCGGGTGCTGAGCAAGCTTGCGGCTTCGGCGAACATTCATTCCTAGATTTGCACTGTTGCCTTCATTCTCACGCGACTCCTGCTGGGCCCCGTGAACGTTGATCGCTTTGTCGGCCCTATCCTCTTCGAGGCTATCTCGGATGGGGTCGGTACTCCCTCGACGCATTCCGTGTTTTTGCATTCCCTTGGACGCGTCACTGGTTGACTCGGGTGTAGCGGCTGTTGCTGTTTGGTTCCTGTGCAGGCGCTCCATAAACCGATCCACATTCCCAGCCTCATTAACTTTGATGACCTGGCTTGGTGGCAAGTGTCCCTGCGTGAGTACGGCTCCAAAGACGGAAGAGTTTGTTGAAGAATGGGTCATCCACGACGCGCGATGGTCGCGCTTCTGTGCAGTTCTCCGGAGTTCTCGACCGCTCGGCGGTGCTGTTGTGCATAGAACATTCAAGCGGTCCTCCCCGTCGTTTTTCTTTTCTCCCTCTTCATAGTCAACAGCCTCTCGATTCTGTTCGAGCACCTCTCTCGCGGCGAAAAACTCCTCCAAAGTCATGCCAAGTCGCTTCTGTCCATTTGAGGTCGATTGACGAGGCTTGACAGCCTCATCCAGCATAACGAGCCCAGACTCTCCAATAGGTCGCGTACCATACGATGATGACCCTGTGTCCTGCTGCCGTAGGTACTGTTCACTCTGACGTCTCTGTGGAAGCACTCGAGGATCAACTCTGCTGGCCCTGTCCCACATTGGTATCTGCTCGTTGTTCGTGTTCGTCACTTCCAGCTGTGAGTCCCCGTCGTCGCTGGACCATTCGCTGGATCCGATACTACGGTAATGGCTCTGGTCCATGTTTTGCTGCTGCTGCTCATCGCGCCACAATCGGCACCCATCTACCGACGAGACAACACTCTTGGATGCCGTGTTGGAATTGAAAGCGGTCGATGGTTGCGATGCACTGGAGTTACTATGGTACACCCTGTCCTCGTTCGCACCTCCCCGGGATGGGCTATATATTTCCCCTCCGACTCCACCTGCAGTTAAAGACCGTGAGGAAGCGGAAGATGTCGACTGATGTCGAAGATCCTGGATCGGCTGAGATGATTTTGGCAGAAAGACCCGCTTGACCTTTGATAACTGTTCCACTGTCGTCGCCATATATTGAGAAAACGTCTTCTTCCTCTCTACCGACGTGAGCGCACGTGGGGGTGGGTTGATATAGGGCTCCAGGGGATGTGGTGAACCCGGTGGCGAGAATGCAAAGGGCGAGGATGAGTCGAAGGATGCATCAACATAAGACAGTGGCCTTGGCTGTGACCGTGTGTCATAAGCCCGGGGTACGGTGTGGCTCCGATGATGGTATGGTACATGGTCTGAGGCGCTTGGCGAGTGCAAGTTATTAGGATGGTTTCTGGGGGACGTGGCCATGACGAGTTCGGAACAACTATCGTATAGTCCCTGTGATAACTCGTCCGGGTATGCTTGCACTTTCTTCGACAATGAAGAACCGTACGAGAACGCAGGCGAGGGGAGATGGCTACTGCTAGATAGGGACTCGCCTGCATTCTGATCATCTTCCAGGCTGTTGTCTTCGAAACTAGTATCTTCGGTCTCCCCATTTGATATCTCATCCTGGGCATACCGCTCTCCTGTGTGGATCGTATAGCTTTCTTCCTCCTCGTACATGTCGTCTTCGCTGTGGCTGTCGTCTGAAGAAAGGGCGAGCTCTTGGTCGGTGGTGTCGTCTCCCGATAACCTATCGTTGCCGCTCGGATCGGGTCGATCATCTGGTCCAAATACTGATTCCTGAAATCGAGTCTGCTTGGTGCCACTGGTTTCGGCACTTGATCGCTTACTCGATGCAGCCATGGTCTGCGCCCATTCTGCTGTATGTTGGTAAATAAATGGCGAGTGTTAATAAGGAGTATAACCATGATGCAGCGTCTTGGTTTTCCATGCGCACCAACTGTTTGGGCGTACCAAGGTTCAGGGATCGTCGATGGTAGCTAGGAGGATGAGAAGATTCCTCGGCTCGTCTCGTAGCGGGGCCCTCCAAGGCCTTCTGGGACATCTCGCGACAATGGACCTTCTTCTTGAGCTGAAACAGCCTCCGCAACTCTTTGACGATTCTCTGGTCCCGGACACTCGAAGAGACGATTGGATGATCGGCCAAGGACTTTAAGCTTTGGACAAGAGTGCGACGCAGGTATTTACAGGCCATGAAATCGTATTCGAAATAATTGAGAAGCCAGTGTCGCATGGTAACAAACGTGCGCACTCGCACAATCTGTCGCTGAGGCGTGTCCTCAGTCAGGGCCCAGTGGAAGCGAGCCAAGAGCAACTTCAGTAAGGCGAGCGGCGAAATAAAGAGCCGATAGATAAGGAAAAAGTCTGTGAGGAAGGTGTAGTCTACAGTTAGCAAATACAATAAAAGACCAGAATGGTTAGCAAAAAACAATAAACCCCCTCTCCCTCCCCCCCTCGGTGTCAAGTATACAGATCATTTCATGTTCGTGTAAGTCTTTAATGTCCAAAAAAAATGAGTAAAGGAATACGTACCAATGTCGCTTGTGAGTTTCTCGACCAGTTTTTCAACAGTAGCGGCCATGATAACACGATCCTCTGAGGAGCCGTAGGACGTGGTCGAGTTAGCGACAATCGTGTTCATTGATGTGCTCTTGGAGGACGAATGGACTCCCGCGCTGACAGGGCGGATGATAGAAATTGACCCGCTCAATTTCTCGAGCGGTTTGACAAAACTGGGCGAAATTGAAAAGCTCGGGCCGGGGGTACTATCAGAAGAGGGAGCAGTGGGCTTCGATCCTTCATGTGCGTTTGCCTCGCTCGGTTTCTGTGCATGAGCTCTTTCGTTCTCGAACGAGTCTCTCCCTTTATCCCTCCCTTTAAATGCATCTCCTGCAGACCATCGTTTGACTGGAGCAGAGGGCTCAGATGAAGGCAGATTTTGCGTGCTTTGACTGCTCGTTGCAGAGGCTGAATTTCCTCCAATACGACTTCCCTGCGGCGGTGCTGAAATAGAGTCGGCCGGATGGGTGGATACTGCTCCTGCATTTCCGTCGGATGGTGTGCTCCAAATAATATAGGCCTCGTTGACGTCTGATTGGATCTGATCAAAGATAGCTGGGTTATAGTTAGGGATGTTCTCCTTGTCGTTTTGTCCGCTGGGAAGTTGATGGATCTCTGAGCTGACAGCGCAGGAGCTATCTGGCGTTTGGTCCTGTCGAATTGTACTGAAGCTCGTAGTAGCATCCTGGTTATGGGTATTGGTGGACGCGTTTCCGTTGCAACTGTCCATGTCCTCTATACTGCGGGTCCGCATCTTATCAAAGGTCAGCCCGATTTCTGAAAAAGATGGGATGGGCGGGAGGATCCAAGATGGGCTTACATATTCGCTTGGGGATGATGCTACAGTTGATGGAGGACAGGCAGAGTCGTATCCCGCAGCATATGGGTCTCTGTATGCGTCATTAGCGTTGTCGTTGCCTGGACCCTCGCTCCACGTATTGCTGTCGTGTTCACCACTATTGTCGTTCCCTTCTTCAGTGTCGTCTCCGTTGCCGCTGTTGTTGGCAGCAGCATCATGAGCGAGTTGAACATCTGCCTCTGAGTCAAGGGCAATCTCGGGATAGGAGGTAGAAATGCAAGCTGTCGATGTGGTTCTTGTGGCACTTGAGGTAATAGGCGTTGTCTTTAGGGGCGGTAGAGATGGTGATTTGCGGGAATGTAATTCCTTGGAGGAGAGGGCCGATGGGAAGACAATTCTCAGTTGTGCAACAGAGATTTCGTCGTCGACTACCTCGGTTTGACCAATGTGGCAACTGGCATTAGGCAGATCTGCGCTTGGGCACTCGGGTGAGCTGTTATCTAGGTCATTCCTCGAACCATTGGTGTTGACACTTTGTAGATATATGTTCTGTGCTGTCAACGTTAATGGTGTAGCTGCCAATGTAGCGACGGCTGGAATATCGACAGGCACAAGAGACGTGTCCAACAACATTGATGGTTGTTGAGAAGGAATGTCAGCGCTTTGTCTGGTACTTGTTCCTGGCATGGTCTCCATGATGGTTGTTGGCGTAGTTTCTGTTGTTTCTGACACTCCAGTCGGTGCTGTAGGTGCGAATGGTCTTGCGAACAGCTCCACTGTAGCGGTTGAGGAAAGTGTCGCGGCGTAAAGTGATACGGGAGGATGTTCAGGCTGGGTGATGTCGGACGTTACGACACTTGATGGAGCCGAGAACGGTACGTCCGTAGTTGGCTGGGCACTCAGTGTGGTCGTATCTATCTGTGTCCCTGTTCCCGCGGCTCCTGCACGAACTGATTCCTGAGACATTGGCAGGCTATGTGCATGAGAGATGCAGCGTACATTCAGAGCAAAGTTGGTGCAGGGGGCACACAGACGCAGAGATACAAGAGAGGAAGAATCGAGACCAGTTCAAGAGAGGCAAAGATGGAAACCTGTCATTTTTCATTGTTGTGAATGCAGCATCGGGAAAGACAAGAAAAAAAATGGACAGGGACCACAAAATAGAATTATATAAAAAAGTGAGGGGAGAGAGGAGAATGAAATAAACAGCACCATCCCGGAAGGCCAGGTGCGAGAGAGAGAGAAGAGGAATGAGAAAGAAAGCGGATGGGGAGAGATACAAGGAGGAGATTGTACAGCTGCAAGTATACCATTGACGGTAGTCTATCATCCACCTAGACCGCTCTGTTCATGGTCCATCTGCAAAAGAATAGGGTATCCGGATCGTGTGCTTTACCTTGTGGCTGGATGCCTTCCTTTGGCCTCGCAGGACTCGGGAATGAGTGTGTTGGTGGGCAGAGACGCAATTGAGTGCATTTGGATATAGAGGTTTCAGGCTGCTGTCCGCACTATAACTGTTACTGCCTCGCTTGCGCGCTGCCTCTTACTCCTTACAAATATGACAAAAAAAAGTACGCGTCAGGTCGCTGGTACCAAAATTGAACGCGATTTTGATTGACGGAAATAACACATTGGAAATAACACGGACGATATAAGAAGGATAATATGCACTGAGGTGGACAAAGGGCAGACGCGTTTTGGATGCAAAGTATGAATAGGGGGAGTGATGGCGAGGATTTTTGACAAGACGGAAAGGGCAGAAGACTCCATTGGGGATAGTGTTTCTGAGTTCCTATCGTTCAAAGACAGGAAATGCGTGCGAGGGTGTTACGTTGGTGTGTACCTGGAAATGGCTGCAGTGTCAGCGAGCGAGACGCAGGGAGAAGGAATGAGTGGGGAGGAGATAAGGAGGGGGAAGAATCGTTGAGTGTTGAAAAGGGACAGGGGGAGGGTATGTGGTTGTGTGTGAGTATGAGATGTGAATATGTGAGGGTGTGAGGGTGTGAATAGGGTTCCTGAGTCCTTCTTTCCGTTTGGGCAGGTTCTATTTCAGTGCTACCTTCATACAATACGATTTAAAATTTCAGGTATGCTTCGAGGGTAGGTGTCAAAAAAAAAGCAATGGGTCATGAAAGGAGGAGCAGGGTATTCTCTATGCAATGAAGATGTCAATGAAGAATGAGAGAGAAGGAAGGCTTGATGCAAAAGGAGGGGACACGATGCTGGTGATGGTACTGGTGATGGGGGAAATGAGCGAATGGGGTCATTCGATTGCAGCGCCTTTTTCCTTCTTTCTCACTGTCATGTTTGTGTTCCCTGTCCCTCCCTTTTTCTTCAATTGCTCCCCACATTTGCCACATACATACGCTAAGAAAAAGTTACTCAGGCTTACATAGTGGTACTTTCACAGTCATGGTGCATTGGTCGATTACATCCACCATCTTTCGCTGCTTAAACGACTTACTACACAGCTACAATTGACCTAGACATGTGCACTGTGGGTGTACACGTGAGATGGACAAAGCGTGTTGCCCGCCTCTCTGGTGGCCTGATTTGGCTGACCTGGAGTGCAGTTTCCCCTGACACTCACTTCCCTTCCCTTTCACTTTTTCTTGACTCGATCGATATCTCTTGTCAAGTTCGTCCACAGAGAAAAATAAGGAGGGGCATTGACACCTATCCATCCACCACCACCACCAACAACAACAGCCAGCACACACACACAACAAGGAAAAAGGACAAGCGAACATTTCTGTTGCGAAATCGCGCATGTATGCATGTATTCTGGGCTATTATGTTAAGCTATAGTAGAGGACCCCATGGCACATGTAACCAAGGGGTGTGGGTCTTAGCTTTTATACAGTTTTTGGCTCTAGATCTCAACCAAAATAAAAAAGAGATATATGAGGCATGGGGATTCAACTCAAAGAGCAAACAAACATGAGCGCGTCGTTTTAAATTGAGCTGTTCAATATCGCCTAAAGTTGGACAAGCGCCATGGTCCATGCATCACTGCAAGATTGTGCATAAGCTAACTCTAACCGTTATTTCTCAAAGCCTAGCCGAGAAAGACAACGGAAAAGACCCTCGTCTATCATCGTTTTCGATCAAACCTTTCCTCTCCTTCTGTATGTCACTGGTTTCTCCATTTTTCGAGATGAACTCATGTTCTGTTTTGTTTTTTTATGCACCTTGGACTATTGCAGCTACTCGCAACATGCAAAATGCCATTAGAAATGTGTTCGGATGATTACAGCGCCTTCTCCTTTTCCCTTTATTCCCTATTATAATTATTGAGCCCTACTTTCTCGTGGCCCGACATTAGTTCATCTTGAATCTATGCTAGTTCAACGTTCTCGACCCTTTTCCTGTCGCTGCGGTTTCCTCTTGCCTAACTATTTCCGACGTTGATCACCCTGACGGCCCCTCTTTTCCTTCTCTCGTACTCCACTTGCTTTCTTTGAGAGCAATATAAACAAACCCAAAGACGCTCACTCGTAGGATGGGCGTTGATATTTTTCAACCATTGGTCCGTATCTGGAGGCGGCGTTATTCAACCCTACGTTGGTTTCTAACTCTCCGTTGCGGTTTCATGCCTTTGCTGCGGTGGACTCGACGGAGCTGTTGCGCACTCATAGTACCTTCTATCTGCAACGACTGAAAAACGCCCATAAAGACTGCGGTCCCTAGCAGCAATAGTTTCTTATTTGAGCAAGAAATCAAGGGATAATCCAAAGGGGTTAGGACACTAATAATGTACGGGTGCTCCTGCGTAATCGGCCCCGTCTTCCTTTTCATAGCTTGGCCACCTGGACAGTAACCTTCCCAACTCACGCTAACTTTTTCTTTTTCGTTTTGCTTATAGCTTCACTGAGGGCTCTTGAATGAATGTTCTTCTTCGCTTCTCGTTTTCTGTTCACATCCCACCCTCTGTCTACGCATTTGGCTCGATTCCCGTTCCCCACCCCCATTGTAACCCATAGAAAGTACCCTATCAGACCTGTGATTATTCATAACAAACCCCCATTCTGTGCTCTCGAAGTGAACACCGTCAAAAGTCAAAGGCTGGTCATATGACGGCCTCCATACTAATGAACCGACTTGAACAACAATACCAGCAGCAGTTGGGTTTGATCCATCTCAAGGCACCCCAATCGACAGAACGATGCCACAACAGCATGAACCGAAATGAGATCGATATCAAGGCTCGTATCTCATGGTATCAGCGGTTCACCATTTGGATGATCAATGAAGGCAAGTTCCTTTTATTTTATTTTTTTACAATCTCATTCTATACATCGATGCCATCTCCTGTACGCATGCTTAGCTCTGCAGGGCTATACCGTGTTTCAGTCCAATAAACCTTGTCTCAAATAAGCTTTCCTTTCCAATCAGGTAGCCGCGCCATTTTTCTAGGGCTCTGGATCCTCATACACATCAGCATCTTTGGTCTCGCCTTCTTCAACTACCACTACTCTGACAACTTTGAAATCGTCCGCTCAAAACTCGGAGTCACCCTCCCGATCGCCCGTGGTGCCGCTCTGGTCCTTCACGTCGATTCTGGCATCATCCTCTTCCCTGTTTGCAGAACCCTCATCTCATGGCTTCGATCCACGCCTCTAAACCGTATCATTCCCTTTGATAAGTCCATCGCCTTTCACAAGGCCATCGCGTGGAGCATCGTTTTCTTCACCCTGCTCCATACGGCTGCCCATTATGTTAACTTTTGGAAACTGTCCCGCTCGGATCCTGCCCAGTATTCGTTTTGGAATCTGATGTTACTTTCGGGACCAGGACTGACAGGCCATATAATGCTGCTTTTCCTGGGGATCATGGTCTGTACATCTTTGCCGAGCGTCCGCCAAAGAAATTTCGAGATCTTTTGGTACTGGCATCATTTATTCCTGCTGTTTTTCTTTTTCTTCTCTTTTCATGGTGCATTCTGTCTGCTCACGCCTGATCGTCCGCCATACTGCAAAGACATTGCGAGTTTCTGGAAATACTGGGTGGCGAGTGGATTTACTTACTTGACAGAACGGATCATGCGCGAATGGCGCGCCAGTCAAAAGACCGTCATCTCCCGCGTCATTCTCCACCCCTCCAAAGTCGTCGAGATCCAGATCAAGAAGGAGAATTGTCAGGCATTGGCCGGGCAATATATATTCTTGTGTTGCCCCGAAGTGTCGCTCTGGCAGTGGCACCCCTTCACGCTGACAAACGCGCCAGAGGAAGATTACTTGAGCGTCCATATCCGCGTCATTGGCGATTTTACAGAGGCGCTGAGCAGGAAACTGGGTTGTGATGCCGATGGTCCTAGTGGGTGGGAGGAGAATCTGGGCGACAAGAAGGGACTGATCACGGTCTTGCCGCGGATCATGATCGACGGTCCCTTTGGTGCGGCTTCAGAGGATGTCTTCAAGTTTGAGGTCACTATCCTGGTCGGGGCAGGTATTGGCGTGACACCCTTTGCGAGTGTGCTCAAGAGCATCTGGTACCGGGTCAATTATCCAACCAAAGTAACCAAGTTGCACAAGGTATACTTCTTCTGGATCTGCCGCGACAAGGAGTCGTTCGAATGGTTCCAGTCATTGCTTTTGGCACTCGAGTCGCAGGATCTGAACCAGTTTATTGAGATTCACACGTTTTTGACGGGGCGACTCAGGCATTCCGAGGTCGGCAATCTGATGATTAATGAGGAGAGCGCGTTTGCAGACACAGTTACAGGACTGAGGGCGAGGACCCGCTTTGGAAGACCGAACCTGGATGCTGAGTTTGAGCGGATTCGAGGAAACCATGCGGATACGGATATTGGCGTGTTTTTCTGTGGACCGAAAAAGATGGGCAAGCAGCTGCATGCCTGCTGCACGAAATTTAGTCATGGAAGTACGCAGTTCGTTTGGCACAAAGGCAAGCAAGAGCAATGAACAGGCGCTGTTTGCAGTTATGAAGCGTCGCTTTCTGTACTAACGCTCCGCTCATCTGACTACTTTCTCTTTGATCAGAAAATTTTTGAGGCCGCCATTCGGCACCAGGACCCAAGCAAAAAGTCATAGCACACCAACTTCAAAATATATTGTATTTATTCAAAAGAGTGGGGAGTTATCTTGGTATGACGTATCTTAAAGAAGAGCGGGGAGTTTTGTTCTGTTGGACCATTTGAAAAGGGCGGTTGCATGTCAATTCATAAAATAGTGGAGGAGGGTCGTGATGTTCTTATCCAAATCGGATACCATTGCCGTCATCACTTCTCCGTGGGACTAACGCCCTCCTCGCTGACTAAGTGCGGCCCGAGCTTCTGAGCCTTCGCGTCAAAGATCGTGTCCGTCTTGACTGCCTCGCCTTCTTTGCGTTCGTGAAAAAACATAAAGTACGTGAACATAGCGTCGGCGCTGACCGCCGCTGCGAGTGCTGTCGCAATCGCCAGGCGCTGCTTCTTGTGACCCTTGAGCATCAATAAGAAGGGATTCATGTTCGACTCATCATCGGGCCCTTGCGCCGAAGTAGAAGATGCGGAAGGGTTGCCGGGTGAGCAATCGTTTGTTCCTGAAGATGAAGAGGAGCTATTGATGGTGCCGTTCTGTGGAGCCGGCACAGGTGAGGGAGCCACGGGCATGGGAGTTCGCTCAGGTGGAGGAGTCGCAAAAGCCCGGCGGAACGGGATCTGGATCTGAGGTGAGACGCGAAGCAAGAGGAGGTACGACATGGTTCGGTGAGAGAGTATGGTTTGATCGAATTGAAAGAGTCGTGGTTGCTGTTTGGTGTAGAAAGAAAGAAGAAAGAGAAAAGGCGGATGGGAAAGAATGCCTATGTTATATAGACTAACGTTCAGGCGCAACGCCTGACCTTAACCTAATTGCCCCGCTGTGCTGCGCATATAGGAGGCCGCCGGGAACGAAAACGTCCTTTCTTGAATCTCGGGTTGACATGGTCAGTGTGCTCTCAGCCTGAACTGTGGTCAATCGCCACTATCCCCTTTTAGGTTTACCGACAATATCTTAGTCCTGTAGAATGGACATTAAGAGCATATTAATGGATCGTTTCAAGTCAGTGCTGAGAAACTGGTAGCCATAACACGTCTTGCCTTCGTTCTTTCGTTCCTTATTCCTTTCGATTACGCCCTCCAACTCCCGACTCTCGATGCCAGCTATAATGAGGACCCCTCGAATAAACGTCCAGAAAAAGCGACTAAATCTTCGCGCTCGCTGAAGTCTTTTAGAATAACAGCCTGGAGCACAAGGGCACACAATCGAGCACACTCCGGCTGTCGCTTGAGACAACCGACACTTCGGCACCGCCAGAGACAGCAACGTCGTCCCCGAGGGGGTGGTCCATCAAGCAATTTTATATATTTAGGCAGGCATGACTACATATATCTACAAGACTTGGGTGCGTGCAGTGGCTATCAAACAGCCCGCTCCGCCATTGAATCCGCTGCGACCGATGCCAATTCAATTCAAGTACTGGTAATCACAACAAATGGGGCGAGTGAGGCTGCGAGATGGGGGACGATGCCAGGTCGATGGTGGCATCGAGATCCGTATGGCTTGCACCATACACCCAGTCAAAATCCTGTACGATATTATTATCATCATCATCATCTTTGAGTGACTCGGCAAGCAGGGGTTGATACAACGCGATTGTCTTCAACATGACTTGCTAAAAATGCGAAGAAGCTGATATAGAGATTATTAGAGGCCATTTCATACCGACTGTACTTTGCAAAGAAACTGAAAGTACACTTACACGAGCTTGCAAGAGATGTGCTAAACCTTGAACTTGAGGCACCATTTCCTCAGGCGTGGCTGGCAGATCATACACAGGACATGCATGGAACAACGAAACATATGACATGCCTCCAGTTGGCCGCACCTCGAACGTCAGGAAACCCTGGCCTATATGTGGACAGAATATGCGTGTTGGTTAGTAGACTATTTCATCATAATAATAATAAAAAATAAAAAATAAAAATAAACATCAGCAGCAATAAAGAATAATCCTGCTTACTCCCTGGGTAAATCTCAAAGAAGCGACCTTTCTCCCACATCTCCTCGTTTCTTGTGTCCTGAAGCCTATGCAACATAATTGTGGTGGTCTCTTTAAACAGACAAAGGTCTATCTCCGTCAAGAACTTTGTGGACTGAGTATCCCACTCTCGCATCCGTTCAACCATCATCCAATCCTTCTTCTGGATCACGTCTCTGAAGATAAGGTCCATCTTCTTTCCTGTCGCATTCCTTGTGCTTTCTCGTTCCACATTCATGCCACTGTTTCTTCGTCACGAGCTCTCCAGTCCCATTTTTTCGCCGTCAATGCCGAAGACGCCCTTGGCGTCGTTGAGAAGGTCCAGCAACATCGGCCATGTCGCGTACTACGACATGATCAGTCGATACTTGGAAACGCGTGCGACCGCTACACGGAGACAAAGGAGGTATTTATATATATTCCATAGTTCTGTACCTGTTTGTTCCTCATCTAGCAACTTGAATATATCCCTACGCTTTCTTTGACCTTGCTTTCTGAACTACATATCACCTTCCCTTGTTCTGTCCCGCCTTGCTTAGAAAAGGTCATCTTGACTCTGAATAAGCATAGGTTCACGACAGGCCAGGACTTTCGCGCCCAAAAGCACTCCGACAAATCACCTACAGCAAATGGCGACAGATCTTTCTTATACAACCCCTGCCTATCAAGCGAAGTCCAATAGAATCTAATTAGCATTGTTTAGCTACTACCATTCGCGCCGGAGGACCCTGATGACTTATCAAACTTGCATTGATCCTTGTACTAACGTGCAAGAAAATGAGTCGTCTTCCGGGATGGGCACCGAGGTGACCGGGACACTTTTCAGCATGACTTTACGCAACCGCAGCAAATAATTAGTCGTGGTGAGCGGAAGTTGCGGCAGACGAAAGTCGTTTTTTCTTTGGAGCTCCTGTCACTCCTCATCATCGAAAAGACTCCTCGTAATCTCGCAGTCGAAATCAATTGTGAAAGAGTTGATTTTTGTGGCCGTCTAGGCTGCGACGCGGGCATCCTGGAGTACCTCTTCCACGTATTGTCCTGATTGAAGTTGCCAAAAACGGCTCTTATCCATCTTGTCGAACCTCTATAGAAAAGAAGAAATGTTTAGTCCGATGGTTTTAGCGTAAGGCTCAGATACGTTCGAATCTTTGGGTATCAAGTACCTTCGTTCAGCGCTTAATCGCCGCGTCATCTGTTTTGTTCATAATTGGTCTCTTCCGTTTTATGCTTGCCCTATTAGGGGACGGTGGACTCCGCAGCGAAGCGCCCGAGGGGGTGGGCAAGTCATGGGCAGATGAAGTTGGAGCGGACGGTGCAGAGATAGCTGAGGCTGAACTCGAGGGTACGCGTATGGAAGAGGCGCGGGTCGGGGAGATGGAGCTCGAGGAGACGGATATTGAGGAGGTGTGCGGCAACGCGAGCGCAGAAGAGGTGAGTGTAGGCGAGTGGCTGCGGGGCGACACAGAAACAGGCGCGACATTGCGCGATGGTTCAGAGGCCGCAAAAAAACAAAGGTCGCGTTAATGACTTTGTCCTTGGTCGTACACCTTTTAGCCTTTTACTTGAGACTGACAGCAGACACTAACCATTGCTGTAAGGCACCGGTACTTCCAGTGATGACGAACTCGACAAGGCTGGATGCGAGGAGGTTAATCCTTTGTCCAACAGCTTAGAATAAGCCCCTACAAAGCATCAGTCACGCGCCTTTGTTAGATTGGCTTCCTGGAGCAAGTGGACATCGATATAGTAAATAATGGTCCGTTGAAATCATACCTGCGCGCTCTGCTACATGTAAGTATAACTTTTTTACGCTGCTAGACGCGTAGTTGGTTCTTGCCTCCAATTCAGCTTTTCCACAAGCTCGCCATGAGAAAAACGCTTTAGGAGGTAGGTGGCACGCTTCCTTAAACTTCCTGCAACGCGCTGATGCTCCGAAATTTCTTGGGATCGCCCTCATAGCGCTCTGCATGTTCTTTAGCCGGTAGCTTAGCATCCCGAAGTTTAAAAAGCTCATTCAACTGATCCCAGTTCCTTGCGTCCGTGATATGAAAAAACCGATGAACCTTAATTTGCTCATCAACAGAGCCGAGATTGCCGACTTTGATTCCTGTGTCCATTTGCACAAGAGCGACTGAGGCGGATAGATAACCTAAACAACGAATAATAGCGTCAGCACAGCGCACAGCATGAAGAAGCACGAAGCAATAAAAACAAAGAAAGAAGGAGAGCAGTAGAAAAATGTCTGGTTTACCTCAGCTGTAAGTTGCGACATTGACAAGATACTGAGCGACGAGAGGCGGTGGTCAATATCAGGACGATAAAAAGCAAGGGACAATGGTTGACGCTGTGATCGAAAAGAACGACGCTGAAAAACGCAAAACGCCCTGTGACCGGAAATTTGAACAAACTTTCTGGTTTACGTTGTACAGATTCAAGTCATTCATCATTCCAAGTTTGCTGTTCTCCCTGCCTCAGCAGCCATTCTCTACTGTATGCCCAGCCTAGGTCCCTTGGACCGAACTGCATGCACAGGGAAACTCCCCCAAGATTCCTGTTATGCCTCCCTATCATGGGCCGCGTAATCGCTTTGAAGTTGAGGATTGCGAGGCTGTGCTTTTCGATGGCGGTATTGTGGGTTATTCACCTGTGTTCTCCAGGACTCTCTAGTCTGGAGATCACCCTAAGTAATCTTCTGCCTGTGCCATCTGCTGGGAGGTCCATGTCATGGCAAGGAGTTATGGAACATCCACCGTTGCCCATCACATATCTTTGCGCTGTTCTTCCTGCCCCAGCAGCCATTCTCTACTGCATGCCCAGCCTAGGTCATGGGAGAACTCTTCTGAGATCCTTGTTACGCCTCCCTATCATGGGCCGCGTAATCGCTTCGAAGTTGAGGGTTGCAAGGCTGTTCTTTTCGACGGCAGTATTGTGGGTTGTTCATCTGTGGTCTCCAGAACTCTCTAGTCTGGGGATCACGAAAGTAATCTTCTGCTTGTGCCATCTGCCGGAAAGTCCATGTCATGGCAAGGAGTTATGGAACATTCACCGTTGCCCATCACATATCTTCTACTGTGTTCTCAGTTGGATCTATTGGATGGATGATAATAAGAAGGGACACTAAGAATGCATTCTCTCGACCGCTCGAGCAATATTTGGCTAGGTGCTCCGGAGCGATTTTTACTTCCTGATACTACGAGAAGACAGAATGCGATGCTACACCATCTCGTGGTGCGCTCTGGATATTCGAGCTAGACACCGCAATCGCCTACTGACTAAGAGGGCATTTCGAACAAATAAAAAAGCGAGCTGCAACTCGTTGACTAAATCGGCTGCCCAGTGGGTTTGTGTCGCGCTGCTCAGAACCTTTTGGCCATCTTTAAGATCCAGCGAGTTGGTCGAAAAGAGCGCTTTATATGTCCCGGATGAAAAGGACAATAGCTTTCGCGAGCGCGCCGTTATTAGCTTGTGGTTTATCGTTTTTTATTCTAAAAGATAACGAATCCACGTTTATAAAAAAAAACCCCCCCCCCATCGTGCACTATTCATTCTGGTTCAGACTGAGGCCCTCGTAAATCTTTGTCGCCATGATTTCGTCCTTAAACTGGAGCATGTAAATAATGCTCATCTTCTCCTGTGGGTTCATCAACGTGATGGCCAGCTTCTTTGTTCCGACCAGCTCCAGACAGTCGCATTGAACAATCACGCTGTCCAGGATTCGCTTCTGGTTCGACACTAGGCCGACAAACAACCGCACATAGCCCGAGGGCTTCTCCATCTTGATCTCGACTCGTGCTGCGCCTAAGCTCATCCACTGTCCATGATCGCCTGCCTGGAGTAGCAGTTTGCACTCTGCGGGTGGGTGCATCGATGTCAGCGTTTGCTTCACGGGCATTTCTCTTGGTTGGGGCTGACGCGTCGGTGTCGAGGCCAGACTCTGACCTCGAGACAAGACCGGGAGGTTGGACTTTTGCAGACTCGGATCATACATCGCGCGGTCCTTGGCTCGCTGGAACGCCATGCAGAAATCGTCCGCTTCCTTTATCGAGTTCAACGCGACCAGGAACCACTGCACGCTCGCGCCCATGTCCATTGAGATACTGACATCAGTCTCGGATGCACGTCTAAACGTAGTCGACTCTACGATCCAGGCATTCAGAACCAGCTGTCCACCCTCGTACGTCGTCACGGCCATCGCCAGTCGGTTCGCCGTCGTCAAGCGAAGTTCGGCGTAACAATCATCGTTCTCCACCAGAGGGTCCCAGATATCATCGCGCCATTGGAACACATCGCAAGGCCTGGTTTTGAACATGACTTCCTGCGGAGCAGCTACCTCGCCCAGCGTAGGTAACCTTCGTGGAGGACCCGGTCTTGCCGTCACAGTGTTCGTTCGCCGCATGCTCTAGAAGGGAGCCAGCAAAAATAAAGAGACTATGTCAACTAATGCCATCCACATCGATGGAAAACCTCAATTACAGTGTCTTTTTTTTTGTCCATATCCTACCATGCGATGATTGGCTGGAGGGCGAGGGGGTCGCTGGTTCATTTGTCCGCCTGGGTTCATCATGGGCCTGCCCATTCCTCCGCCAGGAGACATTTGTGGTGGATAGCCTGGAGAAGGCATTCCGTTCATGGGTCCAGGACCACCCATGGCCAGCATGGGCGGCTGTGGACGAGGACTCATGGGCCCGCCATGGTGTCCCTGAAAAGTAGGTGACATAGGACCGTTATTGAATGGACGTTGACGAGGATCGCCATGAAAAGTTGGCGACAGGGGCGATCCCATGGGCCGCATAGGGTGTGATTGAGTGGCATTTCTGTTCAATTGTTGGCTCTGTTGTTGTTGTTGTTGTTGTTGCTGAGCTACCTTGGCCGCATCCTTTTGCTGAGCGTCAGCAACCTCATCCATCCAGTTGAACTTCAGCTGCTCATCCTGTGTCCAAATCCGCGCAGTGACCCTATTGACAATCGTGAGTTCTACAATGTGATCTATGTACAAGCAGATATTTGTTTTAGTAGCGTGTCATCTGATCAATATATGTGGTACGTTTCTTTTTATAAAAGTAAAAATAAAAAATAAAAATAAAAAACCGCTCGTTTGTGGTACTTACCTCCTTCGTCAATAGTGCCGTCTCTGGCGACAACGTGCCTAATCGCCAATGGAGGGAACAAAAGCCAGATCGAAGACTCGTCCCCTTCAGGATTCTGCTCGATCTCTTCAGGCGTCTTGACCCTGCACATCAATAGCAAATCCGAGAGTAGGATGATGTGTCCATCGTCATATCTCTCCACAACCCCATCCTCGTTGGCGATCGTAAAAGCAAGATCGCCACGGATGTGAACATCGCGCTCGATCAGAGCCAAGGACAGGGCGCATGTCTGAATGGGCGTTTACGGTCGATGGCAAAATCAATTATAAGGGCAGGGATAAAAAGATTATGCGCGTTATTATTATTATTTTTTTTTGTACGACGTTGATAACTGAAGCCAGCAGAACCTGCATGAGATAGTGTAACATGTGGAATTACAAAAAAAAAAAGCACAGCAAAATTGACAGTGAATGCAGACGTTACCTTAGGCTCCATCGTGAAGAGGTCCAGAACCTGCGAGGTGTCGAGCGATCGTTCAAGCTCCTGCATTGCTTCCGCAGTGCGGGCAGGCGACTGCTGGGGCCGGTGGCTGGGGGACATGGGAGAGGGTGGCAGGGCAGGAGAGGTGTTGTTGTTAAGTCTTCCCTGTGCCAGGAACCTGGGCGAGGTCTGGTTTTGATCAGTAATTGGAGGTGAAGGAAGCGCATTTCGCATCGCCGAGATGCCTGAGATGGCCGACAAGGCTGGTGACGCTGGGTGGCGAGAAGTTCCTGGTACATCTACTGTCACAAATCGCAAAATGGTGTCGATTCTCATAAACGCTGCTTCCAATGCGTCAAAGTCCGGCTTTCCGCGCTCAGAAGAGTCCAGCAGTCGCTATTTGTAGAAAGAGTACAAAAATAGTAAATGAATTCATTAGTATACAAGCGATGGGCAAAATTGGATGCGTTGGTGAAAATATTTCAAAAGGTCCTACCATATATAACCGACGGTAGTAGTGCAAGCGGTCGATGGGCTTCATCAAGAAGGTGTCCAAGGTGACATGCTGGACCTGCTCTGCAGCGATTTCCTATTATTTTAAAAGCGTATAAAAAAATAAGATCCTTGTTTTTCTAATTGACCGAAAATACTCTACATCGAAAGTGACCTATCCTTACTGCCAAGATATCCTGAAGTCGCGAATTATTCATAATCTCGGGCCAGTTGTCGAAATGAGGAACATGATTGCGACAAAAGTTGGAGTACGAGGTCTCCATCGAGTCTACGAACCACATGAGGACGCTTCCCAGCTCCTTCATGACATCGCCGCTGGCATGCACGTCGTTCAGCTTTTTGGAGAACTTGCGGTTGACGGCATAGATATCCTCAATATTTCTGAGCAGAACGTCGACCTCCTTTGGCGGGAAATCATCCTGAGTCCATCCAGCTGAGACTCGCTTCATACAATTGAAAGATTGTTGTAAATGAGAGACTGTCAGCTATCTTGCTATGTGTCCAGCATAGCAATAGTACGCAGCAACCGATCGATGTCCAGAATTTTCAGGTACAATGCTTACCTGAAGCAGGACTTTCAGATCAGCGACATATTCCTTTTCGGTATCGATCAGATCTTCCAAGGGATTGGGTGCCTTCGGATGATTAGGCATTGGCTGCTCAAATGGCGGGCGTTGGAGCTATGCGTGGCAAAATAGGACCAAAAATGATCCGCCAAAGGTCAGCTCTTTACTCGTACAAGCGAGTGTTAAAAGGACGAGGAATAAATAAATAATTTAACTTACATGCATAGGAATAGCCCTCAATGGATGTTGATTGGGGTGTGCCCCAGGGTAACGAGCGCCTGGTGCGGGCCCTTCTGGTCCACCATATTGAGGCTGTCAGAGAAAAAGAAACAGGTACAGGTAGCAGTGTGAGCAATTGGGCTATTTTTTTTTTCTTGATCATATTTTTTTTGCAGACAGTTTGTAATTTGGGTGTTGCTGATGCCGTTGCTGTTGCTGGTGAGAGTGCGAATGACAAGATGGTCCTTTACCCTTTGAGGCATGGGGATGTGCATGGGTCGCTGATCGTTCATTGGAAGGGTGATGATGAGTCGATGTTGGATGAGAAGGCAAGGAGGAAGAGGAAGAGGAAAAGGAGTCGTGAGGTGTTGGGCGTTAAAGAATCGTTAAGGTGTTAAGGTCGTCAGGGGGTTCGTTCGCTTGAGGGTAGATCGTTAAAGAAGGCTGGCTATCAATTGGTTGTTTGTGTGTTTGGGGACGGCGAGTGCGGTGCAAGGGGATGGAAGGGATGAAGAATAAAGGTGAAGGAAGTAAAAAAAAAAAAGGAGGGAAGGGGAAATGAAGGGGAATATCCAGGTCGAATGGATGACAGGGCAATCGATCTCCGGTCGTGGGCAAAGTCGGATTTTGGCTGTTCCAGACGGGATGAACAACAACAAAGGAAGCAGCCTTTGACCGTACTATGGAGAACAGAAAGAGAAGAAAGTGGAGGTGAGGAGTGCAGGCGAGAGTGGAGTGGAGAGTGAAGGAGTGGAGAGAGAAAGAGAGAGTTAAATGAAAGCGTATAAAAATAATAATGAGCGTCCTCAGAGCATCCGACCAATCAATTCCCAGGACTGCACACACTCCCCTCGTCTGTGTGACCTTTTCTCCATACCATCCTGCCTCCCCTTCTCTTCTTGTTCTTCTTCTTCCTGTTCTTCTTCTTCTTCTGCACATCAAAGATGAAGAATCGATGCCGTGCCATACCATGCCGTGTCATGCAGTAATTCTATCGTCGATGCTCTCGTTCTTCCTCCTAAAACTCTTCTTTTTTGGATCCTACAGTCGTTTGCTACTTGCTAATCATCTTCGAAATCTATATAAATTGAGCAGCAGCTGAGCAGTTCCTAACATTCTTCCACGAGGCTGCACCGCTGCTTACTACATGTCCACAAGGCCATCTTTTCTTGACAGCATTCACCATCTATTTTTCCCCCCTCTCCCCTCCCCTCCCCTCCCCCCCCCCCCCCAAAAAAAAAAATCCTACAGCAAATACCACGATATCGATTACGATCTGGATTGCATATCGACGCGTCTAGATGAAGGCCACTGTATCATGTAGAGAGATAGCGTCGCCCCAATACTTTTCGCCTTCACACATGCTGAGGGGAGGCATTCGCTGTTACCAAGCCACGATCCATATCCATTCGATTCGCACTGAAGCAATATAGTTGTGTATTCATTTCTTCGTTTTATTCAGTAAAATGTCGAATATGCCGATCCTGTATCGATATCCACAGCAGAAAACAGCCCTTTCCTTCAAGACTCTAGACTGCAGCAGTGGTTGTCGATGATGACCCTGATGCTGTTGCTGATCCTGTCGCTGAAGCCGATGATGCTGTTGAGGAGAGTACTGGTGTCTTTGTGTTAATGGCCGCCTCCTCTGCATCGATCGCCCACTGCAACTTCTTCGCCTCAACCCATGCCAGACGACGCTCATTGAGAACAAACTTGATCCTTGCCATTGATTTCTGACACTATATAGATTGAGAACAAGAAGACAATGAACAGTCGTCAGTTGTGAAATAAAAAAATAAAGAAATAAAAAAATAAAGAAATAAAAAAATAAAAATAAAAGAGAACCAAAGCTGCAACAGATCGAACATGATGGCCTTTGTTTCCTTGATATGCAGCAAGATCTGTCCGCCTACCTTGATCTGACGACCCTTGTTCGAAAAGTACTGCTTCGAGATATGGAACCGGCGGGCCTCCTCCTTCTGGGCAGCAAGCATATTGCGCTCCTTCAGGAGCACATACCACAGCTTGTGAAGATCGTCGAACGACTTGATTCTAAGCTCGCTTGCTCTCCAAGCACGACCTATCCGATTATTTTTACGTGATTTTTCAATGCAAGTTGAGCGCCTATTAGTCTCTAGTCAAACAAGCGATCCGCTGCCAACGATGGTATCGTTTTTGTCCTTGGCCTTTGTGTGTGTGTGTGGTGAAGAAAGAGGTATAGGTTTGCGATCGACCGGATCCTTACCGGTCCAGGACTTTTCTGTGGGGAGCGATTGGCCATTCTCAAAAAACTCCTCGACTCCGCGAGGTCTGAATGCGAGTTGCTTAATACGGTTAAGAATAGGTCTTGTAAAGAAGGACATGGCTGCTGAGGATGGGAGGATGTAAAAATGAATTAACCCAAAGGCGAGGTGTCGCTGTTCCGTTTGGGTCCAGAAACAACTGCTGCTCTAGTTCCTGGTGGCTTTTGTATATTCATTGGTCACAGAATGTAAACACTCTTTTCTTTTTTCTTTTTTTTTTTCGCCTTCCATATCACATACACGTCGTCGCTACCATCCAAAGAGACTCCCTCGTTCTCGCTGTCGATATCATATCTCTCTACCTGCAGGAAAGAAAAGCGACTATCAAAATGAAGTTGACGCCGGCTATTATTGCGTCCCAGGCCGCAGGAAATGATATTCAGCAGCTCAAGGAACTCAACGTGTCCAAGAAAGATATCAACCATATCGAAGACATCTCCATCTGTATCAACCTGCACAAGCTGAACTTGTCCCACAACAGCCTCAACTCTACAGACTCGATCGCTGGACTCCAGTACCTGCAGGCGCTCACCCTCCTCAACCTCAGTGGGAACCAACTGGATTCGTTTGAAGGCCTTCAACGGCTCAAGACCCTCTTCGGTACGTTTCTCGAAAACCCCCCTTCCTCAACACGAACCACGCACGGCCAATTGATCTCGGATACATATATCTTAACCTAACCATCTGTTTGTTCTCTTCAAACACGAAAAAAAAAATAGTTTTGAACATGTCCCACAACGACCTGAACCGCATCTCCATCCACATCGAAAAGCTTGTCAACCTCAAGGCCATCGTCCTCAACAACAACAGGATCAGGGTCGTTGACCACCTCGGAGGTCTTCTAGAACTCAACACCATCGTCCTCTCCCACAACCGGATCCAGGAACTACCCGCTTTTCCGAAACTCACCAAGCTCACCAAGCTCTCTGCAGCCCATAACGAAATCCGACAGATCCCCGATTTCTCAGAGAACGGCATGTTGAAGGAACTGCGATTGAATCATAACAAACTGATCACCATCCCGGACTCGCTGCGTCGCTGTACAGCCCTGGATATTTTGGATCTTGGAGGCAACATGTTGAGAGAGTGGTCCGACGTCGCACCCTTGGGATCCCTGATGCATCTGATCAACTTGAATCTCCAAGGAAACCCGATCTGTGACAAGCCGGATTATAAGAAGAAGGTAAAAATGATCCCATACGCAAATCGCCCTGCTTTCGCCCTCTGTTGAACAAATTTCCATGATGAATTGCTTTATTCTTCAAAGGATTACTGACGATGTGGTTCTGATATGCTAATTACATACGTATGTGTGTATGTGTATGTGTATGTGGTATAGATTCTGGAATTGGTTCCCTCATTGCGAGTACTGGATGGCGAGCGCTTCGACCCAAAGTTCCTCCAGATCAAGGCCAAGCGCGCGGAACACAAGGAGGTTGTCGAGAAGATGAAGAAGAAAAAGGAAGATCTCGAAAAGAAAAAGATATTGAGGAAGGTCAAACGTGGCGAGATCGATGCAGATACGATCGATAAGGACGTCCTGGCCGATGCCGAGCAGTTCGAGCGGAAGAAGAAGAAACCAAAGGCGGAGAAGGACGACAAGAAGGACAAGAAGAACCTGACCAAGGAAGAGAGGAAGGCACTCAAGGAGGAAAAGAGGGCTCGTAAAGAGGCCAAGGTAGCGGTAGCAACATTAGCAGCAAAGGACAAGGACGAGGACGAGGATGAGGATGAGTCGCTGGCAACGAAATCCGGCAAGAGCAAAAAGAACAAAGACGGAAAGGCCGGTGTACTGGAAAAGAAGACATCATCCAAGCGTACACGACCGGCAGAGGACGACGAAGACGAGCATGAAAGCAGTGGGGCCAAGAAGAAAAAGTCAACGCTGTCATCGATGTTCAAGGGCAATGGTCCTCGACCGCTCAGTGCGCTGGCCCCTGCTGATGCTGACGAGGACGTGGAAATGGATGACGAGGAGAGCAAGGCAAAGAAGGCAGAACTGAACAGGGTCCGAAAGGAGAATCGGAAGGCTGCGAAGAAAGAGGCCAAGAAGGAGAAAACGGCCGCCACCCTGGAAAAGAAGAAGGCTGCACGTAAGGAGAAGAAAGAGCCGACCACGCTGGAAGAGGATAGCTTCTTCGCCAAACCCTCGGAAGAGGAGGTCAAGTCCAAGAAGGCCAAGATCGAGAAGACAACACTCACACCAGCTGTCGCCAAGCCAGCTCTAGCTCCAGCTCCAGCAGTGGTCGAGGTCCATGTCGCACGGCTTTTGGATCCTGCTGAGGCTGCAAAGGCCAGGTCGGGTGTCGTCGCTGTTGTCGACAAATCAGCCCAGCTCGCCAAGAAGAACAAGAAGCCCAAGTTCGATATCGCTGCTCTCGAGGAGACCACCGATGCCTTTGGCGGTGGCCAGGTCTCTGGGTGGGACTAAGAACTCCTTCATCCTTCATACGATACCATCTATATTCGCATTCTTCTCACGGCATCATTCCAAATAAACTAAAAACTTGCATTATCAAACATGTGCGGACCCCAATGCAAAAAATAATGTTTATTTCACATTCTCCATCTGCCATGAGACCACGCCCAACGATTCCTCGACTTGGTTCCGCTCAGGCGCCGTCTCCAGATACGGCTCCAACTCCCAGAGTAGGACCATATTCGTCAACTGCTGATCCAGCAAAGGCGGCAACTCATCCGCGCCCGAGTCCTTCAGCACCGCTATCGTCTCCAGTGCCTCCAGGATCGATTCTTTGAGCGCGATCTCATCCAACGTCTGCTCAAACACATGCTGCAGATACGCCGACATCTCCATCGGCGTAGCCTGTGTCCCCGGGATGATATGGTGCACAAGCCCAGGCGAGGGAACATATCCCCTCGTTACTGTCGACCCCATCGATCCGTCCGTTGCCCCGTCCTTTTCATCATCCCCGCTATCGCTTGACGATCTTGTGTCCGAATCATCATCCTCCTCAAGACGACGGCTCTCCTTCTTTTGTCTCTCGAGTTCCTCAGCCAGGCGGGCTTCCTCCTGCGCCTTCAGGATGGCGTCTATTCCCATGATCCCCGGTGGAGAAGCTTCCTGGAGGATAGCGATCAGTTTTAGTCGTATCCTGTTCATCCGTAGAACAATATCTTGCACTGGAAGGATTCACAGACGCAAGCCATGGGATATATATTTTTTTTTTTGACGATTAATAAATGACATACGAAGAAACAATACGATATAGCTCGTCAACAAGAAAAAAAAAGGACTACTTACGCCGGTCAATAACAGCGGTAAGGTCTTCCGTGGCTCTAATCACAGCTTGATATCCCATATTCCCAGAAACGAGGTCCACATATTAGATAATGAGTGATCTAGCGGATAAGCAACTTGTAGCCCTGTTCACCGTCCTTTTTTTTTTTCTTTTTTTTTTTTTTTTGTTTGGCTTACAAGTTCGGGCGCTTTTGAGGGCAGCGGCACCTTGGGTTACGCTAGCCTTCCATTCTGTGGATCTTTCAGTAGAGGCAAAAAATAAAGAAATAAAGAAAGAAAGAAGAAGGACAGATGTCGATCTCCATCAGTCCCGTTGCAATGTCTCCTGTTGAAAACGTCGATCTCCCATGCAGTGTTGCAAATTCATTTACAATTGTCGAAATCCAATGGTTGTTGTCAGAACCTTTACAAGGTAGTCCCTGTCCCTGCTAGTTAACGCTTTCCCTGACGATGGGGTCTTCTTTCTATCGATAATGGCCTGGCTCATTTTTTTTTCCGCGAACAATTAAAAAGGCGAGCATAAAAAAAAAGCGTAGAGTAGATATTTGTAAAAATAAAAATACAATGCGGTACGGCCGCTTTCATTATAGAGAGTATGCTCTTGAAAACACGAAAAAAAAAACTAAACTAAAATAAAATGAATCTAACGAATATTCATCATGATCGCCTTGGTAACGGGTATGAGAGTGCCTGAGTGTACCGGGGAGGGGGCGGCGCGGATCCATGATGTGGTGGCGGCGGAGGCTGCTGTGATGAAGATGGTGGTGGTGGCTGCTGTTTCGAATACAATGGCATTGGTGGCTGTTGCTGCTGCTGCAAGTGCTGCATCTCGCGTTCATCAAGTCGTGCAGTTGCATTAGAACGTCCCGGCCCTCCAGAGCCGCTCAGTGCCATCAGGCTAGCCAGAGCAGAGTTGGTCTTGACATCGTTCGTCAGGGGCGCTCCTGGCTGAGGAGGAGGTGGTGCATGACTATGGCTATGGCCATGTGGGGGAGGCGCGTATCCATGACCCACTGGAGACCCGCTTTCGCGGATAGAGTGGGGTACGGGAGGTGATCCGGAAGCTCCAGCATGATGTGGATCTAAGACCTGATCGAGCCCGTTGAGTACTGCGGCTGCTCTGCCCAGAAGCATCGACAAATGAGATACCTCTCGCTGCAGGTCCTGACGGGTCTGCTGAAGGACATCCGTGCTCGTGCTGATTCCTGAGGCTGCTGCTGCGGGTGCTGGATGACTGCCAGGAGCCCCAATGACCACACCGCTCATGGGTGAAGACGGCTGTCGCCGATGCTGACCAAACTGGTGATGGTGAGAAGGTGGGGGAGGCCCCTGCTCTTGCTGGTGCAGCAGGTCGTTCGGCCGGGGCAGAGACTGGTGGTGGCCTGGATGAGCAGGATGGGGCAAAGATATGGGCGGCAGATGCGCTGGCCCTCCTGTGACATTACTACCGCCATTAGCACGCTCGCGCTCGCGATCCATGTGTCCATCGTGGTGATAAGGTGCTGGATATCCATTGATTGGCTGCGCAACACCCTGCGTTGGTGAAGATCCAGAACTGTAATGATGACCACCTTGGGACGGTGGAGGCGGCGGCGCCTGCGACTGAGATGGCTCTGAAGGGTGGTATTCGTTTCCCGCTGGAGGAGCACCCTGGGCATGGTACTGCTGATGATGATAGGGCTGCTGCGGTCCTCCTTGGGAATAACGCGGGTACATCGGGGGGGAATTAGGTGGTGGTCCCGTTGAATGCACAATGCCTGTTGATGACAAACGCGTATTGGACGAAGAAGAGGACACGGTAGCATATCCGGGAAGGCGCTGATTCCATCCTGATGCATACTGCGAGGAGGGATGCATGCTGTCGTCCATATCTCGGGGTGAATGCGATGAGTGCACATACGCATGAGGGGATTGCTGGTGCATATGGTGCTGCGACTGGCTATGGGGATGGGCCTGCTGCGCATGGGGATGCGGGTGCTGTTGTTGAGGATGCTGTGGTGGTTGAGACGGATGCTGTGAAGGGTGAGGCGGCGGTGGCTGAACCCGAGGGGGCGGTGGTGGCGGGTGCATCGGGTACCTGGACATGCTCATGGACGGGGTCGAGTGATACTGTCCGTTCCCGTGGTGCACATTCAACATGTATCGATGCTGGCCTAGATGCGGTGGTGGATGGTCTCTCATGTATCCATGCGGGTCCTGCGATCTTGAAGGTGGCTGCGGGTAAGGCGAAGGGCCCGGGTGATGAGGTGAGCCTGAATGATGAAGACTCTGCTCGCTGCTTCCAATGTTCTCGATGGGTGACATGCTCCGTCGATAGGCTCCCGATCCTGGCTCCCGTCGCACCCAGTCTGAGTGGCCGTTCGCAGACCTCTTTGGCAAGATGTAGTCCTCCATTCCTGGTCCACCTCGGCCTACCACAGAGCCCTGCAGTCGTCGGCGCTTGGCAGCATTTCCTCCGTGATCTCCTTGTCCATCGTGCCCATTTTGCTCCATGGACAGTGCTGGTGGAGGCGACCGAGCGCGTTGCAGGGGCTTGGGATACTGCATTCTTTGATGATACTGGGGAGGAGGTTGGTGATGAATCTGCTGCTGTTGTTGTTGCTGTTGATGCTGTTGTTGCTGCTGAAGGGCTTGCTGTGGAGCTAAGGGTGGCGAATTGGCCATGAGGTTGACGCGCTTCCTTCGTTTGATGACGGCTCGCTTCATGGTGACAGGCCGATGCACATTATGTAGCTTGTAGTAGAGCCCACAGGCGTTACAAATGGTGTTGCCTCCACTATCGCGACGCCAGAGGGGTGTAGTAGTGGTCCTACAGTTGGCACAAACAAGGTGCTGGCGATTGGTCTGCTGCTGATTGTATGAGGGGCATCCTGAGCAGCTGTGCGTGCCTCCTGTACCGTTGCAGTTGCCATCGCCAGGACATGATGCCGCGTGTTCGCCCTCAGCTGGCTTCTCCTCTGTTGCTGGTGCTGCTGGTGCTGGTGCTGTGGTTGTCGATTTGGATGGTTCTGCGGAGCTCTTTTCTGCGGGATCAGCAGGAGATGGATCCGCGGTCTGACTGTCCCTGTTAATTGCACTGGAGGGGCCCCGTGCATTGGGATCCTCAACCTCGTCGGTCTCGCCTGCAGCTGGAGATTCGCCCTTCTTGAGGCCCATATTGCGCTTGAGCCATGGTGGTCTTGACAGGTTCCTTGCCTTGTAGTAGAGGCCTGGATGTGATGATGGAATAGAGGAACAGTGGAATGTTAGATTAATTAACAATGGAATGGGCTGCTGTGTATGTGGTGTGTATGTGTGTGCTGAATCAACAGAGGGATAGCACAATGCAAGCAGTAGATCGTAAGGTTGAGGGGCAAGATAATAGAGATAATAACATTTGATATTGAGTTCAGCCATCCAACCACTGTGTGCGACCATCGAGAAAGAAGAAAAAAAAAAGTGCTCTCCATCGTCCCAATCATCGCACAATCTCAAAATCAAAAGAGGGGCATGGAGGGACATGGAGGGGCATGGAGAGACAAAAAAGAATCGAAAATCGAATATCTTTCCGCACCCTCATCCCCTCTTACAAAACACGGCCAAGGCCATCTGTGCATTGCCCTTGACAATCGCACCAAATCAGTACCAGCATCAGCACAACACAAACAACAACTTTGTATTATTAAAATAAACCCCGTTGGTCCAGTTTCCAACGCCATCTCCCTCCCTTTTTGCAATTGTTTCCTTCTGCCGTAATCGAGAGCGATTCCTGCTTGATTACACATCTTCACCACCCTCAACAGCAACTCCGTTTGATCGATCGCCCAAAATGACTCTATGGCGCTAGACAGCTCTCTTGCCCTTTGCCATGTGAACCGATGTGCGGACGAGATTGCTGCTGCTGGCCGGTCCACCAACAGAGTTGACCTGATTGTTTGGTTTAATCGCGATCGAACTTTGTTTTTTCCCACCCTCCATTGTTGTTGCATATAAAATAGAATAAAATAAAATAAAGAACATAAAATGGAACAGAATAACACAAAATAAAATAAAATAGAATAGAATGTCAAAGCAAGAGCGAACTATGGCGCCCCTTCCTACGGGATAGAGCATCTCTCTTGCTCGCTCGCATTCGCTCTTCTCGTCCTTATCTTAGCGAGAATCTCGAACAAGCGTACTCCACTCCTATTAGCCCCCTGTTCGCTTTCACTGCCTCTTATTCACCAAGAGTCGTGTGATGATTTGAGGCCATATTGATTAAGACGACTGCAATTGAAAATGTAAAGACATAAAAAAAATAAAAAAAATCCGGGGTGTTTGTTTGTTGTGTTTTGACGTGTCTGACCAATGGCCTTCAATGTCATTTGAAAAGTGCGTCTCCATCCGCCTTCCCCTCCTTCACTTTCCTCCGCATATGGGTGCATTGGATTCCACTCTTCGCCCTTTCCAATAGTGTGTCCATGTTCATTCTTTTCTCTTGTTTGAGTTTGTTCTTTCTTTTCCCTCCGCCAATCTGCCATAGAGATCTTTTTTTTTTTTTAAAAAAAAAGATGGAAACCAAAAATAACAATGTCTCGTTCTCTGCCCTCGGCGCAATGAAAAAAGAAAAAGAAACCTCCAAACTAAACAAACGAGACGAAATCAAGCTAAAGCAAAGACCATTGAATGAACAACCTTACGTTGTTCGCAAATGAAGGAGATAAAAGAATAAAAACACATTTTTGTCCCAACTGTACGTACCACATGCGTTACAGATCGTTTGTCCGTCGCTCGCTCGTCGCCAGAGTGGAGTCGTCGTAGTTCCGCAGTTGGCACAGCTCGTTGCAGTGACACCCGCTTTCAGATCCTTCTTAGGACCACCTGTAGGGCTCTTGATCGCCTGCTGAGGTGTCAATTGTGGCGATGGTGTCTTGGATGCAGCACCACCCATCGACCCTGAATATGGGCCATCTCCACTGGCGATCGTCGAGGGTGAACCGGGCGACGCTAATCTCTTCTTACTTGGGGTTGAAGAGGTGGCCCCGGCAAGGTCTTTGGTAGATAATGGTGGGGACGAGGACCCCGCAGAAACATCAGCCATATCTGCGTCCCGTTCGTCTGGCCGACGTACTTCCTGTTCAATCTCCATGCGTAGCGTGGGGTCAAATTCAACGTCGCTGCCTACCATCTCTTCATCCTCCACCTCATATTCCTCCACTTCCTCTTCAACCTCCTCAAACTCGTCCTCATACTCCTCGTCTTTGGCTTTGTAAAATGCAGACTGGCGCTCGTCAACGGGCGACGTTGCTGATGTGTGTGGTTCGGGACTCGGGATGTGGACATCGCCATGTTTGGAAGCAGCAAAAGACCGCTGCGCGAGATTGCCTTTTGAAAACGAAGATAGGGTAGCTGAAGGGGGATGATTGAAAGACGGGTAAGGCTTTGGAGAAATGATGGTCGTTGGGGTCACAGAGGAGAGCGAAGAGAGTGAAGAGAGCGGGGTACTCGATGAAAGTCTAGATTTCAACGAAAATGAAAGCGCGTTTGAAGTGGGGATCGGGTGACCCTTGTCGATAGCGGGCACAGTCGAAATCAGCGCCGAGGGGGAAGGGGACAACGATGTCGGTGTCAATGCTGCGGGAGCTGCTGTTGAAGGCGAGGACGTCGTTGACGAGGATGCTAGCGCCCCTATGCTTGTGTCTATGCTCGGTGTTGTTGCACCCTCTGTCTTTACGGGGGACATGGCAGGAAGTGTGGTTATTATCGTTGAGGAGGAGGGCGTGGGAGAGGGCGAGAGGGGAGCGATGCCCGGTAAGGATGGGGCAGGGGGAGGGTGGTGTGTATGCTGCTTGGATATAGAGGGTGATGATGTGGACTTTGATGGCGGTGATGACGAGGCAGGCTCCTGGCTGCCATCGATGTTGTTGTTGCTGATGGTGCTGATGGTGTTATCGATATCAATATCGCCGTTGGAGCCATGTGTGCTCCCTTGGTGGGACAGTCGGGGGTCTGTGGTGACTATCGAAGGCTTTGCTGATATGGACGATGAAGATGAAAACGAGGATGACGGAGAGAGGGACACGGATGCGGATGCCGACGCTGCTGCTGCTGTTGTTGTTATTGTTGTTGTTGTTGTTGTTGCTGCGGCTGTTGATGGGGAAGCGGATGTGTCCCCCGAGAGAGGGACCAGCTTTACAACAGGGTCGGTGTCCGTTGAGGCGACGGGTGGGACAGTCGGGGCAGCTGCAACCACTGGTGCTGTTTCAGCCAGCGACATGTGCAGATGTGGGGAAGGAGGAGATATCACAGGGCGTCTGCGGCGGCGAGGGATGGGAGGGAGAAGATGAAGAGGGAAGAGAGAAAGAGGGTGAGTGAGTGAGTGTGTGTGTGTGTGTGTGTGTGTGTGTGTATGCGAGCGAGTGGGTGACAGTATGTCCCCGGATATGTCGAGGCAGAGGCAACTGCTTACTTGTTTATGTATACTTTTGCCAGCAAATACAAGAAAGAGAAAGAGGGAGAGGGAGAGGGAAAGGAAGAGGAGAGAGAGAGAGAGAGAGAGAGAAGATGGTGTGGTGGTATGGTGGTACGGATGTGTGTAAGGGTGGAATGGATGGAGGGGGGATGGATGCTGCTGCTGCTGCTGCTGAAGAAGAAGATGATGATGAAGAGAGGCTGTGTGGGGCAGGTAGCGGTTGGTGGCAGGGGCAGCGGAGTCGTGGTTGCTGCAGCAGTGATTATAGCGATTATAGCGGGGCGGAGAGCGGAGAGCGGAGAGCGAGAGAGAATGAAAAAAAAGAGTGGAAGGAGAGGAGAGAGAGAGAAGGAGAGATTGGGCAGATGCTGATAAGATTTTACGAGGCGGCCCTCGATAGGATATCAACATCTGCTGATCAAAATCCTCGCCCTGATCGCATTTGCTTCAGATGAAGAAATCTATTTTCGGCCACCCCTGCCCGATGCCCTCTACAGACCACAGATCAAACTCATCAAAGGGCTCACCCCAAGGGACACCCGCATATCTCTGTGCCATAATTTGATCCGCACGCCCTCCCAATGGCAGACACGCCTCTGGCTGCCCTCGCTTTTTTATTGCTCCATCTTCCTATCTTCCTATGCCCTTTTCTTCTCTCGGCCCAGCTCCTCTCATCGCTGCAACCGTCCTTCAGCGCGCTTCGTGGCCAACCAGAGCACCAGTGCCGTTGAGAAGGAAACCATGCACACCACAGTCGAGACCACGTATATCGCAGAGGGCATGGTAGCGGATGTCCTGGCAAAGATCCATCCATAGAGCAGAGACGCCACTACCGACACTATAGCTTGCAGGACTGAGAGTCCGCCCATCGCCATGCCTGTCTGATGCGGAGGTACGAATACTGTCAATAAAGACATGATTGCGGGGCCACCCACAGAAGCTAACACATGGATGCCACAGCCTACATGGATGATGAAGAGTCCCATAGAAGAAGACAGACAGACAGAGAAAGAGAGGGAGGGAGAGGGAGAGAGAGAATATGCATTAGATAGGTGTTCTGAAGACATGCGTGCTTTCTGCAGTATTCAAAGCATTCGTTTTCCATGTATCCTTGCCTATAAAGAGGACAGCCTCTTTTTCAAATATCGGAACAATCGCATGTCCCACAATCTGAAGTCCCGCGCCAAACACGAAGAACGTCAAGTCCTTCCAGATGCCGCTCGCTTCGCTTCCGTTAGCAGGCGGACCTGTTGCTTGATTCATCTCTGCCGCCAATACCTCATTAATGACGCCCATCCCCGCATTAGTTGCTCCTTCCTGAAGTAGTGGTGTACGCTCTTGAAGAGCGGTATCCGGTAGAATTGAACTTGGTCCTTGAGATCTAATACTTTTCTTTGCCTTCTTGTCCACCATGAAATGGTCATAAGCGAGATGCATCAGCGGAAACACGGCAACATAAACAACAAGCGTGGCAGCTCCAAGAAAACCAAAATAGATGCCATCCTCCAGAGTTGTCCATCCATATACGAGGTTCTATGTTAGAAAGGAAAGATAGATCTCAGTAAGAACAGGGACAAGACATCAAGATAGCAAAAAGAAGCAACCCTTAGCACAGCCATCTATGTAGATGCTTAGTAATTACCGAATACGGAATGAAGACCGTAGCAATACCTTTGTTCGATATGAAATGTATATTTTCTTAAAACAGAAGCTCACTTCATCTCATAGTCAACAAAGATCAGCATTCAAAGACAAAGGCAAACAATAACGCTTACCGCTCATAGACAATGCCGCTAATGCACAGGTTGACATCAGCAAGACCAGGGTGTAAGGAGTTGGGACCATCTTCATGTCTGGGCTAGGCACAATCCTTCCTGGAAGAAAGAGCAGGAGAGGGTCTAGTGCTCCCAGAACGACTCCCTTTGTTTTACCAACAAACGAGACCGATTCTTCTTTGGTAGCATCTGCAGCAGTACCAAGAATGGCGGGAGGAATGAACTCTTTGCGACGGGATTCCGGCAATGCGACCGTGTATAGAATCAAAATGATCAGAGCTATGATGGCGAGGACCAAGGCTGAATTGATATCGTCTGTTGCTTTGATGACATACGCTCCAATCCCTGGACCCAATATGACGCCCACTGATAGAACGACCATCACATATCCAAGTTCCAAACTCCTTCGTTCCTGAGCAGTGCAGTCAGCTAGAATAATGTATGAAAGGTTACGTCAATTAGGGATGGCCTGCCATCCAACTTCTTTTTGGTTGCTTCTCCGTTACGCGCCTTGAACAACTCATCGAGGCAGGGACACCTACAGACGTAGGAGTTCAGGCCCGCATTAAGAAGAGATCCTGCACCAAGGCAGCCCTCGACCAGCGCATCGGCATAAAGCCAGGCGATGCTCAGATCGCTGCTGGGCAGTCCCATGTAGATAACGAGTAGCAGTGAGAAAATCGTGGGAATGAGCGTCAAGTACATTAGGAGCTTCCTTCCAAGACGGTCAGAGTGTGTGGTATAGAAACCGATTGTGAAGATGCCTATTTCGATAAGATGAACATGTAAGAACGTGGTCAAATGCTGCGACTCATAGATGACAGCCTCATGCCAGCATGGACTTTACCTATGCCAGATTTGAGCGACGAGATACGACTCATCACGACAGCGGCGAGGGCCTGCACTAGTGGCGTATTGCACCTATCTTCGCTGTCACCTTCAAATGAGGGCTGCTCGCCATCCCGAAAGTGTGCCTTGCAGATGATCTGGATAACCGCTTGATCTTGAGAGGCAGCCAAGATACCAAAGACAATTGATACCAGAAACACGAACGGTAGCAGCCACGCTATGGCTGGGCGACGATACCATGGCAGGGTTCGCAGCACCGCCATCCGATGCGATTCAGAGCCCACATGAGTTGGGTCCTCCGAAGTAATGTCCTCCTCTAACCTGCGGTTGGGGACAGCGTTGGCCTCGGGGGCCGAGGTGGTCATGTGTCTGCTGTCCATATCCCGTATCCTGTAATCCTGTATACTGCTGTCCTTTGTATTCCAGAGATGATGAGTATAAGCAGTCGGACTGTTGATGAAGTTGAGTAGAATGAAGGAAGGCTTAGGAGAAGGTGAGGAGAAAGGATAGAGGGCATATCAAAGGACGGATGGGAATAAGAAGAGGAGAAGGAGGGAATTAACACTTGTTTGTGCAGTGCCAAGCCCTTAAAAGAGCCATGATCCATGGGGAGGAGGCATACGACCCAAAACAGGAAACGTTCCTGAGAACCACGCAGTCCAGAGCATTGGCTAGGAGACATCGAGGGAATAAGGCGCGTCTCAGGATCGTATGCGCGCCTCCCTTGAAGGTCAGATTCATTTCTCTGGTTCTCGCTCTCGAATCCACCTCAACTTTGGAAACAAGCATAAGCACTGAGACCACGACCCATCGATTGCTCTTCGACGTTTCACTCTGCATTCCTATTCTGCTTCGATTAGAGAGACCCCTTGTCGGAGGAGGGAGCTATTTGGTACACGTTGCGTTGCATTAAAGTCGTGTCACCCTCGTGGCATGCAAGCAAACATACGACCCTTGACTGTTCTCAAACGTTCCGCGAGGGTTTATGTGAAGAGTCAATTCCTGCACTGCCCTCTGTCAATAATAGTTCGTCGCTTTTCATATGTGCTTTCTCAGGGTATGTAGTACATCCCCCCTCCCCTCCTAATCTTCATCCAAGTAAGCACAAGAGCAGATTAGAGAGAGCAGGAATAGGAGGTATTGTGGGACAAGAGCGAGACGCCCACTAGATCTGAAAGCGCAGACATAAAAGACAGGTGGCGAATCTTGAGCATCCAGCACCTCCACCTTGCACATCTCGTTCCTTCGCCTCTCTTCCAGGCCCTGTCTTTTCTTTTTCTTTTTCTTTTCTTCTTTTTTTTCATTTTTTATTTTCTTCGCCGCCAGGCACTGTGATTATTTCCTACTCAAGGTATATCATATATAGTATTCATTCGTCTCACTGTAAGATCTTCCTTATCATTCAACCTTATCGTTAGTACACTTTTCATATCAATGAAATATGCATCTGATTAGTCTTATCACACATAAGCACCCCACGCCACGAAGGAAGCAGATGGTGCAATTTCCGCCCTTCTACTTTTTGAACACACCATCCACCTGCGAGGATTTCCTCGTGGGACTCGGACATTCATATAAAAGGAACGTTCCTCCCCCGTCTCCTGTCCTTCTGCGCCTATCCCTTAAAACTAAAATTCTCTCAACAAGACGTTCTGTCTGTCCTGTCTTAACACCCTCATACGTGGCTTTTCAGTATTATTCACCGCCTAGACTACAATAAAGTTCCTGGCTCAAAAAAAAAAAAGTCTTAACATCCCTTTACACAGAAAACGCGATGGCTGTCTTATAACTTCATGGATTTAGTCTCTGTATCTTTGTCATGCTATAGCCCGATTTTCTCGTCCTCACAAACTTTGCAATCTCAACTTGCCTTTCAACCCTTCCGATCCCCCTTTCCGACCCCCCTTTCCAACCGTGCCTTCACCATCTCCAGACCAACATGTCGACATTGACTTTTGGCATGACTCATGATTCCAGCAATGGATGTCAGATATGCTTGAGCTAGAATCAGCAGATTCTGGCCAAGGACGAGGTGATTCGAGCAAAGGACGCGGTCATTGCAGCCAAAGACGACGCGATTGCTCAAAAGGACTTGGCCCTCAAAGCTGAACGCGAATTAAGAGAGCACCTCCAAAGGCAGCTCAAAATTACAACCGCAGGCGGTATGTGATGCACACATGCAGGCCGTTCCCATTCCATTTACAACTGCGAGCGCGAGCAAGGCATGGTTGACCATATCACCACATCAGGGAGACATGAAGGACCATCTACTCCAGCGAAAGCGCCAACAAGGAAGGGTTAGCAACGGAATCAAGAAAGAGTTAACTAGGATGGTTATCAGCGCTTTCAAAAACAAACTCGTGCTGGATTTGCGTTCCTGCACGCCAATTGCTGTCTTGGCTTCTTCTTTGCTAACGCTTGCATATCCTCATAGTCATCAAGAAATCAGGCCTCGCCAACTTCAAGTCTGCCAGCAGTCAGGCGCAAGGTGATACAGCAGCTATGGAAACTAATGCATTTACCAGCAGGAAGAGTGTGCTTTGCGACCAACATTTTTTACCTTCTTTGTAAATAGAGAAGGATGCGCTGACAATCTACGTACGCAATGTCACAGAGAGAAGAGGGAATTACCTATGAGATGCTCTACGATGCTTTCTCGGTCTTTGGCACCATCCGCGCCCTCAATCTTGTCCATCCAAAGGTTTGATCCACGACAACGTGAATTTGTACACGATTCTAATCCAAAGATTCGTTGGATGCTTGATCTGGCGCCTTGACTTGGTGTCTGGCGGGCATGTGCCTTTGTAGAATTCGCCACCCCTAAAGTCCATCAAAGAGCACTGGCGGCTTCTTCGGTCCCTGTTGGTCGTGATCATGAGAATGTCCTGACAGAGAAGCGTGTCCGTAAGCAGCATCAGCAATCAACTTTGTTCACACGACGACCCTCCGCCAACAATCTCAGATCGATGGTGTCCATCGCTAGCGCACAAGCCAACTACACCCCGCACACAGTCAGCACTGCTGCTGACATTCCGACCAGGGATAGCACAAGTCCTGGTAACAGCATGGCAGTTATGAAGGGAGCGGCTACGGAGGGCGAGGGATGTGATCTTACTACTGCGCGTTAAGTGGCGCCTCTTAATATATCTTCTTCGTCTAGTGTTACAGGAACTGGAAAATTACGTCGAAAGATTATCCTTCCTCAAGGACGCTGAGGTCGGAGGTCTCAAAAAAAAACAGTAACCTAAAAATTTTCGTTCAGCGATGTTTCAGAGTCAAAAGAAAATACTAATCCGCTTATCCGGGGAACTGAAAAATCCATGAAGGCCCCCATGCAGTAAAAGCTTTATTTTATACGCGCTAATTGCCATTGAAAGTGTCCTAAAAGCACCAAATCGTCGCTTTTAGGTTGAGCGTTGTTTTAGAGCGGTTGGCTTGCATCCAACGCATAGACCCGTGCTTTACCGCTGCGCTCGTCATTAAGCTCGTCGCCAGCCTGAGGACAATATTACGTGAGTGACGAGCGAACTGCCTTAAAAGGCAATCACTCACCGCTTCACCGCTCTCAGACTGGCAAACAAACATTGCTTTTTTAGCTGAGACCCCGGGAAAAATAAGGCCGCAATTTTCCTAAGTCGAATTTTGACTGCGATAGGCTTGTTTTGGCTGGCAGAGCTTATTATTCGAGGGCCAGAACCATCTTTCTTTAATTGAAACTACCCAATAAGAAAAAATTCTGCCCTTGCACCGTGAATGTCTACTATCTTCTCAAAGGAGAGCCATGGAAGTGCAGAAGCGAACCAGGGTAGAAAAAAGGGTGGGACATTATGGTTCTGGCCCTCGGATAATAAGCTCTGCCAGCCAAAACAAAGACTTGGAAAATTGCGGTCTTATTTTTGCCGGGAGTCTCAGCTAAAAAAGCAATGTTTGTTTGACCTTATAGGGCCGTTCATTTGCCACTCACGTGATATCATCCTCAGGCTGGTGGCAAGCCTAGGCCCCCCTTTGCAGATAAAGAGGGTTGGGTCGAGCCTGGAGCTGACCAATTGCTAGAGACAAGTCTACGCAGTGACCATATTTGGGTGGTTGCATCCGATGGCTCCGAAACAACTCCGCTTGTCCGAGGATCCCCACAAGGGTGGAAATGCTTAAATATCCATTGTCTTCTTAGCCATTGTCTCCATCCTTCTCATCATCATCTTCATCTCTATCTTTGTTCTTTCCTTGAACACCTCTAACACACACACACACCCATATCTTCTTTCAGCACTATGGAGCACATCGATCGAGCCCAATTGTACAAGGACCCAGTCTACCGTTTCCAGTATGTCGCAAAGTTCATGGACTTTGGCGACGAGGACGTTGCCGCCATCAAGGGTGCTGCCGAGTTGATCAAGCCTCTCGTCCCCACCGTCGTCAACGCCGTCTACAAAAAACTGCACACCTTCGACATCACCTGGGACGTCATGGCTAAGCGCCACGAGGGCTTCACGCCCACAAAGTCGGTCATCGAGAACTCGTCCGAGCTGGACGAGAACGCTGAGCAGATCAAGTTCCGCAAGGACATGCTGTCGCGCTACTTTGCCAAGCTGCTCGAAAACCCCTATGATGAGCGGATGATCAAGTACCTCGAGTACGTGGCACGCATCCACACAGATACCCCCACCAAGAAGAGCAAGATCAATGTCGATTTGATCCACATCAATGCCTTGTTGGGATACGTAGAAACCGTCCTGATTGGAGGCATCAAGTCGCTTAACTTGGATCGTGATGTCGAGTACAAGGCCATTGCCGCGTTCGGAAAGCTGCTTTGGATCCAGAACGACTTCTTCATCAAGTTTTACTGCAGAGACGGGGCCGAATACCTCGAAACTCCTTTCCCCAGCTCCACCGTCGTGGCTGTAAGGCAGCCTGGCATCCTCACCCGACTCTGGCGCTTCTTCTTCTAGTTCGACACATCGTCATTTCATTTTCATTTTTTTTTTTTTTTTTCATTCTTTCCAATCCGTTCCAGCGCCTACGGAACTGTCAATAGCAGCTGAGTCACTTTTGTATGATAGTTCATATGCAAATAAATCTAAGATATTTGCACTCCATGTTGTCATTCTGAATTTTCATCACTTTAATTAATTACTACTGTGCATCGATGTCCATGCTAACGAGTTTCAACTGACTATTATGGCTACTCTCCTGCCGTAGCCGCTTATGATGCAGATTTTGTTCCATCTCTTCCATGGCGTTCTGCTGCTCTTTGCGCATCCTCCGCCGTTCCTTTCTCCACTCAGCTTTCAAGTTCAACACGCTGCCTGCTGCGCCCGTTCCAGGGCCACTCAGGCTACCGCCCAATGACTCTCCGCGATGATGACCCCCCTGCAGCTCATGTAATTGTTGTATCTGTCGATGACTACTGTCGCGGTTGGAGACGCTCAATAGCTGCTGTCGTTTCGAAAGCTCGTAATTGACTACGGGTAGGGCTTCAAGTTTTGTAAGTGCTCGTCGATCAACGCTTTCGGCTGGTTCCTGCTCTTCCTTGACGATCAAGAGATCTGTCGTGACACCAGCCGTCGTCCCGTCCTTGTGTGCTGCTGCCATGGCGACCTTGTTCTCGGCCGCCATAAGTCGTTTCAGATTAGATTCCACCAGGCGTGATTGCTCCGTGTTGAGTTCCCGAATCTTTTGTGGATCTGTTGGTCGTTTCACAAACACCTATTGTAAGAAAGTAAAAAAAAAATCGGAATTTGTTAGTGACAAGGCAATACGTATTCCATAACGTCCTAGAGAGAAGGAAAAAATAAAAAGCACTCACGGGAGTCTGCTTGTACGAGTGTTTACTGGGGAACGGTGGAAGATGGTCCGGTACTACTGTCCTGGCTGTGATTCTGGTTCCCGGGGTTGATGTCGCCATTGGCTCTTCATCATCGCTGTCCGAATTATCCTCGATATCGGAATCCAGAAACACTGTCTTTTTCTCCTTCTTTTTCTGAGGTTTTGGTACCGTCTCCTGCAGTGGCCCTCTAAGCAATGGCGTTTCTAATAGTTGTGAGAAGAATGCAAACATACATGGCGGATCGGGATTAGATATGTGAATGGCTGTTCTCTTCAGCTCCCAAAGAAGCCCATTGAAGCAGTTGGCTGCAAAGATGCGTTGCATACTTGAATTTGAGGCAGCTCTGATATAGGATGCCAGACTTGTAGGCCTCACGTTCATGTCGTCGAAAGCCTGTTGAAGATCGTGGAGGTCGGGCCGTGTGCGTCCTGCGAGATCTGCGAACGAGTGTGCAATCGAGTACATTTGCTGGGTATCTAGTATCGTAGGTTCAGGAGGAATAAAAAGATACGCCCGTCGAGAAAATTGTCCTGGTTAGCACTGCTGCTTTTTCTTTGTTCCTCTACCTCCAGAATCTGGTCATGCACTATAACCGCTTGGCTCCAACGCTGACAAGAGCGTAAAAGACGCTTACAGCTTTCAAAGGCACGTGTGAGCGATTCGAGGGCGGAGGCGGTGATGCCTTCGAAGCCTGCGTCGAGCGCCAGCACTGAAACGAGCTTCTTGGCTGTTGCCTCTGCGGTGACACTGTCCATGGCAGGCCGTGGTGTTGGTGGTGCACGGTATGTTGATGCTGAAACATGTCTTTGTTGCAACTGCCCCTGTGTACGCGCCCTGTTGGGAGCCGTAGTACTAGTGATGCTGCTCGGAGACTGGACAGTCCCAACGATGTCCGACATTGTTGCTGATGTCTGTAGCTCTGCGCGCGGAAACTTGTCGTGCTATGGGTTGATCGTTTTGTGAAGGTGTTCTGAAGGGATGGAATGGAGGCACAAACTGGGAATAGAAGAATAGAAAGCTGGCGAAAGTGGCTTACAATCTGGACAGCGGATCAATCCCAGTCACTGCGGGCCCTTTTTTTTTAAAGCTCGCTCGGTCCTTCAAGCTCAACCCTTTTTTTGTTCTCTCCCACACCCTCTCCCTCTCCATCCCCGCTTTCAACCTTTGAACCTCATTCATTCTTAACATGGCAGCGTGCCCTCATATTTCAACCGTTCGTCTCTCGGTGCCCTCTTATAACGCACAAATCTACAAGGATGAGTGCACCTTTTGTTACGACAGTCCTGTGAGTTCACAACATGAAATCGCTCGTTGTGTATCTTCTAGGAACGGTGACGCGTCAATGCTGTTTTCGCCCGCGCGAACACCCTGTTCAACTTACTGATTCTTTCTTTATTTCCGACCTGCACAACCGGTATTGATTCACAAAAAAGGACAACGAAGGAGGACTGGACGTGTGTCTATCCTGCTTCAACGGTGGATGCACCGATCCAGATCGCTATCATGCCATCCAGCACTACACCAAAGCCGGTCACCCTCTCGCTTTGAACATCAGGCGGGTCAGGCTTCCTAAGGATACCAGGGTAAGTCTCGATAGGCCCCCCTCCCCCTTCTCTCTCTCTCTCTCTCTCTCTCTCTCTCTCTCTGAATGGCAGCATTTGCCGATGCATAGAATACCGCAGTTGGCTAAGCGGCTGTCATTTCTTGATAGAACGGCGCGGAGCCCCCTCAAAAGATTACTAAAATTGCGATTGTGCCCGAAAACGACACGGACCTCTATGAGTACTTTACTCATGTCAAATGCTACGAATGCGGCGGAGTCGAGGTTGACAAGACCTTTGGAGATGTGAGTTAGATTTTCGATCTGCGATAGGAGTATTTTACGATATGATGTGAGGGCAACGAATTAACTTGGCTGTTGAGTAGATCCCAAAAGTTGTCGATGCGATCATGACCTCGCTATCTGCGTCCCGACAATCAGAGATCAAAGCCTGGGAGGAAGAGATCGTTCCATGCGACCATATTCGAAACCTTCAGCAGGATGCTGAAAAGGTGGTTGCTGCGGGTATGTACTCATTGATGACAAATCCGAGAGAGAATGCCGGCGAAGTAATCGAGGCTAACCTGTCTGTATTTTATTACTATTCTAAGAAAATGCCCATTGTTCCGACTGCGACCTCAACGAAAACCTCTGGCTGTGTCTCGTATGTGGCAATCTTGGGTGCGGACGCCAGCAATATGGTGGTACCGGGGGCAATGGCCACGGTCTTGCCCATTTCGAGGCGACAGGACATGGTGTCGCCTGCAAACTAGGAACCATCACGCCAGAAGGATTTGCAGGTTAGTGGCGCAAATGAACTTGAACTGGATTGGCTCGATTGACTGTACCTCCTCTAAATATCAACGTTGATGATGTACATTAGATATTTACTGCTACCACTGCAATGAGGAACGCTCGGATGATCAACTGGGGGTGCATTTGGCGAGGTTTGGAATCAAGGTGGAATCGCAGCAAAAGACGATCAAGTCCTTGGCTGAGCTGGTTAGTCTCCATGTCGTAACAACAGAACAAGAGGATGTGAGCGAATCAGAGCCTCGAAGATCCTGAAGAATGACCGCTTTTATCTTTTTTTTTTATGTCATGTCACAACCAGTCTTTGGAGCAGAACCAAAACTTCAACTTCAACATGTTTACGGAGGATGGCAAAGCATTCGAGCCACTGTTTGGACCGGGCTTCACAGGATTCAGGAATCTGGGCAACAGGTAAAGAACTATCATCTGTTTTGTCTAGCAAACGCGATGTTGACCCCGACAAGGGAAGCTGACCTTCAACATCCTTGACATTTCGTTTGCGTGGATAGCTGCTATATGGCATCGGTGCTTCAGTCAGTTTTCGATCTTCCCGCCTTTGCTACAAGGTATATCACAGAAAATATGTCGGAAGGTTACTGAATGCCAACTTGTTGCTGCCGCTAACAGCCTGTGTACTAAACTTGCGCAGATATTTCCCGGTCGATCTTGGTCACTTGCAGTCATGCAGCAAGGAGCCCGGAAACTGCCTGCAATGCCAGTTAGCCAAGGTTGCAGATGGTCTTTTGAGCGGACGCTATTCGACACCAACAGTTTCTGATAGCGGTGATGTGCAGGGACAGGATGGAATCGCGCCAGGCATGTTCAAAGCTTTGATTGGTCGCGGACACCCCGAGTTCTCAACCATGAGGCAACAGGTGCGTTCCTGACCTTTAGTGAATGTATGTGAACTCTATTTCAAGTGGCTATGATCGTAGCACTCATCATCCTCTGTCTTTTATCAACCATCCACATATCAACAGGACGCTTTCGAGTTCTTTCAGCACTTGACAAAGGTCATCGGGCAGAACGAGCGTACCACTGGCAGTGATCCTACAAAGACTTTTGAGTTTATTAACGAACAGCGCCTGCAATGCAATAAGTGCAAGAAAGTCCGCTACTCGCGGAATAAAACCACGGACCTTACAATTCCGGTGCCTGCGACCAAGAAGACAAACACTGGCGAAGATGATGAGTATGAGAGTGTCACGTTCGAGCGATGCCTCGATACGTACGCTGCAGAGGAGATCCTTCCTTATAACTGCCCCAGCTGCCAAAAGAACGTAACCGCCACTAAGTAAGCACAGGGGTCGTCTCAGTCACAGAACGCTACAGGACTTGACCAAAGTCATCCTTTGCTAATCTGTTTCTTCTGATGCTGTAGGACAAATCGGTTTGCCACCTTTCCAGAGGTGTTGGTAATCAATATGCGACGCTTTGAGTACCAGAACTGGGTCCCAAGGAAACTTGGTATGGATATATTCACAGCGGATTTGACCCTCCTTCGCCATAATGATTCCAAATATGCTAATACGCTCTGTCTCCCTTTTTTGACACCCATGTACAATAGCTGTACCGGTTATCGTCTCTGAAGGCCCGATTGATCTTGAAAAGTACCGCGCTCACGGCCAACAACCTAACGAGGAATCACTTCCGGAAGATGTTGTAGCTGCAGACTCCGGTCCAACCTTTGATCAGGCTGCCCTGGAGCAGCTTCAGATGATGGGTTTCTCAGTGATTCGCTGCCAGAAAGCGCTCTTGGCGACTAACAATCAGGGCGCGGAAGTGGCTATGGATTGGTTAATTCAACATATGGAGGATCCCGATATTGACGAGCCCATCGCGACCAACACCAACGCCTCTTCTCCGAGTGTTAACCCGGAACAAATTGCTCAGTTGGCGGATATGGGCTTCACGGACAAGCAGGCTAAGAAGGCGCTCAAGGAGACAGGCGGTGACATGGAGCGCGCTGTGGAATGGCTCTTCAGTCATATGGACACGCCTATCGATGACGACGAAGGGGAAAGCGTAGCTCCTGCGCCCGCTGCTGCCGAAGGTCAGGCGCCCCATCTAAACGCAGAAAAGAAGGGCCGCTACCAACTTGCCTCGTTTATCTCGCACAAAGGACCATCGATCCACTGCGGACACTATGTCAGCCACATCAGGAGAGGTGACCGGTGGATTCTGTTCAACGATAACAAGGTCGTTGTGGATCCTAAGGCACCCATTGGTGATGCCTACATGTACATTTTCAAGCGGGAATAAGACGATGCAATTCGGCGCAGGAACCATTGCTCGTCATATTTACAATCCAGCCATTGATTTATTAAATAAGCTGTAATAAAAAGGGGACCTGGGCCTAAGCGTGAGCCAGATCCATCTATTACATCCATCTCGCCATGCATCCACGCAGCTCGTCATTTCTCAAAGCGCAGCAGATTTTGGAGACAAATTGTCGGCACATTGCTTGGAAATTCCGCGTTCCTAACACTTTGACGCACAGAAATGGCCCTACAAGCGTCTCTTAGTGTTCCTAGTCAAAAGACCAGACATTAATCACGCGACGCTGCAGACGGAGCACATCGATCGTCTGTCATGTCCTAAGTGATGGATTGTACTGTAGTCAACTTAGTCCGCCTGCTCGATCCGCTACGTTCTTGTTGGACATTCAATCAAGGAAACTGCCATTGCTCAATTGGCGTAATCTTGATCGTCTGCGATTTCGTAGTGGATCCTGACAATCAGCGAGCAGGTGGAGCACACCACGATGTCCACACCCAATTCCAGCTCATCCTCCGTGATGACATATTCTCCGCTGCATCGACAAGGCGATGAATAGATGCCAGTCTCTATTCAGTGTAGCAATTGTATGGACGACATTAGTAACAGAGCTCGGTTGAAGATATTGTATGAAGGCTCCATGAGATTAACAGAGGCTAGTCAGTACCTTCATCAAAATCCATGTCATCCAGATCAATGTCGTCGTTGACTTGGCCATTGGCACGGAGCCTCATGGCTTTGAGCGACGAGTCATAAAAGGCCCGCTGTGCTGGCAAGCGGAGATATTCCCACGCCTCTTTAATATCCTGAAGTGGTATCAGCGTTGGCGTAGACGAGGATGTCATCTGGGATTGATTCTGCTGCTGTTTATCAGGATGATTCTACAAAAGCAGAGCGGAAGAAAAAAAATCGGTGGATTGAGTATTGCCGAAAAGTAGATCGACCTTGAAAAAGTGCAAAGTAGTGATTCCTCGTACGATCAGAAGCAGCTTTTGGTACTGTTGCTTGATCTCCGTGAGAGTGGCATCCTCGGAAATGCCGAGGATCGCATAGTAATCCTTGAGCATGGCCTTGGGGTGCAGAGATGAACGAAGACAAGAGGATGGATGGCCTTGGGTTGGGCGCAATACATTCCACAAATGCACCAACCAACAAGGCAAGCCACTCAGTAACTCTATAAAAAGCGCGCTCATCTTTTTCTTTTTTTGCTTTGCATCTTTGTTGCATTCTCTTCAGCTCTGCCTCTATCTTTCTCGGCACATCTGTCTGCAGCTTGATCGCTCAATTCGGAACACTTGGGCATCTTTTGTTCTTCAGCACTTGCAGCCGACAAACAGAACGTGCAATGCCGAATTCACCGGAGGACCAGCAGGTGCTGGACCAGTTGGTCTACAGAGTGTGTCGAGCGTTCTATGAGCCGCGCTATATTGCCGTGATGGATGTCATCAACAAAATGAAGCAGTAAGAATCCGCTTATGTGCTTAAGGCTTTGTGTTATTGATGTAGAAATTCCGGTGGAGGAGATGGTGTTGCAGTTGAAGTAACTCTGGTCGTTTTTTTTTTTCGTCCCCAATGTCTCCGTCCGGCTTCAATCCGACATATAAAATCCCAAACAAATCTCGATAACGGGTCATAAAAAGAGTCAAAGATGAAGAGCTGGCGGCTTTCCTGAAGCTGAACAGGCGCGAGATTCACAAGATCTGCGGCAAACTCAAAGAAGACCGTCTGATCAAAGAGTAGGTACCACTGCTTAATAACGCTTGACATTTTCAGGACAGCTGTGCACCGTGTACTTGAAAATAGCCCTAATGATTTTTGTCCGCGGGGCGGGTCCATCATATAATAGCTTGACAAAACTCGAAGCAAGGAAACCGGACCAGCGCCCGATCCCCAACACATATTATTACCTGGACTACAAGACATTCGTGGACGTGGTCAAATACAAGATCCACAAAATGGATATGGAACTGAAATTTATTATGTCCAAGGTAAAGACTTGGAAACCTTCAGGAAAATACCCTCTGATTAAATGAGAATGATTCCTGGTCCTCGGTGTGCCACTGATGTTCATTGTTCCTCAATTCCATATTTTTACGATTGAAAAATATGAATCCAGCAAGAAGTAGAAAGTGCAGGATACCGGTGTCCAGCCTGCGAGAAGACGTATGCCACGGTTGAGGTTGTTGACCAGTATGACGCCGAGACAGGAAAGTTTCTGTGTCCGAACGATCGCTTTGCACTGGACGATGAGGCCGTCGAAGATGGTGATCAGGGACGGGAGCTGAAAGCAAAGTATGCGAGAGGATCCATAGGTTGCGGAATATTTATGGTGTGCAGCAATGGCAGTCCGTACCTACTCATCATTGAGCTGCGCGTTATCGTTACTTTATCTTACTAGGCTCCGTGAAAATACTAAACCAATAGTCGACCTGCTGAAATTGACAGATAACATTGTCATTGAGCAGTACACCGAAAGCATGGCCTCCAAGAACGCTACTGCAAGGACACACGATGGTAACAACAACCAGAGGCCTCTCTACCTTGTTTCAAGGGCAGAAAAGTGATCATTCGCCCAAAACCCGACTAACACTGCTCTCCGTGCGTTTCCTTTCACAATGTCTTCTACATAGATGATGATTTGGCATTTGCTGCGGATGGCGGTCAACAGCCGGGAGAGATCCAGGTTGTGTTCCAGGATGACAATGACAAAGCAGCCAAGAAGGCCAGAGAATCTGAGGCGCAAAAGAAGAGACAGCAAAATGCTGTGCCATCATGGCACGCCTGGAGTACTGTTTCTGGCGAGATGACTGCTCTCGGAGCCGAGGCTGCAAAGCGCCACGATTTGCCTGTGGATGGTACTGAAGCCGATGGCGAGGGCGAGGTTCTGGAGAACGATACGGAACGCGATGAATGTAAGCGTGAACGATAGTGTTTAAGCTGTGCAGAGGGTATTTATATGTATATCAATTGTTGCTAACTTGTCCTTTTACGCCTCATATTAGATTACAAACAATACTATGAAAACTTGGCTATGGGAGCTCAGGATGAAGAGTCGTTCGAGATATCCGGTAGTAATGGATATGATAGCAAGCGATCCTTGGACGACTCGGAAGACAGCAGCAGGTATGTATACGTTAATCTGGCACTTGTTTGCGCTGCAATAAGATCGTTCATTAGCTGACATCCCCTCCTTTACATCCTTCCATGATTCTTAGAAAGCGGTACAGGGCTGAAGATGGAGGTGCCATTCAAGATAATGGCGGTTTAGAAGGCGAGAATGAAGAGGAGGAGGAGCTGTTCGAAGAAGGCGACGAGGAGCTGCCCGAGGTGTCTGTGGCGGGTGTAATGGTACCGTTGCTTGAGGTCACAGAGGAGCATCAGAGCCAGATGACTCCTGATGAGTATGAGGCGTACTACAACATTTGCCAACAGCTGCAGTGAGCCATAGCATTCATGTCTGGAGCGACTTTAAATAAAGTGGACCCATTGACAACACATTATGATCTGATTTATAATGCTTAAGTCGTTTCAAACACCGAAGGGCAAACATTTTATGGCGTCCATCCGTCAAATACATTCCGAAAGTACTGTCTGTGATAAATTTTTTTTTATTCGTCATTTTCCGCACTGGAATGCTACTCTTTGTCTGCGATGTTCGCACTCTTTAGGCAAAGGCGCGGTTCAAGACCTCGATCCAGTAACCGTCGGGGTCGGCAATGAAGGCAATGTTCTTCATTTTGCCATCCGACTGGCGCTTGACCCACTTGACCTTGTCGCCAAAGCTCTCGAATCGCTTGCAAGCCTCTTCGATGTTGTCGACAATGATGGCAGTGTGTCCGAACCCACGGCCAGGGTCCTCGTTGCCGTTGGCGTAGTTCACTTTAGGATCGTTCTCGCTGCCCCAGTTACTATGGAATGATATCAGATCGTGTAAAACAGTGCATGAGAAAAAAAAATAATGATGCGCCATGTGTGATGCAATCGACTGAAACAACCGTGTGAACAAAATGGTCTTACTGGGTCAGCTCAAGAACTCCGGGGCGGCTGAATGCATAGGCCCGGCGGTCGTCCTTGGACTTGGCTTCGAGAGTAGCCTGGTCGTCAGTATTGACGTACGCAAGGAAGTAAAGCTGTGGTGTTCCATTGAAAAATAATAATAATAATAATAATAATAATAATAAATAAATCGATCGACCATCAGTATCTGCACCATACTTGGTTCACACCGCGTAAAAACCTGGTAGAGATGACAAATTAGCGAGAGACGATGATATTTGGATATCGTACCGTGAACTTGCCATCCTCGTTATCCATGGAGGTGATCAGCCTGGCGGCAAAACGCGTGTGTAGGAAGAGAATAAAGTGATAAGTAAGAATGAAAGTCATTCCTGTCCAGAGGCCGTTTCCAAAGACTTACTTCATGCCAAGGATATCCTGGTAGAACTCAAGAGAGGCCTTTGGATCCTTGACGCGGATCATGGTGTGGTTCTAGATGGAGCGATAATAGGCATAAGAACTATCAGTGTCCGTAAAAACGCTCCTATGTCCGGCGATACAGAGAAAAAAAAAAAAAAAACACTCTGAAAAGAAAGCAGTGAAGCAGCGCTGACTTACGAACTCGTAGCTCTTGATGTCGGTCTTGAAATCGCTCATGGTGGGAATTGGTTTGGAATGTGAAGGAGAAAAGTAACGAATGAAGAATTGAGTCTCGTTCGCTAAAATACCTGCTGGACTCTAAACCCTCTTTCGTGAATGCATTGGGATTCGTGCAATTGAGGGATGAAGTGTTGTAGTTATGGGGAGTGAGTTTGCACATAAAGAGTAAGAACCAATTCCACATCCAATCTTGAGGCTGTAACTCTGCAACTCTTGCAACTCTTCACCTTCACTGCTGTCCACGCTGCGTCCAGCTGGGTTTTATCGCACACCTGTGTACGATGACAAGGACTCCTCCGCTGAGTAGTCTATACCGTCTTAGAGTGCTCTAGCAGTCATCCCCGTTGCAAACGAGCCTTATTGCAAGTGTGTTATAGGCAGCACAACCGGGGCCCGGCCTCCACACTTCAGCTCAATCCCATCAAAAAGGCTCCGCCTGTTTGGCTTAGTCGGCGGAGCACCTTTCCTTCATTACACAGCTGCGAACCCTCGTTATTCATATCACCACACAGGAATCAACTGGCAACGGCTAAACTTCAAAAGGCCCTCGATCGATTCCTCCCCTCCTCCTCCTCCTCCTCCTCCTCCACCACGATCCCTCCATTTTTCATTAATAAAAGTTCCTCCCTCTGCCCCTTCATTTGTCCTCCTCCAACAGGATTCTGATAAGCGGCTTTTATTTTAAGAAGATTTGTTTGCCCAGGATGGTCTTCTGAAGAGAACAATTGGGGTCAGTTTGCTATGTAGAACACTTTCTAAGGCTCGTGTCTAACTGTACCTTGCATTTAAAGATCGTGCATTTAAGGAATGCTGCATTTAGAGATCGTAAATTAAGTCAACCTTGCACTTATAGAATAAAAGGCTGCGGAGAATTTCGATATATAGAAGTTCTGAGACTCCAATCATCAATCGAGCTCGTTTAGCTTAGTCGGTAGAGCGTCGTGCTAATAACGCGAAGGCCGCAGGTTCGATCCCTGCAATGAGCATCTTTTGTTTTTTCTTGGCTTATTGCCGACCCTTACTTCCTTGGCTGCATACAAAAGTTATATGTCGCCCGGTCGACTCGTCATACCCCTTCTTGTCTATTGTCGCCTCATCAACTTGTTATATTGCTCCTTGCCTGTTTGTCACCCGGTGCCATCTAAAATGGCCTTTTTTTATCTTACAAATGAACAATGAGATTCACCCCATTACATTGACTCCATATTGACCTCCTATATATCAACTAGAGCTAGGAACTTGCGCGCGCGAGGTCTTTTTATTTTTTTGATCTTATTAAAGTTTTTAATATGTCGAGGTCGTCCTCAGCTTTTTACGTTTACTGGGCTGCTCCATGCTGCTCTTGAGTCGCTTTCCCTTGGTTCTTCCCTTTGTAATTGCGATCATTGGGTCTTCAATGGCAAATAGACCCATTTTTTCATTAATGGCCTTGTTCAACATCTTCAGCGCCGCTATGCACATCCCCGGGTCATCTAATGACTGGCTTGCTAAGTGTTTGGCTTTACCCGTGATTTCGCCACAAAATCTGGCCATGGGTAGCTTAGCCGCGCTCGGTCCCACCCCCCTTGCTGCAATGAATAGATAGGGATCCATGTGGCTAGTTGATGGGGCGACAATAGACAAGAAGGGGTATGACGAGTCGATCGGGCGACATATAACTTTTGTATGCAGCCAAGGAAGTAAGGGTCGGCAATAGGAAGAATATAATCTCACCTCCCCGTAAGATTTTATTCCTACACCCCCCGTGAGATTATCCAAAGCACATAATGAAATTTTATTCTCACACCCCCCGTAAGAGCTTTAATCTTACACCCTGTTATTCTATAGCGAAACAAAGATAATCTCACGGGCATATAAAAGAGGCTTTATGATCAATACCTGGGTTTCTAAGTGCTTAAGCGCCTGACACCCCGTTATCGTCGCCCAGATGTGTCAAGAGTCCAAACTTCAGTACATCTCTCTCTCTCTCTCTACCAGGGCGCACTTTTGTACACCTCTCTCTCTCTCTATACCAGCCCGAACTTTTTTCCTTCTGCCCTGACCACGCGCCATCGTACCCAATACGTAATTGTTAATAGATTGCTCTTGCTTCTATCACACATCTAGTCCCATCACCTCAATTCGTTTAAGGATCCGGATCTTTTTAGCCATCGCTTCCTTAATATAGACTGTAGTTCAGCTCCGTTCTCTGATACCAGGTGTGTTACACCCTTGACACACTCGGGCGACGCACTAAATTGCTGTTTACCAGTAGTGCGGTGATAACGGGGTGTCATACTAGGTCTACATGTAGATTCACATATCGGTTTCCTTATCGCTGGAGAATCTATCCCTTTGTCCAATCCAATATGAGGCAGGATTGAGCCAGATTTCACTCCGAAGCTGAATGACGAGGTGCCATGGAAAAGAGAAAACAGACAGTCGTTTGTGATCATATTGGAGTAGTACTTTACGATTCAAAATCACTATTGTGGATCTTTGCAAAGGTTTAATGCTAGATTTAGTATGCTATGATGTCGACAGTGCTTCGCCCAGTTTCTACAATATTTCAATGCACTGTTGACACCGATGCAACTAGTATATAACCCCTATCTACGCATAGAACTAGATAGCAGCATTCGCCCAATAAAATACCCTTTTCACCCTAGATCCTTCGACACCTCAGATACTCCAATCGTTTGCAAGCATGCCGACGCGTAGGGAGTTACCTAGCTTTCACTATCGTGGAAAATGATAAGCAAGGCAAGACCATGCGCTTTCCCGTCTCTACATCTGCACAATTTTATATCGTTCTACACTCGCTCCACCAAACCGCCATTTTCATTTTACTTATTTTCAGTTGGAGACATACGACTAGGGGATTTGAATGTACCAAAGTGAGGGGCCTTAGAGCGCGTTCTTTTTCTACTTGTAGAAACCGGACTGGAAGGTCCGGTGCCAGAAGCAGAAGCAGAAGCAGCTTGCATAGCTTGCCCCTGCCCTTGACCTGCTGCAATCTGGGCAATAGAGCTCAGGACCCGTTGCTCCATAGCTGTGATTAGCGTGCGCTGTTCCTCTTAAAACGCCATGATTTGCATGCGCTGTACATGTTGCTGTTGAGTATTTGCAATATCCGAGCCCCGCATGAACTCTCGGATAGTTGCACCAACCACTCTTCCTGAATCAAATGTCATTGAAGTAGCCGAAATGACG